CATGGCCCGAATCTGGGTTTCAAGTTTAAGGTTTTCCCGGGTCTGCTTGCTCTGCAAAAAGGACCTATGGCCCGAACCTGAGTTTCAAGTTTAAGGTTTTCCCAGGTCTGCTTGCTCTGCGACAAGGTTCTATGGCCCGAATCTGGGTTTCAAGTTTAAGGTTTTCCCGGGTCTGCTTGCTCTGCAAAAAGGCCCTATGGCCCGAATCTGGGTTTCAAGTTTAAGGTTTTCCCAAGTCTGCTTGCTCTGCGACAAGGTTCTATGGCCCGAATCTGGGTTTCAAGTTTAAGGTTTTCCCAAGTCTGCTTGCTCTGCAAAAAGGCCCTATGGCCCGAATCTGGGCTTCAAGTTTAAGGTTTTCGCAAGTCTGCTTGCTTTGCGAAAAGGTTCTATGGCCCGAACCTGAGTTTCAAGTTTAAGGTTTTCCAAGGTCTGCTTGCTCTGCGAAAAGGCTCCATCGCCCGAATCTGGATTTGTAGTAAAGGTTTTCCCAGGTTTGTTGGCTCTGCTAAAAGGCTCTGTGGCCCGAATCTGGTTTTCAAGCTCAAGGTTTTCCCAGGTCTGCTTGCTCGGCGAAATGGGTTTCAAGTTTAAGGTTTTGCCAGGTCTGCTTGCTCTGCAAAAAGGATCTATGGCCCGAATCTGGGTTTCAAGTTTAAGGTTTTCCCAGGTCTGCTTGCTCTGCGACAAGGCTCTATGGCCCGAATCTGGGTTTCAAGTTTAAGGTTTTCCCAGGTTTGCTTGCTCTGCGAAATGGTTCTATGGCCCGAATCTGGGTTTCAAGTTCAAGGTTTTCCCAGGTCTGCTTGTGGCCCGAATCTGGATTTCAAGTTTAAGGTGTTCCCAGGTCTGCTTGCTTTGCGCAAAAATTCTATGGCCGGAATCTGGGTTTCAAGTTACAGGTTCTCCCACGTCTGCTTGCTCTGCGAACAGGTTTTATGGCCCGAATCTGGGTTTCAAGTTTAAGGTTTTCGCAGGTCTGCTTGCTCTGAGAACAGGTTCTATGGCCCGAATGTGGGTTTCAAGTTTAAGGTTTTCCCAGGTCTGCTTGTTTTGCGAAAAGGTTCTGTGGCCCGATCCTGGGTTTCAAGTTTAAGGTTTTCCCAGGTCTGCTTGCTCGGCGAAATGGGTTTCAAAATTTTCCAAGGTCTGCTTGCGCTGCGAAAAGGTTCTACGGCCCGAATCCGGATTTCAAGCTTAAGGTTTTCCCAGGTCTGCTTGCGCTGCGAAAAAGCTCTATGGCCCGGATCTGGGTTTCAAGTTGAACACGCCTTCTAGAGTTTAAACTTTTCCCAGGTCTTCTTGCTCTGCGAAAAAAATGTTCTATGGCCCTCGTCCCACGAAGAGATAAACATCTCAATACCCGGGCTTAAAGCACGAAAAGCGTGGAAAGGAATAGGAAAGGAACGCGATACCCGTCAGTTCGCTACAAAACTGTGGGTCTTGACACCAACTCAAGCCGAAAAGGGACCCGAAGGAACCCTCCAAGTGGAAATCTGCATAGCGGGGAAGGCGTTCCTTTTTTCCCGCTGTGGGAGAATAGTATCATTATTCTCCAACAACAGGAAAAAAGGAACGCCACGACTAAAACTGGCCTAAATGCTGCGCAAATGCTGCGAAACGTCTTCGGCTATTAAAGGTCTCCAGTTCTTTCTTTCTGTCTTGTTCTTACATGTTAAAAGCACGTTCTCTAACGCATTAAGATCACGTTTAGTTCAAAGAGCTCATACCCCTCCTCTGTCTTTGTTCACATTTGACACGGCCTTTTCGCACGGACAAGGGTGGAGGCCTTTTATGAGACTATTCTTACCTTTTGAAGGTTTGCCAGGTCTGCTTGGCTTGCGACAAAGTTCTATGGCCCGAGTCTGGGTTTCAAGTTTAACGTTGTGCAGGTCTGCTTGCTCTGCGGGAAGGTCCTATGGCCCGAATCTGGGTTTCAAGTTTAAGGTTTTCCCAGGTCCCCTTGCTCTGAGAAAGGGTTCTATGGCCCGAATCTGGGTTTCAAGTTTAAGGGTTTCCCAGGTCTGTTTGCTCTGCGAACAGGCTCTATTGCCCGAATCTGGGTTTCAAGTTCAAGGTCTTCCCAGGTCTGCTTGCTCTGCGAAAAGGCTCATCTGGGTTTCAAGTTTAATTAAAGTTTTCCCAGGTCTGCTTGCTTGGCTAAAAGGCTCTATGGCCCGAATCTGGGTTACAAGTTTAAAGTTTTCCCAGGTCTGCTTGCTCTGACAACAGGCTCTATGGCCCGAATCTGGGTTTCAATTTTAAGGTTTTCCCAGGTCTGCTGCTTGCTCTGCGAAAAGGTTCTATGGCCCGAATCAAGGTTTCAAGTTTAGGTTTTCCCAGGTCTGCTTGCTCTGCGAAAAGCCTCTATGGCCAGAATTTGTGTTTCAAGTTTAAGGTTTTCCCAGGTTTGCGTGCTCTGCGAAAAGGCTCTATGGCCCGAATCTGGGTTTCAAGTGTAAGGTTTTCCCAGGTCTGGTTGTTCTGCGAACAGGTTCTATGGCCCGACTCTGGTTTTCAAGTTTAAGGTTTTCCCAGGTCTGCTGCTTGCTCTGCGAAAAGGTTCTATGGCCCGAATATGGGGTTCAAGTGTAAGGCTTTCCCAGGTCTGCTTGTTGTGTGAAAAGGTTCTGTGGCCCGAACCTGGTTTCAAGCTTAAGGTTTTCCAAGGGCTGCTGCTCTGCGAAAAAGCTCTATGGCCCGAATCTGGGTTTCAAGTGTAAGGTTTTCCAAGGTCTGCTTGCGCTGCGAAAAGGTTCTACGGCCCGAATCCGGATTTCAAGTTTAAGGTTTTCCAAGGGCTGCTGCTCTGCGAAAAAGCTCTATGGCCCGAATCTGGGTTTCAAGTGTAAGGTTTTCCAAGGTCTGCTTGCGCTGCGAAAAGGTTCTACGGCCCGAATCCGGATTTCAAGCTTAAGGTTTTCCAAGGGCTGCTGCTCTGCGAAAAAGCTCTATGGCCCGAATCTGGGTTTCAAGTGTAAGGTTTTCCAAGGTCTGCTTGCGCTGCGAAAAGGTTCTACGGCCCGAATCCGGATTTCAAGCTTAAGGTTTTCCAAGGGCTGCTGCTCTGCGAAAAAGCTCTATGGCCCGAATCTGGGTTTCAAGTGTAAGGTTTTCCAAGGTCTGCTTGCGCTGCGAAAAGGTTCTACGGCCCGAATCCGGATTTCAAGCTTAAGGTTTTCCCAGGTCTGCTTGCGCTGCGAAAAAGCTCTATGGCCCGGATCTGGGTTTCAAGTTGAACACGCCTTCTAGAGTTTAAACTTTTCCCAGGTCTTCTTGCTCTGCGAAAAGAATGTTCTATGGCCCTCGTCCCACGAAGAGATAAACATCTCAATACCCGGGCTTAAAGCACGAAAAGCGTGGAAAGGAATAGGAAAGGAACGCGATACCCGTCAGTTCGCTACAAAACTGTGGGTCTTGACACCAACTCAAGCCGAAAAGGGACCCGAAGGAACCCTCCAAGTGGAAATCTGCATAGCGGGGAAGGCGTTCCTTTTTTCCCGCTGTGGGAGAATAGTATCATTATTCTCCAACAACAGGAAAAAAGGAACGCCACGACTAAAACTGGCCTAAATGCTGCGCAAATGCTGCGAAACGTCTTCGGCTATTAGAGGTCTGAAGTTCTTTCTTTCTGTCTTATGTGTCAGTTATAGTTCTGGCACTAAAAGCACGTTCTCTAACGCATTAAGATCACGTTTAGTTCAAAGAGCTCATACCTCTCCGCTGTCTTTTTCTCACTTTTGACACGGCCTTTTCGCACCGAAAAGGGTGGAGGCCGTTCATGAGACGATTCTTACCTCTCAAAGGTATACCTCTTTGAAGTTTCCCAGGTCTGCTTGCTCTGCGAGAAGGTTCTATGGCCCGAATCTGGGTTTCAAGTTTAAGGTCTTCCCAGGTCTGCTTTCTCTGCGATAAATTCCAATCTGGGTTTCAAGTTTAAGCTTTTCCCAGGTCTGCTTGCTCTGCGAAAAGGTTCTATGGCCCGAATCTGGGTTTCAAGCTTCAGGTTTTCCCAGGTCTGCTTGCTTTGCTAAAAGGTTCTATGGCCCGAATCTGGGTTTCAAGTTTAAGGTTTTCCCAGGTCACCTTGCTCTGCGAGAAGGCTCTTTGGCCCGACTGCGAATAATGACCCGCAGGGCTTTTGTACAAGAAACTGCAGGTCAATTAGCTATCCAAATGCTCATTTTGCAATTTCGACATGATGGAATGATGCAGAGGCTTCACATGCAATCGAAAGGAAGCAGAACGAAAGCAATAAATCAGAATGCAATAGGCCGAAAAAAAGAAAAGCAAAAAAACAGAGAAAATAAAAGAGAGAGCAGCAAAAGGCTAAAAGCAAAAGTAAACACTAACAGCAGAACGTAGAAATCAAAACAAAAGGCGAAAAGCAAAAATGATAAAAGCAAAGCGCAAAAGCAAAAGCACATGCAAAATAGTAAAAGCGAAAAGCAAAAAGAAAAAAGCGGAAAGCAAAAGCAAAAGCAACAAGCAAAAGCAGAATCACAAAAACAAGCAAAAATCAAAACACGGAAAGCAAAATCAAGAAGTCAAAAAATGAAAGCAAAAAGCGGAAAGCAAAAAATCAAAAAACAAAAGCGACAAGAAACTCGAAAAGCAAAAAGCGGAAAGCAAAAAGCGGAATGCGAAAAGCAAAAGACAACCAAAAGCAAAAGCAAAAGCAAAAGCAAAAGCAAAAGCAAAAGCAAAAGCAAAAGCAAAAGCAAAAGCAAAAGCAAACAAGACGTGAAAAGCAAAAAGCGGAAAACAATCAAAAACAAGACGAATTGCAAAAAGGCAAAAGCAAAAGCAAAAGCCAAAAACAATGCCAACAAAACAAAAAAAATGACCCCCAAAAATGTTCTCCCTTTTTTTATAAGGGTTACGTTGAATAAGAGGGGGAAGGGATGAAGAAAAGCCCAGAATGTAGCTACGAGTATGAAGGCGTCAAGATTTGCACTGCTCCCTGACGTGGTGGCCATGTTTTGTTCTTGGGCAGAAGCCTGCGTGGAGTTGACCACCGCGTTGCCGTGAAACACGCAGCGTGGGCAGCGGTGCATCAAGTGGAAGTGAAGACAATATCTCCTGGGCATGGGGGTTCTGCGCTAAATTAACATGTGTGGAGTCGGCCCTAAGCTTTTGGCCCTGAAGACTTCGAGGTCAAGCTGTTTAGGGTTTAAGGACATTTCTTCGGGCTTTCGTGCTTTCTGGTTCAAGGTCTCTGGGTCTAGGCTTCAGGAGTATCAGGCTTCGAAATATTAATTGGTACTTATACTGATGAGTATTTTGCTGTTGCAATGCGATTTTTGTTGTCCTAATCTCAACGTGGTAATTATTCTACGGCTTCGGATTCGGAAAACAAAAACAGAAAGTCAACAGCGGTTGCGACATGTTAAAAGGCCTGCTGGATACCCAGCCTCTTTGGGCCTCGGGTTACAGATTGGGTTCTTCTTTGACAAGCAAAAAACAGCCTAGTCCCCTTCAACATCTCCCATGCCCTATAGAGGTTATAGAGGCGGCTGTGTCTCCCGCTCAACAAACGCTGCTTCACCCTTGAAGCCATAAACCCTTGAACAGCTCAAGATGTCAAAACCTTGAACCTTGAACCACCATTTTAACAATCGCAACACAATCCTACCTTCCTGTCTGTGACCCTGCCCCAAACCCAAAGAGCCCTAAATTCGAACGTCAAGCCCTGAAACCCGTTGACGGCCCGGCCGCCCCTGGTGAGGGGGCTGCCCGCAGTTCTCCACGCGGACGTACCGGGCGTCCATGAAACCCCGGCCAGTGATTTTGGTGTGTAGCCCCTTCCAGTCCTCAGCTTCTAGTATTGGGTTTCGTTCGTCTCACTACCATGCATAGATCATGCTGGCGACTGCTGTTCGAAGCTGGGTGGTGGTCTTTTCGATGTAGCACACAGAAAACAAAACTTGCACGAGCACGGGGACTGGCATGACTACTGATGTGACGAACTGTTAGTCGTTGGAGCTCCAAGGTAAAGAACAGAGGTGCTCAAGGGTGCCAGTACTCACGCCATACCTCAGAGTACTCTGCTTGACTGAATACTACATGTCTCCTACTATCGCAGGACTGGCGGCCTTATGAAGTCTTGGGGGTCCGGATTTTGGGGCGCCCCCATTCGTCGTACAAAGTAAACATCATCCCGCAGCTCGGTCATAGAATTTGGTTTTGTCCCGTTTTGGGAGACAGGGTGTGAACAGGGTCTCTCTAATTGCTGACTTTACCAATATTATATCAATTGGTGGGCCTCCTGCTGTACACGCCCCAGAGACCCTAAAACTCATGGGCGCAAGGCGCTTCGACCTGGGATTTCTACAATTCCAAGATAGAATGATATGTAAGCACATCCACCCCAACCGCTTCTTGACGCCACGGTTTCGGAAGAATCCCAGTTCGGCGGCCCCGTGATGACCACAGTTCGCTGCAAGTTCACCACTTCAGCGGCAAGCTCGAAGCTTCTGTTGAAGTCCTCGGGCCCCAAGAAGTTCCCCGGCAAGACAAAGGGGCATCGGGGGTCGGGTGCAGGTCTTAAGCATCCTGTCTTCTCAGACCTTCGCAAGCTTTGCCTATGTTTCCTGACCTGCAAGCCTGTAACGTACACAGACCATAACATAATATGACATGTATAACATACTGTACAAAGTGTACCGCTTGCACGAGATATTCTGCAGTGCAATTTATTCTACTAAGCTACACTAAGCACAAAAGCCTGCACTCAAAGCCCTGTACAACGACACTAAATAACAAAAACAAGACAACACAGCAGCAGACGAACAAAGGACCAAAGGAGCCCCGGCAGAGGCCCGGCCGGAGGAGTGCAGCCGCCGGAAGCCTCCCCAGTACTCCGTGGCCGCGGGGGGCTGGATGGTCACCTGAGGGTCTTTGTTGGCTTTTAACAGGGCTTTCAAGGTGCAAAGGGTTAAGGTGTAGGGTTCAGGGTTGAAGGTTTGAGAAAGGTCTGTTGAAGCCTGTGCCCTCTAGTACATATGTCGTCGAGAGGAAAGGACTGCAGGTTTTACCTCAATGTATGCCCGTATGATTCCCGCATGCACGGATGTACTCTACTTTGCCAATTCTATACTTCCCCAAACTACCGTACTAAGTCCTCAAGCCCAAACTGGCCTAAACTGGGCCTAAGCCCTTCCAACAGGAGCTGAGCACAGATCACCTCTGGATACACACGGAATGGAAGTAGAACACGGAAGCCTCGATCGCAAGACAACTGAACTTTAGACTTGGCTGCAAGTGCAGGGGTTTTAGGGCAGTTTAGGGGTTCAGGGTTCAAGACGCTACCATGTTTTGTTTTTTTTGGAGGGGTTTGGGTTAAGGGACCCCAAACCCTCAACCCCGACGACGGCTCTTGTGTGAACGCCCGGCGGCTGTGTTGCTCCCCTTGGGGCCGATGCCTGTGATGGTGTAGGGTTGCCTGAGAGTTTAGTGTTTAGGGATGAGGACTTGCGGTTGAGGCTTTAGGGTTTGCTGTGATATGGCGCAGGAAGCTGTGAAGGTGGGGATGCTGCAGAATAGCTGTGCGAATAGCGGCCATCTAACACTTTTCCCCACCTCACGCCGTTTCAGGCCCTAACCTATTCCTTTCAGGGCTTAGGCCTAAGCCTACTTCCGAAAAGTTCTTCCGCCCTTTGGGTGGTATGGATGGAAGGCTCGGGCCCAGGAGGGCTCGGCGGAGGGTTTTTTTTTTGCAAAGGTGTGGCTCGGCCCTGTCCTCTTGCAAAGGTGTGGCTCGGTAACCCCCTTCCCCTCCACGTCCCACCCACCCCCCCCCCCACCCCCCCCCCCCCCAACCCACCCCCCCCACCCCCCCCCCCCCCCCCCCCCCCCCCCCCCCCCCCACCCCCCTCCCCACTCCCCCCCACCCCCCACTCTCACCACCCCGACTCCCTCCCCCTTATTTGCAAACTCAATGCTTGCCTCTAGGTTTCAAAAAAACTCATATGCTTTGAAACAAGCTTGCACGGCTTTCAGAAGCGGGGGGTTGGGGGGGGGCGCAGCCCCCCCCCATTTGAAAACTCAATGCTTGCATCATGGGTTTCAAAAAGACTCTTATGCTTTGATGCAAGCTTGCACGGCTTAAAAAAGCGGGGGGGTTGGGGGGGGCGCAGCCCCCCCCATTTGCAAACTCAATGCTTGCATCATGGGTTCCAACACCGGGGGGGCCATTTGCAAACTTAATGCTTGCATCATGGGTTTCAACAAGACTCATATGCTTTGACGCAAGCTTGCACGGCTTAAAAAAGCGGGGGGGTTGGCGGGGGCGCAGCCCCCCCCATTTGCAAACTCAATGCTTGCATCATGGGTTTCAACAAGACTCATATGCTTTGACGCAAGCTTGCACGGCTCAAAAAAAGCGGGGGGGTTGGGGGGGGCGCAGCCCCCCCCATTTGCAAACTCAATGCTTGCATCATGGGTTTCAACAAGAATCATATGCTTTGACGCAAGCTTGCACGGCTCAAAAAAAGCGGGGGGGTTGGGGGGGGCGCAGCCCCCCCCCATTTGCAAACTCAATGCTTGCATCATGGGCTTCAACAAGACTCATATGCTTTGACGCAAGCTTGCACGGCTTAAAAAAGCGGGGGGGGTTGGGGGGGCGCAGCCATTTGCAAACTCAATGCTTGCGCATACTACATATATACACTCCACGTATTTCTACCAGCTACAGCTACATCGCGGTAAAAAGAATCTTTGCGACTGGGGAGAACAGGGAAATCAAAACGAAGTCGGCACCCAAGCCAGGCCAAGCCGAGCCAAGCCACGCCGAGCCAAGCCAAGCCAAGCCAGCCAGGCCAAGCCAAGCCGAGCCGAGCCCACCCGAGCCAAGCCAAGCCAAGGAGCCAAGCCAACGAAAGCCAAGCCGAGCCAAGCCAAGCCAGAGGACAAGCCGAGCCAAGCCAAGCCAAGCCCAGCCGAGCCAAGCCGAGCCAAGCCAACCAAAGCCAAGCCAAGCCAGACAAGCCGAGCCAAGCCAGGTCAGAGGACACGCCCAGCCAAGCCAAGCCAAGCCAAGCCACACCTTTGCAAGGGGACAGGGCCGAGCCACACCTTTGCAAAAAAAAAAACCCGGACCCGGAGGGCTCTTCGTAACCCAAACCTCTGGCCTTTGACTTGCCCCTCTCCTTACAGCCATAAACCCCTAAAGGCAGCAAACCCACCCGTATAGGGTTTCGGGTTTGCGGCCCTGAGTCCTTAACCGTTAACCCTAAACCCGTAACACTGTACTAGCCGTAGACTGATCATGTCGGTCTCGCACCCCAGTCGCCATGTGCCAAATTGATTCCTGTGCCTTGCTATGCTGGTCTGTGCTATTGTCAGCCCTAAACTCGAAACCAAAAGTTGTTAAAGCCTCTGGGCTGATCAGACAGAGTTAGAGGCAGCTCTCAGAGTGGAGGAGCCAGTAGGGGAGCAGAAGTTCAGTACCGGGGCCGCTATACCCCAAAGCCTCTCTCCTCCATCTGGGTTGCGTTTGGCCTCGGCTCGTTGTCGCGATTCCGATCACGTCGCCAATCCGCCAGGAGAGTGTGTGAGGATCCTCCCAAAGTTTAAGGCTTTACGGATTTAGCGGTGAAGGGTCTTGGAGGTTTGAGGGCTTGGGGGTCTGGCAACTTAGAGCTTTGGGGTGTAGCAACTTTGTGAACGCTGAGCTTGAGAATGGTCCCGGCCCGGGGCAAGGTCCACACAAGTGAAAGACCCAGGAAGACAGACGGAATCATTCGGAATCCACGGAGGCAAAATCCTGAGGGGAGATTTCGAAACTCAAGCCCTAGGTAAGGTGCGGGGCTTCGGGGGTAAGGACTTGAGTAGTGCGTCAAGGGTGCCGTCAAAAAGGTTTAGGATTGAAGGGATAGAGCCCAAGCAGGACCGGAACAATTACACTTCGTGCGGAAGTTCCTCGTATTTTGCCGTGGCTTCGCGATGTGCCAAACGTGGAGTGCTCCTGCTTGGGCCTGTCAATTTTGCAATGCTACCCGAAGCCTGAAACAAACCCAGCCATAGATGACTCAAAACCTCATGAACAGATAAATGTATGCAATACAATATGATGCCCTGAAAGCCTTCGCTGTACAACCTATTTCACCTTTTCGGGTGATCGTTTCTGTTGCACAGTGCCTGACCTCACGGAGTTTCAATTCAGACTCGCCCTCGGCGATGTCCCGTGCCAGCAGTGTCCAAGTGCCGAGTGGACGGCCGTGCATCCGAATCCCCGCCTGGGCATTACCACTATGCAGCGAAGACCATGCTGTTGTTTGCTATGTTGTGCTGTAGTTTGCCGCTGGACACTCTACAATATGCACACTATCCTTGTATTGTTCTGTTGGCTTTACTGCTGCTGCTACGCTTGCCACAGCTGTTACTACTACTATTACTACTACTACTACTACTACTACTACTACTACTACTACTACTACCACTACTACTACTACTACTACTACTACTACTACTACTACTACTACTACTACTACTACTACTACGACTACTACTACCACTACCACTACCACTACCACTACCACTACCACTACCACTACCACTACAACAACAACAACAACAACAACTACTACTACTACTACTACTACTACTACTACTACTACTACTACTACTACTACTACTACTACTACCAACAACAACACCACCACCACCACCACCAACAACAACAACAACAACAACAACAACAACAACTACTACTACTACTACTACTACTACTACTACTACTACTACTACTGCTACTGCTACTGCTACTGCTACTGCTACTGCTACTACTACTACTACTACTACTACTACTACTACCACTTCTACTACTACTCCTACTCCTACTCCTACTCCTGCTCCTACTCCTACTCTTACTCCTACTCTTACTCCTACTCCTACTGCTGCTGCTGCTACTACTACTACGACTACTACTACCACTACTACTACTACTACTACTACTACTACTACTACTACTACTTCTACTACTACTCCTACTCCTACTCCTGCTCCTACTTTTACTCCTACTCGTACTCCTACTCCTACTGCTGCTGCTGCTGCTACTACTACTACTACTACTACTACTACTACTACTTCTACTACTACTCCTACTCCTACTCCTGCTCCTACTCCTACTCTTACTCCTACTCTTGCTCCTACTCCTACTGCTGCTGCTGCTACTACTACTACTACTACTACTGCTACTACTTCTTCTACTACTACTACTACTACTACGACGGCGATGACGACTACTACTGCTTCTGCTACTGCTACTACTACTGCTACTCCTACGGCTACTGCTGCTACATCTGCAACGACGACGACGAAACGACGACGACAACGAAACTACGACGACTACTTCTACGCCGGCGGAGGTTTTGACTAAACGACTACTGAGCCGGTTGAATGTAGAGGGGCCCACGATCCTCTCAGTTCAGTGGCACAAAGCACTTCAACAGAATTGGCTCTTGTCTTGCAAGAGACAAAGCACACCACATTATATCGAAGGTACAAGGCAGTGTAGTAAAAGCATCGAGTTGCATAAGCAGGCACCGGAGTAATTCTTACACTATATTCTAGCACAAGCAATTAAACATAGTATGCTTTGGCCAGAGCAGCTCAGAGCCCAACCCCCGGAATCCAAACAAACCCGAAACCCAAACCCTTTGCCCCCAAACCCTCACTACAGACCCCTCCCCCCTTATGCCTCATCCCTAAACCCTAAATCCCCAATCCCGCTAAACTTTCAACTTTCTTGCTCGAGGTTGCACCTGGTCCTTTCCGGCAAGATAGCGGCTTCCGAGCATTGCATGTGGCGCAGCCTGCTGCTTCTTTGGGGGGTTTAGGATGGTTTAGGGTTTAGCGACAGAAGGGGCACAGAAACGTGTACGTCTGCCACCATTTTCCCTCGTAGCAAGACCCCAGTACACTACAGTACCCTACGGCCGACATGAAAGCCGAAAGCTTGGGCTTGACTTCAGCAGCTCCTAAACCCTAAACGCTAGGGATTAGGGTTTAGGGCGCCGAGGCTTCTCTTGGTGGGGGGTTCGCCTCAAAGCCCTAAACCCCAAACCTGCCCTAAATCGCCTGCGCATCCGTGAGGTTGATTGTGGCGAGCTTGCTCATCGGCCGGGCCTCCGTGCCGACCTCTAAGGTACCATTGCCTCGGTTCCCTCGATCTAGAGTAACACTCGTATCTGCGATGCGCCTCCAGGAGAGTATACCGGAACATACTGTCGCACATCTACTACAAAATGTACAGTATACTAAAGCTTGCTGTTGCTGTTTGCTCTTGTGCATGAATTTTCTACACCATACCGCAGTCGAATTAGGGCTTCCAGCTAGACTGGGATGCAGGGTTTGGGGAAGAATCGGTATGGTGTGTCGCAGTACTGGCGTCAGGCTAGTATTGTGGGCTGCAACCTTTCAGTATCGCAAAGAAAGCAATCCTAAACCCCGCACTTAACTAGGGTGTACATGTCGAGATGCCCTCCACGAGCACGCAGCCGGCGGTCAGCTGTAAAGCATCCATGCCTTGGCTGATGTTTCTGAAGTTTAGAAGGGCCTTCGAAACGTGTTTCAAGAACCCCCCAAATTTAGGGTTAACGGTCTCGGCTTGTTGTGGCCACCGACACTTACTACTTTACTAGTTGTGTCGCCCGGTTTGGGTCAACTAAAGTGACTACTTTAACAAAAGGTTCGGGTTTAGGGTTCAGGGCTTGGAACTCAGGATAGTTCAGGGCTTAGGGCTTATGGCTTATGGCAAAGCGTTTCGGGCTTAGGGTATCAAGCACAAACTTGTGGCAACAAATCGTCCTTCTTTCCATCTTTGGCAAAAAAGCACAAACTCTGTACTTCATCTCATCTCTGACAATCAAGCACAAACAAGTGGCAACAAACCGTACAATTTGCCATGTCTCACACAGATACCGACCCACCGAACGCCCTATAAATAAGTAAACAGCACAAGTTTCATAAAGATCGATCTATCTCCGATTCTTAACCCTCAACCCACCGAAGACCAAACAAATAAGTAAACAACCCAACTTTCCCGAAGATCTTCCTTCGATCTTTAAAACTGAGGGCTTAGGGTTTGGAGTGTAGGGTTTCGGCTTGTTTTCGTCACCGATACTGACTGCTTTACTAAATGTGTCGCCCAGTTTGGGGCAACCAAACTAACTACTTTAGTAAATGGTTTGGGATTTAGGGTTTAGGGTTTAGGGCTTAGGGTATCAAGCACAAACTGGTGGCAACAAATCGTACTTCGTTCCATCTTGGAAAACTACAAACACAATCGGGCGGGGACCAATCGTACTCCCTTTCATCTTGGACAATCAATCACAAACTGAAGGCAAAAAATCGTACTTCTTTCCATCATTCAAACCTCGAACAAACATCTGGTGGCAACATGTTGACAATCAAGCACAAACTGGCGGCAACAAATCGTACATTTTCACATCTTTGACCATCAGGCACAAACTGGTGGCAACAAATCGTACCCCACCCCACCTTTGACAATCAAACACAAACTGGTGGCAAGTTCTCTCCATCTTCGAAAGTACGAACATCATCGGGTGGCAACCTATCGTATTCTTTTCATCTTTGAGCATCAAACACAAACTGGCAACAAATCGTACTCCTTCCCATCTTTGACAATCAAGCACAAACTGGTGGCAACAAATCGTGCATCTTGCCATGCCTCGCACAGATACGGACCCACCGGAGGCCTTGCAAATAAGTAAACAATGCAAGTTTCTTCAAGATCGATTTATCTCCGATCCTTCACCCTCGACCCTCCGAAGACCAAACACATAAGCAAGCAACCCAACCTTCCCCAACATCTATTTTCGATTTTGAAAATTTAGGGCTTAGGGTTTAGGGTTTAAAGTGTAGGGTTTCGGCTTGTTTAAATGGATCACTCCCACACTGACTACTTTACTAAATGTGTCGCCCGGTTTGGGTCAACCAAACTGACTACTTTAGCAAATGGTTTAGGGTTTAGGGCTTAGGGTATCAAGCACAAACTGGCGGCAACACGTCGCACTTCTTCCCATCTTTGACAGCTAAGCACAAACTGTGGCAGCACATCGTATTGATGCCAATCTTTCAAAAATCAAGTACAAACTGGTGGCAACAAATCGTGTTTCTTCTCATCTTTGATAATCAGCCACAACCTGGCGGCAACAAATCGTACTTCTCCGGATCTTTGACAATCAAGCACAAATCGGTGGCAACAAATCGTACTTATTTTCATCTTTGACAATAAAGCACAAATTGGTAACAACTCGTATTTCTTTTCATCTTTGGCAGTTAAGCACAAACTAGTGGCAACACATCGTACTTCTTCCCATCTCCGATAGTCAAGCACAAAGTGGTGGCAACAAATCGTACTTCTTCTCACTTTTGACAATGAAGCACAACCTGGTGGCAACAAATCCTTCATCTTTTCATCTTGTAAGAACCGAACCCAAAATGTCGACAAAAATCGTACTTCTTGTCACCTTCGACAATCAAGCACAAACTGGCAACAAATCGTACTCCTTCCCATCCTTGACAATCAAACACAAACTGGTGGCAGCAAATTGTGCATCTTGCCATGCCTCGCACAGATACGGACCCACCGGAGGCCTTGCAAATAAGTAAACAATACAAGTTTCTTCAAGATCGATCTATCTCCGATCCTTAACCCTCGACCCTCCGAAGACCAAACAAATAAGTAAGCAACCCAACTTTCCCCAACATCTATCTTCGATTTAGAAAATTTAGGGCTTAGGGTTTAGGGTTTAGAGTGTAGGGTTTCGGCTTGTTTAAATGGATCACTCCCACACTGACTACTTTACTAAATGTGTCGCCCGGTTTGGGTCAACAAACTGATTACTTTAAAAAATGGTTTAGGGTTTGGGGTATCAAGCTGGTGGCAACAAAGCGTACTGCTTTGATAATCAAGCATGAACTGCCTCAGAACTTAGGCTACAAGGTCCCAGACGCGTCTAGGGCCTGGTTACCTGGTTCTTGCCATGCATTCAGATGATGCGCCTGGATCGAAACCCAACAATGATTGCCACAAGCAGGGTGACACACTCTTACGGCTAATGCAAACTTGAACTATGCGTGATGCACAACTAATCTTACCGCTACTTTGTCTAGTTTCTAGTTGCTAGCACTTTTGATACCTTGCTGTGAAGATGCCTCTGTCCCATTCCAGTTTGCCCCGGATGGTCAAGGAGGCCAGTTCAGGAGGGGACCAGTCCAGGATCCAATGCTCGTCGGCAGGCACAACGCAATCGCTGCCAGCTGTGCAGCGGGTGGGCATGGAGCTCCTCCGGGTAGGTCCGGAGCAACAAATAACACAAAGAGAGCCGGCAACAAACATCCCTTCACCAGTGTATTCACGCTTATATAGGGTACCTAGGAAATCCCAAACTCAAGATTTTGGTGGTAGCAGTGAGACTGAGAGCCAAATAGCGTGCGGGAGCTCCAGCGTGTGGGGCCATTGGCCCGTGCCAATGGGATGAGAAGACCAGCCAATGCGAAGTTGGCGCAGAGTGCAAGGACCATATTGAGGGTTTGGGGCGAAGCCTCTGCTTCCGGAGCGTAGAAGGGCCGCGCCTGCCCATTCTACCAAAGTGGCTGCGGAGAAGACCACGCAAGGCATCTGGCGAAGAGGTAGTTAGGAGGGGTAGGACTCAAGGAAACTGCCTGCGGCTGGGATAATCCTGAAGAGCAAATTTAGAGTTCAGGGTTTATGTTGAAAATACTCCAGCATGTCAGCCGTAGGCAGTTGCAGGCTGCAGTGCAAACTAGTTTGTGCCCACGTGTACAGTAACTAGAGAGCCTGCAGGTACCAATTCTCATCTCTCGAATACGACGTCTATATTTGTCAGGTTGGTCTCAATGTTATCGATGTCTGGATATGCCAGGTCAGGAGGTCTCACCAACGATTTCTAATGGTCATTTTTGACGTCGTCTTCAATCGGACCGGTCCGGTCGAAAATGCTTGAGGGATGAAACTAGCCCCACCAAAACAATTTGCAGGAGGGCAGAGACCTATCAGCCTCGTCAATCTGTACAGATGGAGCCGGACATGGTGCGCCTTGGATGCCTTGGTCATCATCAATGATTCGGTCTGCTGGACAGAATGGGAAAACCGAACCATCCCCGGAGGACACCTGCAAATCGCAGTAGACTGTAGGCTCGCGCCAACATCCCACCCCGATGTACTGCAAGTTTCTGATCGGGTCCGTATCTTCAAAGCTCATCATCACGTTCTCGCCGAAAGGACCCCTGCCACAGCGGACAAGCGCGTTACCGCCTGGCACCACTTCGAACCAGTATCGGTCCCAAATGCCAATGGCAGACAAATCACCCTCCTTTGAAGTCGTGCAACGGACCAGTGGATCTTTTTCCACATGCACGCTATGCTTAGATTGCGTGATGCCCTTGGAGATGTAGCTGACACGATTCTGATCGAAACCAATGGCAAACATATAGGTTGTGGATGTCCACCGTTTGTCCGACAGATCACAGTCATCGCGCTGCGGCTCTGCAGTTGAAGAGAAATACACCCGAATGTCGTGTGAGCACCGAGTGCAAAAGGAAAATCGAAAACTGCTCGGCTCACCGAACCACTTTCTAAAGTCGCTCGGCAAGAAAACTGGGCGGTCCACGCGACCAGACACCTGCACCGACACTGGATGGCGCCGGCAAGGGTCCAGCTGCTTCTGGACTGCCCGGCGCTTCGTCTCGAATAGATCATGTTGCCATGTCATGCACTCCGACGGCGAACTTGTCATGTGCACAAGGTCACACAATCGTCTGCCATCTGGCAAGACATATGAATCCACCTTGTCTTTAATGTCTGTGTGATCTCGATAAAGACCCTTTCGGATTATGATTTTGTCAATGGCACCAAGTGGAACAATTCCGGGAAGATGGCATTCAAATTGAGTGTGGCTGTCCCTTGTCTCGTAAAAATCAACTACAGCTTCCCAGGCCTTGGCTTCCAGCTCTGATTGGCCTCCATTCAGACGCTTGTTTCGGCCAATTGTCCGAACCTCCTCCTTCTTCCAGTCCTTTCCTTGGCCATGAAACTCATTCCCTTTTGAAGCATTGTCCATGCTAGTCGGTTCACGATGGCCGTAACACAAGTAGTGGCACATGGCATCAACCTCTCGAGCCATGAGGACAGGCCATTGGGCTGTTGCTGCTAGATTGAAAGATGACTGGATACAAGCTTCGACCCCTTTGCTGTCAGAGTCCGGCTGGTCGGGTAGGGGCGGGTACTTTACATCCGGATCAGTAGAGATTTCTGCGAGGGATGCGGAGGACCATGGCCTATGACGGAAGACCCAGTAGTGGGGTCCCACATAGCCGGTCGCAGCGAGCGGGCTGATCCAACAGTCAGGATGGTGCAGAATCTGAGACTTGAGAACAATAACAATTGAGCCATACCCAAAGGTTCCATTCACGCCCAAAGTAGAGAAGACATGTCGATGGGTCCCCAGTGCCCTGTCCTTGTGGTAGCCAACCCCTTCGAGGTTTTGCTTGGAAGCCGTGATCATATCATGCGCTACCTTGTTGACAACCTCGTCAATCCTGGCATGATGCTCCATTGGAAGCGTGCTCTTCAGCTTGCTTGCAAGCTCTCGAGATTCACGCGCAGCCTTCTCAGCAGCCCGTACAGCATCGGGGTCTTTCTGTATGTCGCTCAATTTGACTTCCGATTTCTTCTTGCCATCATTCCATTCGACCTTGACTTTGCCATGCTCGTCTGGGCTCGTACACACAATGCCTGACCGTCCCTTCAGATGCACATGGCTGCCCTTGCGGATGGAGCCATCCACCACCTCATTTTCATAAATCTCAATACATTTCTGTTCACTGTACTGATACAATATGCGACGATCCGCATGAAGTTCACGACAGAGTTCTTGCAAAAGCGCATGTCGATTGACATGCTGCTTAGCCCAAAGTGTAGTTGATTTGGTGGACAAGAAGGCCTCCAATTCGGTTCTGGACATCAACCCCCCGCTGCGCAACATGCCAAGGAATACGCCTGGGCTGCACCTGTGCACCGGCTGCAGGATGCTGAAATACGAGGCCAGTGTGTCAATATGTTCCTCATAGTTGCTGCATTCCGGATACCATGGGACCCGTTGTCTGTTTAACCCCTGCCGAATACGTTGTGTGTTTTCGCTGAAGTTCCATTCCATGTTAGACTTGCCGCCTTCAAAATGTCCGAAGCTCAAGTCGCACAACAAGCCTTTGAAGTGGCATGCGGAAACTTCGGACTGGATCACCTCTTTTGAAGGAAGCGACAGAATGTGTGCTGTCAATTTCTCCACATCCCTGACAACGATGGACCCAACCCTGGCAGCAGCGGCCCGCGCTGCCGCGTCACGCGTTAACACTAGCAGGGGGATGCTTCTCAACCACGGTCTGCGCGACGGTGTCCGCAAAAAGCGTGCGAGCTCTATGGCAGCTGTTCTTTCGGCCACAACGCAAACGATAGAACCATCCACAATCTCTTCGAAGGCAGACATTGCTTTTGCAGCATCTTCATACTGCAAGATGCCCCGATGCTCACCAACTGCACGGATGACTGGGCGAAGGTGGCCTTTCAGTGCTTTCGAGCTGTCGCAGAAAGCGACGGCACCAGCAGGGTGGTCGGCCATTGCTTTCACAAAACTGGGCGGCTAGTCTTTGATGGACCCTCATGTGGTTCTGGCTTGGAGGTGCGCTGCAAGTACATAGGGACATATTGCACGTAACGGATGTACCACTTGAGGCACTTTGAAACGCTCCTAGAACATAGCAGCGCTTGTTGCAGAACTTGCCCGGCGTGATCCTTTCAGCAAAGGCAGCGTGCAGTGCTTCTCTGAACACGAACTTCCTGTCTAACGAGGTGTGTTCCGGCAATGACTGCCAAGTCGATACTTCCAATGATGATTTTTGAATGCACGCAACACACCCCACGTCAATGCGAGTAGAATTGCAACGGCGGTGATGGGCCAAAGTACCGTAGAGTTCACCGTGTCCCAGCCCTTCGTACCCTCCCTGGTGTTTCAATTCCGCACCTGCAAACCTGCAGGCAGTCATTAGAGAGGCCCTGGCGGTGTAGTTGCGTGCGTTGGAGCGACTGGGCGCGCTTGGTACTCCAATCTGCGAATGCTTTAGAGGTTCTAGGATCAGTATAAGGCACGATAAAGCTTGTGCTATCGTCTATGTGCAGCACACTACAAGCCCAAAGTATCCCCATGCAGAGAGCCCCTGAAGCGCACAAATGCAGAGTAGCCCCTCGGAGTACTGGACGCTCTTGCTGGGGACCTTTCTCTCCTGGATGCCCTTCGACCCTCCAGTCTTCAGTCTTCGAGCAGCCTTCTTGGCCCCCCGAATGGGAAGTTGCCAACTTCTGATGGCCTGATGGTTCTGCTACGTTGCTAAATTTAAGACAACTTCTCACCAGGTACGGTACAGACCTGCAGCTTCGGAGCCCAAGCGGGCTCGGGACCCAGGGCCGGGGATCACTCCCTTCAACCGCTGGCGCCCGGAGAAAGCTTGAGATTCCGACTCGTTGGCTCGTTGTGCAATTCTGCTCGCACTTGAGCCTCTGAATTTCTTGCCAAGATGAAAACACGAGTAGGTTGGAGGCTTAGTAGGTTAGAGGTGCACGAAGTGTCGAGGTTTTTGGTATATGAGGGTGTAGAGTGTGCATACTGTCTTGATATACAGAAGGAAAAGGCTTTTTGGGACACCAATCGGCTGCATCTTAAGTACTATCTTCTGTCGTCCAACGTCTGTTCGGAAGAACTAGTAGTAACCATGAACTTCTGGGAGTATGTAAACTGCTGAGAAGCAAGAAGACCCACATGAAGAGGCTTCGCCTCTTCATGTGGGCGCATCACATACTCAAACCGAGGGGCTTCGCCCCTCAGATTTTGGCTTTTTGCCAGCCAGCTAAACGAGCAACTCTTTGCTTGGTTGGTCGTGGGAGGGTGTCATGAGTGTGAATTGAAGGAGGACAGGCTTCGTGAAATCTGGAAATCGTGATGCTTTGAAGCGCTAGCCTTTGCTGACAAACAGTTCGCCGTACCTCCTCACTTGGCAAACATGGCATGCCACACGCTGGCAAGGAGGGTGGCGGCACCTGGTATTCAGGTTCTGGGGCTCGAAGGGTCAAAAACCACGGTAGAGGAGGCAGAGCTGCAGGACCATAGCATGACGACGACTGCCAGTACCGTTCTCCTACTTGTCCCGTTACTATCGCTTTCGATCGCACATAGATACACACACACACACACACACATATATATATATATGCTCACACCCCCTCCCCCCCCATGACCTACCGGGAGGCCGTATCGGAGTAAGAAACCCCTATTTCTTAGTAGCTGAGTGAGTACACTTTACACTTTTTGGTCTACTATAATCCCCTATAGAACTGAAAGTGTACACTTTTGGGGGGCCTATGAACTCAGCAACTAGGATTTTTGTGCTAGTACAGACGTAGCCTCATGGTTTGGTCATGGACTATTTTAATTAATTTAGATAATTTGCTTAGTTGTAGTTTAATGAATTTCGTGAGTTTAACTTAGTAGATCGAATGTTGTTAATTCATTTAGTTGGTTTTGAATTGGCTTAATTCAATCAGAGTACGAGTTTTCAAAAGTCCTGCTCTAGCAATGATCCACTCAGCAATTGCTGGAGCGATTGCTCCAACAGAAGTGACCTGAACAATTTGCTCGAGATTGTGGATTACGATGAAATTTCTGGGAGTCCAATTTGTTTCAACATGGTTCTTACTAAAGTTAGAAGGTTCGTAGGATTCGTATGAGTTTAATCAGAAACCTTTTAATTGAATGAAAACCCTACGACAATTGATACGAACCCTATTGAAATTAATAAGACTCTTATTGAAATTAATAGAAATCTTTCTTATTAAAATGACTTGGAATCATATTTAAGTCATAGGTACTATCTATCAAACGTCATAGGAATACTATTAAAACGTGAACACATGACAGGACCCTCATGAAGAATAGTAGGAAGAAGGGGGGATGTCCATCCATATACATATAATATATATATATATATATATATAAAGATAAAAAACACATACAGTACATATGTATATGCATATTATGTGATATTCAACAAACTTCTGCAAAAAACGCTGCCATGTCCTGACGTGCGCGACCTGGTTCCACAACTCTCGCTGTGGCACGGTGCACAGCATTGTGGCACAGCTTGCCGCAGTCGCAGCTCTCCTGCCCCTTCCTTCAGAGAAAACTCCAGCCCTCTCACCTCCGGGGTTTGGAAGGGTAAAAATCATTCGCAGTCGTGCGTCTGGTTCGCGTGTATTATCGTGTATTCCTGCCAGTTGGCCCCACACCTGCCGTGGTGGCGTGTTGACCGGGGCCCGCCACAATCCTGCAGGCCTCTACGATTGCTGCAGCTTCGGGCGCCTGGAAGCCTCTTACAGGAGTGCAAGGCGTGCGCCCCAAGCTCTGTAAACTCTCAACCCCAAGTCATCCTGAGAGGTTGACGCTATGCCCTGCAACGTCGTCTATACACCCCGTGCACTCCGAAACCCTGAAGACAGCGCCGAGCGCCTGCTCCACATACAGCCGCACTGCTAGCCGGGAGGGTGCTGGGATCCGTCGTGGTGGTCGTGGTAGTGGTCGCGGTAGTGGTCGTCGTCGGCCTTGAAATCAATTATTTATGCGGTCACTCACTTCGCAGTGCAAAAGCATGTGTAAGGATTAGTGCTGACCATGGCCTGTCGAGGGTTCAGAAGGCGAGGTCTTGGCTATCCCTTGTGGAGAAAGTCAGTCAGATCGTGCACTGACACGATATCCTCCATGCTAACTCGCCATAATATCACCGTCTTTCAAAACTTGTTCAAGAAATCGGAAATACTCGGGGCGGCTGACCGAGTCTTCTTCGCTACGTGCAAGAAACGAATCTTTTGCATCTCAAACTACAAACTATCCACAGATACAACTTCAGTTCGCAACGAAGAGCAGCTCGGTAGTAACAATCAGACAAGCCGTGGTGGCGGCAGGGGCGGCGGCGGCAGGGTTCGTAATGCTTGTAACATTGTAGTGCTCATGGTTCTTGCGGTGCTTGCGGTGGTAAAATAGTGGCTTGGCGCTAACGCATGTCAAAATGCCAGCCCAGGCACGCGGTAGGGATACCTCAGTTGTTAGCCATTCCGAAAAGGGTGCTAGTTTGATGTAGGTGCTACACAAGGCTCTTACAGTTTGGATTGCGTTCGTCGCACCTAGAATGCTATCGCAACAGTGTTTCAGGTGGTTTGCTAAGTTTGGGGATCTGGTGACACGAGCGCCGGGGCTTGGGCAATAGTGTCAACAATCTGGTTGGGTACCATAGACGGGAATGTGACCATAATATATACTCTAGTAGCCAACCATATTTCAATCAGGCATTGGGGTCGGGTTCTGACTATGGCTCAATGCAAGGACTACAGAAACTAAGGCTACTTGGCGAATCTTGGCTACCTGCTTCAGATTTTCCTCCGGTGCTGCTTTGGGTCCCTCTAGGCTGCTGCAAGGCCGGGCCAGCCCCAAACCCAAAGGTTATTCTCGGGTGTGGTCTCTCCGGGTCGGAGGCCCGTGGACAGCCCGTAGGGTTTGTAGGGGAGCGTATGGGGGCCTGCCGGGAAGCATTAAAGTAATTTCATTCAAATGCCTGTTTCAGGATCGAAATTTTGACCATGCAACCTGACAGCCTCCGTGGTGACCATTCTTTTCAATCTGGAAGGTGCTCCTCGCACCCCATGCGGGCCTTTATAGTCACTGAGGCTGTTGCAACACCCTCCCCCCTACACCCGTCGAACCGTTGCCTAAGGCCTGCAAACCGCATATCCCGATGTTAAAAACCACTAAAGACACTTGAAACACGATAATCCCGAAGCACCTGAATCCCACACCCTCAGTCTTAAAGGAAAAACCCATTGTGTCGTGCCAGCGTTTGCAGAGGGTCTCGGTTTAATGCAGAGCTTCGAGGGTTCGGGTTGTTTTGCTGGGTTGGTTCACGTTTATGAGCAGTCCGAAGTTTTAAAGAATCAAGCCGCCGTTTCCAACCGAGACCGTCTCCAATAGAAATTCTCGACTCGGGGGGATCGCACAGTATGAGAACCATCCTCTGAATTCACCCACTTTGAACACTACTGCGAATATTGCTACTATCACCAATTCCATTACTCTTAACTCTTGCAAGCTGGGTCATGGTCCAGGCTCCAAGCTCATTGCTCTTCTGTTAGAGCTATGAACCCCTGCAGCCCTAAGCACAGAGACGCAAAGAGAAAGACGTAGCCAACTCCGGCGCCAAACAAACAAACCTAAGCAGGAAATGGGCCGCTCGGACTGTACGGGCTGCCTTCGGTCAGGTGCCGGGACTGCCATGCTCCGGGCGACCACTCAGCAAGCAATCCATTAAACAAATCTCTCTTTCATCTTGATGTAGCGAGAAATCTCCGCCATAGTGTTGGGCACATTGGGGTCTCGTCCGATATACTTCAAGTCCGACGACTTGAAAGTAGGCTTGCTTTCATACTCTTTGTTTTTAAACGCGGCGTGCTGTTCGGCATTCAGTTTGTTGAAGGGCATGTCGCCTGTCAAGTGGGTGCGGTGGAAGATGACCTCCGGGCTATCCTCATTTTCGGCCATGTAGCCGAAGAACTTGAGCACTTCTTGAGTCCCAGGGATCGAGTGTAGGAATTCTTTCTGAACAACCTTGACCTTATCTCCCTCCTTCGAAGCTCTCTTGTAGATTCTGATCTTCTTTCGCCCTTCGAGAAGCTTGTTGATGTTGTGCTCGATCACCGTGCCTTCCAAGCTATCGACCTCGAGAATAAACTTGAAGGCTTCGGTCAAGACCTTCTCAAGGTTGTCGCACATGTCTTCGTACCTGAAGAAGTAGATCTGGCACTTGCGCTCACGAGCAGCTTTGATCCACTCGAGATGGAAGTCGACGAAGGGCTTCAGGTTCTCCCGGGTCATTTTGACCAAGTCGTTTTCTTTGATGGTTTCGGTGTCGATGACAAGGTTGTGCGACCAAGAGCTGAGGAGGTGCATTTGGGACTGGATAGCCTGGATGGGGTTCCTGACAACCAGGACCACTTTCTTTATGTCGATCGGGAATTTGCAGTCGTCAAATGGAATATGCGTCTTCATCAACCACTGGCCCTCGTCATGGCTCTGAGTGGCCACCTGTCCGCTGATCATGAGACCCACTGTCAGGGTCAACGCGTCAAGGCCCATGTCTGAACCAGGCGCAATAGAGGTGAGCTCTTCAAAGCTGGCAGCGAACCAAGTGTTGCCACAGCGAGGGTAGCTAGCGAAGTAAACGATGTTCTCGAGCACCTCGGCCTTATCGTCGCCAAGCAGGCGAGTGGTGCCATCAAAGAACTTGTCAGCCGCCTCGATATCTTTGGAAAGCAAGAGCTTCTTCAGGTCAGCTAGGGGTACCCGGGGCTCGTTGTGCACAAGACCAGTCCTCTCGTTGTTGACGATCATCTTGCGCCCGTAGTTGTGGTTCAGGGCGTTGCTAAAGAGTTGGTAATTGTCATCAAGCTGTGTGGCGCTGAACCAGTTGAAGTCGCACGTGTGGTAGATTCTCTCAGTCATCGCTAGCCTAGTCAAAGCCATGGAGAACTTGAAGGGGCTCTTCAGGTCTTTGGCCAGGCCAGTGTCTTGGAACAAAGAGACGGGGAGGAAGCTCTTGTCTTCGTTCTTCTGAAGGAACTTGAAGAGCACGTCTTCGACTTCTTCCCTCGAGTAGTCTTTCCACTGCGGAGCCTGTTCGACCATACTTGTGGCAGTACTCTGGAGAGAAGACATGGCCCCATAAGCTTTGATTCCTGAAAATCTGCGAAACCCCCTTCACACAAGGAAGCACCTCCAAGCACACAAGCTGATGGTCTGAGCTGTTGGGGACCGCAGAAGAAATTTGCCCATTATGACATATTGCAGGGCCTAGGGTTTACATGGATTTGAGGGACTTGGAAATGCTTCTTAATCAAGGGTTGGGCGGTTCGACAATTCGCGGCACGGGAGCAGCAGGGCCCCAGGGGCCTGGGGAGGTTCATGTCCTGTTCTTCTTGTTTGCCAGACTGTGTGCGGGACTGTCCTTATACACCTTGATCACCCCCCCTAAATGTCTAAAACTCTAAGACCCTAAGTCTCCACCTTACAACCCCAAAAGCTTGAAACCCTGGTCCCAAACGCATGTATCAAGCTTCAGACTAAGCCACCTCTGACTGCTTTGGCTTGGAGGGGTCGGAGGTCGTGTGCTGACTGCGAAGGTATATGGGGTGGAATTGAACACGCTCCTTGTTTTGATAGCTGTTTGGGGTTTAGGGCAGTTCAGGGTGCAGGAAGACAAGCCCAGTGGCCAGCGGTTTGGCACGCGGACTTGATCGTCGAGATAGCTTGGCCGGCAGTCCTTCGAGCTCAAGATAGCTCAAGGCCCCTCGAGGCCCTAATGTGGGGGACGCGCCATGTCGGGGTTTATGGTTGGGCCTTCGAGTTTGGGATCGCGACTCTGGTGTAGCTTAGGACTTTGGCTGTTTGAAGGTTTAGGACATCTCTCAACCTACAGAGCAGAAAAGGCTTGGTACAGGAGATGCTATTTGAAAGTAATGCTGGAGGTTTGTAGGGAGTTCCAAGGAAATTGCGATCCGAATATGGTCGGGCATTGCTAGGAATGCCACAACCAAAATATGATCTGCGTCAGATCCATGACGACATGGCTGAGGTCGGCACTGTAGCTCCCCGAAGGCTGCGGCGAAGGCAACACCTCATCATCAAATCATGACGTCGGAAGCTTGAACCCTCCTAAGTCCTGGAATCGGAGCTCTAATACGCTCTATAATCGTCTCATCTTCAATACAAGCCTTGAGACAGGTACGCTTTCTACTTGCTGAATATAACCCCTTCCAGCAGCCGTGAGGTAGTCTCGACAGTTCCGACGCACCGGCAGCGAACTCGAAACGGCCAAACTTCTCCAAGAGTGGCTCTTTGGTAGATAGAAGGTATAGCGTGCGCTATGGTCATGTAAAAACAACGACAAATTAAACAATGTGTAATAAAGACCACGAGGAGTGAGGCATTTTGAGCTCGCAATGGCCAGTCTGGAAACATGGCCGTACGGGCCGCAGATTCTGCCCAAAGAAGTCGAGTCCAAATCCCCACGCCCTACATTTGGGGAAGATTTAGAGGGGCCCCCCCAAGACAGCACCCCCTTCTGAAGATTGCCATTTGAAAAATGAACACACTGTCAATATCAGTCAGATCTGGTCAGCATGGTGACAGTACTGGCTTGCAACACCAATGATCGTTCTCGAAAAACAGTGACTTGGAAAGCCCTCGCTGCTCCCAACGACCCCCCGAAAAACCTTGCCTCAATTCGGCGACTTCACAGATACCCTCATGCATCAAAAGGTGTAAATGCAAGTGAAGCGCACTGTGCGTTGGTCACCAAGCACTCGCTGGCGTCAACCATTGGGCATGCAAGGTTCAGCGCGTCCGTGGGTACCTGAGCTTCTGCAGTTTCCCGAGAGCTAAACAAATCTTTTCAGAACTGGGTAGATGCCTTGGCATGTCTCAACAAGCAGCTAGATCCTCTAGCGAAATTGGAATCGCACCCTGCTCAACTCGGTTCCACTGAGGATTTCCTTTTGGGGCTCTGCCTGGGACTTCTCGACGTCAAGCGTAAAGATGAAAATCTTTATTTGGACTGCGTGGCTTATGATTGCTCGAGGCTCAGCAGCGAGTTAGAGGGACCCAATGCTTGATGGTGTTGCAGGCTTGAGTGATGGGACTGCATTCTTGAGGCTCCCTGTTTTGGCCAATCACAAGCAAGGGCGAAACACACCCAAAAGAAGATACATCTTCCCAGAACAGCCAGGCCACCGACGTCAAATTCTGCAACGTGGGGGCAACGGATGCCATGCTTGCCAAGAGCGAATCCATGCCCGGGCAGGCATCACAAAAACAGGGGATGAACTGGGCCAGGGTGTCAATGCTCACATTCATGGTGTTGCTGCCGGTGGTGGCATTTTCTGGCACACACTGCGTTGCCATGCAAGTCATCACGCTTGTGTGCTTGCACATGGCTTGAGCAAGCGCTCCTACCAGGCCACTGACTTCACCCCCTGCAGCCAGAGCTAAAAGACCCTCCAAGCCCGTGTCTTGGGGCAAGAAGGAGCTCACGTCCATGAGCATGTTTAAGCTCCCTGGGCACGAGGTCATGCACGTTGCATCCATCAGGCCATCCAGCGCTTGGAGGTTCCGTGCCCGTACATCACCACGCACACTTGCGAACAGCAAGAAGGCGATAAGCGTCTGCTGCCCAGCCATCGCAGAACACGTGGGCCGAGAGGGAACTAAACAGGACAGGTTTACCTTGAACAGCCACGAAGGCGGCAAGGGTGATACTTCTGATATACACTATCTATGTATATGGTCTCGGGCTGCCGTGCCCTACCCCCCCACCCGCCTCCACTTTTTCATGGAACCCCCCCAACATGGTATCCGCCCCCACCCCCCCCTGCCCCCAAACCCCAAACCTCTCCCCCAAACCTTAAAATAGCCTTAAACCTCACACCCTTAGCCTAAACCATAAACCTTCAACCCCAAACGCCAACCCAACCACCCATTCACAGCACAAGCAGGGGGGCTAATTAAACCTGAAACACCAAACCTTAAACCTTAAACCCTCAACCCGAAAACCCCCCAACCACACCCACACCACAGGGGCTGGGGCGCAGGGGTAGCACGAGCGGCCGGTCTCGTAAACCTTCAACCCCGTGCCTAACCCCAGCCCCCCAATCACACAACGGGCCTAAACCTTAGACCCTAAACCCCGAACCCTAACCCCAAAACTCTCAACCTTAAACCCTAATTAAACCCTGACCCCCCAACCACACCCACACCACAGGGGAGCGGTGGGGGCGGGGGTAGGCCCTAAACCTTACCCCAAACCCTAACAACCCCCCAACCACACCCACACCACGGGGGGGCGGGGGGGGGGGGGGCCGGGTGGAGTGGGGGTAGGGATCCGGATGTCCACCTTGTTGGGGCCCTCCCACTACCTGTTCCCAAACCCCTGCTCCCCACAAACCCGACCCACTCCCAACCCCTCTAAAACCCCCTAACCCCCAACCCCCCACCCACCGACCCCAGAGTTTGAGTTTTCATAGCGCAAGATTTTTGGCTCGCCTACCCCCCCTTCCCCACCCACTCCCACTGCCCACTCACTCCTGACCTAAACCCTTACGTGCCCTGCTCCTCTGCGCCTGGAGCCTGCATCGCATAATAAAAGCAGAAATGGAAAAGTAATCTTCGAGTTGCTGCCGTTCATTCAGAACCTTCTGCTGGGTCGAAGATGAAATAGCGAAAACCGAAACGCGAGCTCGCATCACAACGTGGAACACGACGAGCACTCACTTTCGAGCCACATGAACGGCACATGTGGGCGATGGCACCTACACCCCGCAAGCCTTCAAGTAGCCGAGAAAAATGCAGCTAGACTATCATCATTATAAGGCTTTCGGCTTTCTTCGAGGGCTTCGTCGTAGAGCGCGCCGATGACTTGCATCGTCTTGCATCAAACATTTGTCACGCCTATCGCGCCTATCGCAAAAGAGCCAATGACCCAGTTCCAGATACATGAAGAAAACATCAGCTTCCAAAAGTTCATCATGGAGCCTTGGCAAATCTCGCTTGCTTGGAAAGCATTTATCGATCACTCAAAAAACTCAGCAGCCACTTGCAAGAATGCTTGAACTGAGGCATCTCTCTTGTCATCGTTTGCAACGGCTGCGAAAGCCTTAGAGGAACGGCTCTTGAGCGGAGAAAATGTGTGCGAAGACATGTGCCGTCAGATCATTTAGGAAATGAACGGACTCAAAGAACTTTCGACTGTTCAAACTGTTCTTTGACAGCTTTCGTCATCTAGCATGCCGTGAGCCTCAAAGCGACTCCTGCTTTATCAAATCGCGTAAGATATCGCTACGACAACCCGCATCCTTCTTTTGCAAGCGGGGGCACTCAAGCAGAGTCAAGCGGCAGCCACAGGATGTAGAAGTGGCTACAGATACAGGAATGAGAAGGAGGAGCGATTTGCCGCTGACATTGGGCCAGCTGCAAGGTTGCCCCAATTCTGGCAGCTCACATCGAGAGAAATATGCAGATGCCACGTGCTACGCCTCAAGGACCTCAGGGTAAAGGGTGAACATGGCTAAACCTTTGCAGATCCAAGCTCACGAAATGAGGTTCCGGCTGGTGTACGGGCTGGGTGTGCTGAGTCTGGCCTTCATGAGGAATGCCAACTTGATCCGGAGCGCAGCGAGAAATAATCTCATCTGAACGCCGGGCCTCCAAACGCCTCTGTCGCCGCTGGGCTTCCTCCAGTAGAGCCTGAAGAATCATCGAACCGCACATAATCATGTGTCGGAATGCCAAAAGCAATGACCCCAACCTGGATCTGCCGTGCTTCTTTCTTGATTTCCAAAGACTCCGGCTGTTGCCTGGCAAAAAACGGGGCCTTGGGAGCGTCGGATCCTTGCAATTGTGTGGGCCGAACAGGCCCCCCTTGCCTCTTCAAAGGGGGCTTCTTCGCACGCGGGGACGTCTGGGGCAAAGCGGTGCTGGAAGTGGATGTGCCACCTGAGCTTGCAGGGAAAATGCTGACTTTACGAGGCGAAGCAAAACTTGCAAAACACGCAAATCAAACGAAGAGCCGCAAAGCAAACGAGGTGAAGTGGGTGCCCTTGATCAGCTTCTGTCGGCTTATGCTCTGCGCAGTTCAGGCAAACGCCTCTTGTTCTTCTAAGCAAGCGACATGAGCGAATAAACGAAGGAACGGAAGCCCCACGTTTAACTTGCTTTGACAGCAAACACCAAACTTCGCTGAGTGACTTTGAGTGCGAGGTCTCACTTCACTCTTTGTTCCAGCTCTTTCATCCAGATCCAGATTGCGTGCAAATGCCCGGTGATGGGCTGGCATGTTCTCAGTTGAACCTGCTGCTTGTCATTCATCATGTTTGTGTTCTCTGGATTGATAGGAAACACCCTGTGAACAGACTCTACACGAACTGACTTGAAGTGCTTCCCTCATTGGCTACCAACATCAATATATACACACATAATGTGTATATGTATATATACATGTTATATGGTGATATATGTCTTTATTATGCAGAACCCTCTTTTCGATCATCTTCCACCCGATTCCGCCAAAAAGGAAGCGGATGTGAATAACATGCATGAAGGCTCAACTTCAAATCCCGTTCTTATAGGGTCACCATCCAACACTGGGTTGTTCATTGCTCACGCGTTCGCTGTGCTCTTTATCCCATTCCTTTGACCCCTTGTTCACACGCTGCGCTCCTGTCATGTATTTGAATGTCTTTGCAAACCGTCGCATTGTGCCGAGAGCGCGACTTGCAGGGGAGCCGACCTTATGGAAACGCAATCTGTCATGAGTGTCATGAGTCTTGTCCATGAGTTGTGGGCCTTCTTGAACTCTTTCCGTGGAGTTTGCGGGGGGGAGCATCTGGCGGCACGTCCGCAACAATGCGACATGCAAGGCCAGAAGTGCACACGTCAGCACAGCAAGAGCGCACTCCGAGACTGTGAGCACTCTGAGCAGGCACCGCGAGCCTTGAGCTTTCCATGTTTGTTGGCCCGGCTCCGGCAGCCTGGAACCCGACTTCCACACTCTCAGAGCTCCAGATCTGATTCCATAGTCTCCATAGTATACACATATGACCCTCAATAGTCCCTCATCTCCTTGAACTTTCCACTTCCGATTCAAATTGAAGGTAGGGCTCTGGCCTGCGCCTGCTTCAGGGCCGCCTGCCTACGAGCTGCCGTCTCCGGAATCGCTGGGCCCTCGTTCCAAGGCATCACCTCATCTGGGTGTTGGGCGCGGGCCACAGGTGATGTCTCCGCTGTTCCGAGCATGCCGAGCATTCCGAGCCCGAGCCTGATCTTCGCCCACCCAAGCTCCTCTTTGTACCGCGCCTGCGTTAAAGGACTGTGCCCGTCTGCAGCTGATTCTGATGAGCTCTGAATCAACGTCTCGCAGCGCATGGCAGAGGACGTAAGGGCTGCGCTCTTGAGGCCTTCGAAGAAATTCACCCAGTACGGCCTACGCGGAGCTGGTTGAAAAAATGGACACTTGAAGCGAGATGGCACGGGAAGTTGTGTGCCTAGGGTCGTCGGGTTTTGTGAAGTCCAGCCGGAGCACCACACAGGGCCACAAAGTCGAGGCCACCTTTTGGAATTGGAAAGGGGACACTGGAAACCAGTTTTCTTAGGCCAGGAGTCAAGGCGTGTCATGGTTTGTCTCCCAATGCGTCTTCTGCGCCTTGAGCCGCGCCCATGCGAAGTCACCAGGGCGCAGCATCAGAGCACGGTTTTGTGCAAGCTTCTCCGTGCAGTGCGAGCAATACCTGTGCGCGTTTCTGCTTGTTTGTAATGTCGGGGAACGGAACATAAGGGAAACAGAGTGCGGAACAGAGTGGAGCTTCCGGGGTGCCAATTCTCGTTGGTGCTTCCCGTGTTCGTCACTGCAGGCTCGTGGCACACAGTGTGAAAGGCCTCCCATGCGCTCCATGCTTCAGCAACTGGCACTGGTCTCCTGTGGACTCTCTTGCCTTGTCACAGCCGTCGCAGCAGATAAGGCTCCCTTGACCTGTCCAAAGCATGCGAATGCAAGGACATGTGTGACTCTGCTCGAAGACAACATGTGACATATTGTGGACGATTTGGGAAGGGTACAAGACTTTGGGGGATGCGCCGGCTTTCACAGGAGTGCCTGAAGCGCAAACCACGCAGCGCCACGTCGTCGCTTTCTGGGGCCTCGCAAGAAGGCCAAGACAGCAGACCCTTAAACCAGACACTCAGGCATCAGCAGCTCGAATGCTTCAATCTTGGAAGGCGGCCGGCTGGACCTTTCCTTGTACTTCAGCTCCGATCGGCCTGGAGAGTTCAAAGGCTCCACAAGTTGCACAAGAGCCTCCAAACAAAGTCGTGTTTTTTTGTCCCTGCATTTCTTCATGGACCCATCATCCATTGCAGGGTGCATCTTTTTTTGTCCTCCATTTGTGGCGAGTTTGGCAAGACTGGCATCCTGCTCCTCAGCTGGGTTTTACCCTGAAGGCGCGATATGGGCACTGTGAGCACACACAGATGTCATACAACGGAGATCTTGGAGCTATTTGTGTGGTACCGGCCCACATTTGCCGACTTAAGGGGAGTACGGAGTACGGAACATACAGACAGACCATCATTCTATATGAGTAGGGATGCAGTTTCTGAACATTAGTACATCTCATATTCACTCAGGATTCATTTTTGCCCTCTCTGTGCATTCCTCTGAGTGCCATAGTCCATCCCGGGGCCGTTCGGCCTCACCTGGGACGGGGCTCCTTGGATCGGAGAGTGGGAGAGCTTCCTTATAAGAGGACCCGCTAAACATTTAGGCTTTTGCGGACCTTTAGGAACTTGGTCTGCGCAACTTGCCTTTGCTATGCGTTTTTTACTTTTGAGTTCTTCTTTTGGGGGTCGTCCTTCTGAGATCATCGATGAATTTCTGAAGCTAACGAAGCAAAGTACTCAGGCAGGCTATAGCAACTGCAGGCCACAGTCGCCGCGGGAGTCGGAGTCAACGGCGAATGCGATTTCGATTCCGGATGCACTTGCGCCTGGGTCATCCATGTGAAGTAGGCAGTAGACTGGCGCATGGGGCAGAGGCGTGTAGAAAGATTTTGCTGGGAAGATTGCGTTGTCTCTGTCTGCCACGCCATCGCTTTGCGATGCCTCGGAGGAGTACCAACCCGATACGTGAGCTGAAGCAGCTGAACCTTATGCAAAACGACCTCAAACACCAACTCCGGTATCTGGCAACTCTGGGGCAACTGCTCCGGATTCTCGGAAGGCAGTCGACGGCTGAAGTAAGAGTAGTGGGTCTCCTCACGAGGCAGTGGCCCAAAGTGCGGAAGCCTTCCCCCTTTGCCCTTCGTTTTTGTGGCCTGAAGAGAGCGAGGCGAGTCCTCGGTGAGACGCGGATGGGGTCGCTTCAACGCGCAGTACCGTGCAGAAGCAGGGTGCAGCAATGACTAGCAGCTCTTGGAGGGGTCGACACCCACATTGCTTCAGAGAAGGAATTCCCGAACCGGTGGAATGTACACCCAGAGAACTCAGGCTGTGGCTCGCTGGAAAATGGAGGGGAAGTCATTGATGCTAATGGGCCGCGGCTGCTTCGCCTCACAAAGAGAGAGAAGGAGAGAAAGAGAGATAGAGAGAGGGGGAGAGAGAGACAGATAGACGGAACAGAAATGGAGAGAACGCCAGGTTTAAAGTGACCGAAGAGAGTGAGAATGCAAACGTCAAAAGGCCAAAGGCCTTCAGCAGCTCTCTTGGAGTCACTGGTCGGTGCAGCCACCTCGAGGAAAGGAACCCATGGAACCCCCATATGCCACGCTCCCTCTGACTCCCTCTCTCAGCGTCTCATCACCTCGCTGCGATTGGCAGCGAGAAACGCATCTGAGTCGCCTCTGCCGCGCTGCCGCAGCTGCGGCGGCGGCTGCGAGCTCCTCTGGGCATCTCTTTCCATGCTCTTTCCCCATGTGCTTTTCCGGTAAATCTCCGGCTGCCACCCTGGCCTCCTCGTCGTCGCACACGTCGCTGTCACCTAAAAAGCAAAAGCAGCTGCAGCATTTTACGGCGGCCGTTCAACTGAGCTTGCTGCTTCGTGTGGCTGTGGCTTCCAGAAGGCTCGTCTCGGGTTCGGCCTCTTGTGCTGGCTTCGCTCTTCGACGATGCCCCATGACACACAGACACAGAAGCTGACACAGACACAAACAAAGACTCAGCACAAACTCGTTCACATGAGCACACTGATATCGCCTCCGAGCTGTCAGTGACATCGCTCGCTTCCACCTGCAACAGAAAGTGTCAGAACTGAGATGTGCAAAAGCGAATGCGACCTGATGGTCCCCTGTCATGTCTGAGTGGCAGAGAGGATTCAGAACTCAGCCTGGGCCATGAGGCTGTTTACAGCGGGCCCATCCTCAGCGACGCAGCGATTTTTTTATGAAGGGCCATGGCGTTCCAGAAAGTGCTGTGCATTTGCTTTAGGCATTGTGAGGCTGCGTCCATGCCAAAGAAGGACGCGACTTTTCGCAGCTCCTCACACAGGAGGCTTTGGGTACAAGATGTTGAAGATGCCTTCTCAGACACGCAAAAATCAACAAAGATGAACTGCATGAATTTGAACGAATTATTGCAAGTTGAACTGTCGTGACTGTCGTGGACCTGTGGCCCATCCTGACCTGGGACTTGGGGGCGCCTTGGCATCCCGTTCAGCACTGCTGTCCTCCAGCCTCAGTCGCGCGAAATCTTCTGAGAGGGGGACTGTGGCCGCTGTTCACAGAACGTCGTAGAGCCACATACAAGAAGCTTCGCAGAGGTCTGGCTTGCATTTTGCGATGCCTTGCTGGCCCTGCCCCTGCCAACAGCCTCTCGTGCAACCCTAAACTCTGCTAGAAGTGCCTGTGCCTTTCATCGGCTTCCATTTCAGGTAGCCTCCCTGTGAGAGTCTCTACGCGGGCTTTTGGAGATTCGGCATAGACTGGGTGATTCGCAGCAGGCCCTGCTCGATTTCACACCGTCATACCATCACGCCCTGCGAATGCCTGGCCGAGTGGCGGGATGCCTCGGGACTCAAACTCCTTGGAGAAGTCCACCTCGTTTCGGGTCAATTCAGCTTACAACTTGACGGTTTTCCAATGTATGGTCCACATGGTCCACACCTTGAGCAGCTTTGCTGCACCGTTCTTGCGCTTGGGAGATGACATGGCTGCGAACTCGGAAACTGCTATGAGAGGATATGTTTGGCTTGGCTTAAGGAGTTTGGGAATGAGGCAACTTGAGGGTCATGCTGTAAAGATGCTTAAGCTACTGCCGGGAAAGAACCTGGAGCAACTCGCGTATTTAAAGCATGGCGAAGCACATCGAAGAAGGTTGTTTTGCTGTGGTCTTGAAGTCTCCATGTTCAGGCATTGTTCTTCTAATGTCTGCTTTGCAGGGCCTTTCATCTTCAGAGGGGTGGCTGAGTGCTTCCATGTGTTCCATGACGGGTTCATTACCTGGCCGGATCCATAGAGTCTGCCCCTCTTGAAAGGATACTTTCTGCGGTATGTGCAGGTGCGTCGTCGTGACCGGCCCTGCGGCCCTATAGTCCCTAGTGGACTTCTCCATTTTGACTTGGTACAACTCACTGACGCACCTCGCTTTGCTCGTTGGGTTTCCATCGCACGTGGAGCTCGCCTGGAATTTCCAGTGACAGTCGTTGCAGTCAGCGTCGGTTGTGAGCCCTTCAACCCTGGGGTCCTTTTGTTTCTCGCCCGGGTCGAGGCCGCTGAAACAGCGTCCACGCCGGCAGCCTGCAACAAGTGCAACAAAATACGCTCTGCGAAGCTTGAGAATACACACCCCGCATCCCTCAATGTTGCACGCCCTTCAAAGCACGAGTTCGTCTGGGGATGCGTGTCTCTAAACCCATGCTGCCGAGACATGGCCTTAAAATGCCTTAAGCTCATCTCGAAACGAACGCTTTTTCGCACCACCAAAGAAGAAGAATGCTTTTAAAATGAAGCTTCGTCGAGGTGCGATGGCCAGTTGGATGGGGTCCGATCTCCTTGCAACGCGCAACAAGTTTTAGCCACCTTAACACTCAGCCCAACGAAGAGTCTATGAGTTCCAGGGATTCCTTAGGGGCGCGGCGGGGCTTTGGCCCGAACCCTGCGTCGCCTTGCCGGGGATTCCTTTTCCTCTCAGGAGGGGCATTTCCAGCGGCATTTTTCAGCGACATGTGCTGCAAATTCGGATTCTCCTGAGCTGGCTCTGGCTCCAGTCCCGCCGGCTCGTGTGCGGCTGCGAAGAGCCGGGCCTCTGAAGTCACATGAGGTGTCATCTGCAGTCCTCTCTCTAGATTCTCTAGTCATTACCAGTGCCTTTTCCAAACTCTGTGACTTCGATGGGATCCGGACCAGACTAGCCGCCGCTGTCTCCTGGGCGCTGGATCGAACCTTGTCGTCCTTCTGCAGGCCACTCGTGGACTTGTCCACGGTCGTGTCGGCACATGCAGCCTTGGGCCCGAGGTCAAAACATCCTTGAGGGCCCCAAACTCAAACTGCTTTGAGATCGGAGCCGGCCCGTCGACTGTGGGTCCATCGACCGTGGGTCCATCGACAATGGGTCCATCGATCGTGGGTCCATCGGCCGTCGGTCCGTCGACCGTCGGTCCATCGACCATCGGTCCATCGGCCGTGGGTCCATCGTTCGTCGGTCCATCGTCCGCCGGTCGATCTTCGAGTAGAGCCCTTGGCTTCTGTACAAGCGGCAAGCACTGACGTCATGTCCCGCACAGGCTTGGAGCGTCTCGGTGCCGTGCCCCCATTGGCCTGCTGGATCTGAAGCCAGTACTCTCCGAGGATCCTGCGAGAAAGCACGGCTGTCCTGAGACTCCTCGACGGAGAAGCTGCTCCCAACACCTACACCAAATTCTACCAACAGCGCCCGTCCTCCGGCACCCAACTGGCACAAAGGGACTTCAGACTCACTGCTGAGATGTTTCGTGACAAGCTGACACATGGTGTGCATGCAGGCAAGTGCAAAGATGTGTTCAGAGCAGTCCCAGAGCACCGACACATCGGCAAGCCTTTTGAATGCATTTACCTGTAGACATTGTCATTCGTAGATGTGTCATTAGAAATGTCGAAGTGCACTCCCGAAACTCGATAAGCAGGACATGCTGCGTTCTGCTCAATGCGGCCCAAATGCGTACAAAATCGTACAAATGATGTGGGTACTCGAATTTTCGTTCACGCAATACGATGCCACGAGCCCGTGCTCATCACGCTCGCCGAAGAAAACCCCCTGACTTGAAGACGGTCTCCTTTCACCAACAGCCCTGACGCTTGCAAACCTTGCTTGTGGCTTCCATGATAGCTTGGGAAGCTGTTCGGGCTCCGGTTTCACATTACAGTCACTGGTGTGAAGGAGCGCATCTGCACAGACCTGCACCATGTAGATGTGAGCTTGTCTTGGAGCCTACAGGGCCTCACAACTCCAGGCACGCTGGCTGATGCACATGCAATTCTGGCTGAAAGTTTCATCTTTGAGCCTTTGCGTTCCAATCGGAAAAGCTCATGATTGCTTGTCTGGGTTTTGTTTCTTGCTTGAACTTCCTGTAAAACTGGGCCAGGTCCGTTCAAAGTGCCAATGTAACAAAAGGTTGCAGTGCCGCCAGTGCCGCATCTGATCTGTGCATTTGGAATGCAGGGTGGACATCTGCAACGCGGCACACGTGCTTTCGCCGTGCTTGGATTCCGTGTGGCAGCAAGGACGTCACTTGTACTTGGACAAAGAGCTCAAGATGAAGAAGCTGAAACTCGGCCGGTGCGACTCGAGCTTGATCCCGCCTTCCAACAAGTCCCAATCATCCTGAGCAGATGGGCTTCGGGCTAAACTGCGAAAGCCTCGGAAACGCTGGGCGGACCTCCAGCTCCCAGCCACCCTCTTCGTCAGAGTCATCACGACTGGGCTTCAACTCCTGTCCAGTGAGGATTTGCCGGAGTTGCATCCGATTCTCAAACCTTCTCGATATCGAAACGCCTGATTCTGCCGCCAGCACACGAAGGCTGACAACTCCATCAGGGAGACCTGCAAGGACGAGCCCTCATTTGCTTCGTGTGCTTCGTAAGACACAGAAACATCCAGAATCAAAGAGCCCTGCAGAGCTCACAGTATCTCACAGCGCCTCTGCATAGCTTCGTTGCTCCGCGTCCCCAAGCTGATGGAAGACTGCATACGGCCCCCTCTCCTTCGGACAACTTGTGTATACGTGGTGTGCGAAGACGGAAGGACTCCCTGAGGACACTCTGAGCCCCCTATTCTCACTCTATTCTCGGTAGATTTTTTGTTTCGTTGCGCTCGGGTCATTTTGTCGTGACCGCTCTGCCTTCGCCGTGCAGCTTGACTGCAGCGGCCAAGGCCACATCTGAACTGGTGTACATCACCTACTCAAGCAAGAGCCGGGTTGACACTACCTGTCTTCAGAAACCGCAACTGTAGCTGAAAAAGTCTTGGCCAAACGTGTCAGGTCGGCTGGAACTTGAATTATGAGATGGAAAGGATGAGATTTTAACAGCAATGCAAAGCAGCTGCAGTGGCTTCGTTGAGCCCAACTGCAGGCTAGATTTGCTGCTGATCTTGTACATGTGCATCAGGCAACAGCTCCGACGGAACTCTCACTTCACGCCTCCTCGCGAGCAAGCACAGCAAGCGTAGTTCAGGTCATGCTCTCACCACATCTCACCACAATTTCCGGACCCCGGCCCTACCACATCCTACCACCCTCGGTCTTGATTCCCCGTAGCTGTTGGCGGCGATGACGCCGCCGGCTATTGATTTCCACCAGGGTCAAAGTGCCCTGGCCATGGTGGCCAGCCACCTCCAAGGGCACGGGCTGGCAGTTGTAGGGATTTAAAGAACTGTCAGTGTGTCGTGTTTCAGTCAGAATGAAAGAAGGTCTTAGGTGTAGCAACATTTTCATTGTAGGGGCAAACAATCATCAGACAGCTTCAACACAAAGCACACAGCACACAAATACAAACGTGCAGACCCCGAGACATACAGACACGCAGAGACACACAGAGAAACACACACACACACACACACACAGACAAACACACAAACACGCAAACACACAAACAAACAAACAAACAAACAAACAAACAAACAAACAAACAAACAAACAAACAAACAAACAAACAAACAAACAAACAAACAAACACACACACCCACACACACACACACACACACACACACACACACACACACACACACACTGTGGGCCGTGTCGCCACTACCAGTCCAGGCTTTCTTCTTATAATGCGACAAGATACAGCCCTCAATGAAGCAGATCGAGGGGAAAACTGGCAGGCTACATGGACTGCCAGGATTGCTAATACAACTAGACCTTCTAGTATGCACCGCAACGTGAGAACCCGAGTATTACTCATTGGCCCAGAGCCCCAAGTTCAGTTTGTCAACAGGACTGTCAAGCCTTCATCACCAAGTCTGTCAAGGTGTACTCACCTTCAAATGTTTCCATCTGCGCCACGTTCTTGACAGCATTCATGATGTCCTTGGTCCGGTCGCATTCCTTCACTATTCTTGTGGAACATCGGCAACTTGGCAAAAAGAGGGCCCTGAGCACGCCACGACATGGTCCAGCTGTCCTGTGCCGGTCCTGGTGCGTTTTCCGGTTTTCTCCCGTTGTCATTTCAGCTCAGTGCGCATGCCGACTTCACGCCCGCTGTGCTCAGCAATGCACCTGTCCAAAGCCTGGCATTGCAAATCACAAAACGACTAAGTCTGCATAAAATGGGTGATGTGCATACGCGCGGCACAGAACAGAGATGGCAACTGCGCGAGGACCTTGATCTCTTCCGGGTCGATACGGCCGTTGTGATCTTTGTCAAGAAAGGCCTTCATCTTTCAAAGACGCATTCGTTCTTCTCGGTTATTTTGCTGTGTGTGGAGTGCACAGGGCTGATTGCGTAAGAGTGGCCCATATCCTCACCCAGACTTTCTCGGCCCAATAGTGCAGCAGCAGCGAGTGCCTCACAAGGCGCAGAGTAAACGCCTTTTGTTTCAAAATCAGCTCAATATCACACGTCGATCTGCACCATGCGAATTCGTGTGCAGGCTGTGTCCAGGCTAAGGGGCACAGGAATGCCGGACTCCGGGTGTGGCTTGGTGTGGGGGCGTTCAGCCCAGTAGGCCGCGATGCCAGGGATGAGCTGGATGCCGAAGCGCCTTCGAAGCTGAGGCGCTTGAAGCGCGCGACGGTCTCACTACGTCACTACTATGGTCACTTACGAGTCACTTTAGGACAACAGTAGAGTCTAGGATAGCACAATGCCGGCAGCACTCACAGCACTCGACATTTATACTCTTTCAACAATAGAGACACGAAGCGAATCCTCCAAGAAACGATGCTAACGAGTTCTCCGCTAAAGCTGTACACGATGTCAGACGCTTGGATTGGACAGGTACTGTAGGAGCTTTTGTGTGATAAGTTTTTCAGGTGCCTTTGGTGTGACGAACTTGGCAGCTGGGCTCAAATGTCGGCATAGTTGTCCAGGTTCGTATCCGTTACCGTTTGGTGTCAAGTCAATACCATTCTTTGCCTTGGCCAGGTCGCTGCCAGGTCGCTAATCGCCTCTCGTTGGCCGTCGGTTGTTGGCTGTCTTGTCAGCGGTTCCGGCGCTTTGCTTGCAGTTTCTCCCTTGAGTTTTGTTGGCCGCGGTCCTCCTGTGCTGGGGATGCATGCTGGTTAGTCTGTCGTTGGAGCTTTTGTGTGATGGGGTGTCCTGCCCGTTAGGGGGCCGCCGGCACCTGAACAAAGTTAGCAAGATAGCACCACAGTCGTAGTACACTGCAATATAGAATGCAATATAGAATGCAATAGAGAATGCAATAGAGAAAAGGGCAATATGATGGGAATCTATGGAGGTGGCTGGGAGAAGCCGCAGTTGCCTGGTGGTGCCGACGCGGTACATCGCAGCCGGGTCCAGGGCTTTGCCTTCACAGGATTTGTAAGGATTTGGGGGATTTTTGGGAATTGGCATTTTGTGTTTGCTCTCTACAACTGTTTTAGTCTCTGTAGCCTTTTTTTGGGGTTGTTGGTGCCTGATTTCGCCTCAGCCTCCAACCAAGAACAAGCAGACCAGGATCTCGTCTCCTTCCCCTTCCCTAACCCTCTTCTCGGGAAGTTTCTGGTCCACCGAGAGTCCACCACCCCCCAGCCCTGTGGGACCTGACTAATTGGCTAGGGGTCTGCAAGCCAAAAAACCAAAACCTGCTGTCCTGGATGGTTCTTGGGACACCGCAAGCCTCCCTTACGAGCCTTACGAGCTCACTTACACTGCTGGTTTCCTCGACGCGCGATCGCTTTCAATAGCTGAACCCTGCCCATGCGGGCTGGAAAGTCCGAGGCGCTTGGACAGTCGCAATGTGCAGCTTGGGCAGGCCGCACCCGCAAGCGTTTGAAATTATATCTTAAGCTTGAAAGTCCCATTCGTCGCTTTGACCGGTTGATCACAATGCAGGAAGAATCCGCCGAGGCCTTGGGCCGTAGGTGTATGGGTAGAACAAAGCAGGCACCCCACCTCTAATCCCCTCCCCACAGCCCAGAAACCAGGTTATCAGCTCTTTATTTTGCACTTTTTGGCCGACAAGTGTCCGGGGAGCAGACGGTGCATCAGGACCAGGGGGCACTTCAGCCTGCCATAGGGGCCGCCACCCGACCCGCCACCTCCCTGCCGCTGCCTGCTCTGCCCCACCTTCCCCCCACCACTGAAACCATTGGCCTCCGGGGCCTTTCCCACCCCTCCCCCACCCCACCTGCCCCCAGCCCCCTGGTTTGGGTTGCCTTGCTACAGCAGCTCAGGCCGAGGCAGGTCGCGTAGCGTCAAAGTTACACAAGTTGGCATACAATCTTCGGGCTCCGTTGCCTGCTACCCACCTGACCTCGCCGTCAGAGTCCACCTGAGGGTCAACAGGGTGTCTATTTAGACTTCGGTGCGATTTTCACCGGCAAGACATGCAACCCAACATGAAGTCTCTCAGAACCCACACGAAAACGTACGCATGATTGCAGAAGATAAACGCAAAGGCGGGAGGTATAGCTGGGCCGATTGATGGCTTCCGGAAAATTGTGACTCTGCATATAAGTACTAGGAGAAATAACAATGTATGAACACGAAACCAGAATGCTGTACCTAACGAAGGTACAGGTCACATAGGTCTAACACTGGCCTCACACGCTTTCATTTGGGCCTCCAGCCTCCAGCTGGTCATCGTGCTGCATCCAGGCCCCGCTGATGCTTCGCCAGGTATCCCGGAGGCCGAACTGCAGCAGCTCGCCCGGAACCAGGGCCACCACAATCTCCACCGACTCGTCCATCTCTGACATCAAGTCCTAGGCGCTAGGACATGCTAGGACGAGCGATGGCTAGCGGCTAGCGGCTTGGAAGCTTCAGAGAGGTCAACCACAGGCACACTTGTTTGGCATGCGTCCTCCAGAGACATGTGCTCGGTCTCTTTGTAGTTGCGTTCCCCGCGGAAGTTGCCGCCGTTGATGAGGACGCAATCGCAGTGCGGGCTTCCCTGCACCGCTAACCGACAGCTTTTAACTTGAGATCATCAGGGCAATCTACCAGTAGAACCCAGGAGTCGTGTGTGGGTCGTGGTTTAGCCGACCTATGTCGACCTGAGATTGCGCTGGCAGCAGACGACTGTCCAAGTCTCTCGGCCTCCACGCAGTCGAGGTTCAGGGCATTCCGAATCCTCTGATGCATTGCCAATCCCTTCTGCAAAGAGTCAAGATACCAACATGAGCGCCAGACTCGCTGCAGAGGAAGCGAGCGCACGTCCTTGGCAGGCGCAGGCAACATCCTAAGCCTCTGGAGTCTGAGAGTCAGCAAACACTCCAAGGTGACTCCGAGCCACAGTCTTGGCCGAAGATATTTGTATGCACTGTCGACGCGTCTTCTGTATGCGCATGTGCGCATGCACTATCACGCACTATCACGCACTCTTCTTACTGACTTTCTCCTTCTTCTGCGCACATTTGAGAGCCCCTCCCGGCCACGACGGCCTCATGTGGCCTCTTCCCACTTCTCTCTCTTGGTCCGAGGAGGTTGCGTACAGCATCCGCGCGAGTTGACGGAGCTCAGAGGGCGATAGGATGGTGGCACCTATCTGAGCTCTCTGAGAAGACTGATACGAAATCCTCTGGAAAAAGCACTCCTCAACTTGGTTCATTGCCTTGACGATTTGCGTGTACCGGAGGTGATCCAACCTCGGAGAAGGCTCACATGAAGAGGCCAACGCTTGAAAAGTGATCCAAAGAAAGCTGCTGGGGCCGCTGCGTGGAGTAGACATCCTGGACCGAGGCGGCCTCGAGAACACTCCGCCGACAAGTGGGGCCAGGAGGCAGGGGGGTTTCTCATTATCGGACCTGTTGAGCTTCTCATGTGTTCTTCTTTCTCTTCAGGTTTCCTGGGTCCTCTGAGGCCCCGACCAAGGTAGCATCGGGCCTCCAGAAATGGAGAACATGCTCGACAGTTCCCTCCCGGGTCGTTGTCTCGTAGGGCGGTTGGATGCGGTTGGGATATATGCACTGAAAGCGAGACATAGCCTGTTTTCTTTCGACCGTGCGAAATATTTTCCTACAATGACAAGCGAGGAGAAAAAGCAGCCTCGAGTTCCCCCCCTACAGCTCAAAAGCACTCTCAAAAGAAAAGGCAACTTCTCTACTTGGACCTGTGTGTCTGTTTTTAGCTCACACTTTTATCCATCTGAATTTCCCGTCTTCTCTCCGAGACTCGACTCGGTGTTCTCTCTGCCGAGCCGGCCAAGGTCTTCTTTGAATATGGGATAACTACCATAACAATGTCCAGTTCCCGCCCACCACCTCCCAACATGATAACGAAATCCGGCATAATGAGCGTAAGACCGCATGACCGTATGGTTTTCGAAGGTTGCTCTGATGGCCTCCAGTTGCGGACCTTGAGCAGCTCCACGTGGAGGCGCAGCGGCGCCGCCGGCTCGTCCCAGACCAGATCCAGCTGCACGCAGCGGTGCCCGTCCGAGCCAGGCTTCAGGAGCCTCGAACCGCACAGGGGGCCGCTTGTTTTCAGGAAAGAAAGCCAAAAACAGAGAGGGACGGGGAAGTTCATACATTCCTGCGACACACGCCTTGTAACTTATAAGCCGCTATAGCTTGTTCACCGAACTTGGCTTCGTTTGGCTTCGCTGCGGCTGTGGTCAGCCGAGGTGCCTCGTGCCGTTGAGGGTGCGATCCACCACATGATGGTCGTGGCCAGAGAGGATGACCGGAAAGTCGAAGTTGCGGCAGGTGATCTCGTCCTGGCACTCGTAGAGGTGGCAGAGCGGAAGGACCAGGTCACAGTTGTGCTCTTTCTCCAGCTTCTCCTTGTAGAAGGCCAGCCTGAATCTCAAATCGCAGCACCGCGCGAAGTGTGTAAGCATGTGCTTTACATGTGCTTTAGGAGTTCGAGTTGAGTGGCGTCTTCCAAGGGTCCTCGATGGTTGCCCCGCCGAAGGCGCCCGGTTTGTACAAGGTGGCCTCGTCGCTGAGAGCACTGTCGGAGTCGTGGTGACTCGTTCACCGAATAATGATTACATAGTCCTATCTGTGCCATTCCTAGCCAAACCTCGACTACAGGTAGCTGCCATCTTCTGCATGAGAGATTCTTTCCACGGCAGTATCATCCCAATTGAGCCCTTTCCTACAACGCAGACACTCCCCGTAGCCATGCTTCCGTCCTCGTCGCTGAGCACACCCACCATTCCGATCCGGCGTGTGTGGCCACGGCTTCGGACCTCGATCACCTCCACATCCTGCTGGCAGTCACACTTCTCGAAAGACCTGAGAGGCGTTAAGCAGAGGAGGCAAGGCTATATTTCTCGAATCTCGAGGCTTCTAGTATCTTCTAGTGATTCTAGTGTGCTATCCAGAGGCTCGTGAGACTGCATGTTGCTGTTGATCCAAACCTCGCAGGCTGTCAGAGGCGCGCTAAGCCCACCAGGGCGTTCAACGGTCGCAGAGGAAACAGACGTGTGGAGGGGTGGGGGTGGGAAGTATGGGATGTAGATGCAGTTAAGGCGCCCCTTGGTACTCTTCCACACGGCACATGACGTCCTCGTGGGAGAGATCGGCCTCATGGTTTCCCCAGGTGACGTACCTGGAGAACGAGGAAACTCCCAAAAACTTTGCCACGACTACACTGACTCCAGGGTCCGGAAGCTGTGAGTTCAGAGCAGAGGTCACTGGATGGGAGTTTCGTTCAACATCCGCACCATCCCAGCGCCACGGTCAATGCTCGACAGCAGGTATGGTGCTAGGAAGTCCTTGGCATCTCGGCAGCGAACTGCACATTGTTGGACTATGGTTGGCAACTACGGTTTTATGTCAAGCGTCCCCGGTCAGCACAGTGATGCAGCGCGACCCCCCTGCGCCGACGTGAGAGACTGCACACATGCGGAGGCCAAAAGCGCCCGACTGCCAGTTCCACCTCCGTACTGTGCCTTGAGCTCCGCTTCCTTGCGCTGGTCACAGGCGAGCACAAGCGAGCACAAAACCATACGACAGACGTTCCCCGGCCTTCTCGGCAATGAGCGTCTTCATGCTGGGAAAGTTCTCCAGCATGTAGACATCCTTGAAGGAGTCTTGAAGGCATAAGGGGCAAAAGAAGCCACATGCCAGACTCAAGGGTCCGATCCTGGTAGCATCTACTCAAAAACAACGACGAACCTCGCACATCCTCGCACATCCTCGCAAAACCCCGCACCCTCAGCCCGCTCAAGCGTCAGTGATCTGCAGGACGCGCAGGGCACAGGGCTCGCAGGGCTCTGCTGACTGTCGTGGACCTGGCTTTGCTTCTTTGGCACCTCATGGACAGGGGTGGGTGGAGGCATGTGGATGGTGACGTCATGTGGCGTCACAAAACTGACACAACAAGCCTCTGTCGGCGAAGACGACATCCAGGAATCTCTCACCATCCAGCGGTTCGGATGGCTCCAGGCCTTTACAGGCGACAGCCAGCAGGGTCGTCACCTCCTCATGGTCTCCGCCAAGCTCACGCAGCACCTCAAAGGGGAGAGAGGTTTGGGAGATGAAGGCGCTGAAGGCTGAGCTATGCTTGGCTCGGGCTTGGGACGCGGTCGCGCTGAAGGAGGCTCCATGCTGCTCCCTCTGCTCCGTGATGCTCAGTGCATCTCCGTGCCTGCGCCCAGTCCTTTTCTCGGAAGCCACTGGTGTCGATGGCCTGTAAGACCTCGAAGGCTGAGGGTTGGAGGTTGAAGGGGCGAAGGGGCCGCACATGACCGCACACAGTCTAAAGGTCTGTATCGTAACATCTCGTAAATAAGAAATCCGGGGCTTAGGGAAACAAAGGAGGCCTGTCTGTGTCTGTTTGTGTGAACCTTGCTAAAGCTATCCCTGCTCAGGAAGTGACCTCCTTCACCTTCGCCCTGGCGTCCTGCATCCACCTTACCTCGTCTCTCCGACTCGAGGCTGCATGGCGGGAGGCTCAAGGCTTTCCGCGGGTGATCTAGGGCTTTGATGGGCTCTAGGCCGAGTTCCAATCTTAAAAGAGTTAAGTTGGGGTTGTTGAGTGCTGACGTATGGTTTGGCTGCACAGCCTTAAGGCCGCGGTGAGTCACTGACAGGTGAAGACCCGGCATTGTTTCTCAAGTCTTCCTGAATGGTCAGTAGAGGCCCAGCTCTACACGTCCTGAATCTCCTCGGCGACCAACCTTAAAGATTCGGCTTCCGCCTCAGCTCCTCTGCAAAACGGGAAATGAGAGGAAGAAGGTGCAAGAAAAGTGAGGATAAATTCTTAAAGTTGCACTCTCACGACAAGGTCGCATGCTCGTTCTTCTTTTTGCGGGTCTCGGGCGTTCAGCGGATTCAGCGTGGCGCCGGGCAGACGCGACTGCAAGACGCGTGAGATTCAACTTGTGTGCTCCCTCAGTGGCGCTGCAGAGCCTGCCCAAGCCGCCTCAGTCAAGGGAGGAGCAGCGTGGTCTGTGAAGGACAGCAAAGTGTGGAAGTGGGGAAGTTGGACCGGCAGGGGAACATCCTTCTTCATGCAAGGGGTTCTCAACTTGCCAATCGTTTCTCAAGGCTTGTCACTCAAACCTCTCGAGCAGACAACAACTGCAATGCGCTCCGCAGACGAATCCTGAGCCTGTAGCCAAGGGCCTAGTACGCCCTTAAGAGGCGCTAATTCGCAGAGAAACAGCAACTCAGATGAACGCGAGGGCGGGTCCCCGTGGCCCACGGCCTCCCCTCCGGAGACACATGTTCGTGGCTGGACACCACATTTTCTGAAGTGACTCCACTGGCTCTCTCAGAGCCTAGCTTTCGTGTGGGACAAACGGTGAAATTCAACACGCGCAGGCGAAGGCATGGCCTGAAATGCTGAGCTCAGCTGCTGGCCACAGGTGGTGTGGAGGGGCCATGTCATGCAGCCTGCACCCAGCAAAGATCTGTCGTCGCACGGTGTAGCATATTACCACAGTTTACTACAGTACTTAGCATATTGTAGCTACACCGTGGCTCTGCAGCAAGCCTCGAAGACCTTGATTTCGTACACGTCCGCTGTCTCTGGCTCTGCACCACCCTTCGATACCGAAACAAAATTTCAATTAGACGGCATTGCCACACGCATTTTTCCTGAGAGCCGGGCCTCGGGCACGTCCTCCACGTCCTCGTCCGAAGCCACCTCAGTCTCGACTGGAGGAGCCGCTCCAAGACCTCCAGCACTGACCACTAGTATCACTAGAGTCATTTCCGAGGAGGGGGGAAACAAGGGTGGGAAACAAAAATGCTGCTCATGAAAGCTCCTAGGGTTGGCGCCACGCAGCTCGCGGATAGCGGCCCCCGTGGAACGCAGGAGGTCTGCAAGACGTACCGGTACCCATGTGAACGACCAGAGAAAGGTGATGTGCATGAGTTAGCAAGCTTGCAACGTTTTGGGCCTCGGGCTTTTGAGAGGAAACCCCGAATGCTGTAACAAAAACATCTTGCGCCTTCTGGGCTCAGGTGCGCAGGTGGCAGCGATCTCGGAACCTAAGGTTACATTGGCTGCAAGTCGCATCTGCATCCGACCCTCATCAGCTTCCAGATTCCAGAGAGAGTTACTTCATGTTCGGAGTGCAGCTTCTCGACATTTTTGCTGCTCCGAGCAAGTCGACTGCTGAGTGGCAATCGCCACATGCATCCTGCGTGGAAGCTACCAAGGCCGCTGTTGCTGTGTGGCGGTATATGCTCGGACTTTTGTGAAAACCGAGGTGAGTGGAACTCTCTTCCTTTACAGGAGATGGAGCTCGCTCACTCGAGCCATTTCGCTGGCATCTCAAGGAAGATGTAGCCCAAACCGCAAACGATGGCAATGCCTGCACAGTGATGGGCTGTGCCCTGTCACAGGTTTGGGAGGAAGTGCCCCAAACATGTGGGATATGCGGGGGCGCTGGGGATGGGCCCTGCCCCCTTTCTAGGTCCATGCCTTTGTCCGATGAGTCTCTGGCTCTTGGGTTTGCAGGGCTGGCGACAACTTCTGCATCAATGCCTTCATCGTCTTCTTATCAAAGTACGGTACAAGAATCCCTCGAAGCTCCTCTGATTCGGTGCAGGGGTTCTATCCCGTTCCTCCGGTTCAGACCTGTTTTCCTGCACTGCAGCAAGGCAGTCCAATTCTTCAATTTCTTCCCCAGTGGTCCATGTCGACTGCACCCACTACGGAGGCTCCTAGCAAACGAGGCAGGCATTGGGCAAGCTTGATCAAAACTACTGAAACTATTCCATCGAGCCCGTGGAGTGGAGACACATCACACATCTCCCCAGCTCGGCTTCGGCTGTGCCTGCGATGTCCATGAGGACCTGCGCATCTAGAGGATATCTGGCAAATATCTCTGGGGATCTTTCTCTGGGATCCTTCTCTGCACTCTTTGGCCTGTACGCCCACAGCGCCGTGAGCCGGGTCCACGTTGAAGAACCTTAGAGTGAAGCAATTGTTGGGTCTTCTGTGCTCTGGTTGTACTGTCGTCTTCTCGTCAAGTTCTCTTCGGGTGGCTTTCGACTTGGGGGCGTGCCACAGCAGCTTCGGCAGCGCAGTGCCCACCACTGTGGCACCTCCGTTGCTTTGCGCACTCTTTTCACGCGTCCACATCCCGCATCACAACTGGTTTCAACTCGGCTGGAGACAGACCGTGATGACGGCCGCTGCAGCTCCTGTCCGGGTCTAACGTGCTGGGCTGTGCCAACCCTTTCCACGCTCAAACAGCATCAGTCTGCCCTTCTCCGGGCTCTCCCCCCCATCTCCCCCCTCCCCCGGCCTACAGTTAAGCTTTCCGACAGGGGCGTCTGCTGCATGTAGGCGCGCACGAAGGCCAGGGGCGCCATGACCAGCACCTAAGTCTCAGAGCCGAGTCCCTGGCAGGGAGCCCAAAAAGGAACTGGACAGTGTCACAATTAGCAGGGCACCAAGAGCAAACCAACGTGGAGCTGCTCTGACACCTGCAAGGAAGTCTCTCAACTGCTGGATTCTGTTCTCTCTCGCGCGTGGGGTATGTACGAGCATGACCCAAATCCCTGCACCAATCTTGAAACTTCAAGCTTCAACTCCCACCCCCAATGCACTTGCCGGGCCTGAACGGCCTTTCCCAAAGCCAGACGTCGGACCTCGATGCTGCATATGCTGCACGCGTTGTCAAAGCTGTCAACATGCCAAACGTCGGCTGATGCCGGTCGAGCCATTGCCAACACCGGCCAAGGCCCCAGGCGGTCAGGACCACGCTCTGGCCGCCCGCATTGCCTCGATCTCTGAGCCATTGGTCACTTCTCACTTGTTCTGAGAAGCGACTCTTGCAGCTTCCAATGCCCATTCAAGCACAGTGCAACGGCTCCGGCCTCCAAGGCCAACCAGCATGGTGAGGAAGAAGGTCAAGGACATGTGTCTTTGCATGAGGCCTTTGAATGAATCCAGGATCAGGGACGAAACGCTCTGCACAAGCCTCAGGCAAGCGGAAAAACCACAGTTTCAAACCTCCACTGCTACATGTTACAAGTTGTAAGTTGATATAGGTATTCCTAATTCCGACCAAGAGCCTAAAAGGCTTGCTAGATTTCCGCTTGAGGACAGCATGGCCACGAGCCAGGTGCAGCGTGGGCCGAAGAGATGTAGAGATTCGAGTGACTCACGCGGCAGCGGAGCTTCCACCTCTTTGTCACTGACCTTAGACCGTCTCTGAAAGATGTCTTTCATTTTCGAAAGGTCGAAAGCCAGGCGCATGCTGATCAGATGAGGTGAGGTGAACCACAGACCCTGCACCAACCAGGCAAACCCATGCAAACCCTGGGAGGGGAGATGACAAAGAAAATGGAGAAGAACAGGGGAAGCCTACGAGGAAGAATTAAAGTCTGAGGCCAAAGCAGGTTCTCTTCGGTCCAGACGGTCCGTGAGGAAGCCCAAGGCCATGACCGTGAAGAGAACCCCCACCTCAGAAGATTCTTCGCCCCCAAAACTCAACCCTACTGGGCCCTTTTGGGGAAGCATTAGCTGCAAGCTGAAGAATGCAGATGGCCTTCTCATGTTCTTCTCGGGCCCGGGCTGTGAGGCCCGCCAGGAAGCTGGGGAAGTTGAAGGACCAAGATTCCCAACCATGAGACTGTGACGTCTGTGGGCTGTGGGCAACAGCAGGAGCTGCTTCACTGGCACCGGCCGCGCCGAGAGAGAAGGTCAGCTCGCTGGGAATGCGTTGCTCCATCCGGTGGTCCAGGCTGCATGCAAGAGTCAGCACCGAGGCCACCAAGACTGTAAGAATGCCATGGCCGTTGAACATCAGCAGGGCCAATCAGCTTCATTCAGCGGGTTTGAAGCATGGTGCAAGCGCTGGAGCCAATTGCAGGGAAAGCTCCGAGTCAACTTGACGGTACAAAACTCAAGGAAGAGCACAGCGGAGCTGAAGCCCGACCCCAGACAACCCCCCAAAAACCGCAGCACTTGGCCACCCCGGCATTGGAGGGCTCAGTTCTCCTCGTGTGACCTGACGGGCAATGAGAAGCTGTGTCAAAAACTCTCGTGATCTCTCGTGAGCTGTGCGGCTCATGAGCCGCTGCAGGCTGCGAGATGCTGCGAGTAGAATTGCCAAGGTCGCTGGACATAGTTCAAAACGGTATGATGTTCTTCGTATTTTGAAGAGCATGCAGCCCAGCAGCTGCCGTCCACCAGCTCTCCCTCCTGGAGTCGCTGGAAAGCAGCTCCATGCAGGTTCAATTTACTTTGCAGGAACCCTCGCGAGACGAACACCGTAACTAAGCGCAACCAGTACTGAAAGTTTGCTTTCGCTGCGAACTTGCGCGCCGAGGCCTGATCCACGGAGTCCAGGGAGTCTACCGAGTCACCTCTCAGTGCACAAAGGATTTTGGACTTAGCGGCGCATGCTGAGGCTTGCGGAAGCATGTCCCAGCTCTCAGCCACGCGCTCCGTAAGTCAGACGGCGCAGACTTTTCCTGCACCATCGATTGTTTGCATGGTCGTACGAGTACCCACGGCGTGTGCAAGATTCTGAGCTTGAGCTGCTCTTCCCGGGTTCCCCGCACATCCCCGCACGACATCGCACGAAACCCGCTGGACTGAAATCTGGAGAGCACACTGTTGGAGGCGAATCCCAGTCCTGCCGTGATGGTGCAGATTGCGACCTGCACACAGGCTGATGCCAGCAGATGGCATTTAGAGTGCCTGGAAAGTGGCTGAGCACTCACCAGCCATCGAAGCCTCCGCGTGGGATGCCGAACGCTCTTCTCGCCTGACAAAACCAGCGGCAAGACGAGGAAAAATAAACTTCTTTTCTGTGATTCCCCCCTGCCAAGCTTGCTCATTGGTCGCACCTCTGAGAGTGTCTGGCGAAGCCTGAAACAGGCGATATTGCCAGGTCTTGTCATATTAGCTGTCCTTTTGGACTCTGCGTTCGAGGCCGCTGCCGTTTGCGTGTCTCCGGGCTCAGAGAGTCTCAGACCTCTAAAGAGAGATTGAGTTCCCACAGACTGTATGCAGACGATTGCAGACGGCTACACGTCGGGCTGCAGAAGGCTATGCTGCTTTTGCCCCTCTCCCCTGGGTCGGTTACGTGGCTTTCGGTTCTCGGTGGCCTCGGAAAGTTCACTGAGAGGCCGTGGAGTAGTGGGACTCTGCACTTGGCCCACAGCCGGTGCAGAGACTTCACGGAGCCCTTGTCCGAGACGGAAGAGGACCTGGGGTTTGAACGGGCTGACAGCCTTGAGATGCTTGTTGCGATTGGCGAATATTGGAGAATTTGCAGAAAGATGCTCATTGGACAGCGCAAGAACGCCAGCATTTTGAGATGAATTCACCCAAACGGTTCGGCTGTGATGCCCAGGCATCCAGCTTCAGGATTCCTGAGAACAGCCAATTCAACTCGGCCCACGGGTCGCAAAGCTGTTACGGCTAAGTACTGTTACATTTTGTGTTACTTCTTGTGTTACTGTACATTCGGCCACGCCATTCCGGGGCTTCTGCACCGGGTGGCGGCCATGCAAATGGCTAATTAAGTCCTGTGGCCAAACGGCCAGTCAGGAACCTTGTGACAATAGTTGTGATGAAGCAGCATCAGAAAGGAACAAACCACCAGCGAGCCGCCCACGGCAACAAAAACGATGTCCTTGCCAGGTTTCCGTACGAGCATCTTAGCAAGTCTACAGACTCAGCCGCACTAACGGGGCGTGTCTGCCATGGACAGCTTCGTAACGTGTGCATGAGCACTTATGCCCTTTCTTATCGTGGTATTGCTCTTCTTCCGCTTTCATCCGTGGCATCCTTGTTACTATGAGACCCCTCCCCTCTGCATCGGAATCATTTCTGCTATTACTTCGTCTTCGGCTTCTGCGATCGAAAGTAAAGCGCTCAAATTTGTCTAAGGCTGTCTAAGGTTCCAAGATCCCTCCAGGGAGCATGGCGATGTTGATGGTGCCCACCTGGCACGGTAATTGCGACCATGCTGGATTCGCCGTGACTCACCATCAATTGGGTAAGGTCACGACATAGAAGTGAAGGAGTGCACGTCCAGGCTGCGTGGCCAGAAATGGAATGCTCTGGAACAGCCTGGACCACAACAGTACTGGCCAAATCTGCTAGATGCTCGAATGCCTGCTGCGACATTTTTCCCGGAAGCTGTGCACAGAGTCGCACGACTCTGGCTTTTGTGCAGAGGTTGCGCCCTGCCCACTTCTCGGGGAGGTTGCTACGGCTCTCACAACGGAAATACCGTCACTGATGGGTTTGGAAAGAATGATATTTGGAGGAGAGCACTTCGAGAGCTTTCTCTGCTAACTCACGCTGAGGTCTCTGAACTTTGTTTGATGCTTTCACTGAAGGGGAAAAATATGGAAACATTGAATACAAGGGAACTCTGGAGCATTAGAGATCCTGGGTGCTGGATGGAGCATGGCTCCTCAGGAGCTCTCCATAGGCTGACATGCTCGTGATGCCACGGCTCGTTACTCTTTGCACTGATAGAGCTCATGGGACCGCCTTCGAATGTAAGAGTTTCATCCTGCGGTTCCATCGGGGTGCTTCGACAGCCGTACCTTGAGTTGCATGAGTTCGGGCTGCTGGGAGGGTTGGGCTTGGGACTCTGTCCCGGAGCCGAGCCATCACAGGTGCCACTTCTGCGTGCGAGAGTTGTGCTGCTTCAGTCTCGACAAGATCTGCACCTCATCTGCGCCCGAGGGCAGGGACCGAAATCCGCGAGGCCACGTGCTCCCCGATCTCCGGCACGTCAAGGGGGTGTAACTTGTAACCACGCCAAGTTTTGTTGCCCCCACGGCCCGCGTTTTAGTGTTTACCATGACAAGCAGTATGCTCGCCTGTTTTCCGCAAGCCCAGGAGCTGCAACTGCATTAGGTTCGCTTGAAGAGGGACGGGCAGGTCAACAGACTTGCTTCCCTGGCAGCTCCCTGGTCTGTTTACGGCTTGTCCTGCCTGGGAGGCAATTAGGAAGCCCAAATGGCTGCACTGTGTCTTCCATAAGAACTAACTCTTGTCATGTTAACCTATAACGGGCTTGTCCGTGTAACGCATGGTCTGTCTCACTGTAACCCAAAACCTGTCACGGTTACATATATGTATGCCCCTACGAGTATGTCAATTTTCGGAGCCAAACGCTGCGAAGCCATTCGGCCAAATTCTCTACCCGAGGAAGTCCTAACACATGCCAATAGTTGGAGACATCGGCCTGGATCGACAGTCACAGCAATGTCGGAACCATGCGGACTCGCCATCCAGCACGACGATGGCCAGCGCAAAGAAGAAGTTATACACACCGATGAGGTACTGAAACGGATTGAGAAGCAAGCTGAAGATGTTGAGCATGCCCAGTATGGAGGAGGCGACGAGCGCCAAGGCGACCAAGAAGCAAAAGATGCGGACGCTACAATGGTTGGCCGCAATGTAGGCGCGGACCTGCCAGATCACATGCCAGATAAGAACCAAGAATCACAAGACGTAAACTTGAGCGCCCGCCCACACAAAGCCTCGAAATCCTCGAACAAACTACACTGATAACATCGGCGACAATTAACGGCAAAGAGGCCTCCACCGCCTCCTCTCGCAAGACCTCCAGCGCTTTGTGTGCATTCTGAACGGCTGCTGTCCCGTTCATGTTGGCGTTCGTGTGGCGCTTTCTCCGGCACTGGTAGCAGTGGTGATGGAAAAGCATGAGAAGGCCGCAGGCACACAGGGAACCGCCCATGCAAATATGGATGAGCATCCAGAGGAAGGACTCGTCTGCGGTGAACATGGCCAAGTTTATTGTGCCGACATAGAAGTGCGTCAATGCCCGGCCCCTGTGTTCAATGCAGTGGGGGGGGGCGGTGGCTGACAACGCTTTACACTTCACACATTGCTGCGTTCTGACAGCGCCAACGCAAATCATTTGGGAGAATGCCGCCCAGCAGATCGGAATTCAATGGGCTCTACATGGCTTTAGGCTTGGATGGAGAAACTTGCCAAAACAAAATACACAAGCCTACGTAAACTCATCGCAGAAAACTGCCCCCCCAGACTCTCACACGCACGACCTCTCAAGACCCCCATCACGAGGAAAAGAAGGATGGCGCGATGCTTCAGGAATCTATCCTATGCTCACCCTTTCTCCTGTTATCCCCAGCGGGGAGTGCCCAAGGTGCCAGCACGTGAACATGTGAACTCAGGTAATCATAGTTAGCCTCTCACCGCTTTGATGTGAGGGTTCTCACAAGGCCAAGGAGCCGAGCTCGCGCCAGGATCGGGGCCTTCTTCCAGAGCTCTGTCTGCCAGCAGGCTTTTTTTCCGAGCCAAGTGGGCGTTGCATCCATGATGATCATCATGAACCCAAAGGGGATATTCCAGAGCGAGTGGACGTACTCAAACACCTGGAACTTGGAACTCCAAACGCCCAGCATCCCGAGAACCGAGGTCACAATCAGCCCGACAGCGATGCATAGGCCCACCAGCTTCCTGAGAGAGAAGACAGGTCACACATGGTCACACATTGGCATGTCACATGGCATGTCACATGGCATGATTCATGATGTTGCGTGTCACAGTGAAATATCAGACAAATCTAATGTCTAATGGTTGTGTCACACCAGGAGCTGGCCATGGCCGAGCGGCACTGTTATGTGGCTGTGATGGGCCTTGGATGCGATGTGATGCGATGTGATCATGTGGGCTGCGGGCACTGATGAGGCGAGCCGGGGCCCAGCCCAGTCTCTGGGAATCAGACATAAGACTCGAGCTGCACCCAGATGTGTCCTGCGGCTTTTGAGCACCGTCACGCTCTCCTCTGTATGAGACTCCTGGAGTCCTGCGTATCCTTCTGGAGCAGGCGATTTGCCGAAGAAGCCCTGCAACCGTTGCAAACACTGCGCACCGAGATTTGCACTGGGAATACTGGGAATGAACATTTTTCTTTGACGCGCCTGGCCGCCTGTTTCGGAGCTCTTGTCGTCGTCCTCCAGAGCTTCGACCAAGGCGCCGGCCGCATTTTGCACAGTGTTTCCAGCTGTGGCCGCTGCCTGCGGCGTCCAGAGAAAGGGTATGAAAGGGTGAGTAGTGGGGTGGCAGCATACATGTAGCCGATTTTAGTTGAACCGGTTCGGGGTCTTCAGGAAGGCTTCTTCTCTCGAGTCCTGTGAGAGCCGGTGCATGTTAAGGCCATGTTCCAGAATCTCCACGGCTGACTTGGGGAGAACGCTGGGCTCGGAGATTTCCCCGCGAGGGGATGTATTCTTACAGCAGCAGACCCCGGAGTCTCCGGAATCGGCTTGGGACGGACCGCTGCCCATGGCCACAAAGGAAGGGATCTAGGCAGCTTAACGCTGGCTGAAAATTGTCGACGTGTAGTGATTTTATTGGCTACTATTGAAGTAACTTTCGTTGCGTCTCCATGAAGCTGCTGCTCGCATCAAAGTCGAATGCCTGTTGCACTATTACACCCAAAGCCGTGTCATTGCTTCTCGGCAGCTGGTCCATGTGCACATGCTTTGCTGTTGCAGTACGCTTGATGACCCCCATGGGCTGATGACTTGAGTGCAGCCGCTGCTTTCTCAGTGCACAAGAAAAATCGCAAAGATGTTCCAGCTGGGCCCTCTGCGCGCCATGAGAGCCAGGCCATCGCTGAGAGACACCCCTTTGCATCCTCTTCATGGATGGAAACCTAAGAGCCGACCCTCAGAGTCAGGTTTGCAGCTGCGCAGCATCCTTGAGCTCCACGCTAGCCTTGCAACAGCGGTCCTGCCCAGTGGCTACAACTGGTCAACCAGAGGCCGAACGAAACAAAGTCCTCCAAACTGAGTGCATGCTGGTGAACTTGCCAAAACCAAGTTACACCTTTGACGCCAAAACACTGCGAGCCCAACCCGGCGCCTCGTGAAGTCCCGTCGCCGGTCGACCGTCACGAGGAGCCTGTGCGGATTGCGGTTAAGACTACGGTTATATGATTGTGACTAAGCTCAGAAGTCTGATTGAAAACTCGAATTCGTTTCAACAAACTTCCGTCCAGCATGCGTGGGCTGCGTGGTGTAAACACTCGTTCACCGTCACTCTCGTCTTTCAGAAATTGCGTCGCTCCTGATTACGAAAGGAAGGCCTAGGGCAACAGCCTAACAATAAGACCGCCAGCACTTGACAATTTACAGTGCTAGTTACTGCTATAGCTGCTAGTTGGAGCCGATGTCGTCTGGCTTTGTGGGAGAAGGCGGACTTTGTCACTTCAGGTGCCCGCATGCAAACGAACTTGTTCATGACCCCGTCGCACCCGAGAAGAGAATGCGGCCCAAAACTTGCCCTAAGGGGCCGCCCGGCCCCGTTCAGGGGCTTACGGACGTTGCAAGGCTGTCTCAACCGGCGCCGGCCAAGATATGGCAACGTGGCTCGAACCGAGGGGTGGGTTCCGACTGAACCAACAGTGCAACCAAAGTATGATAAGGAGCGAAGTTTACAAGCAAGTCAAGCAAGGGATGCCAAAAGGCAGACACTAGCACAAGCAGTTTGGGAAGCCCTCTGTTTGCCAATTAACCCCACGGACATACTTCGTTTCTCTGAAGATCTCTATAGGTCTGGAGTTCATGATCAGGGACTCTTGTTAGTCTTGCAGCCGAAGATAGAAGCCGCAGGCTGAAACTGCGCAGTGCAAAAGGAAACAAACTGCCGCAGCGCCCTTTGAATTCTTTGAATATGTGCTGTCTGAGTTGTGAGCATGATAGAGAACCCATTGGGTCGTCACGCCCCATTTAACCGCACCGCTCGGCGTCATCAGTATCATCGGCTGAAAGGTTGCTATCACAGTACTGTTACTGCTGCGCTTCTGGGCACGCAGGAGGGAGTCAGCAACCATGACCCCCCCCGGCAAGAATCAAAAGCTGCAGCTCTTTCAGACGGCATCAACTTAAGGGACCACGTGTGTTCACGGTGTTCACGCACGGTGTTCACGCACGGTGTTCACTCACGGTGTTCACTCTGTGTGTTCTCTCACGGTGTTCACTCGCCCTCTTCAGGCCTCATGGCCCAGAAGACCAAGAGCAACTGTGTCGAGCGCCTGAGAGCTTTGCCATCCTTTCCAATGTTTGAACCCAGGTTTGCACCGTACTTTCACATGAAGCAGCACAGCCTGTGCAAGCATATGGAAACCCATGTACGCGCTCCGCGCCATGAGCTTTGGAAAGAAAGGCCCGCGCGCATCGGCACACTGGGGGATACGTCGGCCGATCCAGTTCTGCAAGCGTCGCCGCTGCTCCTCTCTGTGGGAGTTTTAGTCCAGGCTGAAGACGGGACAAATCCCAGTTTCATCCACTTTCCTAGTCAAACTCCAGAGCTGCCACATGATACCGGAATAGGTACTCATGTACTGTACACAGACTAAAGGGTCCTGGGCATCCTCTCGGAGGCTGCGTGCCACCGCCACCTTCCAGCTTATGGAGAGGTGCACAACAAACATTTGAGATCATATGCAAGAATACACTTTCAAAATCTTTCAATCCTCTGGACCTTACAGGCACCTCTACGCCAGCGCCGCAGAGGCCCCTTCGCCCTTGCCCCTTGCCCTCCCCCCAGACTCCCTTAACACCTGCATCCGGCTGTATTAGGCACTCGCAATAGCAGGCAAACAAGCGGGGGCGTCACTTTCGGGTTTGTCGGGGCCTCTTTGTGGCTCTTCCAGGCTTGGAGGCAGCGTCGGGCGGAGGCGCTCCGCTCGCGCTGCCCGGCTTCCGCCATGAAGGCGCTGATGCCTCGGGCGGGAGTCTCGGGGACAGGGCAAAAGGGAGGAGAGGGGTGAAGGGAGGGAGGGCCAGGAAAGGCAAGAAACGACGCAACTTTGATTCAAAACGCAAAGGCTTCAGGCGTTTTCAGAATCCCCCCCAAAAAATCAAGACGGGTTCAACATCACCGTCTCTCGGCCCCTGCGTGTGCAGCGCAAACAACATAGCTGCTGTGTACAAAGCGCATGTATGCGCAGTCGACTGAGCTCCATGGCTAGAAAGGCTGCGTTTCCGAAGATTCCCTCGCGCCACATGTCCGAGCATGACAAGCATATGCAGCCGTATACAGTCAGACGAGGTCACGGAAGTGGATGGATGATGTAAGCGCGGCACGGAAGGCATCGAACTCTTCCTGCAAGCCTTGGCTTCCGTTGAAGCTTCTTCAGCATCTTGCCGACCTGATCCTTGAGTCCTTGAGCTTGCGACATGCTTCCGTGGCCTCAGTCCACTCTAAACGCTATCAGAGCCACTATCCTTCAAGACTGCATTCAAACGATTCTCGCCAGCACCACATCTTCTCGTGTCTTCTTTCCCGGAAAATGACACTGGCACAGCTCATATCTATTCAAAGCCTGCCCTGGTTGACTATCGGCCACCGGGAAAACCATGATTCGGCTGACAGTTTCCAGCGACTTGTTGCCGATTGACAGCTTCCGGCGAGTCCAGATGACGACCATGTCCCCACAAACCCAGCGGAGCCTAATACAAAAACCCAACAGAGCTCAGTACAAAAAACCAGCCAAACAGAGACAACACTTTTCGACTTTACCACGAGCGAGTCCTCTTGCAAAATCGCATTTTCATATTTTGCACGGGCCTATACACAGGCTTTTCCAGGTTCTCACATGTCTTCACTCGATCTCCACAGGCTTTCACAGATCTTCCCCGGTGTTCGCAGCTTTGGCAGGTGAACATTTGCTTTCTGACAGATGTATGGAAATGCAATATGGTGGCATTGGCCACGACCTGTCTGTGGATGAAATCTGGAGGTGTGTGCAAGCCAATCTTCCAGCGAAAATGTGAATGAAAGCCTAGCCAAAATCGCGCTGAACACCCAGCGAGAGACCTGTAGGATCAATGACGCTGGCAGCTTCCTCGCCGCACACATTCAAACGCATGTGGTATTGCCAGCGAAGAAGATTCGCATGGTATCACCTATAGCCAAAGTGCAATGTCTTTCCAGCGTTCGATGCTTAGGTGGTTTCATACCATCAGTAGAACTGCCCGAGTCTCTCTCAGGGCACATTATGGCACAGCTATAGCACCGCAACAAGTAATTAGTGTCCAAAAGCGATGGCAGCTCAGCTGCCAAGGAACTCTTCCAGAACTTAAGCCGAGGCCGTAGCTGAAAACTCCCGGTCGGAACGCTCCGCCTGCGACGTCTTCCGTCTGTTGACATCCAGGAGTGTCAATGAAACCGCCGACTGTGGACAGGCTTGCAATACCTTGCAAAAAGGGGGCCTGTTATAGGCATGTACTGATCTCAGCAAAGCATCCGATCGTAAGGCATGTTTAGCAGCAACACGAGTCCTGCGCATGGAGCTTCAAATGCTGCAGCACTTTCCTCATCAGCAGCCGGTCCTGCGCATGGGGCAGGCGCTCCACTTCACGCCGAGTCGGCGCAAGAAAGTGGGGGAGCAACCTGTGCGTGGTTCTTGGCGTGGAAGAACGTGGTCCGGGAATCATTTAGCAGCGACGCCATGGCGGTGAACCTCTGGAAGCAGTGGACATCACACTTGTTGGGTCTGAGGAGTCATGGAGGGGAGGGGGGGGATGTGGTGTTTCTTTCACCGCCTCTTTCTTCAAGGGATGCACATCAATCCAAATTCGCCTCGGCTTCCTGCCGAGAAGCGTTTGGAACAAGCAGACCCGGATCCGGTCTCCTTCCCCCGCCCTCCCTGGAACCCCTTCTGGGACCCTTTGTTGGGAGCCTTTGTTGGACTCGCCTGGGAACTCCCTGCGACCTTCCTGGGACCCCCTTGAGGACTCTGGGCCCCCCCGACCCTTGCTGGGACCTGTCTGGATTGGACCTTCTTGGGACCTACAGCCCTTCCCTCACAGCTGCCCCTCCCCCTTTTTTGGAGACCTTTCCTCCGCCCGACTGCCGAGGCGGCGAGCGCAAGCGTTGCAAGCGTTTACAATTATTGGCTTTGCTCTTCTGCATGTCAATGCCACTTGCAAACAGCAGGGTTCAGACAATGGGTCATGCGTGAGTGAGGCTCAAATAGGGCTGATCGGACATTAGGCTTAAGGATTGAAGCCGGCTTAACTCCCTGCAAATTCCGTACAGCAGTGACATCACCATCACCATGATCGCCACAACCGCCGCCACCGGCAGCAAGACCAGGACAACGCTGCAGGTCAAGCGAGACACAGTAGCAGACCCCTCACAAGGCCACCGGCGACTTGGTCCTTTTTAAGGTGGTTGGGGGTTGAGGCGGCTCAGGACAAAACCGAACTGGCATATTGCTGGGCATTGCTGGGCGGCGCCGCTCTTGCAGCTGCTCTTTCTCCAGGAGAAGCCGCTGCTTCTCAAGTTCGTCACCTTGCTTTTCACACACTCGGAGAACTTGTTAAGAATTCCTGAGTCTGAATTACCTCGTAAGAGTTTGGAACCCTGGTTTCATCTGCTAACAGCTTAAGGCATGCACCAGCACGGCCCCGTTCGCGGCTTTCACGTGCGGCGGTATGCCAAAGCCTGCGCTGCAAACTGCCCCCACATCTGCATTGTGCCGAGCATTATCACGCAAGCATTGTGGGCTGTTGCGTGTTTCGGAGGGTAGCACTTGCTCAGAAGCTGCGCGTTGAAGTTGCATGCTGTAACAGGTTCCCCTCCTCCAAGTAACGTTGATCCAGCTTCGTGTCCTGGACATGGGGCCATAGTTCTGCTGTGCCCGACTTGATCCTCAAATGCGTTTTTGCTGGGACAGCTCCTGATGGTTTGGGCTCTAGCGGGATGGCGAGATGTTGTGTCAGGGCGATCCACTTCAGAACTTTCCGCCGTAGGGAAGCCCCCTTGTGGCATGTTGCAACGCAATGCAGCCTCAGCCTTTGCTCGCTGCACAAGGCTTGTTGAAGGGCACCGCACTGGCGCCTTGAGGAGACTGCACCAAACACAGCAGAGGCACACACGAGTTAGGTCAAAAGTGCTGGACTTTTGGGATGGACACAAAAAGTTCCTTTCCGTGCCACATGCGGAATCTGCTCGGGTGGTGCAGTCTCAGCACGGCGCTGCGCGGCGCGGAGCTGCTCCGTCATGAGCCGCAGGGCCAAAACTTCGGTTTTGGCGGCTTCCTTTTTGCCGGCCGCCGAAGCCGCAAGGCGCCATCTCTCGAAGCAGAGGCGCCGGAGGCCTCGGACATGTGAGACGAGAAAAGAGCGATAGAAAGAGCGATCGAATCGTGAACCGAAGTTCACCGAAGCCAGGGCACCTTCCAACCTTAGGCCAACAAGATTCAACACGAGAGCGTTCTTTGGAGACTCACGATGGCTTTGGAACCTTGAGATGCGCGCTGGCTTGCAGCAGCGGCAGCGAATGCCCCGCGGAGAGCCTCAGCCCGTGATGCGAAAAGTGTTTTTAAGGCACGAGCGTCTGAGTCTCCATCTTCAGTGACAGTGCATCTCTCAGGATCCTCAGGGCTCCACCTTGCGGACACGGCTCCGCGATGCCTGCGATTGTCAGAGCTGCTTTCGCAACGCACAGAACTGCAACCCAAATTCCGCAGAGCTCGTGCATGGCACCTCTGTCACGGCAGAGGCATGCACGCGCAGTGCTTCCAGCTGCTCTGCCTCGGGCACAACTTTGCGGCCTTGCAGGCCTCCCACCATCTCCCATTGGACCCAAACCAGACGCATCACCCAAAGATATCCAAGCTGCACTGCGCCGCTCGAGCTTCAGAAGCTGCCCGACCCCGTGCCAGCAGCTTAAAATCAGCCTCGCCCTGGACGCGCGCTCGCGCGCCAACAGGGCCCAGCGCTCCCAGGTGCGCCAGGTCTGCACCTGCCCCGCAGAGCCGTCAGCATCTCTTTAAGCCGATACCCTGCCGATCCGAGTTTGTGTGTTGTGACGGCCGAATCACCCTTCCTTGCTTTGGAAGTCTCGGGCCCTGCGCCAGGCATCGCAGCCCTCACCTGCTTGACCTGGGTTTAGGTTGAGAAGTGCTTGGTTATGCTTGGGTGCTCTGGTGCTTGAGTGCTGGATGGCTCTCCGAGGACGGCGCGACAGGAACGAATCACAAGCCGCCAGGCGCAAATGACCTCTCTTATTACGCTTAGACTCTTCGACTCTTAGAAAGCTCGTTCCCCCAGAGGTTGGAGATGGAACACATGTGGAGCACTCGTGGAACACTCGCCTGTTTTGACAAACGTCGTGGCACCCGAAGTGTCGACCTCTCCTGGTGTGCGTGTCCGCAGGCTCTGCAAACGGTGCCAGCGCTGCATATTGCAAATTGCCTTCAAACGGATGGAGAGCTCCTCTGCCTGTCGGTGGCACATGTCCCGCATGCAATAGCAGGACTACCAATAAAGAGAAGATGCCTGACAAGTCGAGCTGCTGGCTTCCAGGGCAAGCTCCAGCCGACGGGTACTTTCTTACTGGTGTACTTTCGGCCTTCTTGTGCAAGGTGTGGCACTCCACGGCGCTTGCTCGGGCTTCCTGCACGGTGCTTGTCAAGCTGGCAACAGCAATTTCTTTTCAACTCTGGATTCGTTGCAACACCATATATTGGATGCCAAGCTGCTTGCTGCAGCCGCTTCTCACTGCCGGATTCAACAGCCGCACACCTCCATCCAGAAAATACCTGAAGGGCTGGAGGATGCAGGAAATTCAGAGTTGGCTTCGTGAGCCGTCAGAGGATCATCCTGTCCTCTGACCTGCAGGTGTTGTTCAGCAAGCGCCGAATTCGCCATACTTCGCCATAACATGTTGCAGAGCCTGCGAAAAGCTGCTCTGCAACGGGGGGGGCACTCGACTCTGCCCAGCAGCTTTTGTGGCGATGTAGGCCCGGGACCTAGGCTGTGTTGAAACATGCAATGGCATTTCAGAGAGAGATAGCGGCCAAGGGCGTGTACGCAACTTTGGCGGCCAGAAGGCGGGGCAAAGAGTTGTGAGCCACCTGGGCTCCAATTCAGTTGGCCCGGCGACTTGCATGGTCCTTGCACAGTGCTGGGAGCTGGACAGCAGCCCACGCTGAAAACCTAAGCGAAGAAGCTGCTGTGATACTGTTCCTTGTTGTGACATCTTGACGAGGACCGCAAGGACCTTTTACAGAGTCTGAGCGGCGCGTGGCGCCGGTCCGTCCGTTCTCCCCGTCGTCGGGCAAGTGCTAGCGCCTGCCTGCAGTATCAGCTGGGAACTGAGCAAAGGCAACGCAAAACGAACGAAAACGAATGGGCGCAGCTCACCGAGGGCTGTGCTGCTGGCCGCGGTGGAAGGACTTTTTTCGGGAGCACAGAGACCACCAGGCGCGGTAGCCTCCAATGGTCCAAGGGCGACATTGGCCACCGGCTCAGAGATGTGGTCAAAAGATGTCAAAAGGGCGCCGACATCCGGCTGCCCAGCGCAGCAGCAGCCTCGTGAACACGGAAAACCAAGTCGCTGAACGCGAAGGCGCCACATGGCATCCAAGTGCACAGCCTGCTCAGGTTCCCGAATTCGGCTTGCGTTCGTTGTGTCGAGATCGACTGCCAGCACCAAGCACGGCAGGATCCATAAGCGCCAGGTGCCAGTTCAAACGGCACGTGGCGCAGACACATGGACACAATTGGACACATGCCGGGGCTTCTGCATGTTGCATTTGTGGCTGTGACAGACCTGCACAGTCGCAAAGATCATGCAGAATCTCACAGCTGTGCCTCTCGCGCCTCTTCGAACAGCGTTCCCGGCCTGAATAGCACCCAAACTCAACACAACAGCAAATCAGCTCATGGACCCGTGATGGCAAGTATGACTCAGTATGACTCATCTCTCCATTTTAGAAAGACTTCTCTTCGAGACCGAGCTCCCAAGCTGTCCGAAGCTGCCAGGCCGCGAAGCACAGACCCTGAATTTCTTCAATGGCACCTGAAAAGGGGAATCTTCTTCGACTCTTGGACCCCATCTTGATTTCCCTGTCACAAGTCCAGCACGGATCGGAGCCGCACCGACAACACCTGCAGGCAGCTTGGCAGCCAGGACCTGCAGCGTAAGACAGAACATGGACAGAACATGGACAGAACATATGGTTATCAGAGAGTCAGATGTGCAGTCTACTAGAGTTTGTCACATAGTCAGAGTGCTCAGGGTACCTGCACACCAGCGAGAGTGGCCCGTGCATCTGCAAGCCGCCGAGACCTCCCTCGGAACGAAGCGTGACAAAACCAAGCTCTGGTGCGCGCTCATGAGGATCCCATGAGGCGTAAGCGCTCTTTCACCAGAAGAAGCTGCATGGTGGCCAATCTGCCACGCAGCTCCTTCAATAGCTGTCTTCCCAGTTTGCATGTGCGCATGCCTCACAAAACCTTACGGACAGAGCACACATTCAGCACACTCTCCTCTCAATTTGCGCACCTCTTTTGGCAGCCGCTACGGCGCTCGGCCACACGGCGGGCCAAATGCACTCTCTCTCTCTCTCTCTCTCTCTTTCCGTCCCCCCCCCTTCCCCCCCCGCGTCCCCCCCCCACAGCTCTAAGGCTACAGGAAGACCTCAGAGTTCATCACAGCAAACCGCCGGCGATCAAGCTCTGAAATCTCCTGACAAAGAAATCCAAACGAAGCATTTGAGCTCCCTCCCTCCCTTGCCCTTTTTCATGTTGTCACGTGGTCCTGTAGTATCCGATCCTTTACGGTACTATATATGTTTCTATACGATAACGTTACTCTCCTGCATCTCTTCATCGCTCAGCTTGAAGTCGAAGACATCGAAGTTCTCTTGCAAGCGCTGTGCAGAGCTGGCTTTCGGGATCGGCGTCACACCACGCTGCAGGTGCCACCGCAGAATCGTCTGCCTCGCTCCAGTGTCTCACTTCCCAATGGGAACATCTCTTGGCGACGATTCAACAATTGTCTCTACAAGGTTTTGGCCTACTTAGCTTGCCTGGTACATAGCTTCTTATAGCTTCTTATAGATTCTTCATCGTTTCTGCATGTCTTGTGCAAGCTGCGCTGGAGTCTTGCCGTGTGCGGCACCGATGTCTTGAAGCAGCTGGAGGGACAGCAGTTTGTCTGTCACCTGCACAAAGGAACAGAAAGGAACTAGGGCGCTCGCTCTGTTCAAGAGGGCTCGCTCGCTCTTCTTTGTGACATTAACATACATTAACATGTATTCTCTCCCTCTGCTGCTCTCTGTGTGCTCCTGCCTGGTTTGGATTTCCTTTTCCTCCCAGTGGCGAGTAGGCATTCACCCTGATGCCGAGCTCCTTGCACTTCTGCACCAGACTCTCACGTGTGTTGAAGGGATGGATCTCGAACTGGCTTGCCATCGGAAGAGTCTCAGCGTAGTCGAGCAGCTCTGTGAGATGTCGATCGTTATAGTTGGACACACCGATCTGCTTCACCAAGCCATCCTCACAGCCAGGGAATAAGCTGATAAGCTAGCCTGGCCGGAGGCTAGCAGGCTCATGATGTCGAGCTCTATCATTTATATAGGGTCATATTGTGTTATCCTGCTTGCTCTATGCCCAAGACGCATCTCGGACTTTTGATTGTTAACGGGTTTGTTCCCCAGGTCCTTCTTCATTCGTTCCAAGGCCTTCCAGGTTTGCTGACGGAGCTGGAAATTCGTCTCGGCAGCCTCGAAGTCGGTGCTCACCCCGGGCCAATGAGGAAGCACCAGGTCGATTGCCTGTGCTTCGAGCGCGAGAGAAACTCAGACTCAGCCATGTCAAAAACCTCAGACTCTATCAACTCCTTGCCTCGAGGCCGAGCTTCTTGGCAGAGTCCTGCACAGAGCTGATTGCCTTGTCGAAGCCGTAGTTGCTGGGCCAGACCTCACAACGCCCACGTACTCACGACTCGGACGAAGGGGGAGTTGAACGGATCAGACGACCGAGGTCGACTGAGACGCAGAGAGACAGCACGCTTCAGAGCACCTGCTGATGCCTCTAAATCTCGATGGCGCCCGACACAAACTTGGCCATGAAAACGTAGGCGAGCTCTTGCACGATTTTCTGCCCGTTGCAATGCGGCACCGCTGCTTCTGTTTTCTGGCACGCAGCATACTTGGCTCTCCTTGAGAAATGTCAGAAACATCGGGCCACGCATGGCTGTGCGGTTTCTTTCTGTGGGTCTGAAATCGCCTGGCCTTTCCACGGACTTGCAGACCGAGAATCGTGGGCAGTCAGCAGAGCCGTGTGCTCTCGTGATCGGACACATTTTGTGAACACCGCAGGCAGAGAACAGAGAAAAACAGAGAGAGAGAGAGAGAGAGCGAGAGAGTGAGCAAGAGCGGCTTCCCGTAATTATGCTAGACTTAGAGATGCACCGAGATAGAGGGACGGAGAGGAAGCGAGCAAGCGAGAGCGGGGGAGAGCGAGAGAGCGAGCCAGAGATCGCTTGAGGCAAGACATCGTGGGAATTCTGAGAACGTGCGCTTCAGCGTGTCCGAGTAGGAGGTCGAGGGCTGCTGTTGGATATTCAAAAAAAGCGTTGACCTCGAATGCCTTCAGAAAATAAAGTACACAAACAAGAGCTCCCGAGGCTGGATCTCTTTGCAATCGAAAGCGGGCCTTGGTTGTCACGAAGACCTCATCGCGGCTAAGGCCTTTCTCAAAGGCTGCTTTCAAGGCCAGGCCGATGCCGGCCTCGTTGCCTCAAGCGCAGGGCACACTTTCATCCATGGACTGCGGTGAGTGACTTTAGTGAACCAAGTTGCGGCCCAGTGGCCGTACCTCTGCGCAGTGTCGATGACGCGATATCCCACATCCAAGGCGGAGGACACCTGCCTGGCAATCATGTCAAGAGGCAGCATGTGGCAGAACCCCTTCGGCATGTTTCATAGTCAGTACACAGCCTCTCAGGACTCTCTTTCAGACATTCACACACACACACACACACCGTCAGTACTGTTTTGCTGGCTATAGTAAGCGAGTAATCCTGGCTTTGGCCTGGTCACGTCTCCCTCGGAGACCAAGCAGGTGCCAAGCCCTCGGCTCGAAGGCCGGAGCGAAGCAAATGAGAGGAGAGAAGGAGAGCTTTGAGAGAGTGGCGAGCGAGGCGAGACCCCTTAAACTAACTTTTTTCGTTGGGAGGTCCCCCAGAAATTCCCTGGTCGAGGCTCCGATGGTTAAGGGCAAGACGCCCCCGGAAATAGTACCAGATGCTGGCGCGGGAGGTTTGAGAGGCGGCCGGGGCGCCGTTGGCCCTGCCGCGGCCGGTGCGGTCCCCAAAGCCCCCAGCGCCCCCAGCGCCGCGCGCCGCGGAAAGGCGGAGTTGAAGGCAGCGAGAGACGGCAGCGGCAGTGACCACAAAGAAAGGCCCAGGCACAGGGCAAGGGCAACCAGAAGCCGACTCTGGCGACGGCCAATGGTCATGGCTGTCTGCCGATGTAACGATGTAAATGTAAAGCTCTTCATATTGCTGAGCGAGAATCTTGGAGTCTTAGACTGTGGCTCGCTAGACTTGCAGTAGTCAACTCGGAATGCTGCGCCGGCACTACCCGGCAATTTCTACAGTATGTTGCTGATCTTTGAAGGAATCATAGCGTTCTGCTTTTCCATAGCATGAGCACTGAAAGGCGCTGAACGATACCGCGATATAATGACTTGTAAAGCACAGGAGGCCAGCTCTGCAGTCCTCGGCCGAGGTCTCTTGTCTCCGCGCGTGGGCCTGCCAGTCGGCAGAGCCACGGTGCGCTTTGTGATGTGTTTCAAGCGGCGCCTCCGTAAAAGTGCAGTGGGTCAGTGAGAACAACATGCTTGCCTCAGAACAAGCCCAATTTCTCCACGTCGAAAACCTGAGAAAGCAGCAACTCTTCGACATCCTTCCACCCAGGCTGGACACACCGACGAGCCAACCCGCTACCTGAGCCCTGAGCAGCAGAACCGCAGCGCAGCGATCCTTTCAGGGAATAGCAGAGACTTGAATTCACTGAAACACCACGCCCGTCCTTAACGGGCTACAGGAGTATGGCAGGGCCAATGCCCTAGGGCACCCCCTATAATTATGGCCCTAATGGCCCTACAGTATGGCCGTTAAGATGTTCCCGAGCTCCTGAAAGTTGAGCTGCTGACGCTTGGCAACAAGGCCACGCCAGTGGAGAAAGGCAACCTCTCAGCTCCTAACCGTCCTAACCCTGAAGCCGACTGTCTAGGCGAAGGACTCTTCAGGCTAATTCTTCTCTTCCTCTCTATGTAAATGTACACATGTGTATACATAAGGAAGAATTATAGTGAATATAGACTATAGAGGACGAAACAGGGTCCCCCACAAAAGGAGCCTCACCTGTATCCATTGAGATGAACCAAGCCTTCTCGCCTGGCAACGCTGCCCTTGAACTACAAAGCCACCTCCGGCGAATCTGCCAGGAGCCGGCACAGCACCTCCAAGACAAAATCTGGAGCCTAAATTCAATGCCTCTGCAAACATCTGTAAACCCTGATAACCTGTAGCACTTTGCTCCTATAAACCCGAACAGCATCACCCCCGCAAGAAAAACTCTGCAAGAGCTCGGAGTCGAACCTGCAAGCGCTGCAGGCGCTGGGCGGCCTTTTTCTGCCTTCCAAGGCGCCAAGAAAGCAAAGACGAGAGTACGAGGCTTGCATTGTTCACATGCCAAGTTGGGGGCCTTTGGGGAGCTCGCAAAACTCGGAAAGCTAAGCTTCAAGCTTTCGTCGTCGCTCCTCACGACCTTCGGTCACCTCGACCCAACTCTGGACACGTCACCCACATCCCACGTCCTTTTCGTGCAGACTCCAACCTCGCGTGGTAGCAAGGTGCTGAAGCGCTTCGGGCATTCCTGCACAGAAAGGATGAGTTTGGGCTTCCGGGGCATCTTCTTCTCTCAGCACCGTGGGCTTGGGCTTCCGGGGCATCTTCTTCTCTCAGCACCGTGGGCTTAAAGGCGTGCCTTGTTGGTATGCATGGTGCCCGCTAACTGTAATGTACCTGTTGAAAGTGTCGCTCTTGCCTCCCGATGTCAGGTGGACGACGGTCAGTTGCATGTTACAGTGTGTTGTGTTGATCGTAGTGTTTTCGGTGTGAAAGGTGGTCAAGGCTAGGTGGATGGCATCATGGCCTCGTCGCATACCTATTTGACTTTTCCGCGATTCCATGCGCTGCATTTACAAACTGCCTTGAGCCGAAACACCACGTGTCGGTGCTTAAGGGCATGCGTCTCTTCACTCAGCCGAGCAGGCTGTACAGACGGTGTACAGAAGCGAGTGCTGGTAGATGCTGGTAGAGGCTGGTATCCTGGAGTGTCCTCTGCTTGGGCCAGGCGGCTCCTTGAGGGGACAAGCAAGCAACTGCTCTCACGAAAACCCGGTGCTGGGGCAGCTGCTCTACATCCTCGTCAAAAACTCTCCAAGGTCGCCTTCAAAGGAACCGGATCTCTGAAAAGGCGAGGCAGCGGCCACAGCGGCACAGAGCGGCATGCACTTAGCAAGATGACCCCTTCCTACCCCTTCCACCTGATCGATCTGGGAACCTGAGCAACGATTCATCGGGGCACGCTTGTCTCGCTCGTGTCGCTTGTTTGCTCGCCTCACTTTTGGGTTTCTGTTGGGTCCGTCGGGTCTGTTGGGCCCCTGGCCGCGAGGCATTTCCAGGAAGTCGCCTGCTTCGGTGCTCTGGGCATGGCGCAGGGTCTGCGCACTCCGCCTCTGGTGCTCTGTTGAAACCAAGGCAAAAGAGCCGACTGTCACCTCTGACAGTCCCTTTGCCTTCGAGCCCCTTCGAGCCAAAAAGCTTCTAGAGACAGCTCTTATAAGGATGCTCGGTTGCACTGCATCGGGGTGAAATCCGTGAAGCGAATGCGAGTCTGCTTCCACCGCTCCGCTTTTTTGGTCAACGAATTCGAGGTGTTCGAGGTGTTCGAGGTGCCGTCCACCAGCAGTGATCTTCTGTTGGCCCTTGGCACCGTGGCCTCCAGTGAACCAGCAGCCAGGAAAGATTTTGGAGATTGAAGCCCTTGCTGCGCATATCACCTGAAGAAACCAGACACCAGCCCTATGGGGTCTTCAGGCACTTTCATCATCGTTCTTCTCGTTCCGTCCACTACAAGAATTGTTTCAGCTGAGGGCTGGTGGACGGCTTTCACTGCAAAGCCAAGCACTTGAGCCTGGCACGTATACTGAATTGAAACCATCAGCCTTGCAGTCAATGCAGGCCGAATGCTACATTTGCTGGGGGCACGTCACCTTTGTGAGCTTTTGAGCACCACTTCGCCAGCTTCGCCACGAGTTGATGTCCGTGCCAGGCGCCGCTGATTGCAGCACGGCTGAAAACACATCGGGGCACAGCACTCACTTTGCTTCTCTGGAGATATGAGATGCAAATAACTTTTCTTAATTTGTATCCATGGTTATCTTCGGGATATGATGTCTATCTTTATGTTCGGAGAGACCAATGTGGTGGCTCAACTGTGCAGCGGGAAACGATGTTGAAGCGTGTTTCGCTCCATGACAGGGAAAATCTGTTGCAGAACTCCCGAATGAAAAAGATCGGCTTTTGGCAAAGCCACAAGTTGAGCTGGCAGAGAGACCACGCCGGCAAGTTTCCCAACTCCTCCGCGCCTTACAGGAAGGGGCTGTGGAGTGCGGAAAAACACGCACTTCGGAACACGCTCCGATCCCACACAAATCCCACAACTGCTCGGCGTGGTGCTCCTGTTGTTATATAGGCCAGGCAGCATCCAGAAGCGAGTTGGGGCGAACGATGCCCACCAAGTCACCTCACCTTAAACAAAGACGTGTGGCTCACTGATTTGGTTGTCTGGTGATGCCTGCACTGTATTGAACTGTATTGGCAGCTGAGACCAGTGCTTTGCACGCTTTTTTCTGCCTCGCTTCTCTTCTCTGCGGTCTTCCATGTCGCTGGACTCCCCCCAGCCTCTGACACTTCAGCGAAGATGAAAAAAACAGGACGGGGAGCGTCACAATAATTCTAAACTCTGTGATGGGGCTTTGGTCCCGTGTTTCCTTGCGTTTCGGTCTATGGACGGGGTCTGTTCTGTGGGATATGACGGGATATGTGCACTGCTCCTGCCCGAGCATTTGCCTGCAGACCCTTCCTTCCAGACCCTTCTCTCCTTGTCCTGGTGCCGCAAGCGGGCTCCGCTTAGACGGATCGCGCGAGGGCGAACGGTGCTCCTTCAAAGAGAGGAAGAAAGGTCTCTCTCTCTCTCTCTCTGCTATTCTCTGCTTGTGTTAAAAAGCCCTTCTGACTTGAACTCCAAGAAAAAGCAAGAGAGAGTAAGAGAGAGTGAGTGAGAGAGAGAGAGAGGGAGATGTGCAGATTCCCATGTATCCAAAAGCTCCAAAGGGGGGCCTGGCGCCGGCCGTCCCGACCGTCCCGAGCATTTTGACCGTCGATCTCGGCGTCCAGCCACCTTCAAAGGGGGGACTTTGAGCGCTGCAGGGGAGAGTGGATGAGGGGGTGCAGGCGGATGGGGTAGTGCCGAAAGACACACCTGAAACTCCTCTGAAGCTGCTCCCTCTTCTTTGGGCATCTGTGACACCGGAACAAGGGAGGGACAGGCATCTCGCTTATTTGAGGCTCCGGCTCGCTGTTGTGAACTTTGTACCTGTACTCCTGACAGTGACACTGCGCCACACTACTCACAGAGTGGGCGAGCCCGAGTGTGCGGCCTCTTCGGGGTCTGAAGACTTTGCTCACTTTGCTCACGACTTTGCTCACGACTTTGCTCTCTCTAAGACTCTGAGAGAAGTCTCAGAGCGGCAGAGCATTTTGCCGCGCCTGGATGTGTCTCGTCCATCGACTCTGCTGGCCAGCCTGCGTCTCCGCCTCGCAGCTCTCGGAGATGCACTCTGAGACTGTCTTGGGTTTGCCGGCGTATGAAGAGGCAGAACATGTGCATAGTTCTACACAGGGGAACTTTGGCTCCCTCTCCTTCTTTCTATTGGCTGACTCAAGTGCCCCCGCCCCCCCCCCCCCCCCCCCCCCCCCCAAATAGATTTTGAGGACAGCTGAGCGCATCTTGGGAGAGCGGCAGCGACGACCACCTCCAAGAGCTCGCTCGCCGCATCCTCGGAATGCTCAGTTGACCCGGGAGCGCCGGGGGCAAGGGCCCGGTCTGAGCTCTTCAAAGTCTGAGTTTTGCTTTCAATTGTCAAAGAGCTTCACCAAGAGCTTCGGTTTCTCTCAAGTCTCTGCGAACGGATCTTGATCTTCACAAAGCTTCAGTCCTGTACGGCAGGCTCCGGAGATCGCAGCAGCTCCTTGCAAGCTTAAGAGAACGCCCAGGAATGCGTCTTCTGTGATCCAGCCAGTACTCATATGACATCTCATGCGATCTACAGCCCTCATAAATGCATTCACTCTGGCGAAAACTCTTCCCAGCACTTCGAAAGGGCCGTGGGCTCCAGGACACGCGCCGGCGCGTCCGTCTGCAGAACTGCCTTGGCTGACTTTGTTGGGCTCTGGGGGCCCCTGCGTTGCCTTGTGACTTGCCTTGAGTTGCGTTGTGAGGCTCTGAGGCGAGTGCATCTCGCGTGGCATCAGCGATGATGAGGCAACGGAGCAAGAAGCTCAGCTGCACCTAACACGTCTCGTCAAATATTTCGTCGAATTCCGACAACTCCACAGCTCGCTGTTCCGAGATCTGGCCAATTCAAAGAACACAAACTCGCAGCCGGCACCATGAGATCTACATCCTTCGTCTTGGCTGCCATCACATCAGGCAACAGCTGGATCACCTCAAGAGCACATGGCAGAGACCTTGGAATCCTCCTCGTCACGCGGCCTATTGTCATGCCTTGTCATGCCGTGACACTTAAGTACCTTCGGCTCTGGCCTTGGAGTTCACAAGCAACGCCGCTGCGGGTGGATCCAGGGCTAAGACACTGAGCAGCATGACCGCCTCTGCGTGTTGCTGTTCCATGAGTTCAATGCTGTTCATTGCTGTTCATTGCTGGGTTCATTCGGTTTCAGCTGCGGCTCAGCGAGTAGGGTCTCTGCCTCGAGAACCACATCATCCTCGGAGAAGCCCACCATCAACAGCCTGTCCATCTGCTACGATTGAACGGACGTTATAGGGCCGGCAGAGCAACTTGTGCGCTTAGTCAGGAAACCAAGGAACGTAGCAATGTAGCAGCACCAGCTATCGAGGAAAGAGACATGCAGCATCCGGTCCTTGGCAGAAGCTCCAGGAGCCCAGCTTCGCAAAGCTCTGGCCAGGGAACCTGCGGAAGCATCGCTGTCCCTCACCTGAAGCTCCGACTCACCACGCGCCTCTGGGCTGTTGCAGTCGAGGGCAGCGAGGATACCCACTGCTTCAACCAGCACGTCGTGCCTGCGCGCTCGTCCGATTTTAAGCTTCATCCAAAGCCCCCTCAACTCTGAGCAAGTCTCGGCACCTGTCGGCTGCCGTGCTCTGTGCCAGCCGCACGAGCTGTCAGACAAGAGTGCCGTGTCTTTGAAAATGAAGGAGAGAGAATAAACAGTTGCGCAACAAATCACGATAAAATCGAGGCTGGACACCTCCAGGAGCCACGCGTGGCCTTGGTGCAGGGTATAGGTCCTGCAAATAGGTTACAATCTGGAGAGACCTATAAGAGATGGCGGTGACTTCACCTGACGTAAGCGCGGAGCTTGAGCCAGGGGCATCCGGCCCTGCGAGACGGGGATGTCACAAGTTGCGCGCTCGTCTGGACAAAGCGGGAAAGCGGGATAAAGCGGGCCTCCACCCATGACATCAAGAAGTATGGACCGGCTGGCTTGGTGGGAAGCAATGTGGCGCAACACCTCCCACCCGTTTCGAAGCACACGCCCACATGCAGACTTTTGCTACTAATTATAATCTCTTCTCACATCTGTCACAGTCACATCAATTTGGAAGTGTGCTGCTACATGGCCCGAATCCGGAGCCCCGTGTCTCTGAGACTTCCCCGACCTTGAGGATGACCTGGTTGCCCTTGATGCCCCGCAGGGCCACCGTCACGAAGGCCTCTTCGGCCAAGAGCAAGCAGGCGGCGGCCTCACCAACACAAGGAGCAGGTGGTTGAACGGAGTTCACCACGTGACCACGTCGCCTGGTCGGCCGCCAAGTTGAGGAGCAAAGCGAGGGCTTCTTTCTCCTCAACACTGCGCAATGCGCAGACAGTGCTGCGCAGATGTTTTTCGGGGCCACGAGAAGCACAAGCGGAGCGAAAGGAGCATCAAAAAGCCCCGGTGCCTGCTCCTTGCTTTGAGCCTCAGCATCGCAGCACCTCTCCATATGTCCCCTCCACCTTCTCTGACTTCCGACTTCTGAGAGAAATGGGAGGCTTCTGTAAAGGCCCCTCTCTCTTTCCAAGTTAAGCTTCAAAGGAAGGGCCCCTGGCGAGCTGCAGCGCCATGGAGGCGATGGTCGGATGCCGACTGGTCAGGGCCGACCTTCTCTGAAGCCCTCCTCTGTCTCACACCGTCTTAAGACTGTGTTACTAAGAATTTACAGAATCTACAGAGGCGTCACTCTCCGCAGACTTTCACACCTTTTAGCCCCGGGCCGTGCGGCTGGGTCCAGAGTCAGGTGGTAAAGCAGTTTCAAGGACACCTGAAGGTGCCAAATTCACAGGCATCCAGTATCCCACCGCGTCTGTGCTTCTACGAATGTGAGGATGCCCTCCTTTGAACCCTCGGAAAAAACTGGTGTCAATGCTGTCAATGGGTTTAGAGGCGGCACTTTGAAAGGGCTCCCGGATCGCAGGAAGCTCCCGGGCCGCCGGCCACTTTAAAGCGGGCGCTCGGCGCCGTCGCGGCGGCCATGAGCCGGGCCACCACGTTGCTCCTCGGCGCGCACTCGCTTTCGAAAGAGAGAGAGAGAGAGACACACTCAGAGACTCAGAGAGCCCTCTCTATCGCGGGCTTGGCGAAGGAATGCGGTAATGCGAGGGGGGAGAGCTGCTTTGGGGCATCTCGCGCCTTCTGCGACAGAAATGTCTATACTCAATTATTCGTCTCACTTCACTTTTTGCAGGCCACAGCTGCTGACTGGCCAAAAAGGCACGGCCCTTGGGGTCGAAGGAGAGGTTGTAGCACCTGACAGCATAGCGAGCAGGCTTCGCAACAAAAGGTGGATTTGCAAAGAAAATGTGCAAAGAGCACGGCAGCTGCGCTGCTTCTATTGGGATCTTAAATTCTTTTGGTGTCGGAAATGTCTCTGAAGACCCCGGCGCTCTCATCGCCAGGAATGCCACCTGACAAATGCGCCGCATGGGCCAAGATGCACTCGAAGCTTCTGAGCGCTGAGGCGCTGAGAACAGACGAGAGAAATAAGGAGAACAGAGGACCACCTCAAACACCAGACGCGCGCACACAAACATGAAGCCCACGACACTATCAAGCTGAAGAAGGGCTCGCCACCTCTGCAAACAAAAATCCTGGTTGGCTTGTTGAAGCACGCTGTGGAACTGTGGAAACTTGTTTGTTTCCGCATCGCGATACCGCGAAACATGAAGACGGGACGCGCGAGTCCGGCAGAAGGGAGCCGAAAAAGAAGACGCAACTCTCCAATCCCTCAATCCAAGACCCCCAAAAACAAATTTAACCCCCCCCCCCGTCCCCATTGGTAGGGCCTCCGAGGCCGGGTGGCCGAGGAGCTCGGCCAACCGCTGGAAGACCTCGTCCTTCAGGAGCTGATCCTCCCAGAGCACCAAGTCAGACCATGTCTGCGGGTATACAGAAGAGCACGGTTGAGAAACTCCCGCATTTTTTGCCTTGGGGTCCCTCCTGAGCTCCCTTCCCCTTAAGTGACCTTGTTCTGCTCGAAGATGGTCAGCTTGTGCAACATGGACAGCGTACTCAGCAACAAGTCCTGCCAACAGCCAGGTGGCCCCTGACGTCATGATGGCCCAATGTGCTGGGAAAGCTTGCCGTAATCATGATTGGGGCTGCACTGCACGTTTTAGAGGTCATGCCGCACACATGTCCGACGAACCAAGTACGAAGATATATTTTCTGGTCATGACCAGCCCAGTCTTGCCGGCCTAACAATCCATCTACTTAAAGTCCCATAGAGATGGAACGCGACAGGCTACAGACTTGAAGTCTTGAGTCTGATTAACAGTCTTAACACATCTTAACACGGTAGGGCTATAACTGGGTTGTTGACTTTAAGGCGTTTCGGTTATGGGTGCAAACCAAGGTCCTCATGTTGTCTGCCCAGCATGGGCACGAGCATTTGGCAGAGCTTCTGCTTCACAAACTTCAGCTCCTGTGCAGTGTCCTGTGGCAGAAATTGCTGGGAAGAAGGGCCTCTTTTTTTGTGTTGTGGACGCTTTCGACTTGCCAGCTTCGACAAGGATGGAGGTTTAGTCCATTTCGTGGGTCGAATATTGCAGGGGCTGCTGAAGGGTGCCGACATGTACCGACGGTGCCGGCTTCCTCCGAGACTGCGCGGAGCACCAGAAGGCAGATCTGCAGCAGGTGGTCCTGGCAAATCCAGAGTCCAATCCGCCTTTCTTCGGGGGCCTTTCTTGGAAATCGCGGCTACAGATCTCTAAGCTTTGCCATGCCTCTTTCTGCTACTACATAGCAGAATAAACGACAAGGCTGAAAAGCACAGGTTGGAGAAACATCAAGAAGTTCTAATACGTACTACACAACAAGCTTTGTTGTATATTCGCCTCGGCTTCTGGCCACCTTCAAACCCAGCTGCCAAGGTGGCGCATGCAGCGTTACAATTGAAGACGATAGAAAGAGGGTTGGAACGAGAGCTTGTAGGGATGCATGGCTGCCTGCCGTTCTAGCCGTGCACGGCATTTGCCAAGGGCGTGCTGCAGCCGGGTGCGCCTCCCCGGGGCAAGACGCAATTCTCATGGCATGGAATTTGACCCATTTTGAGCCCTTAAGAGCAACTCAGACTCAGAGCAACCCTTGAAATCCTCATTTTTGTGCATGCTGCCTATGTGCTTTTGCGCTTGGTCTGTGTCGAGGCCCTGCGGCCCCTGATGCCCCTGAGGTTCGAGCTCGTCACCCAGCTGCGAGCTCGCCTTGAAGCAAATGCTGAGTGAGCGCAGTGGCTTCTACTTCTCTTCGTGGCTTCGGGTTGAAGATGGAAGAGAATGCTCAGCGTCTTGCTAGCTGCTCTTGAGTCTGCACCAGCTCGTTCTTCAGGACGTTTCGCCGCTTGCTCTCATACCTCAAGAAGGGTCGCTGTGCGAACTCTGTCGAAGCAAATGGTGGAAGACGATCCTGTGGCTCCTGAGGCTACGGCTCCAGAATGCGCATGGTCACTTCCCCACACTGGTGTCGTTTGAGGGCGAGGTGGAAGCAGGAGAAGTTCGCAAGGATCAGAAAAATACCTGGAGAGTTGAGGCATCTCTTGTGCAGCTGCACGTGTTGGCACGCTAAATCTGGCTGGGTCTTCAAAAGCCGCTTTCGTCCATCCCCCCCAAATCCCCCGGCCCCCACCTGTGATGGCCACCGCAAGCTCATAGCTGCGCTTGGCGTTCTCGCGCAGCTCGCGGCTCAGCACCTGAGAAGAAGCCCATTGGCACCGCCCGAACACCAACTCCCTCTCACTTTCTATCTAATTCTACTAAACCCACTCACGAGGGGCTCCGAGGCGGCGACCCCCAGCAGTGTGGGATGATCTGCCAACTGGTCGAGGATGCGGACCTCTCTGTGCCCGAACCCCAGCGATTCACAGAGGTGTCGAACTGTCAGCGACGCGGTACATGAGGAAAACGTGTCTTGGGGTTAAGGTTTGCGTGATTTTGCTTGGGGTTCAGAATGCTTTTCTTGCTTTCTTGCCTGGCCTCCGTGCAAAGTCTCAGTAGCCTTTGTGCACCTCGGATCTTCATGTCCATCTTCTCCTGCACAGTCAAAAAGTAACAAGTCAAACCCAATCTCGACCCTTTCCAAAGCGGTGCCGGTCCTCATAAAGCTCCTCGACATACTCGTCCAGGTTACGGACCTGGAGTCAATCGAGAATCCACCAAAGAGTTTCCCAGCAAATCGATGTGTTGGGGAACGCTCTGGCTACAGTGGTGGCACTAATTTCTCTAAATGTCTCGTAAGCACCCTTTGGGGCCAGCACGGATGCGCTGGGGAGGAGGTCTTCCAGCCTCAGAGATTGCATGGCGCATGAAGGACCCTCTCGTTGAAAGCTTTCTGAGTCCTCGGACTGCGCAGGTAGCACGGAGTCCCCGCCCGAGGTTCGGTTGGTGGAAGACTGTGTGGCGCCTGCGTATGAATCACAGGATCAACAAAACAAGCAAAAACAAGCAAAAACAAGCAGAAGGCAACAACAGCTTGTGGAAAAGCGAAAGGGAAAAGGGCCTGCCCCGAAGTCCTTGCCGAACGGCCTGTAAAGGATCCATGTGCTGCCATTGTCAAGCCAAGTAATGTCAAAGGAAGAAAGGAAAAAGGAAGGGAAGGGGGGGAACTCGGAGCACGTCGGAGCCAGCTTCCGTCTGGGCATCTTGCGCGTCAGACGCTTGCAGTCCGTAGAGCTTCTTGAGCACCTGATCGCGGCACTCTAGCAGAGGCAGGAGGACTGCGTGCCCGGCCAGGTCCTAGGTGCTGTCTCACGTGTTCCCGCATTGCTCATGGCTGCACTCTACAGCGCTGACCATCCAAGATGAATTTGCTCCAGCACTGCCAACGGCCCCGCGAAGTTCCCACGTTCCAGAGTGCTATGCTTTGCCTACAGTATCCACCCTTGCAAGGACGATGTCAGTGCCAAAAAACGAATCTGCAAAGCGGCGGCGCCGAATTAATCATATTGATCATCTATCACTTGCAGAGTCTGCATACTCGCACATGCCCTCATCCCAGCAGTACAGTGGCAGCCTCAGTGCTTCCGATATGCAAGGATGACGTCATGAACATCATCCCTGCCCTACGAAGTCATCGTCTCCGGTGAAGGTATCCGAGTCCCGCGGCACCACCGGGTGGGGCACGAATGCTGCGCGCAGGCGTGGGAAGGTCCTCAAGGAACACGCCCCAATCTGTTAGTTGCATTGGCAAAGCAGAGTGATGTGACATTAAGTCGTTTGTGCGGCTATCAATGAATACCCTGGACTAGGAAAACGGCCTGCTTCAAGTGGTTCACCGGCTTCACCTGCTCAAGCTCTTCCAGCTTGGCTTCGGCCGCATCCTCAAAATTGACCCATACATACTCATACTCACTCTCAAAATGAATGCTCAAAATGATTCTGATGTCATCTCGGAGCCAACAAGGACTACAAGGCGGCTCTGCATGACTCTCCACACGCGCGCCTTCCACTCGCTCGCAGATGTTCCAAGCACCACAGAAGCCAAACCTGTGTCGCTGTGAGCCCTGCAATCCGTGCACTTGCGCCTGCCAATTCAGATGGCTGCCTCCGGGCGGAATTCGCGGCTTCGGAGAGGCCAGCAGGGCCTGATGGTGCTTTCATGCACGCACACCCAGTCGTACACTACGATCGTGCTCAGAACGTTGAAAGAAATGTCAATTGTAAAGTCACGTGTATATCGTTCTCGCCTGTGAAAGCTGTGTAAATTGCCCTCCTCCAAGTCCGAGCCTCCGTGGCCGGGCGATCTTCGCTCACTTCATGCACCTGGTTCAATGGACAGCTCTTGAGCTGACAAAACTTAACGCTTCATACATGAGTATGAGTATATATATCTCTCTCTTTATGATATACAGGTGATAGGAAACCAGCCCAGGAAAGCACCCATAATGACAGACCAGTTCATGAAGATAACTAGCCCCGGTTGTTGATGGTGGTCGCATGGTACGTCTGGTGTGTGCGAAAGGTTCATGGACTAGCCCGTGTAAAAGCCTAATAAAATGTACTAAAAAGGTAAATGAAGTGCACGCTTTTTAGTATATTTTATGTGGCTTTTCTCTCTTCTTCTTTCTTCACCTGTAATAATATAATGCACGCGTCGCTCACTCCTTGTCATTCATGAGTATGAGTATATATGTATCTCTCTCTTTATGATATACAGGTTTTACATATATATACATGGTACCCCCCCCCATAAGCTCTGGTTTATGTATTTGCTGATGTATGTGTTGACTTTTCTCTTGTGTTGTATCTGTTTTGTTAAATCTATGTGCTTTTAGAATTAAAACCCTCATTGAAATATTGAATTCAATAAGGGTGGTCTTTATTGAACCCCTTATTGAAATATTGAATTTCAATAAAGGTGGTCTGTATTGAAACCCTTATTGAAATATTGAATTTCAATACGGGTTGTCTTTATTGAAACCCTTATTGAAACTCAATATTTCAATAAGGGTTTCAATAAGAGGCAGCCCGGGAACTAAGAATCCAGACCGAGACTCTCTGACAATCTTAGTTCTTAGTTCTTAGTTCCACCCATATTGAAATTCAATATTTCAATAATGGTTCCAATAATGCCCCACCCTTATTGAAATTCAATATTTCAATAAGGGCTTAAAAAGAAGCATTATTGAAACCTTTATTGAAATATTGAATTTCAATAAGGGCGGAACTAAGAACTAAGAACTAAGACTGCCAGGGCCTCTTGGTCTGAGATCTTAGTTCCTGGTACAGCCCTTATTGAAACTCAATATTTCAATGAGGGTTTCAATAAGAGGCAGCCCGGGAACTAAGAATCCAGACCGAGACCCTCTGACAATCTTAGTTCTTAGTTCTTAGTTCCACCCTTATTGAAATTCAATATTTCAATAAGGGTTTCAATAAGAGGCAGCCCGGGAAATAAGAATCCAGACCGAGACCCTGCGACAATCTTAGTTCTTAGTTCTTAGTTCCACCCTTATTGAAATTCAATATTTCAATAAGGGTTTCAATAAGAGGCAGCCCGGGAACTAAGAATCCAGACCGAGACCCTCCGACAATCTTAGTTCTTGGTTCTTAGTTCCACCCTTATTGAAATTCAATATTTCAATAAGGGTTTCAATAAGAGGCAGCCCGGGAATGAAGATTCCAGACCGTTGAGCATTTTCTTATTGAATGAAATCTCATCGTTGTTCTAGTCTTTACGTATGAAGATTCCCAACTATCTCGAGATATAGCTACTTACCATTGCCCCACCCCCGTATATGTTGTGTTATGTGTGCACATACTTATGGTAGGGGGGGGGATGTGTGTATATAGTGTGACATACATAATATATACATATGGGCGGAGAAACACATACCGTGAAGAGAATATTGACTATACATTCCATATAAACGGAGGTATAGACCCTGCCGCTGCAGGTCCGCTGCCTCAGCACGCTCGGCTTGGGTGGCGAGCGCAGTTTATGCTATCTACTAATTTAACTATTGCTATGACATATGTACTATGTAGTGTCTGAAATACAAGCATATCCGAGCGCCTCGGCTGCGTCAGTGTGGCTCAAGTCCAGCCCCGCAGTCAAAAAAGCACACACACAGAGTTATATATGAAGTGTAGATGGGTGATACTGTGTAATTGTCATACTTAGCTTGAAAGCATAGGACACGAGCCATGAGACCAATCGGTGCTTTCACTACAGCTGACGGTCTGCCGCCTCGTAACTCAACTAGACCTCCTCGTCGGCTACTTCATCAGTTTGAGGATGTGGTGGTATCTTCTTCTTCTACACAGTATCTCACTCAGCGGGTGACAGTGGAGCTAGAGAATAGATCTGCTTCGAGAACGCCTAGGACGAGGGGAAGAACAACAGAGCTAGAGGTTCCAGCATATAGTCGTAGTTTGACACCGGCAGAGCCAGCAGAACCACCTTCATGGTTTTTCTTAACGAGTACGGCGGTATCCTTTTTCGCGTATGGCAAGTCCTTTAGGAAGAAGGTGTACAGCCAGAGCTTCGATTACACTGTCAATGCTTTGAGGCTAGACAATCCGGACCGAGCCAGGTCCTTGCAAGGTCATGCAGGTTACCACGATAACACTCTGGCCATGGCATATGAGAACCCGGTGTGTGCAGAGATAGTTCGAGATTTCGTAGCTTGGCTTGTGCGACGCAAGAAGTCCAGCTCATGTAATGACATTTCTGTTGAAGTATACTGTACACGAGGCCGTCACAGAAGTGTGGCTGTGGCATGGATACTGTGCGATATTGTACAGGCATTCAGCGCAAAAAAAAGTATGTGTAGAGCGTGAGCATTATAATTGGACTGACCTGTGCACTAATTGTGAGCACTGCTACTGGCAGACAGCCTTCAAGGCTACGCTTGCCACGCGCGTTCGGACGGACGCGCGACAATTGTTTATGAGTCTGTTTCACCAGTGACATCAGTACCGCACTGTAAATAGCGCGTGTAGTCTTTGGGAACGGCTGTGAGAGCTGGACTACACACAATATGATACTATGTGTCTTTGCTATATTTTTCTGTGCCCCTCGTTGTCAATACTCAGGTGCCTTGGCTACATGCAACTTGGACATTCAATGACCCTAAACCCTAAGCCCTACACCCTAGACCCCTAAACCCTAAACCCTAAACCCTAGACCCTATACCCTGGCCCTAGACTAGACCCCAAACCCTATTGCCCAAGCCATCCTAGACCTTGAACTGTTACGCGGCCCCTGCCCGGTTGGTGAGCTCCTTACTTGTTCTTCACAGGTTCTTAGTAGGGAATTAGAGAATCAGAAGCCTAAAGCTCAAACCCTAAACCCGGAACCCAGCTTGGACGAAGAATTGCTCGCAAATACGACATAAAAACCTGGATCTTTGGGGGGGTAGCACATATATATATATATATAAATATGTGCTGCATACATGCAAAGACTCAGAGCATCATGTGAGCGGAAAACAACAGCCGGTTCGAAACATTCAAATACCTAGAGAAAACTGTGTGTTGTATGGAGGCAGTGTGGTTCCGGCCAAGAACCACAAGACCACCTGCGCCACACAGTACAGTAGTCAGGGGAATACGAATCCCTACAACCGAAATTAATGCGCACCGCTGAAGGCTCGACATGGCAGGCAAACCAAATGTCGCAAAGCGGATGTTGCCGTGTACTACAGGCTCTGTGTGTGTGTGTGTGTAGGTGTATATGTGTATGTGTGTATGCGTGTATGGGTGGGTGGGGAGGTGCGGGGAGGTGCGGGGAGGTGGGTCTGTGTGGTGTATTGTGTTTGTTCGTGCGTGTGCGGGCGCGGTATATATTCCACACTCAGGCGGCACGCCATGAAGCTCAAGATATATGCGGAAGAATCACAGAAATCAACCAGATTCGCAAAAGGATTATGTTCATGAGCTTCTGTCGATGCGACAAGTTGCAGATTATCCCTAAACAGATGCTTTATGCCGGGTCGATCAGGGTCCACCCCTACCATCACCACCACCACCACCACCCCAGCCCCCCCCGCTGGGCTTGCAAGGAGTACGTACAAGTAAGTAGAACGAAATTGCAAGCACGGAGCAGAAAGAGGTAAAAAGAAAGCGACAGAAAGACCTTCAGTGTCGCTGCATGTTGCTGCCATGCTCTGCCGTCGCCTCGGGCTGCATTTCCTTCTGCCCGGCAGGGCTGGCAGTCGGTACGGTCTCTTCCTGTGCGGTGAACGACAAGGCTCAAGCAACGAAAGCATAAGGGAATGAAAAACGACAAGAAACCTTCCAAGATCCTCACACACAAAAAACCCTCCCACCCCCTCTCCCACTCCCACACAGGCCCACCCCCCCGACTTTCCCGGCAACGTCGTTAGAAACTGCTCTTTGACACCTCCAACTTGTTTTTGGTCCTAATCTCTGCGCCTCGATCGGCTCCGGCGACTTCTCGCACGCCCGTTGCGTCAGCGGCCCAAGGGCCCTGGAGGAGACCTGCCACTCGCCTCAGCATTACAGAGACTCACTCTTAGAGTGTCATTCTCTCAGAGAGTATCTCAGTGTATCCTATACGCTCAGATCTCCCACACTTCCTCTTCAGCCGTCGGCTTCCACTCTCTTCTTCTTCTCAAGCTTCTCAAGCTGCTGAGGATGCTGCTGGCGTCCGTGCCCAGGCAAATGCTGCTGTTGCCACCAGCAGTGGCTCGATTGGTGAAGGCTTCAAGCTTCAGTTCCGCACCCAGGATGATGTGATCTTCTCCACCTACTGGGCGTGGGGGAACTCCCTCCATCTCAGCAAGGGAAAGCACTGTACTCTTCCCGGCAGCCGGGCGGGAGCTTGCCATGGGTTCATCAGTTTCTGCATCAGGCTTTGCCTGCTTTGCAGGCTCGGCACTTGGCTCGGTGTCCATTCCCAAGCACAGGGTGGCCCTGCCCCCGGGCGGCGCTGAAAGGAGTGTGGTGGGACGTTCCGTCAGCACGTTTCCGGAGTTTTGGTGCGCGCCACAGGCAAAGGCATTGGATGACACCGACGCGGTTGCGGCCACGTCTGTTCCAAGACAGATTGTGGATTTCCCTCCTGACCAACGAGTGCAGACTGGAACTCGCACACACACACACACAAAGCAGCGCGCAACCATGCCTCAACATGACGCACACTTGCCAAAACCATGTGCCCTTGTGCCTGGTGGTGCTAGCGCCTCACGCTTCGGGATCTCCTTGAAGTCCGAGTCCATGCCGAGGCAAATAGTGGACTTGCCGCCTGTCCAACGTCTCAGACTTTGAAAGACGAAGGGTAGCATAATGTGACATTGGAAGGCTATTGTTACAACAAGAAAAACGCGAGATTGATGCGAGAGCTATAATTGTGCTCGAGTCCCAAGTCCTGGGGGCAACATCGACCGGGAGGTATTCTCTTCGTAGACGGCCTCCAACTCACCGTTAAAAGGTCCAGATGCCAAATGATGCCATCAATTGGAGAAAACTTGAAGATGTGTTTGCTGTGGAGGCGCATCTGATTGCGGAACTGGCATCGCAATGACTCAAAACCACGCTTCCCAGTTCTCAGGAGCTCCCCGGCTGAGGCTTGGGCACTTTCCTTCTCTGTCAGGCCCAAGCACACGGTGGACCTGTCACGAAACCCCAAACCTTGAACCCAAAGCCCCAGACCTCGCTCAACCCCCACGAAGCCTAAAAAGCCCTGCAGTTCGCGAAGAGCCCGCAAAACAACCAACGCTTTTTGTCCACAATGTCCTAGAAAGATCCTACTGCCCCAGACCCCATGGGCAGCTTCAGCAAAGGCACACTCCTCCAGCGGGCTGGCGAACCTCTGCCATGATAGCCTTGGCACCGCGTCGCAGATTTCGCGCGTCGAGATTTCCATGCCGGTCTTCAAGCGCCTGCTGAAACCCCTCTGCTCCTGAGCTCACCGCGGCCGTCACAGAATTTTGCTCGCCAAGATTGCAAGTCAACGAGCTTCTTGAGCCACAGCGTGAACATGCGTGAACTCAGCTTCCAGGCAGCTTTGCAAAGATATGCTGGTATCGCAGTGGCCATCACAGCCCGCCACAAAGGCAAAAGTGAACAAGTTCTCAGAGCCTTCGCCACCTGTGAGGTCTTGCTCTCAGGGATGTAGCGGCACCTCAGCTTGTGGCATGGGATGCCACTCGATGCCGCTCGCGGTTCCAAAGATTATGCCACGGAAAACCGCAGTGCGTGACGCAGGCAGAACTGGCAGTCTTTCACGCAGCAGCAACAGCAGTGTGACATGTGCACATAAGATCACATAACCAGGCCCCTCCCGTGAGTCTGTACACACGCACGGCATGTGAGAGGATGCAGTGCGCATGCCGAAGTGCTGCCCGGAATATTACCGGCGAACAACGAAAAAGTCATCATGACAACGAAAGACAAGATGTGACCCATGGATGCCCGCCGGTTCCCGTTCGATGTCCGCCAGTTGGTTTTCGATGTCCGCCGACGGGACGGGACGGGACGGGACGGGACGGGACGGGACGGGACGGGACGGGACGGGCCGGGCCGGGCCGGGCCGGGCCGGGCCGGGCCGGGCCGGGGCGGGACGGGACGGGACGGGACGGGACGGGACGGGACGGGGACGGGACGGGACGGGACGGCGGGACGGTGGGGGGGGACGGCGGGACGGGACGGGACGGGACGGGACGGGACGGGACGGGACGGGACGGGACGGGACGGGACGGGACGGGACGGGACGGGACGGACGGGGACGGACGGGGACGGACGGGGACGGACGGGGACGGACGGGGACGGACGGGGACGGACGGGGGCAGGACGGGGGCAGGACGGGGGCAGGACGGGGGCAGGACGGGGGCAGGACGGGGGGAGGATGGAGGACGGGGGGAGGACGGGGGGAGGACGGGGGGACGGGGGCACCACGGGGACGATGGGGACGATGGGGACGACGGGGACGACGGAAACGACGGGGACGACGGGGACGACGGGGGACGGGGACGGGAGGGTCGGCCGGGCAGGGCCGGGCCGGGCCGGCCGGAACAAAACGGGAAGCGGGACGGGACGGGACGGAACAAAACGGGACGGGACGGGACGGGACCCCTGGCTCCCGCCCTGGCAGAGAGGCTCTCAGAAAGTTCAGGTTTTGACGTTGGGACATGCTTGACCCCATGTACAAGAGACGATACCTGACCCATCAAAAAAACTTTCTCTCCATCAAAAAAACTTACCGCATTCGACGCAAAGATATGCATATTTTAGTGCGCATGTGTGTATATATATGTCTTGGGTGGCAAAACAGACACTCCTTTCTGCACGGCTTAAAACAAGCGGGGGGGTTGGGGGGGCGGGGCAGCCCCCCCATTTGCAAACACAATGCTCACACGATGTTTTTCAACTAGTTTCTTGGGCTTTGAAGCAAAGCACGCTCTGCACGGCTTAAAAAACGCGGGGGGGTTGGGGGGGGCGCAGCCCCCCCCATTTGCAAACACAATGCTCACACGATGTTTTTCAACTAGTTTCTTGGGCTTTGAAGCACGCTTGGTGCGGCTTAAAAGAAGCGTGGGGGGGTCACGCTCTGCACGGCTCAAAAAAAAAGGCGGGGGGGTTTGGGGGGGCGCAGCCCCCCCCCCCCACTTGCAAACACAATGTTTTTTCAACTAGTTTCTTGGGCTTTGAAGCACGCCTGGTTAGGGTTTAGGGTTTAGGGTTTAGGGTTTAGGGTTTAGGGTTTAGGGTTTAGGGTTTAGGGTTTAGGGTTTAGGGTTTTGGGGTTAGGGTTTAGGGTTTAGGGTTTAGGGTTTAGGGTTTAGGGTTTGGGGTTTGGGGTTTGGGGTTTGGGGTTTAGGGTTTAGGGCGTTTCTTCCTTCCTTCCTTCCTTCCTTCCTTCCTTCTTTTCTTCCTTCCCTCCTTCCTTCCTTCCTGCCTTCCTTCCTTTGGTCCTTCTTCCTTCCTTCCTTCCTTTCTTCCTGTCTTTCTTTCCTTCTTTCCTTCTAAAACCTACAAGAAATAACGCTTTCCTATGAAAATACAGAGGGAATTACGGCTTTTCGTTCGAAAAACCAGGAAACTTTACGGGAGTTTAGGTGAGTTTAGGGGCCTCAAATTGCTCAGAGACGTTAAGGGAGTTTAGGGGCCTCAAGAAACTGAGAAACTTTAAGAGGGTTCAGGGGCGTCAAAACGCTTCGAGACTTTAAGGGAGTTTAGGGGCCTCAAAACGCTTATATAGAGAGTAGGGGCCTCAGGGAACTTAGAAGTTTACGTGAGTTTAGGGGCTTATTAGAGACTTCAAGGACGTTTAGGGGCCTCAAAACGCCTAGAGACTTCAATGAAGTTTAGGAGCTTCAAGAAACTTAGCAATTTTAGGCCTCAGATTGCTTCCTTCCTTCCTTCCTTCCTCCTTCCCCTTCCTGCCTTCCTGCCTTCCTTCCTTCCTTCTTGCCCTCCCTCCTTCCTTCCTTCCTTCCTTCCTGCCTTCCGTCCCTCCCTTCCTCCTCCCTTCCCTCTTGTCCTCCTATCTGAAAAGGAAAGTTGTTTTTTGATTGGAAAAAATTTTTTTGATGGGAAAAAAGTTTTTTTTGATTGGAGAAAAAAGTCTTTTTTGGATTGGCATCCCGGGTGGGGGGGGGGGGGGGGCGCGACCCTCAACCCTAAACCCTAAACCAGGGAGTATAGGGGCGGTCTTTGGTGTGTCCGAAGGGCTTTGGGGTTAGCGTCGAGGGTTTTTAGAGTTGAGGGTTTTAGGCTCTGGGGTTGAGGGTTCGAGTTTAGGGGGTTAGGGTTTATAGACTTGAGGTTCAATTTCGGTTCTAATAAAAAAGCGAGGGGGGGGCTAAAAAGACTCATATGCTTTGAAGCAAGCTTGCACTGCTCAAAACAAGCCCCCTTTTGCAAACACAATGATCGCATGATGGGTTTTAAACAGGTTCATACTTTTCTGCAAGCAAGCTTGCACGGCTTAAAAAAAGGCGGGGGCGCCATTTGCAAACACGATGATCGCATGATGGGTTGGAAAAAGACTCATCTGATTTGAAGCAAGCTTGCACGGCTTGAAAAAGCGGGGGGGTTGGGGGGGGCGCAGCCCCCCCTATTTGCAAACATAATGATCGCATGATGGTTTATCATATGGTTTGAAGCAAGCTTGCGCGGCTTAAAAAAGCTGGGGGTTGGGGGGAGCGCAGCCCCCCCCCCCCCAATTGCAAACACAATGATCGCATGATGGGTTAAAAAAGCTTCATATGCTTTGGAGCAAACTTGCACAGCTGCAAAAAGTGGTGGGGTTGGGGGGGGTGGCAGCGCCCCCTAGTTGCAAAAAAAAAGATTCATCTGATTTGAAGCAAGCTTGCACGGCTTAAATATGCTTTGAAGCAAGCTTGCACGGCTTAGAATAGTGTCGATGGTCTTCCTACAAAGGTTCCAGAGTTTGAGACGCTTGGCCAAAAGGTGTGTCGATGCTCGGCGGAGGGTTTTTCGATGCTGGGCGGCAGGTTTTCGATGCTCGGCAGAAGGGTTTTTCGTTGCTCGCCGGAAGGGGATGGTTGCCGCCGGACCTGGATCGATGCTGGTGGGTCGTTTACGTTGTTATCTTTCGTTGTTGTGAGACATCTTTCGTTGTCCGCCGGTAGTTTTTCGTTGTTCGCCGGTACACACCCGTGCTGCCCGTCAAGTCTCCGTTGGTATGGCACCGGAAGGAAAAAAAACTCGAGATGTCTGGCTGCCAAGTCGCTTCTCGACAATCTCCTGTGCCAGCGCAGGTAGATCCTCTTCACGGAGACCTGCCCAGTCAACGTCCCCAAACCCGTCAACGTCTCCAAACCGTCCCCAAACCGAATCGAACTCGCTTTGCTTTTGGCTCGATTTGCTTGAGGTGTTCGGCCTCGCATGGCTTCGCCAATTGGCACCTCCCGCTTGTCTGGCATCTTCTCCACCTCAGGATGTACTGAGATCTTCGCTGACAAGCAAACTTTCAAGTTGGCCCCCCATGGTCTCGAGAGACTGTCTTGAGACTGTCTCGAGACTCAGAGTTGGATGTTTCAGGGAACCGTGGGCGCCGAGGCCCTCAAGACCAGGCTGCCCCGCATTGATGGGCATGCCATCCTGCCGTGGTGTTAGCCTAATCTGTTAGCGACCTATACTGTTTGGGTATAGATGGCATAGAGTCCGGGAGGAGTGCCAGAGGTTCACCAACTGGTTCACTCAGGGTTCACCAGGTGTGGGTGCTTGGCCATGCTTGCCTCATCCAAGTGGGTGATCTCGGATGTGAAATGAACGACCTCAGAGAGTGACAAGCGCAGACACGAAAGAGCGCAGACGCCAAAGGACTCATCCCCCGAAGCTGGGGGTGCGAGCCAAAGCATCGCCATCAGGACTGGCTTCAATCTTGCCGGGCCTCCCCAGATCACAAAAAGTGCGACGATGCATGTATATCTATATATATATATGAGACATGTATATACGTATAGGGATGTACATATGACAGCGAGAGACAGAAACAGAGACCGGCGGAAGGCTTGGCATGACCTGATGTGCTTCTTGAAGGGCATCACGTGAAGCCTGAGACAGCATCGATTTCACTCAGTGCAGAGCAGACATACGAAATGACAGCTGCTACCAGGCTACCTGTCAGGCTACTTGTCACTCCCAGCACTGCCGCTTTATGCCGCGAAATTGGGACGGGCATCGACTCAAGAATGCATTGATGTCACACACGATCAGGTCTGGGAGCCCCTGCCCAGTCAATGCAGCTGCTGGTTACCAGCGACAGCCGTCATTGGCAAGCTGTACATGGCTCCCTTCTCACCCACCCAATTCTACGGTCTCCCAATTCTCCCGAGTTGCCGGGGAAAGGACAAAACCTCCCACAGAACCTTTCGAGAGTCTCTGACTGTGAAAAGTTTGCGGTCTGTTGCGGGTCTAAACTCTGGTACTGCTCTCGGCTGTTGCTAGCTCAAGACTCAAGACTCAAGACTACTCCGATTGCCCTTTCCCTGGCTCCTCCAACCTCTGCCATGCGATGAGCGGCAAGCAACGGCAAACAACTTCAACACATCTGCAGCTACATGTGGCAGCAGCACTGCGGCAATCTCACTGGCAGTGTGAGCACTGCTGGCATCCGTGCGCGGTGAGATGAGCTGAGTCAGAAGCTTGCTCTCTTGCATTTCGTCTCCATTTCCACACATGCTCTCACTTGGAAAGCAGATGCACAAGGCGAGTCAGGTCACTTCTTGCTACGCGGACTGTTAAACCTTGGTGTGCCAGCAGTGCAAGAGTGAGCATCCATCACCGGCGCGCTGGCGACACTCTGTAAGGCTCCCTTGTAAGGCTCCCACCCGACAGCTTTCTTCTTTGCCTTGCCTTTAGGCTTGGCAGTCTTCAAGGGAAGCAGCAGCTCTCCATCTGGATCCTGCAAAACAAGCTTAACGTGGTCGCCTGGCCCCTTCTGTAACCTTTCCTCCCCCTAGTCATCCTCCTTTGGGGTCTACAGTGTTCTTAACAATGCATTCTTAGCTTCTACCAAACGGGAACACAGGTAGATCGCCATAACACCACCTCAAGAGTCGAGTGTTATCTCTGGCAAAGCCCAGTCCCGCAGCCGGCGGCTCTTCAGGATCGGAGCCTGCTGAGGGAAATCCAACAGCTGACTCTCCTTCAGATGGGCTTTTAATTGAGGACTCTTGGGCGGCTTTTGGATGGCCTCATGGCTTTTTGACGGCTTTATCCGGTAGGGTTACTATGGTTACTAGGCCATCTAGAGCCTTGAAAGCTCAATCCTTGCCCGCCTCTGCTGGCAGAGCCTTGATCTCGTCTGGAACATACACCTTGTTGCACGATGTCTCGACATGACACATGACTCACGAGTGCCCCGTGTCTCAGAGTTCGGTCGTTTAACATTCTTTTAACTCTTTCGAGCCATCGGGTGAAACGGCTCTCTTTTCAAGAGCTCTCTCGACGAACCCCGCACAAGACAAACTAGATCAAGCCCCATACGATGTTGCATCAAGAACAAGCCTTCTACGACGCGAAGACTACTTCCCCACAAGATTAGAATTGGACATGACGTGGTCAGCCCCGCTGCCCCGCTTATCGCTCTTTGGCTCAGCTTCTCCACGTGTTGCAAACCACGCTCCGGTTGAGGCGATGCCGCCGGAACCGAGACCGGATATCAAGCCAGGGGCCTCCAACAACAGAGGAGGACCCTTCCCCGCCCCGTATCAAGTAGGGTCCTGGTCTGGGGCTGTTGAAGGGTGTTGACTTAGGATGTAGAGCAGTGCAGGGTTTCGATGTCTTGGGAGCTTGTGGCGACCGCAGCACTTCAACACTTTGCTGGCATCCACCTGGGTCGGACGGCGCTGATGGAACAGCAGCCCTCCGGCGTGAACACAGAAGGCCCGGAGGGCCTCACCTGCAGAGGACGCGGGGGCTAGATGAGAGGCATCATGGGACTTCTAGCAGAAGCAGGCACCCATAGACCTATAGAGCTCGGAAGCCAGTGCCTCGACATTTCGAGTCCTGGCCATCTGTTCCATGAAGGCCTGCTGCCTTGTCAGGAACGTCTCCAGCATGGTCGACTGGCGGCTGAGCCAGCGCTCCAGGATCTCCGTTTGCTTGGCATTGAGGTCTTGCAGCTGAACGTGGCTGGGGCTGTGTTGCGGACTCGGCAGCTGGGGGGGCCCCTGGTTTGTCTCGCGATGATCAGTGTCGATGGCCTTCATGTCCGTGGTGTCCTTCGTGTCCTTCGTGTCCTTGATGTCCTTGGGATCTTTGGACCAGGCATCCAAGTGCCCCGTGTTGTTGAGATGTTGCTTCAAGCTCACTCGCCGGCCGGAGGCGTTCCGCAAAGTCTCGAACTCAAAGGAAGCCGTTTCCTTGGTTCGCGGTATCCTCCAGGCGCTTGGGTCGGCTAAGAGCAAGATGTGGTGTCGGAACTGCTCGTGGGTCTCTGCAGCAGGTAGGTCGTTGGTGTCTTCACCAAATGGGTTCTCCAGCTCCACCCCAATGATGTTCCTCAGTACAGCCAAATCAAGCCGTGACTTCGATTCTCTATCGCCTGACATGAGGCCTTGCTTCCAGCCTGGCACCCGTACAGAGAACAGAAAACAAAACTCGGCCTGTTTAAATACATACGAACGGATGACTCCTAAAACACTCAAACGATGTTAAATGCGATGATGTTCAGGGACATCACGCAGACGATGGAGATGTAGGTCAGGAGGGCCGCTCCCCAAAAACTGGTTGTGTACTTCACCATGATGATGGGGCTCAGAAACAGGTGAAGCACCTCGGAAGGCGATGTTGCGTCTGCATGCGTCTGCATGATGTGTGAATGCCCCTTCTTTCGGGCCTTCCAATTGTCGATGGTCTTTACTGCCGTTTTCTGTTTTGCAAGGTTTTGGGCATCGGTTTGGTCTGCATCCGACTGTTCATGGACAACCGCACGTTAACGTAAGGCTGTGCCCTCCTTGGTTGCCATCTGCTTTTGAGGGAAAGAAGTACAGAACACTACTTTCCGGAAACAGATCTTGGGAAGGTTCCTGGGCCTATCTCAGAGCAAGCGCTTTCTTGGCGTTTCAAGGAGGCTAACCTTCTGAGCAAAGCCGAATGGACCTTCATCAATTCCAGTTTGGATGGTGACACTGAGCAAGGCTGAACAAGGCACAGAGAGGAAAAGGCTGAGCTGGGCATAGGGAAAAGGGAAGGGCCACATAGAGATCATCTGAGCGTTGTGGAATTCGGCCATGCCAGCGCCGATTTCCTGGTAGGCGCGCGTCAGGATCGGGGGTGGGATGTCCAACAAACCGCCTGAGAGGCGGCAAGCAATATTCCATTCTGCCAAAAGACTTCGACCAATTTTTGAAAAGTGTTAGATTTGTCGATTTGTCCATTGTGGGGCTCCCATGGCTGAGGGTCGCGCTGTTGATGCCTTGTACAATCAAGTACTTGATCCAGATGAAGACCTCCGATCCGTTTCACTCTCCGTAAATGCGAGGCATGCGTGAGACCTCTGCGCCTGGACTACATCGAACTGAGGCCGCAGCATATTGTATCTGCATAGATGTTGGATTCTCCATCGTGTTCGCACCGGCAGGCTGCTCAAGGAGGCTGAGATCTTCTGGCACGAAAGCCTCAAGAATGCGCAGCCACGCTAAAGACCTGCCCCAACACCAAAACATCCCAGCAGCCTTACCCGAAAGGGTGTCTTCAAAAAAGGGTCGTGCCTCCATATCCAGCAACGTGAAGTGATCTCCCTGCAACATTGTGTCAGTGTTCTTCCACATGCTCAACATGCGATGCGAGGTCAGGGAAAGGAGGCCAAGTCTCTCCGCTGCCTTATTGCAGAGATCCTCCATAGCGCAGGCATGCATCAGGCAAAACCTAGTGGCTAGAAGGGCTTTGAGGGGCAGTTCAGGAGCATGAGAAGGTTCAAGCACCACGAACGGGCTGGTCAGCTGCACTAAGAGATTTTACCGGGACATTTTTTGGAGCAGGGAGTGTCTCTGCTGAGCAGCAATCGGACCATCACACCCTCGAACTGCTGCTTCTCTCCTGGTGTTCGGCTGCGCTAGCAGACTACTACATTCGATTTATCGGTGATCTGAGGGGGAGGCTCTCGGGCTTCTTGGAAGCTTTGCTGAAGGACAGCAGGCTGCCACATGCATCGATCCACTCCTTGACTTAACACGACAAATGCTTGTCACAGAATCTGAGAAGACATGAGTAGACTCACGACGAAAATTGTCAAAACAACACAGGAGAATCAGGAGATTCCCCTCCCGGAGATGCTTGTCAGCGGGTCCCATGATTGAGTTTTCTCAGAGCGGTGAGAGTTCTCTCCAAGGCACGGCACTCATGGTGTGCATGGCCTTGGCAGACTCGATGTAGCGCTGGTAAGCCTGCTGGCATCGGAAGACCAAGGTGAAGCTCAATACCAGGCCTGGGCACGGAAAAGATCTGAAATTCACAGCTGATCAGCTGGTCAGCATGCTTCGGGGGTAGCTGCTTCTCTGCGTTTGTGTGTTACGTCAAACAGCTTGCTTCTAAACCGTAACCCTGAAGCAGTCTTGGCCTGGCGCCTGATTGGACCCGAATTCTGTGAGCCGAGTGGAAGCCCTCCCAAGTCTCCATCTCTGACCCCTCTCTCTCTCTCTCTCCATCTCTCTCGGGCTCTGGAGTACTTCTCTTGGTGTCGAACTGAATGCGCCGTACACGGAGCCGTCCGTGATCAAGTCCAAGTCATCCAGGCCTCTGGAAGTTGGCTCCCACTCTTGAGGGGCTTGAACTGGGTTTGATTGTGTTGCGCTTTAGGTTGACCAGCAAACACTGAGATTATTCCAGTATCCCAACTTGTAGCACAATACGTAAGAAAGCATGTTGAGCAACCACGAATACTAGGGGCAGCGGGATGTGAATCCTCCGGAATGAAATTTGCAGAGGAGCGGGGTCGTGGTTCGGCAGTCTCAGGAAAAATCTGGGGCCCATGCTGAGTTGCTCGGCTTGGACAAGGGCTTTCAGCACAATCACCGTGACCACGAATGGAAGTGCAATCAGCGTCGCCTGCTCAAGATCTGACTAAAAACCTGCGACCTGCGAAGCATGCTTTATTCATACTTCAGGTCCACATCTGTGAGCCTTGGGGAAGACGCTGCCATGGCACTTGCAAGACAAGGAGACGATACTCTTGTTGTCATACAGGATCATGCGGCTCGATCATCTTCACCATAAGCCCCCAAGCGCAGATAGGCGCGGGAACTCGAAACCGAAAGATGCGGTTCAGGCAGAGAACAACAACGCACTTAAGAGAAATGCCAAGATGGTTTCTGTATCATAGCTTGATCAATTGAGCTTCTGAAAGCTACTGCAACTGGCAACTGTTGCTCTGCACCTGCAGCTTTGGCACTTGGGACGGGAACAGCACCGACCTAAGTGGCACCGTGGCACTCTCTCAACTGTCAGTACGATGCGATTAACATCGCCTATATGGAACATAGCATATATCACCATAAGCACCCCTCTCCTTGCGCACCCCCGCTCCTTAGGAGTGGGCTTGGCTCCGTCGCTGCGATCCATGCTGCTGGGGACCACCAGCAAGCCCCAAGCGACCAACTGGCAAAGAGGGTGCGCCGTAGACTCGTAGAAGCCAGGGATTTGAGAAGTTGAGGCTGAGTACAGCACCGCAAGCAAGAACAATGCGAAGGGGAGCACGTCCTGCCGTGAGAGGCAAAGCTCTGGGTCGGAAGTCCATTCGTGCAGTAGCATCCAAATGTATGTATGTGTGTGTGTGAAAGAAATATAGACTTATCTATAAATATATATATATATACACACACACTTACAATTAGCACAGCACTCACACCCTAACACCCATTCACAGACACACGCATTCACGGACGTAGACAGCCTCACTCATTCGTTCATTCCATGCCATTGCGTGTTTTCATGTCATTTCATGAGGCAGCATATTCTCGCCCCCAATCACTGCCAAGATCTTGTACATTCAGAGCAGGGAAAAACATCCACGAATGAAGCCCGCAACCGTCATGCGGCCAGCAGCCACTTCTTTCTTGCAGGAGATGCCTGCATTTCCAGTTATGGTTCCTTTTTCCCGGCCTTTGGCCCCAGCCCGCCTATTCGTGCCGCTCTTCTCTCTTTTGTTTCTCTGGCGCAAACTCCTCGAACGCGCGGTCGCAACACAGAGCGGGTCCAGTGGCGTCAGAGGCCCAAAAAGAAGAAGGTGGTGCGGCCATGAATTCCCTCAACATCAAATCAAACAGTAACACAGCGCCTTCCCCGACTCAGGGCAACCACGCTGTTGGAGCAGAAGTGGGGTGATGAAACAGTATGTCAAAATGTCTTCTTGTTTGTACTTACATGTTTTTTGCAGCACATCACAGGGAAATGGCAATAACCAACACTGATACAGGAATTAACGTACAAACCTATGTGCACATACCATAAGCATATACATATACCTATAACACATATATATATATGATGGATAGATGCACATCTAATCGTACATACAGATATGTCTAAAGTATCAAAATTTAAAACTCCAACACAGTGACTTTAAGTGCGCCATACTTCTTATATGTCCTCACTTTCTGAAGCAACTCTATCCATACCAGGCGTCGAGTTCTGGAGCTGCATGTTCAATCTGGGGTGCGGGCGTCTGCCGTGACTTCGCCGAAGCCATCCTTGGGCAAAGGCACCGCAAGGCCCAACGCCTCAGCTGCATGGCTTTGGGGGCTCTGGGGGGCTTTCGGAGCGTGTCGTGCGAACAACTCCAGCAACTTCCTTCTCCCAGGAACCGTAAGTTCGCGAAGCTCCCAAGCAATTCCCCTCCCTTGCCTTGGCTCCCTCCTCGGTCGTGGGATCGTACACCTATACGGCAGCAACTAAGGCTTGGTAAAGCTATGCAGAGTAGGAAGTGCCGAAGCACGAGAGCTTCATGACCCCCATGCTCTCAGAAAACTTAAAACTCCTGCCTCATCGCTTCCTGTTGACACAACTCTCCAGACAGTGCTGAAGAATTGCCCGAGGTTCGGCATCTGGCGCAGTAGTGCTGCTCTGGGCGCTCAGGGATCTCAGATGCGTTCACTTCTTATCCGAGCCCTGACCTCGAAGGCGTGGGCGGGGGCGGGTGCTCCGGCCACGAGACCCAGCAGAGCTCCGGCCCGCGCATCCTGCCACGGACTGGAACTGGAGGGCGGACTACAAGACTTTCAGGGCAACATGGAAGGGCCCGTGCCCTGTCGGAGACGACTCTGGCCGCTCTGGGCGGTGCAAGAAATGCGTTGACCTGGCCCGAAATGGCCTCAGGCTAGCTGGAGCAAGAGGTGGACATTTTGGTAGCACCTTTTCGGCTTGGGCTCCGGCTCTGTACAGGAACACTGCAAGTAGTGCGATTGCACACCGAGCGGGCCGTGCCTGAAGAGAACGTATGGACACATCTGCTGCTGTGCACAAACGTACGCCGAAACAAGTGGCTTCTGAGTCTGGCACACGAGACGTCATGACACGAAGCTCTCTGCGAACTCTGCAACGAGTCGGAACGAGTCCAAATTCAGTACGCTGCGAGAAGCTGTCTGCGAGCTGCCGGTGGCCTGCTGTAAGCTCGTTACCGTCAAAGCTGTCATGATGTGCCCCTTGTTCTAGAATTGCTGCAGGCGCAGTGATGCCACATGCGCTCTTGTCTCCGAAGCTGTGAACCAGGTGAGGCGGGCATGTCATTTGCATCTGCCTGACTTCGAAGGCAGCCAGAAAACGAATGTCCAACCGGCGCCGAAAATTTCTCAGGAACGCCACATGCACCCGCTCAGACTCCCTTTGGGAGAAAATTTCGGTGACACTCTCCAACTCTCACAGCTTTCATCGCTTGAACCGCTCGTGAAGCTCTCAAAAGCCCAAGAAGCGCCCGTCCGCGCCCCTGCGCGCTGGGAGTCAAAAGTGGAGACGTCAGTGCTTTGGCTTGTAGGGGCTTTCGAATCTCGAAGGGCAGTTGAACAAAGGCTACAGTCGCCACAGTACTTCGTGACCCCGCTACAGTACTTCGTGACCTCGCTGAGTTTCAAAGCAATCTGGCGGCACGTGCCTCCATTCCTGCTACTCTAGGGCAGATTCGGAATTCAACGTGGCCTTTTTGCAAAAGCCCCTAGTATTTCCCAGCAGCTCAACAGCAGTTCTGTACGGGGAGTCAGAAACACATCATCGCAGAGCTACTGCGACGCATCTCAGAAGCATCAAATGTCAAGCCATGCCCCCGAAGAGGAACCAACCCAAATTGTTTGCATCGTTTGTGGGCCTCCTGAAACTTTCTGGGCCTCTCAGGCATGTGAAGCTCAGGCGAAGCTAAACATTAAATATTGGAAGGTATCGAAACTTTGAATTTTCCCAACCTGAGTCACAATCCCCGCCGTGTATCCCACGAAGCACTACGTGGCGTACGTGGAATGCAACTGGAAGCGGAGTGTTCGCTTGTGGCACTTGCACGCTGAGAGCTCCGGAGCCATGCAAGATCCCACCATTGGCATTATCAACATGCACGCTTCATGTAACTTTGCTGAGTACTGATGGCCTCACATGGTCGCCGGCCGCTCTGCAGGCATCTGCCATGAACCCTGCCACCAGAGATGTCAGGCATTTGAGGTTCTCGACATCTTCACATCGCTGGGAAGCGGGCGCATGTTGGCGGGCTGCACAGGCCGAGCAGCTTCTGTGCCTGCCAAGTTCCGCTCTTCCGAACTATGGCGAAGAGGGTCATATTGCCGGCACCGCAAAAGTCACAAGTTCTGACACATGCGACGCCCCCTTTGATCCACCGCTCGGAGCGCTCTCTGAGCTCTGAGAGGGGGGAGTCTTCAGGCCGAAGGCCAGTCCAGACGCCCCCAGCGAGCAGGCACAGGAGGCACACGGCCTCCCGGCCTCGCTCCTCTGGCTTCACAATATGCGGATCGCAGCTTGCGGGAAGAAGCTCCCTCTCTCTCTCTTTCTACGATGTCTTTCGTTGCGCCCCCCGCCCCTCTTCCCCCCCCCCATTGCAGAGCTTTCTCCCCCTCTCAAGTTTTTCGTCCCCCCCATCCCCGTCCAGGTGTCTCCTTGGCTCGGCTCAATGGACTCAATGCTCAGCCGGGCCTGGGAAGCTGCGCTGAGGAAGAGCCGAAAAGCAGTGCACACGGCGCAGCAGGGCCCCCCCCCCCCCCCGGGCCTTCTCACGCAGCTTGTCACTGCCGAAGACGAAGACCTCTCTCAGAGAGCTTTTGGGGGCTTTTGGGCTCTGCTGCTGCGGGAGAGAGTCATGCGGGAGAGAGTCATGGAACAGAGGACCACGCACGCCGACTCACGCTCACCAGCTTCGGGACATGCGTTTCCAAAGCTCAGTACGAATTGTCGTCTCACACTGAGCAATCCTTGTAAGAGCTGGTCTTGCAAGCTTGCCGGTTGTACAGTCAGCTGTGTCAAGCACGCTTGCCGTTTAGAATTTTGCATCGTCATGAGTAGCGTGCCTGTTGAATCCACTTGGTCTAATCACCTGCCCGAGTACCGGATCGCTCAAAAGGCTGTCACTGCCTATGGCTTTGTGATTCGGGACCCCGCTGAGTGACCGGATGTCGGTGCTGATCCCGTCCTCTATGTATCAAGCCCCCCCCCCTCCCCCCGCAATCTCTGCACGACATGTCTATCCAAGCCATGATGAAGCCCGTCATTCTTTCAGGCTCATTGCCGGGGCCTTTCACCTTGCCATGTACAACAGCGCCCCTTTTCTCCTCACGAACCTCTATGTTACAAACCTCAAGAGTTACATTCCTACCACTTCACTGCATCGAAGGCCGGTGGTCCAAAACATCACACCAGGTGAGGGGGACCCAGGGGGACACGAAGGGCTCAACTCGAGCTCGACCCACTCACAGCTCCTGCAAGTAAGCCGCGGGCTCGAGCCACAGACTCGCTGTCGGACCTGATTTTTAGCCACGAACGGTGCGCTTCTGGTATAAGCTAGAAAAGAAATGGCAGGGGCTGTGATCAGACACTCAGGGCTCTGCTCTGGAATCGGCGGAGGTGGGGACTCACACTCCATCGGCAGCACGCGGATCTCCTACAGGACCCTACGGGTAAATTTCAAGGCGGCTCGCGGGTGTGATCAGAAGACGTCCTGTCGCTGCCGCTTGGCCTGACAAGAAAACAACACGACCTCGATTCGTCGATTGCAAGGAGCTTCGAAACCGGAGCCGGGCCTGTGGCACCTCCTCGGCTTCCCTCTCGGCCCTCTCGGCCTCCTCCTCCGCCTCTGTCTTCACCGTCGCCCGCGCGGCGGCGCCGCCGCCCCCCTCGGCCCGGCGCGCGCCGCCCCGGCGAGAACCCTTAGGTCGCCAGGTGACCAACAACAGCTCGCTCACCGCCAGCTCCTCAAAGCAGTTCGTTTCTCGGGATGCGCCACAACAAACCAAGGGAGACTCGTGCCTTGTCGGCCTCGGCCAAGGCATGGATCTGGGACTGCAGCGCCTCACTCCAACCTCAGAGGAAATTGAAAGCTCTCTGCTCTCTCTACTTCTGATCAATTCGGGATCTGTAAAATCCGGTGCGAAAACCGGCCCCACCTCACATCCCAAAATATCCCAAGGAGCTGAGGAGCGTGTGGCCAGTACCTGGCTCGCAGGCTCGCAGGAGACAACTCCAGCATGTTTTCCATGGTCAAGGACGGGCGCACTCCAAATCTCCACTCGGCGTACCTGGTCAATTTCGTGCGCACGGCCCTGAAGAAAGGAAAAGATTCTGACGCTGACATGGCAAAGCCGGCAAAGCCTGCGGCGGCAAAGAGCGGAGCAGGAAATGGGCCTGCTCGCTCTTCAGCACAAAAGAGCTACGGCCAAAAACACAAAAGCACTGCACAGCTGCATTGAAGTTGTTAAAGAAAAGTTGTTTTGGCCTTGCAGTTTCGGAGTCGATCGATGCCACATCTCCCATGGTTCCTCCGTGCTGTTGAGGGTGTCAAGGATGGGAGGAGACGGATCCAGCTTGCAATAGCGCCTAGTGCTCTGAAGCACGTGCTGTCGCCATCCGTACAGCTCGTCCTTCACCTCCAGGCTTGTGGCGAACTGCAGTGTCTTTTTCGACTTTGAAATGAAGATTCAAGGTCTCTTCCGGATAGCTGAGCTCTGCCGGCAGGAAAGCAGCTGACCTTGCCGATGCGAGATCCAGCTTCTGCCAGACGCCTCAGAGTCGACCACCAAAGAGGGCCAAGAGTGCCACTTCCCATGCTTGTTGCACCTCTTCATACCGAAGCTCGGAAAATGATGCAAACTGAGTGGCATCCAGGTATCAATGTCGATGGGCCAGCCCGGCAGATCCCGATAGCCCTTCAACGTGTCCCAGAGGAGTGACCTGCAGCTCGGGACACTCCCTCAAGGCCTCCCAGCCCAAGCTGGGACAAGACGTGACAAGACACAAATCCCAGTTGCCTCGGGTAAAGCCCCGACTGGTGCAGCCCAGGTATTTCCACGAAGCGATTCAGCAGCAGCTCCTGAAATTTGTATAGACGCATGTATATATATATATATATACTGTACATATATATATAATATGTATATTATACATATATATATATATATACATATATATGTGCATACATTAGTGTATCTGTGCCAGGGGAGGTGCCATTTGACTCACACACATCAGACAAATTCTTAAATTCCAGACCTCCGGCTCGAGGAGGTTGTTCTGCCACTGCACGTAGCGCGCCATGCCCTTGATCGGGCAACGCTCTGGGCGACTCTCCAAAGAAAGTCCAACCCCCCCCTCGCCTCAGAGACTGAGCCGAAGATTTTCACCCCGCTGCAGACGCCTGTCCAGTCGGGGTGCCTGAAGGTTCTTCAGCAGGCTTCTTCAGGGTTTCTGGGCCGAGGGTCTGGTGGTTTGGCCCTTCTGTTGTGTAGAAGGAGGCCAAGGGCGCTACATGAGGCTCAGCCCTAAAGTTCAGGCTGCGTGGGCCTTCGGAGGGCTTCGAGGAGGAGGGCGAAACGCTCGGGGTCCCCGCGGTCGTCCGCGTCCATGAGGCCGACCAGCTGGCAGGTGGCTGCCTCCAAGCAGGCCTGGTTCTGTTTGAGACTTGTCAGGACTTTTTCGGTTCATAGCCACAAAAACAAACACCTTCTCCCTGTTTTTGTGGCATTCCATGTGAACGTTCAAGCCCCGCGACGTTCTGCGCTGCTCCTTGGCCGCGGCCGCCGCTGCTCCTTAGATCCCGCATGGCAAACGTGGCAATCCAGACGGCGCGAACGACAGCCCTGGACAGCGGACAGCAGCAAGTCCATAACAACGAATTATGGGCCTGTGCATGCTCGTGCTAGCTGTACCAGTGGCCAGGGTTCAGAACAACCAGGCGATGCCCTGTTGCACGCAGCTTCGCAGCAACCTTCGCCGGTCCCGGAGCGCTCTCCTCCTCGCCTGGCCATGGCACCTGGCACAGGCGCTCTCGAATGCTGCGAGTCTGTGAGCCTTTGGAAGCTGCAAGGACAGAGGCAGCAGTACAATATGTATGGGGCTCGCCGCCGTCCTCCCCCATGATCCACACATCTTCTGTTCTCTTTGGGGGGGGGGGGGGGGGGGATCCCCGAACTGTTCGTAGGCACTTTCCAGTTTCCACTTTTTTCCAACCAATACTTTCCACTTTCCCTTTCCGTGCCTAGGGCCCCCCCCCCCCCCCCCACCCCCACCGGCCTCGCTCAACAGGCGGGGGCGGGGGGGGGGGGGAAGGTCCAAGTGGCTCTGAGACAAAACCATATTCCCATCCATATCCGCGGTTGGAGGGGCCGGTATGTGAATACAACATTCTATTTGTTGTTGACTGCATATGATACCATATACAGCAGACAGGTAGACAGTCTGTTTCATTGATTCATTCGTGTGTGATGCACTCGAGCCTGCTGCACGAAGGCTCGCTCGTCGGGCGCTCCGACTGTTGGGGCTTCTGGGGTCTCCACAGTCTCCTTGGCGGCCCTCTTGTTGGGGTCCTCGTTTTCCCCTTCACTAGCCGCACTAACCCTGTCGGCGTCGGCATTCGTGCTCTCCTGCAGTTCCTTGAGCCACTCAGCAGAGCCATCGTTGCTGCCGTCGTCACAGACGAGGATCTCCAGCTTCGTGCTGCTGGAGGCCAGGTCATGTACAGCCCAAGGCAGGAACGGCATGCCATTGCGGCATGGCATGATAACCGATATCATGCCTGTCCATGGCACAGGATCAACACCACAGTGTGACTGAAATCCATGACTCTACATTGAAGATCATTGAAGAAGGAGCGGCGAGGGTGTTGGGACGCCTTGGGCAGGTGCAAAGTGTAAGGTTGCAACAGGAACTTTGTGGGTAAGCTTGTGCTCAGCCATGTTGGTTCTCGAGCTTCATTGTCTTGTGGCCAGCACAACCGCGCAGGAGGAAGTGTGTGTGAGGCCACAGGCTTCTGACACGGCAACAGAGTGACAAAGCAAACCAAACTTTCACAGCGTTTGCGTGAGCCTGATGAAGATGGGCCTGTCCGCATGGCGGGGAACTTCACGTCCGACCTGTCCAGGACAGCTTGAGACTCTGCAAATTCCCTGGACTTACGTCGTGAGAGCTGCGTTGACGATTGCCATCAGTTTCTCGACTGGCTTCCTCCTGGTAGTTTTGCTGATGGGTGGTTCTGACTGTACCCTTCATTCACCCAGTCCGGTACTCCCCTAACTAGATTTCGTGCTGCTGTCCTGTCTCTCCAGCCAACATGCAGCAAATTCACTCGTTGTGCACTCGCGCAGCTGCCTTAACCCCATCCTTCTTCGGAAAGAAAAAGAACCTCAATCGGACGTCCTCACCCGGCCTGGAAGACACGGAAATCTCCGGGCGCATCCTAGTCAGCTTTGTCAGGGCATCGCTGTTTTGAAGCTGTGGAGCACACGCTGCACACATCTGCACACATCTGCACACATCAGCACACATCAGCACACTGACGGGTGCACATGGGCGGCTTCCCGGCACAGGAACGTCCCAGTAGCCCTGGAGAGTCGACCAGCAAGAAACAAAAGAAGCAGAACAGGACAAGCTTTGTGATTGAGCAATGGCTGGACAAAAGGTCGTCCGGGACAAAAGCGCACCTGTATCCCGGTCCAGAGGACTTGGAAGTAAGGAGGGCACTTTCCTCAGAGACAGCACAGAGGAGAGCCCTCGCAAAAAGGGACAGAGAGAAGGAAAACGAGGAAGATCGCGATGGAGACTCTGGAGACTGCTATGACATGCTATGACGAAATGGGCACATCAGTCTTCCCGCCGTAGCCTGCCCCCCCAACTTGATATAAGCGCTTTGCTCGAAGCTCCACTTTGAGTGCAAGGCCTCAGACGAGATCAGAGAGCCGAGCCGAGTCTCTCAAAAAGACATTACCAAAAAAAACCAAAACAGAAAAAAGGGAGAGCTCTACGCGATTGTGAGATATCGTGAAATTCTGTGCTGAGCAAGGATGTCTGCATGTCTCCATTCAGCATTTCTCTCCAATCACGTGGCGCGAGGCGCAAAAGCTCTGCGTAAGCGTTAAGAGCAATCATGTGCCCTCTATAGAGCAGATTTTCCAATGACGCTCGAACAGCGAAGCCGCAAAAGGCTCATTCTACTCCGAAAGACGCTCCGAGCTTGCCCCACGGATGGCAAGTTCTGTGAGCATGATGTAGGCTGCCGTGACGAGATACGCTGAGCAGTAGAAGGCATCAGCCTGCGCCAGCGACCCGCCGAAGCCTAGCAGAGTTTGCATTGCACGGACCGCAGCAAACATCGGCCGCTGCGCGGCGACCCAGAGGCCAGAGGCGGCATGCCTGTCTTGTTGTTTTAAGGTTCACGTTCGGTGGGCCTCATAAGGGCCGAGGGGGTAAGGCTGCTGAGGGAAAGAGCGTCAGGTGGTGAAGAATATACAAGTTGGGCCAAGGCTTGAAAGGGCTTCATTCTGGGATGCGAAAAAGGCTCTAAGTGAGGCGCGGTACGGGCTTAGTGCCCATGGGCTACTGTGGGGGAGACAGAAGAAGTGGCAGACCTCCGATTCTTGAATGCCTCACCTCGTTCCGAGCACCAGTGGGATCGGCAGGCTTGCCAGTGCTGTGCGCTGTGCTTGTGTGGGATCTTCTAACAATCACGGAAGCCAAGCTAGGGAACCTACACATTTAACTTCCACCTGTCGGAGAAATGACCAGGTACACATGCTCTACATGGGATATGCTCCACATGCTGGGCCGCGCGCTCATGGGTCAGCTTTGAATTCCACACCGTCCGAACACAACTGGCCTCAATGCCCACCTTCCATGATCAGCTGTGTGGGCAGTGCCAGTTCGGAAGGTCTGCAAGCCGGTGAACACGAACCAACCGGCAATGACGTACATGCCTCCCCGATTAAAGGGAGGTAGCCAGCCCAACAGCCTGGCGTTCAGGGCATCGGCTGCATCTGCGAGGCTGCCACCCGTCGCGAAGTCTGCTTCTTCAGCTGTCAGGTGGTTGGCATCAATAAGCAGGAAGCCTTCTATTGGAGGCGGGAAAAAAAACATGAGAGTTCTGCGAAACCCACCGTTATTTTGCGACACATAGAAAGACACAGAAAGACACACAAAAAAAAACCAAGTGGCCCACCATGAGCACAGCAGCTGCGCTCAGCATGAGCTGCCCAGCGGCTTCGTGCCTTTTCCCCAACGTGGCACGGCCCTCTTTGCTCAGTTGAAGAGGGGCCAGGAGGCACCAAAGAGCTCCGGGCACCGCATGCAAATATTCCAGGAGCGAACCAAAGCGGTTGTATTTCAAGAGCAGCGACGATGGAGCCAATTGGGAGAAGTATCTGTCGTAGAAGGCGCGTAGCCATTCATCATGCTCGACGGAGGATCCAATCCACGCACTCCCAGGAAACACGAAGACCCAGAAGACCATGAAGATGCTGCTGAAAGTCAGAAGGTCAACGAGTGCTCCGAGTGCTCCGCTGTCTCGGCTAACTTTTGTCGCCCGAGTAGACAGGACCTTTGACACCCTTGCCACCCTTCGACGGGCGAATGCGCTCCACCCGCTCAACGCAGCCGAGGCTAACACGCAGATCTCTGCTCGACCCAACCTCAAAGGCCCGCGATCCTGGTATATGGGCACCAAGACAATAGATTCAATAGATCTTAAAGGAACCTGCATCAGAAGCACTTCGACTGCCCACACTGACTCACCTAAGCTGAAATAAGCCGGTGTGTTGATTCTCAAAGCAGCTCCTCCACACAAGCTCTGGGCAGAAGGCGAGGTCGTGGTGTCTCTGCAGAAGCACAGCGCCAACGGCTCTTGCGGCCGGGAGAGCTTGGAAGCTGCTGCCTCATGCCGCCAGACATCGTGCTGAGCCGGACATTCTCCGACATTGACATCGGGAGAGGCTGTACACGATGGCTTTGAACCAAGTCTTCTCGAGGAGCTCCTCTCAAGCAAGCAGGGAGTTCTGAGCTCACGACGGATTCTCCTGGGCAACCTTAGAGGAGTCTGGATTCTCCAGCTTTTTGATCAAATCCAAAGTCCCTAGCTGCCTTAGCATACTCCTTTCGTACAGTAGACGGTTTGTGCCGCTCAGCTGATCCTTGATTCTAGGATTCTAGGCACAGTAGGGAAGTTCCCTTCATTGTGGTCCCTTATTGGATTACGCATACGGAGCCTTATGTTTAGGGCACACGCATGATTTGAACCTGCACAGCGGTCAGAGGAGGGTTCGGGAGTTCCTCAAGGCGCATGTCAATTCGAAGCCTGTTGATTCGTACTGTGCTGCATGGCTGACAATGGTATGCTGGTAAAGACCCTGTCGGGGTCCAGGCTCGAGGGAGCATGCGAGTCCTGCATTCCCCACTCCGACGCGCTCTCACATACACTCACATTTGGACTCGCCCTTCAGGTTGAAACCCTTAAGGCCCCGCCACGCTTACATCCTCTGGATCTTACTTACATCTTGACGAGACAAACTGCAGTGCCAGAGAGCGAGAGAGAGAGAGAGAGAGAGAGGATTTAGGGGAGAGAGGAGGAGAGATGCGAGAGAAAGAGAAAGGGAGAGAAAGAAAGAGATGAGAGAGGGATCAAAGAGGGATGGGACAGAGATTGTCATCCCTGAGCCTGTAAGACTCATAAGACTATAAGATAAGAATCCAATTGAGGTTCGGTCGGGGCTTGGAGGAGAATTCAGGCACCTGCCACCGCAGGGCGAAATCGATGCAGGACCGGCTTGTGCCCAGGCCTCAAGGCGAGAGCTGAAGGCGAACAGAGCTTGCAATGGCTTGCAACATCTTCCATCATTTGCATGCGCTAGCATGGGGCTTGATATTATGCAGCCGGCACACCACAAAAGCCGCAGTGCATGCTCTTCGGCTCATGAATGTGCACACGAAAAGAAGGGTGGTGAAGACTTCCTGGCATCATCTCTCAGCCAGCTGCGTGAGGCATCGGGCATCTTCCCCTGGGCCCCCCCGAATGCAGGAAACGTCCTGAAACCCAACCCATGCACGCATGAAAAAAACAGCTCTGAACCTCTTTTGCCGCACACCTTGATCAAGTGAACGGCACGATTGATGTCAGCTCGATGGGCAGCTGACCTGCAACTTTGCGTCCCTTTCACACACGCTGCGTGCATCAGCCCTGAGGAACAAGGCACCGGCGTAACTGACACCTTAGGACTTCACTTGAGCGATCCTACCATCAGTCGAACCTACTTGCAGACCTCGAGAAACTAGTGAGAGCCGAAAAAGAATGGCTGAGAGTCGCACACTTTGTGGCACATCAAGAAAGGAACCCTTCGTCAAATGTAGAGGGCTCCTGAAGCACCAAAGTGTTTTTCAAGGTTTGGCCTTCGAACTTCCCAAAGCTTGAGAGTGCTCTCCTGCGGTAGATCGCCCTGGTCGTGTCAGACATACCATCGCTGACAGGCATCATGGTGTCAAGCTGTCGCCGCTTTGGGCAAAAGCTTCTGTTTCGAAAGTTGGCCTAAAGCTAAAATACAGTGCAAGGAAGCTTCCGTGGAACTGGTTCCAGATCGCGGTTTCTAGCTATGCATTTGACACATGCATGTAGCAACACCCGATCCAAATCATGGCTTGCATACTAACATATCCAAGCCCAGACAGGAACCTCCCCCCCCCTCTATACTGCGAGCCACATGCGCGTGTCGTGCAGATGCAAGGAGAAGTGAACGCGCCAGATATCCAAAAAATATCTTCGAGAGCACTACTGGCAGCAGTCGTGCACTTCTTTCCCTCTGGAACTAAGCTCTGGCCTTGTCACCCGGCAGCTCAACCTGACAAGAGCACCAGCACTCCACTCCGTCTGGCCCGAAGAGTTGGGCTGCTTCTGGCCGCACAGCTGGAGCTAGGTCTGGGGGAGAGGGGGGCATCACACTTCATATGACTCGCCTGGTCCAGCAAGGGCAGGATCCTTGAATCGCAGAGACACTGCATGTACGAAATAAACCACATTTTTCAGTCAGTGCATGTGCGCCAAAGACATGGCTCAAACACCAAATGTTCCGAAATGTTCCGCACACGCTCGGCCCGGCTCGGTCCCTGGCTCCGAAAAGGGCGGCCGCTTGGCTGGCGTCCCGGCCTCCACTATAGGACGTGGCCCCTGAACATCCATGAGTCCCCCTGTCGTCTACCCTGCCCCACGACCTCTAGGACCTCGGCTTGGCCAGAGTACGATACATACTTAGTGCCGCTGCTGTATGAAATCATGGTCGGCTCCGGACTGAATGCACTGGGTGCTCCGAAATATCAAAAGGCACTCAGACAACCTTCATCGTAGTAGTAGTACTAGTCGTAGGTAGTAGTAGTAGTAGTAGTAGTAGTAGTAGTAGTAGTAGTAGTAGTAGTAGTAGTAGTAGTAGTAGTAGTAGTAGTAGTAATAGTAGTAAAGGACAACATGATAGTAGTTTTCCGCACGCATTTTCCTTTCTAAAGGCCTTACATTCGGTGGCCTTGCCAGCATTTTTAGCATGTTGCAGTGCTATTTTGCAGCGCTAAACGCTCCATTTTTTGCACGTCTCTATCAAGAACACACGCGAACCACCGAGATGGTACTGCTTTTGTCATGTATCGTCCCGGTTGACTTTGTGAGCAGAAGACGGGAGGAGGAGAAGGGTTGTGTCTGTTCGGAAAGTTTCTACAAGTCGGCTCTTCGATTATACCTAAAGGTCCACAATACAAAGCTGCACATCCCCTCTCGCGAATCGGACTCAGAGCGCACCCAGCAGCATTGCATCAGCTTGCAGAGAATCTCGGGGCACTCCTCGGGCACCTGCAGAAGGGCGCATGACACGGAAACCCTGGGCCTGTGGCCCTGCGAGACAGCCGAAGCGCCAGGTACCCCTCCCACTACCCCCCTTGGCAACGGTCATGAAGACTCCGAGAACCCCGCAGAGGCCAGGTCGGGACCTCGATGGGTCAACAAAAAAGCATTTTTAGCAAAAGCTTAAGAGGCATAATGCAGGGCTTAAATTGCGCGAGAGCATTTGCAGTTATCCACAAGTCGTCCAAATCAGCATCTACGAGGGCTCCCTTCGGCCCTTTGAGGCGCAGGCGGCAGCCTTTCACCGCCAAGCGGCCGATCTCAGCCGGGTTCTGATCCTTTCGGTTTCTGTGTTGGAGCCTCTTGATGCTTGCATTGACGGAGATAAGGAGCGATTCTGGCACTTGGTGAAGTGTGTTTTTGAAGTGCTTCCGTTTGGCCTCGAAGGGAATCTCCTGGCAAATGACCCTGCCATCGGCCCAGACATGCAGATAGCCGCCGAAATGAGTGACGTGGCCAAGTAGGTCTGGTCTAAAGAATGGAAAAGAAAGCCATGCAAAGCCATGGACAGGAGCACTCAAACAGGATCATGGCATAGGAGTAGAGGTCCACCTGACAGCTGTGGGCCACCAAGACTCGATTAACTTACGACTTTCTGCCACTTCGCCTTCTCGTCGTAAGTGTGGCTCACAAAGACTTCCGGGGCCATCCAATGGCAAGTTCCTCAGAGGATGTGCCATGTGCCATGTGCCATGATGTGCTCTCCAGGAGCCACTGAGCCGGCCTGCTGCGCGAGTCATCTTCCCCCAGCTGGAGTCCGGTGCCTGCCATGGTGAATACATGGCACACCATAGCAGCCATAGCACGCCACTGCTGTTTTTCGGTTCCTGACAACGCCCAGGGACCCTTACGTTGAAACCCTGAAGCAAGTAGCAAAGCCCGGCTCCTGCCACTTGATGCGCGCCAGCCCGAAGTCCGAGACCTGCTCGGAGATCGGAGAGCGCTAGGGACTCCCCGAGTTCCCCCTGCTGGGATTTGGTAGCTGAAGGACACCTGAACCTTTGCGATTCTGTTGTTTTCTTCGGCCAGTGGCCTTGGTGAAGGGCACGTCCTCCTGACTTCTCACCGGGCTGCTGAGGAGCAGGTTCAGGGACTTCAAGTCCTCCACAGGATCTGCCCGACCCCCACTCGAGTGCAGGGGGTGGGGGCGGCAAAGAGAGTCGGTCACCCGGTCGCCAGGGCCCAGGCTCTGTGGATCACCTGCGGGTTGAACCTCACCGAGCAGCTCGCATCATTGCCAGTTGTCCAGTCGAATCGCTGTGCAAACTTGGCACATCTTGGCGCCCAACTCGTGGAGGTACCTCATCGCCTTCGCGACGTCCACGCAGATCCGTAGCTTCTGCGACCTGCAGTCACATGACCCGCAGGTTGCACAGCTTCGAATGAGGTGAACGGCTACAGTGGCTAGAGTCATGTATCTGACATGCCCCTGCATGATATAGTATAACTGTAGGGCACTGTAGGGAAACCAAGTTAAACCAAGGCCCCGCGCCAAGAAAGGAGAAGCCTCAGACACCGATTCAGAGCTCGTAAATTCTTCTCAGCTTTGCATCCAGCTGAAGCTGTCGCAACGTTTCAGATGTTTCAGGAATCTCTGATTATGTTGGCTGAGCTCAGCAGAGGGCTCCTGGTTGTGGAGCAGGGAAAAGACGCAGCCTCCCGCGCAGAACCTCGAGGGCGCACTTTATGCCTGAAGCCTCCGGGCCTCCTGTTCCTTGAGGCGCTCGCTCTGTGATGATCCGGAAAGGCCTGCTTGCGAGACCCTATTCAGTGAGCCTCTTAACCGAAACCTTGCACAAAACTTCGCGGTGTGCCCACGCCAGCCTTTCAATTGACGAGATGCCCAGGAACTGGACGAGGTTTTCGTGACAGGTCCTGTCACAAATAAGAGAACCGATTGGGATAATTACAAAGATTGACTCTGACTCTGATGCGGCCCGGATGTGCCTCATGAGAACCGCAACTTCGCGCTCAAACGCACGTTGCCCCTTGCGGAAGCTGCATCATGACAACAGGGGACTGGAATTTGCCCGCAACATGATGGAGCGCGCCGGTTCCCCCGCGCTGGACTTGTCCCAATCAATCTGCTTGACGGCGACCTTCCAGCAAGAACTGACTTGAAGGGTTGAAAACCGTAACTTTTTGCTCGCCTGCTTTTCATTATGCTTGTTTGGGGGGGCGGGGGTAGGGGGGGAATGGTGGAGGGTTGTTGTAAGGAAAGGGTCTGGCGCAATTGTTGGGCTGGGGTCTCCTCTCCTCTGAAAAAACCCCCTTTGAAAAAGAAGCCAAACAAGGTCCCCCTCGCTAACTCAACTGCGCGCTGATATCTTCCTTCTTTACCTGAGCTAGTCATCTTTGTCAGCCTTGGACGTTGCCAGCTTTGGGCAACTTGCGCGGCGTTCGTGTTGCCTAATGATTAGCATCAACTGCGTCTTGGCGAAGAGCCACATAACGAAGAACGAGAGGAAACGCCACATTCTACAATTGCTCACGGTGAGGAACAGATAGCTGGCCCCTTTGAGGCCGTAGGAGTAGCCGACAAGATTGGCAACGATGAGCATCTGTATGCACATGGCACCTCCCAAAGCTCTCAGATGACGGGCAGCCGTCGGATGGCTGTCAAGCCATGCCTTCTTCAAAAAAGCCACACTATATGGAGAAGAGGGAGCTAGACAGAGAGAGAGAGAGAGAAAAAAAAAAAAAACGCGAAAGAAAGCGAGTTCGAAGACGTGTAACACAGGAGATTTGTTGTAAGACCTCATGTGCTTTCATATTTCAGAGCCAGCCTTGCAGCCAGGTAGGCTGCAAAGGCGTTCTGCTGCAATCTCTGGGACCACGAACAGGGCCAGAAGCCAGCCCCAGACCTCCACCATCTGAGAAATCTCAAAATTTGGGGGACTTTGCGGTATAGGCGGAAAGACCTATAAAAATCCAACACTGCAGTATGATGAGTATACTATGACTCAGAATGACCATTGGCATGTAACACGGCTGAGCTTAGCACAGTTGAGCTTAACACAAACACCATGAACAAACAAACTTCTCAAAGTGCAAACATCTGCAAAACTCTGCAAAATTCTGCAAACCAGCAACAAGCAGTCTTTGCTCCTCCCTCAGCAGGTGCAGCAAGGTAGGTTCGTGCCAGACTGCCACGAAAGTAAAGACCAAAGCTGTGCTTCCAAGCTGTTGTAGGAGGGACCCCGATCCTCCCGGAGCGATGTCTTTCGATGTCTTTTTTTGGGGGCAGAAGCACTAGAGCAGGGGAGGCTAAGCTTAGGAGTGCCCGGAGTATGGGCCCGTATAAGGGTTCTGGCGAACATGAGCGATGCAAGGAGAGACACTCGGGGATCCTCCGAGGGGCACGTAGAGGTAGCGCACCAGCCACCGGTTGAAGGATCGATGCCAGCCCCGCCAGAAGTCTCTGACCGAGTAGTTGTTGCACATGCATCTCTCCATGTTCTCTACAGAATTGACACCGTCAGTTAGAGCCCAAGCTCTTGCAAAGCGCCAGATGACGAGGAACTTGAACCAAAGCCCCTTCAAAGAGAAGAAAGAGAACCAGATCATGGTCTCCCCGTCCAGGCCAAAGTTCAAGAGGTTGTCAAAGATCACGGCCTTGTTGTCTCTGAGCCCCGGTAGTGGTCCATTGACGGCCAAGGCAGAGGTGTACAAAAAGTGGCCGAAGGCGATGAAGAGGAAGGTGTTTAGGAGCCACCGGAGCCAGTACTTCACCAAGGACCAACCCCAAACCTCGCGCTGAGGTCGCTCCATGTACGACGCGAAGGCGTTGAAGGAGATGATGGGCCCGGTCATATACAGGGGTGCATAGAGCAGGTAAGCCCAATACAGCTGGAATGACTGATATTCCCGGAGCGGTCGGCTGGCTTCCACTCGGTCGCCATGTTCCGTGGGAGGTTCAGGGTATGCCGGGTGTGCCTCCGCTTTGGAGGCCGAAGCAAGGCTGCGGGAGAGGTCCGCGCTCCAGCTGATACAGCGCAGGACCCAGAAGCGCAGGACGCTGAACCAGGAAAGCTCTCCCTGGAAGCGGTCCATCCACCGCCCCCAAGCCCTCAAGTGGGCCAGAGCGCCCAGAAAGGGCTTTGTGAGGGGCAAGCCTTCTAAGGCTTTGGAGTTTTCCAAACGCCGGGAGGTGCGGGGGTTGATGCCCAGAGATAGGAGGGACTCCAGGCTCAGCTGCCGACCAGCCGCCGCCAGAGCCAAGATCCCCAGCAACCAACTGGCGGGGACCAGCAGAGGCCGGCAGCGGGTGGCCAAGAAGCGTGAGACCGCGTAGTTCAGCAGCGCGTAGGCTGCGGGCTGCAGAATCGTGAACTCGTGGAGGAACGCCACGTAGCCGGCGCCAAGGACAAGAGTTGCGGCGAGGTCCAGCTTGAAACTCGTGAATCGCGTGGTTAATCGGGAGGCTCCACAGACTGCTTTGGTCAGGAGGTAGCCGACTACGAAGGCCAGGATGCTCGGGAAATTGGCGACCAGCTCACGAGTCTGCAAGTCCTTTCGGTCCCAGCGTCGGCCCAAGAAAGTCCAGCTGAGCCAGGGCATGTCATCGTAGAGGCCCCACACACGGTCGCCATGGGCGGCACAAGTGCTCAAGCCCAGCTGAGTGCAGTAGGTGAGATAGGCGTTGCTGAGGCGATGCACATGCAGTACACCTTCAGCGTAGAAATACACGATGATCCCTATCCAAATGCTGGTCTCCAAAAGCCCGATCTTCGGGCCGCCCAGCAAGAAGGAGGAAGCCAGTGTCAGCAGAAACACCACCGGCAAGAGCTGCCTCACAAGTGACCTCTCCTCGTCAACCTCGGGCATCGCCTCAGAACAGTCCCAGTTATCCCCTTTCGCAGGGATATGGATCTCGTGGAAGGGCACCTGTCGACCCGAAAAATCCGGAACCTCAGCTGGATTAGGGCAGTTTAACACTAGTTTAACCATGGCTACAAGTCAAGAACTAAGTCTGCCCTTACACATGCCCGAGAAGAGCCCCTGTCCCATGGCCACCTCGATTTCTCCAAACTCTCGACATCCCTCAAACAGTTCGAACTTCAAGCCCTCAAACCCGAGGGCTTGGACTGAGGGTGTACAATGGTGTGAAGATCGTGTAACTTTGTAAGCTTTGTAAACTTTGTAATTGCATCGAAACTACAGTTATGGTTCGAAGGGCTGGGGACAGCTTCTGCAATGTGCTTGCTATGTGCTTGACTCCCCCTGCCTCGAAAGAGCGTTGCCGCGCGTCCGGTGCTCCTTTGGGTGCGACCAGGTGCATCAGGACCTCAGCGCATTAAGAGCCTTTTTGAACCTTTGCCAGAACTTGAATCGGGACTAATTTAAGGTGACCTTGCAAAGCTTTTCGCACCATTGGCAGCCTGGGTTCCTCCTCTCCGTCCTGCTTTCTGCGCACGGCGAGCTGTGCCGGCCCGGCGAAGCCCAGCAGCTTACGCGCAGTCTGTGCGTGAACTAGATGAGACGTGTACCCCTGCGACGTGCCATTGTCGCCCTTGGTGCCATTTTTTGGAGGTTTCGGGCCTGGGAAAATAAGGATTTGTAACTTATCATTAAGGGTTTGTTGAGGTTTGCAACGTTCCTGAGGTTGATAAGCATGTGCACTTTCGTTCCTAGCTGCTGGCAGCTACAGTACTAACTTCTGTAGTGGTCTCGAGATGTAGGGCTTGCGGGTGTGTAGGGGTGCTAGGGGGTTGGGGTCCATTGCCCTGATTGCCCTTGGTCAACTTCTCCAGTGCCTCCATCGCCACCACCATGTCACAGTAGCCGTCATTCCATATCATCAAGTTTCCAGACACAGGCAGGAACAACACACAGCAGACGAAGCAGGCGAGAACGGGCGCGCTTCTGAAGCGGACCGCCATGCCACTACAAGCCGCGACAAGACCACAATGTTTGGCAAGCAAGCGAGCCCAAGTAGGGTCCCTAGCAACAGTTGAGCCCAATGCATGAATGTTCCCGAGCTGCGAGAAGTTTGCACAATGTGGTGAATTTGACTCACGCGGGCCTGGTATCGACCATCCAGGATGGCCTCCGGAACAGAAGCTTCATGCAAACGACCCTCACAGACCCTCTTTTCTCTGCATCGAGGGTCCTGGTACACGTGGGCTGTCACCTCACAGCCCGAATGGACCAAAGACAGCTTTGCATGAAGCTAGGGCAGGGGCTGCTTGGAGTTTGAATGCCTTCGATCTGAGGCCGTGGCACCCTGCCCAACAGACCGCTCCAGAACAACCCGGTCGAATCCGATCTGGCCACGTTGGGAAAGCAGGTACTTGGGGATTTCCGAAATTAAGGGTACGTTATGGGCGTCCTTATAATTCGGGAATCCTACTATTCGGGGGTCTATTTTCGGGCTCCCTTATTTATTTTCGTAAGCCCCCACTTGAGTGTGGCCCGTATACATACGAACACACACACACTCACACACATATATGTATATATAACTGTGCGTAAAGGTATATGTGCCAAGTGTACATGAAAAATCTATACATATAATATATTTCATATATATATGCTACCCCCCCCGCCTCATGTACCCACGCTTTGTGCTTGAAATTCTGGAAATTTCCGGAAAATCTGGGTTTTTAGGGCTTAGCGTAAAGGAATTCGGGAATAGGATTTATTTTTAGGATTTAGGGGCTCTCCTCTGTAGGAATTAAGGAACCCCCCTCTTCAGGGATTAAGGATCACAATTTGGAGAGTGAAATCAAGGAAATAAGGTTTAGGGAGTAAGATTTGGGGGTCCGGCTCTTTGGGATTTAGCACAGAGGACTTGGGAAATAGGATTGGTTTGTAAACTGCACCCTGCTTTGCCTATCAATAGCCAATAGCATTTCGTGTTCACCCTGACAAGTCAATCGGTCATGATGCGTGTGCAGCGCTCTCGTGAAACAGCAAAGGCTGGCGCTCTTGGGTGTGCGCAGGGTTAAGGAATTTCTGATTTCTGACTGCTCAATGTCGGCCGGCCATGTTCTTCACAGCCTGAGCCGTCAGCGGAGCGAGCAGCACAAAAGGCGCTTTGCCTCCGTGAGCAGCTTGTCCCAGAAGCTTTCAGACCTCTTTGCTGTCAGGGTTCTTCGAATAGCTCTGCCGCGCTGGAAAGCTTGGATCTTCACGGCGGCTTGATGCTTCTGCTCCTCTGCTCCCAGCCGTTTCTGACCCAGTAGCAGTGGCTTGAAGAGGCACAAGCTTTCGTACGCCTGTCAAAGCAAGACCCTCTTAGAGTGTCGCAGGCACGCAACAGACCACGGTTTCTGTTTGTTCATGTGCATTGTTCATAGCTGCGTGGCCCCTTGCGCAGGGAAGACGAGGGCTCTCCTCAACAGGATGTAAGGATTCCCCTCTTTAGGGCTTAGGGAATAACATTCAGGGAATGAATCTAGGGAACAAGATGTAGGGACCCCACTCTTTATGATTTAGTGATAAGGATTTGGGAAATCGGATCCTTAAATTCGAAGGAGGATAGCCCCTACATCTTGAGAAGGAGAGCCCCTGAATCCTAACACAAATCCTTTTCCCTAAATCCTTTTCGCGAAACCGTAAAAAGTGGGACCCACATCTTACTGGGTAGGGGATCAAAAAAATTATTTGGGATCAAAAAATACTTTATTTCTAGGCGGATCAAAAAAAGCTTATTTGGGATCAAAAAACAATTTACTGAAGGCTTCGAAGGCTTCTTGCAAGCGAAGCGGATCCCGTAAACGCTCAGAAATGCAGCAGTTCTGGCCGTTCGCAGTTTCCAGAGGCTGCAAATACTAAAAATAGCAGCATTTCTGCGATTTCAAAGGCTGGAAATACTGTAAATAGCAGCATTTCTGAGTTTGCAGAGGCTGCAAATCAATGCTGGCATCTTGGCATTAGAAGTTTCCAAAAAATGCGTATACTCTGAAGCATGTACATTATGGCATAGTATTGTATATTCTTGTATAGTATTGTATGACATTGTATATTCTTGCATATTATTGTATATTGTTGTACATCTTGTTGAGTATTATTGTATTGTCGTGTGTTTTCTTGTATTTTTGTATAATACTTTATATTGTTGCATATTATTGAATGTTATTGTATATTTTCAAAATTGTTGTGTATTATTCTCTTTTTTTGTAGATTACTGTACATTATTGTATATTATTGAGTTTTCTTTGTATGTTACTGCAGATTATTCTATATTATAGTATATTATTGTATGTCATTGTATATTATTGTCTATTATTGTCTATTATTGTATATTATTGTATATTATTGTATACTATGTTACATTATTGCATGTCATTGAGTTTTTGTGTTTTTCTATATTACTGTATATTTTTGTATATTTTCGAAAATTATTGTATATATTGTTGTGTATTATTGTACATTTTTGTATATTATTGTATATTGTTGTCGATTATTGAATACGATTGTCAATTACTGAAAATTGTTGTAAGTTATTCTTGTTTTACGTGTATATTGCTGCATATTCTTGTATATACTTGAAAAGTGTTGTGTTTTTGTGTATTATTATATTATGCAAAAAAGTGCTCGCATCATGGGATTGGAAGGATTCATGTGCTTTGAAGCAAGCTTGCCCGGACTAAGAAAACAGCGGGGGGGTTGGGGGGGGCGCAGCCTCCCCCATTTGCAAACACAACGCTCGCATCATTGGTTTGGAAAGGATATTCATATGCTGGCTTAAAAAAACGGCGGGGGGTTTGAGGGGGGGGGGGGCGCAGACCCCCCCCATTTGCAAACACAATGCTCGCATCATGGGTTTGGAAGGGATTCATACGCATTGAACAAGCTTGCCCGCCAAGCAAACAATAAACATGTATTGTGCACCATGATTTTTATATATACAAATAGCATTAAATATATACATATACGCTTTCTTACTACGATTTTTGATATTTTTTTATCATACAAAGGTATACTATACGATATTGTGTTCTATGATACTCTATTCCACTATATAATATCATTGTACTTTGTTTTCATATATAAACATACATATATCATATGTTATGTTATGTTTTCCTACAGAACTAAATATACCATTATGACCAAAAAGCAATAAATAAAAACAAACTCTGACCACGGGACCGGGAAACCACGGGACCAGAGGACCGGAGGACCGGAGGACCAGAGGACCACGTGACCAGAGGACCTTAGGAGCACAGCACCAAGCAACCAAAGGCCAGACTACGTATGCTTTGAAGCAAGCTGGCACGACGTCTTCCTTGCTTTCTTTCTTTTGTGAAATTGCCTTTTTCTGTCTTTCTTGATTCCGGCCTTCCTTTTCCTTTTCCTTTTCCTTTCCTTTCCTTTCCTTCCCTTCCTTCCCTGCTTCCTTGCTTCCTTGCTTCTTTGCTTCCTTGCTTCCTTGCTTCCTTGCTTCCTTGCTTCCTTGCTTCCTTCCTTCCTTCCTTCCTTGCTTCCTTCCTTCCTTCCTTCCTGTCCTTCCGTCCTTCCGCCCTTCCTTCCCTCCCTGATCCTAAATAAAATTTTTCTTGATCCTAAATAAATTTTTGTTGATCCGCATCCCCATCTTACTCCCTTAATGTTATTCCCGAAATCCTATTCCCTACAGAGGGCGTCCTTAAATCTTAAAGAGGCTTTTCTAAAAACCTATCCCCCAAGTCCTTATCCTGCAGTAGGACTTTTCTTAGGGCTTCGGGAATAACATTAAAGAATCAATCTAGGAAAAAAATGTAAGGACCCCGCTTTTTAGGATTTGGTGCTGAGGATTGGGGGAATAGGATCCTCAAGTTCCAAGGGGAGGGCCCCTAAATCTTGAAAAGGAGAACCCCTGAATCCTAAAAACAAATCCTATTCCCTAAATAATTTTCGCGAAGACGTAAAAGGTGGATTCTTTTCTCTAAAATCTTAAAGAATGGGATCCCTTGATCTTATTCCCTGATTAAATTTGCTCTCAAATCCCATTCCCGAACCCTGGAAAGGGAGTCCTTACATCTTAAAAGCAGATCCTATTCACTAATTCGTTTTCGCTGAGCCCTAAAGGGTGGGATCCCAAAATCTTCGTCCCCATCTCAATCCCTGAATGTCTTTCCCTAAGTCCTATTCCCTAAGCCCCAAAGAGGGGTCCGTCCCTAAACCCTAAGCTTAAGCCTGAACCCGAAAGCAAAAATGACTGGTATTGCCTCATTCTTTTCTTTAAATCTTAAAGGGCGGGATCCCTTAATCTTATTCCCTCATACTTACTCTCAAATCCTATCCCCGAACCCTGGAGAGGGATTCCTTACGTCTTAAACATCAAGGGTGGGATCCCGACATCTTCTTCCCCACCGTATTCCCAGAATGTTTTTCCCAAAGTCCTGTTCTCTAAGCCCCAAGAGGGGTCCGTAAATCTTAAAGAGGAGAGTCCCTGGGCCCAAATCCTAAGGATGCACGTCTGCAAGCCTAAACCCTAAACTCTAAACCCTGTAAACCCTAAACCCTAAACTTAAGCCTGAATCCGAAACCCTGAGCCCTACATCGTGGGACTGCGTGTGGCTTAGGGCCTAGAGAGCGGCTTTCCTCTAAACTTAAGCCTAAATCCTGAAGAGCGGGATCCCTAACTCCTGTTCCCGAAATCTTCTTTTCTTAATGCCCTTCAAATCCTAAACCGCTAAGCCCATAAGGGTGGGATCCTACTTTCCTTAATGCAGCTAGATGACACCGAGTCAAAACAAGATGAAACGCATTCAAATGCATTCAAAATGCATTCAACTTGAATGCGCCCTTGGATTCAAGATTCAAGGTGCCCGGGAGAACTTGCCCGGGCATCATGAATCTTGAATCTTGAATCCAAGAGTGCATTCAAATTGAATGCGTTTTGAATGCATTTGAATGCGTTTCATCTTGTTTCATCTTGTTCCGGAGCGAAACTTACGTGCTTATGTATACTAAATGAAGTTGGTTTTCGGGCTCGTCTGCTTATGAACGTTTTGCTGAGCTTGAGGCACTGGCGTTTCTGCAGAAGCTGAGACTCTGGAAAAAGGCGTGGGTACATGGAGGGGGGGGGTACCATATATATATATATATGTATATATTCATGTAGGTACTGTGTCATTGCATGTTAGGACTGCGCGGCCTCCCAGGAGCGGCTCGGTGGCGCGGCATCCAGCTTTGCCTCCGGCGGTGGCGGGGGCGGGGGCGCAGCCTGGACCATCAGCGGCGCAGCCTTTTGAGCGAGGAAGGTGAGGAAGAAGAGAAGAGAAGAGAACTGAAGTGAAGAGAATTGAAGTGAAGAGAAGAGACGAGAAATCAAGAGATGTGATAAGAAGCGTCCAATCGAGGCTGTGACCATGGGAGCGGTTCCTCAGCCTAGCGATTCACTCGCTTTCATAGCTGTTCTTGCAGTCAGTTGTTTCTTCCTGGCCAAGAAGTCCAGTACGAGCAAACGATCTGCAAACGGTTTCGGAAAGATTCAGGAGCAAATGAAATGCTCTCTTAGCCGGTGGCCAGAGCATGGGTCACATGGCTCAAGACAGGAAAAACGCGTTAAAGGATGGCTGGTGGCTGGTGTAAGAATGCAATAGGCCCACTGGATGCTTCACTCTGAATCATGCCTTCATGAGTGACCTCGACTTGAACCGAAGCGAATGCAAGGCGTCGGCGCTTGCATACAATTTCTTTCTAGTCTCGCCGAGGTGCGGTAAGCCTTCTACAGTAAGCCCTTCTTCTGCTGCGAATCTTCACCCAAATACAAAGGCACTCAGTAAAGAGAGCGAGAGAGAGAGAGAGAGAGAGAGAGGGAGAGAGAAAAAAAAAGAGAAAGAAGTCAGTCCAAGCAGCTGAGCCCTTTCCGAAGCTCGCACCCTACGTCACCTTGACAGGACGCTCGGTGAGCTGGCAGACCTTTAAGGGCAGCCACCCACTGAAAACATTGTGAAACACGGGTTAAGCTGCTCATCTGCCAGTTTCTTGACGTTTTGTCTCTTTTTTTGGCTTCAGGTCTGGCCGATGGCTACGGTGACACAAACGATCAATTCATTGCACTGTCCGTAATGGCGTACGGGCATGCCAGTAGCCTGTCTGTCCTCCAAGCATGCTTCCAGTTGTTTCGTTCAAGCGTGCCCCTGCGCAGACCGACCTCTTGATGTCTTACCCTTTCCCTCCAGCCTCTTTGGCGGCTTTGCTGGTTGCCTCACCACAGCAAACAATTGCAGCAACAGATGCACTTTGGCACACCTTGGGGCACCAGTACCAGCAGTATCCCGCGGTGCCTCGCAGCGAGGTCCGATGGGGCGAAGCCAGCTGCTTGGCTCGGATACCAGCCGCAAGACTGCCAAGGCTGCCAAGGTACCATGAAGTGCACTCTGTTGGGCGCCTTTCTGATTGCCAGCCCTTTCTAAAGTCAATACAAGAACCGTCTCCTTTGCTCTGGCCATGCTTGTGGCTTTGGAGTTTGCACCAAGCTCATCAAATCGTTTGGACCTGAAGGGACGACACGGGAATCTCCGAATCTTCAGGGGTTCGGAAGCCAAGCTTCCAGCAGCACCGATGCTGGGACGTCCAGCGGCGTCCTAAGTCTTAAGTGCACTCGCCTGTAAACGTCTCCCAGTCCAGGATACAGCTCAACGACGCCCTGTGCCCGCCACCCCGTGCGTCGTCTTGAATGGCGGGCAAGCTTTGCCTCAAGCGAAGTGCCACGCAATGCCACGCACCGAAGAAAACGGCAAAGCAATGGCCAAACAAGACGGATTCGAGTCGAGAGGATGTGGGCTGCGCTTCCAAGGCCCGAATCAGTGGCCGAGCCTCCGCCGACTGCACCAGATCCTTTTCGCGCTTTAAACGATCCTGACACAGAAGCCCAGTGGGTACCAATACGACCAGTCCTATCCCATCCTTGGCGGGGCCTTCAGGCTGTGAAGGAGGCGCGCCAACTGCCGCTGCTCGGCATCTGTGGCCTGGTGATGCCAATTGTGTTCTTGCCGCAAGGAACTTCCTCATCGCATCTCAACATACTTCTCTCGAGCGAATGCCATGGGAAGACCGAGTGAAACCCTAGCCATATAACAAACTTCCGCGAAACAATTTTGCCCCGACCGACCTCAAATTTGGGAGGGGGTCGGGGCACCTCATGGTTCTCCTCGGAGTTAGCCGAAGAGTACTTGGCCGATGAGGGCCTGACCATAAGAGGCAATTTACCACGGCCGAAGCTCTTTGTAACATGTGCCTTACTCAGTCGTCACTCTAACAGATCTGCTGCGAACACGCACACACACGCGCGCACGCGCGCGCCCACACACACACACACACACACACACAGAGACAGACAGACTCACTCTCCCCCCAAAATGGGTCCCCCTCCCTGCGCACTCTGGGTTCCAGTCTCAGAGTCTCTGTGGGTTCACTGAGTTCACTGCTTGCGCCATCTCTGGGTTGCGAGCGTCGGTGTCCGGCTCCGCAGCTTGATGAGGGGCTTCGGGTAGTCCACCTTCAGTGATCCGACCTACGACTCTTCGATGCTCTTCGTATATGGGTAGCTTGTTCATATATACCACATATACAAATTTGTATGTATATATATATATGTATATACAATATATGTACAATATCTTGATGGTTGCTGTACATCTTTGAACTACTGCTGCACATATCTGTCATTGGAGCTGCTTCCGAACACCTGCTGTTTCCGCCTTGGGGCCAAGGGCCGCCTCGTACGCCTCACGCCTCGCCATCACGTGCTGCACCTTCGCTGATACAGCAAGCATTGAGTGAAGCACTCGAAGTCGCTAAAGCCTCTCTGCGCTTGAGACCCTCCTCTGCCAACCCAAGCCCCAAGCCCTCAATATCCTCAGCCATCCTCCTTTTCAATTTCAGTGTCTCTTGACGCCGAGGCCAGTCCCTTCGACAAAAACAATGCGCCCTGAAAGTCTGAAAAAAGCCTGAGATACTTGAATCCGTACAGAACCTGCTCATTGAACCCGCGACGACTCCGTTAGACCTCGCCAAGGCCAAGGCCCAGCGGCTGTTGCCCGGCGCCGGCGGCAGCGGCGTGCGAGGCGCTGGCCGAGGTGAGGGGATCTGCACGCAGGAGACTCTAGGGTCAGTGTGGCCCAGCATGGAACAAAAAATAACGAAGGGGTTGGGCGCCTCTACGTCGCCCGCCTCCTTCATCCATGGAGGAACCAGCTCCTGCAAGATGGACAAAATTCGCGCGTTTCAACTTCTTTCTCACCTTCCAACGCACACGCTTGACTTACGTTCGCAGGCCAGCCTTCTGCCTCTCCACTTCTGCTGGATCTCGGCACGCCTGTCGTTTTCTTTCAAGACTTCACCAGCCTCTTAAGGCCCCCGATGTTTCTCCCGGGGTTTCTGCAGGCCTGCTCCGTCATCAGGGCCACCTCCCGCCTCAGCATGATAAAAAGGGAAGTCCTTTGAGGAGGCTTACGACAGGGCAGGAAAGCATCTGGGCATCAGGCGAGATGGTCCGCTCGAGGGCGCGCTGGGAAATCACCTGAAGGAAGCTCTGGAAAGTCTTCGTGACCAAGACTCTTCGTTGCAGGTTGATACTCCCGCAATCGCGGATGATCGACGGCTTCTGAGGGCTGCACATTGCAGGTGATGTGTCCGGTGGACGCAATTGGGAGAAGTCGCCCAGCCATGATCCGAAGGTTTCAGCTCCGATTCTGGTCCGAGTCCTCCGTACGAGCTAGCGGGTGGCGGCTGAAAGTCCACGCGGCACGTAAACTCAGCTAATCTCCGTCGCTTTGGATGACCTGAATGTGTGTCATATAGATAATATAGAGCCAAACTCAAGCTGCCAGGACGGGACGAAAGATGCACCCTTGCACGGCAGTATCCAAGGCCTAGCAGAGACGGAAGGCACGGCAGGGGCACTTGTGCCCACTCCCTCTGCGTCTTGCGGTCGTGGGTTTGCCAGTAGCCGAAAATAATGTTGCTGAATTCCGTTTTGGAGCTCAGCTGGAGTGACATCAGAATCAAAGGCGGCAGCCACGGCCCATCACAAGTTGCTGTTCAGCAGGTGAGGTCAATGGCCATGGTTCAAGAGCCTGGCAGAAATTGACAACCTCTCGTGCGACGAAGATGTTAAGTTTGAATACGTGTGACGGGCCTGTTTCGCGGCGAGATCTTGGGAATAAGGCTTGATGGCATCCGTGGCGTGAAGCTGCTTTTTACCTGCCAAGCCGACATCTTGGTATTTCAGGCACACGAAATCTTATCATAACCATGAGCCCTACAGCCCTAAAAGCCCTGAGTCCTGGCAACATGCTGGTGTTCGGCAAACATCAGAGAGCCAGGTACCACTGCTGGCCAGGCACTTTTTCGATCCGCTGAAGAATGCCCAAATTCTCCTGAGACCGGAGAACCGCAACAGGCGAAAAAAGCAAATAGAGCTTGTGTACCTTCAACCGTATGGTTTTCGAACAAATGCTAACCAATGTGGATACTTGTAAGTAGATACAAATTAATATGCTGTATTTGTGCGATGGTGGTGCGGGATCTAATTCCATGCAGTCTCCAATTTGCTACTTGCACTAGCTGTGTGGCTTCGTCCAATGACGAGCTGTGAATATACCACACCGGCAGTGAGTTGAGACATGTTGAGACAGAGCAACCATCAGGCAAGCATGTGGCTCTGTGCTTTCGAGGGCCAAGACACACATAAACATAATTGACATAATTTACATGGGTTGCAGCTCACCCTTCCTGGCCAGCAACGACAACAACAACCACACAACCAAAACAACACACACCGGGCATGTCACACATGAAATCCAAAGCATGAAGCAATAGACAGAGAAAGATGTTTCCATGCATTATGTGACACGGGTACGAAGACGCTTGGGTAGGGGTCCTTGGTGGAAGGGTGGGTACGTAACCGTTTCTTATGCATAGATCTGCACCTCTGAATAAGAGCATACACACATATAACGCCTGGTGGCTAGGCACTTAGAGTACATTGCGCATCTCTGCTTGCGGTCTCCTCCTTGATCCGGTGCTGCGCCCTCCTGGCAGAATAAAGCATATACTCATGAAACTCCCAAGGTTATGCAAAGTCGACAATTATTGGGAACGAAGCTTGTTTCTGTGTCGTTTAGCATCGATCAGGGGCGTTGGCTCACGCTGTTTCAAGCGAAAGCCGCAACGACAGCAGTTGGAGCATTATGAAGAAGTGACACGCTGCAGGGCCCATGCCGCTGTCAGGTTCATGTCTGGGCTTTGTGCGCGCGAATGTCTTGCAGCGCAAGCTTGCAGGTTGCAGGCCCTTGCACAATGTGATTTGTGTGAAAAGCAGGGGTGCGTGAATGATTCGAAGACACGACAAAGAGAGGATGAAGAGCTCCAAGCCCACACCGCGAGCCTTCGATTCACCTCGCAGGACGAAACGACCTGTGGCCGTGCCTGCCTTGGATGTGTCAAACGCACAGATGTCAGGCGGAGCAGCAATATTCGTCTTGTCTACAAACCAGAGATCTTCTGCCAAGCAACTGTGTCTGGCTCCTTCTCGGCGACTTGGCGAAGATGGTCCTCGAAAATCAGGCAGAACACGCGTCCGTGAGCATGCAAGCAACAAATTGTACGCATAGCATCTACAGATATTCTGCACGTCGGCATATGAACAGTGCCTCAATTATCGGAACTGCAAGGAAAAAAGTCGGATTGGGACAGTCCTGGCTCCGCCTGGATCTGGCCCCTGAGAGGTCGTCCAGGCCTGTGGGAAGAAAGTGCGTGGGCACATGCGGGCACCTTCCCCCTCTTGTCCGACCTTCCCCCCCCCCCCCCCCCCCCCCCCCCCCCGCCCCCCCTTGGCGGTCTGAACACCGTTCTCTCCCACCTGTAGCCGGGTGGCTTGCCGCATCCTCGGTGAGCAGCTTTGCATTCGTAAAGGGCATATCGTGTGGAGTACAGCAGCTTCGGACCTACTGAGTCACTGTTGCACGCCTGGTTTGGATCTGGCCTTGCGCCTCTTCAATCTCCTGATGGACAACGGGTGGCCTTTTTGGCGGAACAGATCGGCCAAGACATGGCAAATCGGAGCATGACGACCACGGGAGCTGCAGTCCTTCAAAGACAGCCCTCGCGTTTGAGCTGCCAGCTGCTCCTGCCCATCTTCGAGGCACACATGCACACAAGCACACGAGCTGTGCACAAGGACCTTCAGGAAGCGATTTACCCAAAGTGCACGTTGGTATTGCATCTCCTGTCCAATGTAAGTCAGAGAGAGATCTCTGTCCGAGAAATGAAAAATGTCACAAGCTCTCTCGCCGTCGCCTCTTCTGCAGTGAGCAGAGGTGTTCCTGCCTCTCTGGCTGTGCAAATCATGGGCAATCACGTCTTACCTACCGGCGTAACAACTTGACACCTTGGTCCCTGCAGAGAACTGCTAGAAGCAGAAACTGGTCCGGCAAGCCTGAGAGGACTCGGCATCTAGGTGTCTCTCGGAATGTGCCTCCTGCCACAGCTGATACTGCTGCAAGCCACACAAGCGGACATGTATGGGACACGAGTGTTTGGAGCTTGCGAACGCCATGCTGGTAGGTAGATGCGTATGCATTTGATGGCAACAGGCGAGGTGTTCCGGGCGAAGAGAAGATGAAGCCTGGACAAATGTAGTAGACTTTATGCAGACAATGCAGACTGCATAATACTGAACTGCATAATTCTGCACCCACAGACAGACACGCACGCACGCATTGATGCGGCACATCTACTCGACAATGCAACCGGGCGGCCATGTCAGGGTGAAGCGGCTGGAAGCATTAAAGTTGTTGTGCCGCTGAAATTGGGAAATCGAAGCTGGTGTACTGTTTCATGATTTTACAGATTAACTAGGGGCTTCAGATGTAATTTGTAACATGACATGCTTGGGCTTCAACGCTGCTCTATTGGCGGCCAATATCTCTGACATGTCGCACACACACACACCCACACACCCACACACACACACACACACACCCACACACACACACACACACATACACACACACAGAGAGACACAAAGACACACAGACGCACAGACACACAGACACACACACACACACAGAGAGACACACACACACACAGAGACACACACACACACACAGACACACACACACACACACACACACACACAGAGACACACACACACACCCAAGCACGCCGGGTCTGTGTGTCAGCTGGGATAAAGCTAGGCAGTGCAAACAGCGAACACCTTCAATTCAAAGGAGCTGGCTAACTGCCGGATGACTTCATTGCTGCAGCGTTGGTTATTAAACCCTGTGAAGGCCAGTCCTTTTTGCAAGCCACTGTTTGCCTCTACGTGGTGCATGAGACTCTGATACTCTAATCAAGACCAAGGGGGGGCAGCTGCGGCACGTTTGCGGCACTATGCGACGAGGATGCCATTCGAAACGCGACGTCCATACGACAGCGCGTCAGGTTTAAGAAACTGCCCTGACGCAAGCACAGCCACGAAACTTTCTTTGGTGACGGGAGCCCTCAGGACCCCACTGACGGTTGAACGATCCGTGGGGACTTGGGGACATTCAGAAAAGTTTCCGAACTTCTCATAATCACTGAGACAGGCTGACATCGAGGGACGTTGCTTCATCGTTCTTCTTTTGACTCGTCCCGTGTGGCAGAGCCACAAGAGAAGCGAGCCTCTGCTGGCGGGAAAAAACACCCCCACGGGGGAGCTCTCGGAGGTGATCACTATGGCCGTCCCCAATCTGGAAGAAACTGAGGCGGCGATTAGCTCACAGTGGCAATCTCGATAACTCGTTCCGAGTGCACGGCGTTGCCTTTCAGCTGTGCAGAACTCGCAACGACCAGGCACGACCAGGCGAATGCTTTGAGAGGCAGGGCCGCTTTCCTTTGCCGCGCAGGGAATCTAGATGCTAGACGCGCTAGACGCCCAGCACCATTCGCAGTCAAAAGAGGGCACTGTGCTGACATGCGTGTTGTGAAGGTGGGAGAAACGCATCAAGCTGTTAGAAAACCTGGCAGCATGTCATGACGACGTCACTCTGAGGACCACGGTAGCGGAGCTTTTCGCTCGGAGCAAACCTGACTCTCGCAGGCGTGAAAAAGGTTTGTGCTCGCTGCCAGGTTTTGTGATGCTTTGTGTGTTTTCTGCGGGGGTGCTTTATTTGTTTTGACAGCCTCGCGAGATGGGCAACTTTGTTGCGCAAGATCGTTTAATTACGACGTGACGACGCGGTGTGCCCTAACTGGCCCTAACTGTCAAGCATATTGAGCAAAGCAAAACCAGTTGACTTCGCAGCAAGCTCGCAGGGACTGCTCGGTGGCGGAGCACGCCCTATAGCCCGTGAACCCTGTATGCCCCCTCGGCGCTTTTTAAAGCTTTACACTGGCAGCACAGCTGTTCCAAACCCAAACTGGCTTGTCCGCTTGTGCCATGGCTCTCATGGCTCTCATGGCTCTCATGGCCACCGGTGCGACGGCTTCCTGCGCTTCGCTTGCTCACGCAGGTCTGCCAATTTGGCTTGCACCGGGCATTCGGGCATGTGAGGGTCTGCTTAAGCAGACGCATCCCATCTCGTCCCAAGAGCACCGAGGTAGTTGAAGCTACGTTGTGAAACATAGTTAGAGAAATCTTGCAGTGCACGCACACCGCGGCACCCCCACCACTGGGAGGACAGCCTTTGGTGCCATTCAAAAGCACGTCATGTCCTGGCGCAAAGCGTTGCCAAGCCAAGAAGCAGCCACCACACAACTCATGGCTGACATGTCGAAACATCCCTCCTCGTCAGGCTTTGAACCCCTTCTCCTGGCGATTCGAAGGGCTCAGGCTTCAAGGCTCCAAGACAGACTTTGTTCGCCCGAGATGTTCGTTTGTTGGATTGACTTTGCAGTGGACTTTGCAGTGCGCAGAGCCTGACCCTGGGTGCGAGAAATGCGAAGGATCCAGGTAGATCAGGTCCTCAAGTAAGTGATTGGTCAATTGCATGGTGGGGAGAAAAACACTGGGGACCGATGAGCAGAAGAAGCATCCTTTAACAAGGACGAGTCTCATTCACTGTGGCGGCAGAGGGAACTTGCTTTCCGTGGCCACTTTTCTTTGGCTCCAGGAAGTAGGCATCCGGCCGTGGCATCACCAGACACGCTGTCGATCGAAATCGGGGAGCTCCTTTGGGCGGCTCGGCCTCTGAGCCAAGCGAGCCTCTCAGGGAACAGGTCTCATGTTTGCAGTGAAAGGGCTTCGTTGAATTGACTATAGTCTCCTGTTGAGCCGATTTTAAAGATTCCTGCTCGGCTCCTGGTTCACTTGGCTCTTGGCCATCCGTTTTTGCCCGCCGGCGCTCTGCCATTCGAACCAGGAGCCCGAAGTCATACTCCTTCGCAAAGCACAGATGGCACAGATGGGCACAGTCTACAGATTCGAAAAAAGAAGCGAAAGCTTGGAATTGAAAGGCTTCCGATCGAAGGGTATAATGTGGAACTCTTCACCCCTTCCGAACCCTTATCCAGCAAGGCTTTGGAAAGCCATGACCTCTGCATCTAGAGTTGGAGACTCTTTGAACTCCTCTAGACTATAGACTGTCCTAGATCCTACACGGAGCACCTATGCCCCCTATGGCATTATACGGCATTCACCACGAGCCTTGGGGCTCCTCTCTTCCCCTGAATGATTCGAACGATTCGAACGATTCGAACGATTCGAACGATTCGAATGATTCTACACTCCAGAGTGCGGCTCCTGCTTTGGTGCTTTGGACACAGAGCTCCGCCGGCCTTCGGCATCCTCCCCAGTGTTGAAAGCTTCTTTAAAATTCTGTCAGGGCGGTTTTAGAGGCGGCATATGCAAAAAACATAGCAGAGAGCAACATCTCTTTTCGTTCTCCTCCTCAGGTTTCTCTTCCTTCTCTCCCCGCTTCTTCACGGGCGACACGCCGAATTTGGTCCACCAGGGTTCGTCGGAGCCATGGCCTCCTCACATGAAGCAATGGGCAGTCTTTCGGCAACCTTGCGCAGTCTTACCGGATCCAGAGCTTCCCCCATGTCGCCTGGTGAAAGGATTCCACCTGGGGTAGCTCCTCGCATGACGCCGCAAGGCTGTGTGAACCGAGCTCAGCGAATCAGCTGGAACTTAGTCCTCCGGGATCTGCAGAGCCGAAGGCGGTCTCCGTCCTTGCCTCCGGCCACGCTTCCTATACACGCTTCCTACACTTCCAGCAAATTCCAGCAGATTCAGAGCAATCTGCCCGTCTCTCGAATCCTACAGATGCTCCCACCTCCAACTCGAGCGTTGGTGCGGGATTTGGCAGGCGCGCCTCCTGTCCGTCTGACACTGTCTGTGTCCCTGTCTGTGCCTGTCTCTGTCTGTCTCGCTCAGTTTATCTGTCTCTCCATCCATGGCTCAGGACCGTACATGCAAGCACACCATCCAAAGTGCCCAATCCAAAAAACCGCGTTGCTTCCGCGCTCACGGCAGGGCTCTATTGCTGCTTCCCCCCAGCTCTCCCAGCTAAGTCGGGGTATTCCCTCCTGGCAAACGCGACGCACTTCTGCCCCAAACACCCCTCCAACCCCACAGAACGCAGAAAACCCTAAGGTGTTCGGGTCGGAGAGTCGGAGCAGCGAGCTTAACGGAACGGCGCCGGGAAGGTTTCCCCCGAGAGCCAAAATGGTCTTCTGAGATCTTCTGAGATTACAGTAGATTACAGTACCATCTGCAAAGTCGCCAGAATCCACCTCGAGGAGTCGCCGGAGCCAGGCTCGACTTCGTTTAGGACGAAGGGGTCCGCGCGAATATGTCCATGGGCGTCCCCTCATCGGGCCCGGTTTGTGTGGCTCTCGCAGGACGATGCCCTCGCTGCTTCTTTGTCTGTGAATGGTGCCGGGGAAAGCGGAGGATCCGGCCTTCGGTCCTCCGATATGCCGAATACATAGTCGTCGATGTGGTCCATACCGGGCATCTACATCCCCGACGATGTCCATGGCGGCCCCAACCATCTGAGTGCGGGCATGAGCCAAGCACGCGCTGCGGCAGCTTTCGCTCTCTGTCCCTCTTTCTTTCGTGGGGGAGGGGGGCGCGGACCTGCGTCGGCGCCCGCCCCGGTATTCGGGCCCTCACAGGCATCGAATTTGGGCGTACAGCTACAGCTGCGTGGTTGGTTCCCCCAACAAGGTTCAAACATAGGCCCAAAACAACACGAAAACCCCTGCCCTCCTCATCTTTGCCTTGGTTTCGTGGCTAGTTCGCTGCCCCCGGGACTACTAAAGTTCTGATAAGTTCTGCACCTCTGCCCCTCTCCCGTCTTCTTCTTCTTCTTCTTCTTCTTCAACCGGGCTTGAGAGAAACCCTCCGAAAGGAGAGCTATCTGCATGTTTTCCTGTGCCACCCGCCCCTTGCTCCCAGGGTTTGTACGGCTTTGCTTTATGTTATCCAGACGACAGTCTCAGGCCTCGGACTCGGAGCTGATTACACCACCTCAACGCCTCACTTTGCAATTCTCCCGAAGCCTCCCCAAGATTTCTCACAGGTGCTTCAGGTGCTATTCTACTTCGTCTTCTTCTTCCTCTTCCTCTTCCTCCTCGTCTTCTTCTTCTCCTTCCCCTTCTCCCTCTTCTCCTTCTTCTCCTTCTTCTTCTTTTTCTTCTTCTTCTGCGTGCTTTCCCCCCCCCGCCCAGCCTTCTGAGAGAAGCTTTGTGCCACTTGGTCGTGCTCCACTAGTTCCAGAGACGAGAGTTTCAGCTCTTCATGCTCCAGTTCATCCTCCAGTTCATCCTCCAGGTCCTCGACTTGGAGAGCAACTTGCGATCTCGTGCCAGTCAACTCGGGGCGCGGCGACCTCTGACTCACTGCTTTCCTCCTCGCTTTCCTCGACTGCCTCCTCGACTCCTGCAATGCCAGAGCCCTATATAGAGACCCCGGAACACGACATCGCACGACCGCCCCTTTCCCCATGACTGGAGCCTCATTCTTTTCTCCAAAACCATCCCCAAGCCTGTCCTCCACCGCCTTTCGGGGCCGGAGCCTCTGATCTAAAGCGAGGCTTAAACGGAGATGGGGCTGAAGGGTCCTGTGGCTGCTGGCTTCGAACCCGCTGCAATTGTGTAACAAGGCAACCCCCGAACAGAACGTGCTTGAGGCCACGTGCTGTTTTCTCTATGAGCTGAGAAGCTTCCGTGGGCTGATGAGGTGGACTTAGTCCTCGCCAGCGTCGAAGCACCACATTCATGGCGACACATCTCTCGGGTGCAATCGCTTAACGCAGAAAACTTAAAGGCTCATCTCTCGCACCGCGTGCCGTGTCCTGCAGGAGTGTGGTCCGAAAGGCCCTCTGATTGAACTCGTCCCTCGGAGTGAGCCCCGCCGAGCCCCCATGCGCACGAGGTCCAGAGGAACCACGAACCTCTCTGGAGACTGAGCTGCTCACAAGAAGCGACCTTTCAGACCTGGGCAAGTCTTTTGTGCAGGGTAACGAAGCAGAAACCACCAGGAGTGTGGGTTTGGGCGTGGTCTCCAGACCATTGGTTCGGCATCCGGCAAATAGCTGGGCTTCCGCAGCGTTTCTTTCTTTTTCTTGCCCCCTCAGCGGGATTCTGCTGCGTTTGGTGGCTCAAAATGGGGAATTGCTCAGCCGTGGAGCGGCGCAGATAACTGAAAGGGTTCCACCAAACCATAGGCGCCGCGGACCTCAGACTCCACAGATCGATCTCAAAATATACATATGCTACTCATATGCTAAGCCGTATGCCCGCCGTCAACTTGGCTCGGGATCTCCAGGCATGCTTCGCAAAAGTCCGACTCTTCTTCTTACGCCTTACGCGGCCATACATTCCTGGCATTTCCACATGGTCCGAAGCACGAGCGTGCCCGTTTGTGGGCAATGTCACTACATGTACAGTGTTGGTTTCTTCGGACACAGTCTCCGTGCTGGTGCGCATCCCAAGGTCTACAGACTTATTCAGAATCTGTAGGGATGCTCCGACCAATGTCAGCCAACAGCTTCGGCAAGTGCAAGGCGAAAGAAGGAGAACGAGGCTCACTTGCCGGCTCTTCGAGGTTCTAGCGCCATCTGCTGGCATTTTTCATGTCAGCCTTTTCCGAAATCGCAAGTGTCATGCAGGAAGCCAACTGAAGTGATGTCACTTGAGTCGCTTGAGATCGAATCCGGACTTGTGCCGAGACCCGAGACACGGACGGCCTCGGCTCCAAGAGACGGCCTTCAGCTTCAGCGTTGAGACCTCACGTGGCCTCAGGGCAGAGGGTGAAAACATCCAACCGAATCCAACCTTGACCCCAAACGAACCCCGATCAAAAAACATCAAAATCACCTGCGAAGCGCAAACCGCTGGAAGCAGGTCGTGTGGCCAGCTGGGGTCGCGGTGCGCGCATGGCTCGGGAGGCGCTAGCCTCGAAAAAAAAGCTGCGGTCGCATGTGAGCCTTACGCGGGCCTTGGTTCTTAGAATCCATCTACCCCCGGCCGCCTGCGTGGACGACTTCATCAGCCTATCCGCCGACTGCTGCAAGGGCCGAGAGCGCTTCGGGATGGGCAAGAACCTGAGCTGTGCACCGCAACCATTGACCAATATTGACCCTTCTTGCGTAAGTGGAAAAACACTGCTATCAGTGCGTTGCCATAGCCAGGGCGAAAAGAACAAACCTCTCACAACGCCACCTTCTCTCAAAGGCAGGGACGGCTTTTGCTTCCGTTGACCATCTCCCCCTGCACTCTGTGCAGCCCGTAAGGAAAGAACGTCAAAGAACATCAGGCCCCCCCATGAATCCCAGCCTGTGCAAAGGACTGGTGCCGTGCACTTTTTAGTCGATTGCTCCTGTGTGTTTACACCTAAGAAAAACTATGTATTGCCAGTATTGCACAACTATGCACAGCTATTGATCCAGATAGCTTTGGAGCTGCTTGTGACACTTCAGCCAGAAGACTTGAGATGGGGTCTCAGGGTCCTCCGGCTCCTGCTTTGTGTCACACATGTCGCTCCTCGCCAGAAAAAGGTCACCCAAACCAGAATGGAGCTGTCAGAGATGTTTCTCCTTGTGAGCAACGATGGGTAGCTTAGGTTGCTGTTGTCCGCCTGATTGACCTGCCGCATTCATTCAGAAACCTGTACACTGTAGGCATTTGGTGTATGACGGCATCTGAGGATTCTCGGCGGCACCTTGTTCTCGGCAGAATCCTGGCATTTCGTTGGCCCTGACTTGTCAGTTGGACTCTCTCTGCAAGCAGCCTGCGCACGGAGGTGTTCCGGCGCCGCATAGTCAAATGCCTGTCCGGTGCAGGGTGGCAGCGTTGTGGACCGCGGAGGATACAACTTGGGATCCAGGCCGAATATTGGCATGTTCCCATGCCGTTTAAGGGAGCGGCTTTTTTGCCCGCTTTTGACAGATTCTTCAGCTACTGTACAGGACGTACTGAAGAGTGCATAGAGTGCTCTGAGTTCGTGATTCTGCCAAGGATTCCTCCTCAACTTGCTGGATTCGAGTCCAAACTGCGACGGGTGCCACAAGTCAGCATGGAATGATGTAACATTGATGCAACATTGATGTAACGATGCAGGGCCGTCATGTCAGTTTTGCGGAGCAGGCGGGGTCTCAGGTCTGCAGACTACTCGTACTGTCGCTTCGGGGCAAAGAATTCTCGGATTTTGCCAGTTTCCTTGATGCCATTGGCATAGTCCTCAGTCTGCAGAGGTACCAGAAGGGGCCTACAACGCAAAGAACTTATGCATATGAGGGCTGGACCGACTGGTTGGTGAGAGCGATTTGTGAGCCTTGCTGCAGGAACAAGGCACATGCCTAACAAAATTAGCCAAAGGGGACCCTGCTTTAGAACAACTCCCCTATGAGGCCCCTGTGTGTGTGTTTCTCCTCCCAGAGGCCGCTGCCCAGCCACAAATCCAACTTCTCGGTCTTTGCGTTGTCTGCACGGTTGTTGTCAAACTTCTTCTTCCGGGACCTGGCTTTGGGAAGCTGCTCTTGGTGCAGAGGGGTGCCTGGGAGGCCGTGTCGGACATCCATCAAGAGGTGGCCGCGGTGCTTTTCCAAGATCTTGTCGACAATGCTGCCCTTCTTCACTTGTGATTCGAGCGTCTCGCGGGCCCCCCCTTCCCCTTCTTGCAAAATCAACAAGATGTGGAAGCAAATCGCAAAAGTGTCACACAATTGCAACTCCCGTGTCCTGCTCCTCCTTGGAGTTTTCGCAATAGGTTTTGCAGGACTGCACAGGCGAGGCAGGAGTCCCAAGGAGCCGCTCAGTGAAGCTCACAGTTTTTTTCTTTTTTTCGGGGGGCCTTTTGGCAATAGTCGTCGTTGCCGGGTGCCCTCTCCTCGCAAATTGCAAGGCCTCGATGAACAAGATGGGATTCAAGATGTCAATAGAGCTTGCTGGCCCAGTTACGAAACACACGGTGTTACGCATCAAATGCAGGTTGGGGCTGGGAGGGTGGGCGGGTGGGTGGGGGGCTCATTTGGGATTTGAAGGGCTGATTCGGCAAGTAAGCCAGTGGATGCAAGATCACACTTGCTGAGTGATGTAAAGCCTGCAATCCAAACTGCACACACATTCATCGACTTGAACAATCAACCCAAATTCCAAGTGGACGGACGTAGCCATGAAGCGTGCAGCAAATGCGAGATAGACAACATCAACAACACGTATCTCTGTATCGTGCAATACTTGTGATTGGTGCGAGAGCTTGCAAATACGCTCCTGGGAAACAGGCATTTGTAGCTGCAGATTGAATCGTATCTAGCCTCAGCTCAGCCAGTGCCATGTGGCCTGCCACACTACCGCCCAACTTCGACTCTACCCTACACGGCCCTACGCACCACACAGCACAGCGCGCCCCACTCTTGTGAGGGCAGGGCATCCCGCAGTGCCAACGCTTCATCTGCCTTGCGTGCCCGTGCTTCCTAGAATGCTGTGAAACACACAAAGGCACAACGCAAAGCTTCCAAGGGCGCTTAGCTCAGGCCCCGTCCTTCCAAGCTGTGGCGAGCCCGAAGGCAGCCAGTAGGTCCTCGGCATGAAACACAGAAACACAACACCCCACAACTACCCCACAAGAAGCTCCAAAACTCCCCAGGCTTGTGTCAGAAATCGCCCTGATGAAAAATGTAAACGCGAACCTAACTCAACCCCATAAAACATCTTCAACAAAACCAAAAGCTCCCGAATATCAAGCTCTTTCCGTCTGGACCGTGGTTCAAGTGCCAAGAGGGCCAAGAATCTCTGCGCGCCAAGCCCTCGTTCGGCGCTCGGCCGGGCTGGGGGCCGCCCTTCAGTGCACCAGGAGTATCCAATTAACATAAAGCGGGCTTGTAGGGTTTAGAGGGCTTATGGGCTTTAAGCGGTGCGTACAGGTTTAGGGGAGCAACGCCACTCACAAATTGCAACCCTTCTGAGGGCGCAGGCTGGCCCCAAGAAAGCCGTCATGCTCCTTGCGACCCCCCAAAACAGGAGATGCACTTTTGTAACCGACAGTCCCAAACACGATGACAAAACTTTCCAACAAAGGAACAACTGTCTTTTCACGTGTTTCTCAGCTTCATGTTCGGGCCAGTCCTCAAAAAGGCCACTGCCAACACGGCGCCAGCGGCATGCCGCAGCAATGGGTAAGCCACAGGGCGACGACGCTCCATGATGGCCATCCTTTGAGCAAGTGCTTGGAAGCCCCAGCAGTCTTGTAGACCTGTCTTTGCAGGTTGCCTGAGTGCGTCATCATGTTGAACCCCAGAAGTGCACGGGGCAAGCACTGCACATGTCTTCCTGCTTTCTGCTCCCTCATGTTGGGCCACAACAAGCTGGCGCCAAACGGATCAGCTTTGGCCAGTCCAGGACGGGGGACTCGGAAACATGCAAGTATTCGTTCGTGATCGGCATAACACGCTTGCCATCCTAGCCTTTCCTGTGAGGTGGGCACGCCTCCAAAATCACACCTCCAAGTGTCATTAACATTAGTTAGACCGCTGTTAGACCGCATATGTTGCATTATGGAACAACATATTTGCGACCCACAGCCTATAGAGAAACACTCGTCATTATACAAGTCCCCCGCCCTAAGCTAAACAAATGCAAACGAATCCGATCACTGAATCAACATAACTGGAGGTCATATATTGTTCAAGTTAAGTTGAATAGTGGCAGAGAATGAAGGACAGGGTCAAAAAACAATAGCATACTAGGGGTCTGGCATTGTATTCCATAAACAGGGCTAGACCGAGCAGGTCCGAAAGTAGCAGGGCATACGGCATTTACGTAGAAACATAGGCTAGGAAAGGGCGGCAAACACAAGTCGTGCTGGAAAAGGGAAACAACTCTGTAACGAAAACATCATTCTTTAGGTAGGGCAGGTATATATAGATATACACCACCTTCTTAGCCCCTCCACTCCACCCCGCCCCCCCTGCCTTGGGAAGTATGAAGTTACAGGCCTCCAATGCGTGCTCCAATGCTTGCCCCAACCCCCCCCCCCCCCGCCCTCGGTTGGTCAATTGCTGCTAGCTATCATGCTGAGTGTACCCTTTGCATCGTGCTAGCCAGTCTTTTCACCCTGAACCATCCCGCCAACTGCCTCGAACGGGAAGATTCCGGCTTTAGTTGAAATCTTGACTCTTGACGTCGACCAAATCTGCGAATCTGATTATGCAATATGACTCGGCCCTACACGTCCCTTCACTTCGCGTGTTGTGCAGAGCCTTTCTCAATTTTTGGCAACTGGACGTCTCAGGAGGTCCGGCCCTCGGAAAATCGCCTGCCGCAAAGGGCAGCTCGCTCGTTTTCGTTGAGAGCATCCCCAAGAAGCTCAGCTATCTCCTGCTCGGCGACTCGGGGATGTTAAGGGAGCGTTCTGGGATGTTTGGGATGTTTGGGATGTTTGCGGCATTGCAGATTTGAAGCCCATGGCAAGTGTCCTCCGTATTCTCGATCAGGTCAATGATGTCTTCCTGGAGGCTTGTCAAGTTCTAGAGAGCCATGGTCGCAGCGTGTTTCTGTTTTGGGTGTGGTTCAGCTGAGACAGGGGGAAGTGGATACATGTACAAGAGATATACGAGTGGCAAATTTGTTATTGTGTATATATATGTATACATATACGTATACATACATACATACATACATGCATGCATGCATGCATACATACACCCCCCCCCCCCCCCCAAACCCACAAGCTCAATATGGGTTCCAAAATCTAAGCGCATGACTTGGGGTGACGCGTAAGCAACCCTTGTAGTGCAGCAAAGGCGACACATCTATTCCCTTTCGAACAACCACGCACGTGACGAAAACTCAGGACCTAGTAGTGTCGAGCGCTCAGAAGAAGGTTTATGCCGAGTATCCCTGGAGTGCTCGGAAAGCTGGCACAGGCTTTGACAGTAGAATTACTTTAATGACGGTCACTGGAGATGAAGCTGGGACGCACTCATGTAGGAGGCTGTGAACCATGTACTCTGGTGTCTTTTTGTGACAGCAGTTTCTTGCCTCGACGATGGAAGTGACGGGCCACAGAGCACACGTGTCGAACGGGATTGGGGTTGTTAATTCTTGTTCTTGGGGGAGCTTGCGCCTTGGGGCGTAAAGAGGTGAAGGGACACAGCGCATACATCTCGAACAGGACTGGGTCGGTAAACTCATTGTGCTTGGGGATATGCATCGACTTTCATAGACTTGTGACTGCGACCTGTCTTCTGGGCGAGCAACCGCGACAGGTCCCGCGAAGTATCGCTAATGCTCTCATATCCTGTCCGAAGCACGGCCAGCCGGCCTTTCCAAACTCAATAAGTCGGAACAAGGAAGGGGCTGCAAGTCCTTATAGTGGATTCGGATTAAATGAGCCCTCTAGCTCCTTCAAACGTTTGTGCTTTATGACTGTAATGTTGTTCTTAACGGGCTCGGAATCGGACCGCTTCATAACACAACTAAAGCTCAGTCCCTGAATCCAGAATTTTTGTTGACTTCGCAACTCACAGGCTTGCAAAACGAAATAAATCTAGACCGAAAAGCCGGATTGGCTTTGAATTCGCCTGGGCCCGGGCATCGGCATCGGAGGTTCCCTTTTCAGCGTCCCCTGGTCTACCGCTACCACTGGAAAAGTCGAGTGTCTGCGCCCATCTCCTTGCACCACTGGTTGACCTGATGTCGCCGGGAAGCGATGATTGCATGTGCACATTGCGCACGGACGTGGCAGACTGCAAGGCTTTTTGTGATCGCAGAGCTCGGCTTTAGCCGGGATGCAGCAGGGAAGTGCCGTCGCAGGCCGCGAGCATCTAGCCAATCACGAACGCCACGGAAGGCCTTCTAAAGACTCAAAGAACAAGGAAAAGACCTCCGGCAACGTTTCAAAGTGCCTCGTCTGCCGGATAGAAAGCCGCCTCGGTCACCGCCGAACATCCCCCCCCCCGGGCCCGCCCATAGAACGATCGCCATGATGACAGCCTGGATTTGTCTTTACTCCTTGTTGTTGGATGTTGTTGGGCTCCCTGCCATCTTCGAGACTGCCGCCTTGGAGTCGCCCAGCTTCCGGAGCCCGTTCTTGCGAGCAAAGTCGTCTGCGGCCTCGAAACGCACAGCTCCCCCCTGGGCCTGAAGGCCCCGTCATGCCCTGACCCTGTCCTTGAACATCAGGGTCCACTCCACGCCACTGGTCTTCATGATCTCCTTCGGGAGGGGGGTAACGCGAGACATCAGCCGACAATTTGGCGGGGGGGGGGGGGGGGGGGCAACATCTCCAACGAGTGACTGCAGTTGATTCTCTCTTGCTCAAACTCTTAGAGTCGCTTATAGAGTCACTCTTGATCATATCTGGGGATCAGGGAAAGTCTTTCGCGGTGCCAAGGCCGGCACGTAGGATCCTCCAGCCAGCTCCCCGGACTGGCCTGCCTTCTCGGCTCTCCTCACAGTCACACAATTCCCACAATTCCCACAATTTCCCCCATACTTGCTACTTGCTGTGAGGAGAGTCCGTCTCAGGCGTGTTTCCGAGGCTGATGAGCGCATGGGACCTGGGCCAAGGGAACGTGCCCCGAGCGAATGTTTGGAAATGCTCTTCTGCCAGGCGCAATGGAGGATGTTGGTCTCGGGCCTGTCGTAAGAGTGCCACAAACTGGTGCAAGGAAGGCGATCGTGCTCCTCACGCCAGACTCAGGAATCACCGACATTCTGATTATCCTGATGCTAGGAGATTCTGAAATCCCAGCTGCTTGTCAGTGTAGCGAGATTTGCAGTCGATGGCCCTCGTGGCTGGATGGTGAACTGCAAATGGGGCAAGACAAACGGCTGGCTTCTGGCTACCAATGGCTGCCGTGGCCAAGACGATTCGCAGTCCTCAACAAGGCGGCGGCCAACAAGGCGCTGGCGCCACATCGCAGCAACGAGTATGGCATCACGGGACGCCGCCGCTCCGTGATGGCCACTCGGGAAGCTGCAGCCGAGTGCAGGACTGTGGTAGCAGTAGGTCTGTTGGTGAGAGGACATCTGTTGGAGTTTCAACAGTTGCGACAGTTGCTGGTGCAAACTTTGCGCAAGTGTTGATGATGTAGCCTGATGTAGCCATTGAGCTGGAAATCTTCCGTATTCCCTCCTTATCCCACACACCCACTCCAGAGACTTGTTTCCCATTTAGTTTCACGCCACCGGAGCCGTAGCTTGCCCCCTCATCAGAGCTGCCCTACTGCAAGTGTTTTTACAGCATTCCGGGCTGCGCTCAGGATTCGCCTGTCGTGTGAAACTTCGAGCTGAGCCTATGACAGTTTATCGACGTTCCATGTAAACAGAGGTTCTCCAACTAATAGCCAACATTGACCCTCCTGGCCACTGCTTAAGATGTTCAACGAGTGTTCAAGGTATCACAATGTGCCCCCGTTGCATCACCACTCCCTGAGACCAAGCAGCTTGTGCCACCGGGCCGCTTGCTGAGGATCACAAACTCAAGTACACGACGGCTGCTTAAGCGCGATCTTTTTGAGGGATTTTTGTTGAGTTTTTGAGTCAGCGGAGTCCTGCAGGGCACAAAATGGCACAAGGCTGAGAGCCTAAGAAGGTCGAAGTTCGAGGGCGCGCCCGAGGCGCGGTCGTTTCCCGATCCCCAGACACGGTGTTCCGACGCATTGGTGCTGCCCCTTCTGGCCATGAGAATCATGATTAAATCATCATAATTGGCCATCATTAAGCCTCATGTTGAGCGGCGATCCCCTACCGGGGAGATCTGTCGGGGCAGACCAAGGCTTCGAAACTCCGGCCGACCTCTCGATACTTCTCCGCGAGTGGCGGAGCCAAGCCCATGACTCTGCGTTTCGAGGATCCCAGGAAGCATCGTCAAGGATTGGCAAACAGCCCGCTTCACTCACTTCAGCAGGCCTCCCAGTGAGCTTGAGCTACACCCTTACAGCTGCCCCCTTCTACTCTCAGACATTCTCAGTACTCTCACTCTCGTACAAGCCATGCAGGCCCCCCTTGGCCTGGTTTCCGCAGGGGTTCTCCTCCTGAACGGGGATCATGCCGCCGGGCCTTGGCAATCTATGACATGCGCTTCCCTTAACACTCCCATCCTGACCCATGCCACGAAGGGTTTTGCTACGTGTTGCTACTCGATTGCTTCCACAAAGTTCCACAAAGTTCGACACAATGACATTGTCACTTCCTGGGGCCTGGACTGGATCTGGATGCCACCCGGCTCTCGACGTTTCTCTTTGGCGTTCTTTGACGCCTCGGCACGAGGGCAGGACATTGCAGAAGTGCGGCGCCGCGGAACACAAGTGAAGAAGTGACAACTTCTGGGCAACCTGATTGTACACCTCCTGGAGGAGTTGCTCGAAGACATGCTTCACGTTATACGTCCTTGGCAAAAGAAAGGCTTTTAGTTATATGTAGATGCATGTCCAACTTCCAGGGCTGCGTTTTCTCTCCGGGCTTGCTGCGTGACAGCACTTGCCTCTTTGAAGAGGAGCCTGGAAGAGCTTTTTCGAACTGTTCACTACTAGCATTTCAATTTCTAACATGCGGCGATACGGCCGATACTTGGTCATGCCACGTACACATGGCTGCTCATACGCACTTCCGCGGCGCTTGGAATTCGCAATTCCAAGCTCTGACCCTACAAACCTACAAGCCTGCCGCAACACGTGTGGGTTGCTGTTGCTTCGATTTAATTTAGCTCCAAGGCAGTTCCTCCTGCACACTGAACCTGCTGGTCATAATCGTGGCAGCGTGGCTTGTGTGACCGAGCGAACTCCAGAGCAGCATCATAGTGCACCTTAGTCATGAAAGCGCGTCGGCCCTGTGAACCTCCACCAGTCCCGGCCAGCACTCGGCATGGCCAACAAAAGAAAGAGGCAAAGCCCCACAAAGGGCTTCTAAGGAGGCCCTGAGGAGCCCTTAAAGGTTGTGCTGGTGGTGGTTGTTCGGGTTCCTGGGTGGCGCGCCTGCCGTGCAGTGGGATCCTTCTCAACCAAGTCAAGCTTGTTCCCAACCTGGCAGGGAAAGGGAGCTGATTTCGACTTCTTTCAAAGCCAACTAAGAGTCCGCGACAAATCTTTGGCAGGGAGTGTTGATACCGTTTCCAGAGGCCGCTGCTAGCATGATGATGATGTTGTCCTCTGCATTTTGCCGCAGCTCTTCCAGCCATTTCAGGCCTTGGTGGCTTGAATTCAGGTGCTGAATGATAGACTTTGGATTCCTGATTCCGGCTGGTACACCAAGGCCACGGCAATTCTGGAATGTCGCATTCCTGGTCACATCCTGGGCACGCCGGTGCGGAGCGTGAACAGATTTCGGAGGAGCTCTGTCGCCACGATGCAATCAAGGTGCATAGACCAGGAGTGCTCCGACAGCACGACGGTAGTGCGAGCCTTTGACAAACAGACAGGGTGTGCAAATGTATTGAAGGTGCTCGACACGGTGTGCCATGTGGTCTGCCGATCTGCGCGTCTGCAAGAGCCCAATTGCATCTCCTGGGCCCTCTCGCTGGTGATGGCTCGGTATCTCTCTTGCCCCGCAGTGTCCCAAATCTGCGCCTGAAAAAGTTGGGGTGAACTTTCAAAAAAACACTCGCGCATTGGACCTTGAGTTTCACTCTTCAAAAGCCCTCTCTCAACAAATCAGCATCTTTGAGCTCTCCTTCACCGTTCCACCCACAGCCAATGGAATGGTGCCTTACGGTAGTCAGGGTTCGCTCGGTGAAAGGCAAGTGGGCAACAGTGAAGTTCTGCGGCACAGGGGCGTGTCGCAAACTCGACACCAATGGTGGCCGTTGGAGCCTTCGGCAAGGTGCCTGACACTGGAGAGTCGAGGAACCCCATCATCGATTCAATTTCCGATGACTTGTCCTGCCTTTCACGTACCGTGAAAGCAAATGCGTCTTTCCCACGGTGGCGTCTCCCACAAGGACGACCTGCGAGCAGCTGCGAGCATGCATGAATCGACTCAGAGCCATAACCGCTGTGGGCAACAAGAGAGCTGTCTACTTCGCACCCAGGGCCTTGTAGAGGTGGTCGCAGCCTTGTGCCAGACGAGAGAGAAAGCAAGCGGAGGGACAGGGCCAAAATGTATGAAGCCCTTCCTAAGTCTAAGGCCAGGACCATCCTCTTCCTCGGCCATCGCCGCACAGCTCGGACGCCCAAGTCCAGCTTTCGGCCTGACCACCCGCCCCAAAACCGCTCAAGTCACAACATGTTAGTGTGCAGGGACTCAACCGCTGCCCTGACTACATCTGAGCATTTTCATTGCTGTGGCCCTTGCTGGGCAACGCCAAGCGATGCGATGAGGCGATTGAGCCAAACCAGGACATCATCGACACTATGACCGTTGCATCACCATCCCCCCATGGTGATCCCAAACAATGTCAAGCTCATGATGAATGCTGGCTGCATGAGACCGTGTCTGCCTTTTGATGCCCGCTAGCAGCTGCTGGCAGAGTATATATGGACAGTATATCGAAAACGATCCAGCATGCAAAGAATGCAAGCCGCTGCTAGCCTGGCAGGCTCAGGTGAACTTTCAGATTTCGAACGTCCAGCCTGCAGGCACTTTGCCACCACACACTGCAGGCGCAGGCAAGCACAAGCACGGCATTCTAGCCACGAGAAGAGCGGGCAGCCAAGGCATCTCGACGCATGACTTGCCTTGGGCTGGATGTCAAAGGCCAGGAGAGCATGGCCTGTCAGAGGACCCATCCCGAATCATCCCGCATGTTGCGTGCTTCTGCGAGCCTGGAAGTGAAGGTGGATGGGATCGGCAAAGCCAGCAAGACGAGGGTCCATTCCCCTGTCTGCTGCACATCGGAGAAACATGCAGACAATGCAGATGCTGATCAGGATACCGAGGTGGCCTGAAGTCGATGCCCCGGATCTCTGTTTGCAGTACATCGAGGACCTCCAACTCGAGATGTCGAAACAACAACAGCCAAGCTTGAACAACGCAATGATGAACACATATGACAACATCTGTTCTGTTCCTGAAAAAACACAAGAAATAAGGAGTTTCCAGCACACAAGCTGTCATGCGATGCAACCACCCGATTTTTAGCTTTCGCCCACGAAGCTCTGGCCACGTGCGGTTCCACTGCGGGAGCCTCTTTGCGTGGAGTCGCTGCGGGTCGCGTTTTGGGCCCAGCTCTTCTGGACATTCTTGATTGGGCCCGGGGGGGTGGGGTAGCCGGGTAAGAGCTTCAGATGTCCGACACCATTAGCTGCAGGGCAGCAACGGGAAGGACAACACCCACAATCACGGCCGACGATGCCGCGCTGCCGCCCTTGGAAGGGCACTAATGGGGCTACAGAATCCAAAAAGTGACGTTGGAGTGGCAACTCAGCTGCGACTGAGCTGCAACGATACCGGTTGATGGAGTGGTTGTGTCACCTCCACCTCCGTCTCCGCTGATGCCAGTCGTGCCAGCTGCGCCAGCTGTCGTTGTGATCGTGGCTGCCCGATCATCGACCATGGCCTATAGGAGCAGGATCATGAGGAGCTCCCGTGCGAGAACGCTCCCTTAACACAGGTGCCTCCAGGAAAATGGGACAGGCCCCGCGGCTATCCTTGCAGAGCCGGGCACTCAAAGACACACACACACACACAGAGACAGAGACACAGAGACACACATTTGCCAAGGTTGCGGGATGCTCTGGGGGGTCCTTCACGTTCCTCGCGCAGCTCGTGCAGTCCAGGTGGGTCGGGCCGTCGCATTGAGCGCAGGCGGAGGAGCAAAGCAGACAACGGCCCACAGAAGCCTCAAAAGAAGGGAAAAGACTAAAGAAGCAGAAATAGAAAGGAAGCGGAAAGCCACGGAAGCAGCTTCAAGGAAACCAATCCTCAAAACTCCTACACCAGCCCTTCTAATTACGAACCGAATCTCCAACCTCCCAACCCCTCAATGTAGCCAAAAGCCTGTCCTATACCTTGTACTGGTGCCCAGAGTATATGGGGCGCAGTTCAGCTCTGTGCAGCTCAAGGGCATCGAAGTAGGATGCACTGCCTGGGTGTGCAGGGGCATCGGCGCTTCGGAGTTTCGGGTTTGACTCCTTTGGGTCCCACCACTTAAAGGGTGCAAAAGTGGTAAACACTTATTTTGGTAAACGCTTCTTCAACCGAATTTCTCATCACCCTTCTTGCCTGCGCGTAAAGATTCCCAAATACTCCAAACCAAAGAAATGTTCTTCGTTCTTGGTTCATAGGACCTCCAACAGATCGAACCTATAGCAGCTAAACGTGTGGAAAAAAAACACGCTCTTCTGGGTTTAGGGACGAAGCCGAACCTCATGGAGCGAGGGGCGCCAATGAAACCTAAACATCCGAACGCAGCAAATCAGAGCGGCGAGACTTCATGTTTTGGTGGTGAGATTTGGGCGTTTGTGCGAATGCAGGTTTCGAACCTCGATAGCAATCAAAGGATGATCGGATGTTAGCTTCGATGCGTTTAGACTGCGCGTAGGGAATGGATGGAAAAATTGCAGGCTCATCACGACGCAAATAGAATGGCAAACAAAAGCCATGATTGGATCGCAATGCAACTCGGGTGCTGCAGAACTCAGCGGTCAGAGGCGTTGTGGCTTCGGCTGAGACGCACAGGGAGCCGTTTAAGCGTGTCCCGTCGACAGCCGCTGCCAGGTAGATGCTTTTGCCTTGCTTTTGACAACTGCGGAAGTATCGCTCAGGTTTTGGTCTTTGTGTCCAAGGCTCTTTCTCCATTGACAGTGAAGGTTGACTGGGAAGTACTCCGCAAGCAGCTGCCTTCGAGACAGGGATGTATGGACGACGGGCTCGGCATTTGTTCCGACTGGCGAGAGACACGTCCCCGCCAAACCCACGATATATGTAAACATCTCCCTTGATTCTCCCTTGCAGACTGCAGACCTGCTCCTTTCCAGACTCTAGAAAAGATGTTGCAAACTCAGCATTGTGCCGGGCCGCTGCAGAGCCATGGATCCGTCACCGGCTCGTCGTTTATCATCCAATCTCCCATTTCTTGAGCACAAGAGGCGCAACACATCAAAGCTGTGCAAAGATGTCCGGGCGCTTCGCCACGAGAGCCAGTAGACAAATGCCTCAACAAAAACTCGGCCGCTAGGCATAGAAATGACAAGCAAATACGTAATCTGCTGTATACGTACGTATGTATATGCACATTTATGTACGGCGTGGCGCAAATTTGATATGCACTCTTTTTGCACCCCCCAACCTCCCTGTAACCCGGCCTGCTGGCCACCGGCTTGTCTCCCGCGGTCTTGTCGCTGCACTGCTTGTCGAGGCTTGGGAGGCACGTGTTGGCGTAGCAGGTGGAAGGCCTGGAACCCTATTGTGCACTATGCTTCCTAGGGCCTAGGGCCTTCCAATGGCGTTGGGGTCTAAGCGGCCGCGACTGTGGCATCGAGCCATTCGGGGCACTAAGACTGAGGTGGCCCCACCCCACACGATAGCAATTGCAATGTCATCGTAGGAATCATGGGACTAGAGTAGTGACGGTTCTGCTCATCAATGGCTGTCGTTTGTTTGGAGTCTGTGTCACCGTTTCTACATTTGTGCGAAGACTGGATGTCTGGAATGCATCGCTTGTTTCGTTCCGTGTTTTCCTTTTGCATTTCACATCACCACGGCGCTCGGGTTGTTTTTTCATTCGTCCGGGTAGTGGAATCTACGAGCTGGACGTGCCAAATCAAGGTGTAAATGCCCCCTTGTTGACCCAACAAGACTGTAAGCAAGAACGAAAGCAAACGCGGGTGTCTGGACACAGTTCTGTTGTCAATGTGAATGGAAGCCGGAATTGGGCCCAGCTGGCCGGGCGACAAAACTCCCACTAAGTCGGGGGCACACCGCCACTGGTGCATTCCGACCCCCATGGCTTCCCAAGGTCAGGAGGACAATGAGCTGACGATCCAGAGCAAACCTGCCATGTCCAACTTGGCAGACAGCTTAGGCACACACACACACAGGCCTAGAACTGCCACATTGACCAAACTTCCAAAAAAAGCGCAGCTGGCAGACTTGATCTTTGTTCAAGCTGAGAAGTTTTATCATTCAGTGCCCTTCTGAAAGCATGCGTTTTGGCAGGCCTTCCCCCCCACAACGCAGCTTATTGCTGCACATGTACTTGGTAGCCGCGTGTAGTTGGCGGCAGCCTAAGAGCAGTGAGCTTGAACAAAGCTACCCGTCCAATAATGCATCATGTTGCGTGTAATTTCAAGTCGAAGTATAGAATGTTCTTACTGTGCATACTGGCTAATTGGATTACACTGCAACAATATAATAATATGTGCGTATAGTATATCACAGCAGACCGGCCTCGGCCAGGTCACACTCGCCCAGGGCCGCACGGCACACAGTCCCGCTTGGGCGCAAGGAGCATGTGGCCGGATCACAGCACCTCTCAATCACAATCGACCGCATGAGCGACCACAAGAGCTCACACAGACCTCTGGCACGTTCCGCAGCTTCTACACTGTTAAGGTTGCCTATTAGACTTGGCGATGATATTGTACGATAATCAACCTGGCTTTAAAGGGGCAACTCGCCAGCCTGCTGGCCCGCAGAAACCCATCAAAATGCCACAGCAGAAACGATGGTGTCTTCTGTTTGGCGGGGAATGCTACAAAGGACAGCTATTCTGGGTGATTACTATGTTTTTTGCCTGGCTTCTACACCTGGTGAACTGCACGACAGTTGTGATTCAGAACTTGGCAAGACACGGCGAAACATGGAACTTTCGCTGCCCCGTGGCAAGCAAGGCGGCTGATGCAAAAACCTCCCAAACCCTGAGCAGATACATGCAGGCCGGAAGGTCAAGGTTTAAAGAGTGTTGCTCCAAAAGCCCCTTACTCTTCGTCAGTTTCATGGTCTTCCCAGAGCGATTATCATTGGGAGATGTTAGGATCGCCATCGCCAAGAATACTACAACTATATGCAAAGATCGTTGGCAAACATTGGCGCTCTTCAAGTACTTCTTCTTGTTGTTTTTTGGGGGGTAAATCATCACTGTCCCGCTGAGCCCAGCACGGGTCTGTCCCGGCACAGGCACTGGTTGCTTTGAGCTGGCAAGTGTCACAGTCGCAGCAGGCATCGCCTGCCGAGCCACAGTCACACTCCTCGCCATAGTCGATGCCACCTCGGTGTACAAAGGGTACCCTTGAGTTCTCAGTAGGGTTGATGCTTTTCACTGGAACGTTCGCAGATAACAACCCCTCAATGCAGACGTGCTGCATAATAATTGCATTCTAACTACTCAGCACACGATATGCTATTTTCTTGCGGGCTCCTGGAGTTCTGAGCCCAGGCGCCGTTGCCGCAGAGCGGCACCACGGCCAAGGTCTCAGGGCGCGTGCAGCGGCCCTGGAAGCACATACTCCCGCGCTGTCCCTTCGGCTCGCTTGGATGCCAGCCTTTGAGCAGAGGCTCTCATGAGTAGCTGGGGGCTTTTCCTACAAAATGCTCACTTGTTCGCACCTCGGCTTGCTGGGGGCTCTTTTTTCTTTTCAGTGGGCAACTCGACTGCTGCAATTGACTGCGGCCTCCACAACCAGCGAAAACACCAAAACCGAAGCCGAGTGTGACAACATGTGACAACTTGTGACAACAGAAATCACACTGGGCATGGCTCGCGAACCTTGGGTGCAACTTTGACGGCACTGCTCGAGAAAAAGACAGGTCCGGAGATGCTGTTGTCAAAGCGAAATGCTCAAAGGCAGTCGTGCGGCATGGCGTCCCATCAGGGACAGACATCTGCGAGCCGTGGACACCTGAGACTGACTCTGACGAGGACTGTCTCTCACCAACTCTTCCAGTTGAGCAAAGAAGCTGAAGTACTGCCCGCAGTCAGCTGCAGAGCTCTTCGATGCATCGTGACACCTGTGAGATAAGTGTACGCAATTTGCTTGTCTCCAAGAACCATGAAAATTCCAGCGCAGAAGCAAAGCATAGCAAAATGATGGTAGCAGCCCGGTAGCAAACACTGGCAAACACCCAGCTGGCTACGGAGCCACTTGGCACAACTGACTCTGAGCCTCCGGCACCACGGTGCTGCAGTCGTCATTGAAGGCGGCGCAGGGCTCAGTGAGATCCCAGTTGCCCTCGAAGTCCCGTGTCACGTCCACTTCGCAGGTGTAGCGCATGCTCTTGCAGCTTCCCATGGAACACAGGCCATCGTACGTGGCTCCATTCGAGGAAAGTGAGCATTGTGCCCCTGGGTACGTGTACTCGTCCTCGAGACTGCTCAAAAAGCACATGTCCAAAATGCACCATCGCAGAGCATCGCAGAGAGCCCCGAAACTCGCGAACAAAAAAAGAGAGCAATAGAGAGCACCTGCTCTTGACAGTGCATGATTTTCGATGGCTCCTTGGGGCAGCTGGAGGTGCCCCCGGGACAGACTTCCGCGAGGTCGCAGGTGTTGCGCGCGGCCCTGGGGACGGGTGCTGCTGTTTTCTTCAGGGAAGTTCGAAGGCTTCTGAGAAGGTCTTGTAGGTCTTAGAAGGTGTTTACGAAGGGTTCTTGAAATGTGTCATTAGTTTTAATGGAAGGGGCGGCATTAGAATCATTAGAGAGGAATCCAGGAAGGCCCGGCCTGCACACCTTCTGTGCCGCTGCGGTCACGTTCATGCAGCTCCTCGTGGGAGGAAATGCAGGACACTCCGCTCAACACTCAACTGCTTAGACTTAAGGACTGATTGCACAGATTGCACTCTGATTCGATTCCGAGAGAGCTTCTCACGATTTGCCCGGTGCCAGCACGTGACCAGCTCTTGTGCTTGCCAAGAGACTCGCAGCAGGAGCCCACAGTGTCGCTGCACTCGTAGCTGGGGTCTGCGAACTTGCAGGTCGCACCATTACAGCACCTGAGCCCGAGAGAGGTGCCGGGCAGCTACAGAGTGGCGCCTGGCAGGCTGCTGCCATATATGCCATATGCTCCTCCTCCGATTTGTAAATTGTAAACCCTATGCCCAAACATACCAAAACCCTGCAAGCCCAAGATCTGATCCTTGGGGATCTCAAGGCGCGGGTCATTGCAGGGCGATCCGCAGTCGCAGTCCTCGCCTTCCTCCCGGAAGCCGTTTCCGCAAACCTGGGAGACGGCAACAACTGTTTCGGCTGCTCGGACATTTTGGATTGCACCGCGCTACTTGTTGGGGCTTGATGGTTGGTGTAGATGTGTGAACCTTCTAGATGTTGTGTAGCAGGTGTCGGCTTGGGCCCGAGGTGCCGGATCGCCAAAGACCTTCACGGGCTTGTTCTCTAGACACTCGGAGTTCCTGGTGTAGACCTCTCCATTGAGGCTTCTGAAGCACAAAAACCGCTGAGCCTGTAAAGGCTTGAAGAGATCCTAAAGAAAGTGCCTGGGAAAAGAAGGTCGTGATGTCAGACACGCTGCATCCTGTGAATTGCGTGGCCGGGATACCATCACCTTGCAAAGAGGGTATCCGTCACAAGGACCGTCTGCAATTTGGCAAGCCTGCCTACAGCTTCCATGATGTAGCCGGAGTCTGGGCAGGCAGTGGTTCCCGCATCGTGGGACATGCCAAAATTGTGGCCCATCTCCTAAGATGTTCGACTGACAAGAGCCGACAAGTGGTGGCGAGTTCTACAGCACAGGAGCATGAGCCACCACTGCCGCGCAGTTGGACACATCCGCATTGTTTGCGCCGCACATGTTGATGGACCCGGACCTGTGGAATGGGCGGCGGGAACTCGAAGCTTGACATCCCTCGAGGGCATTGGGTGGAAAAAGGGGCCAGGGCCCCACCGGCCCCACCCGCCTCGCCACATCGCACATGGAAGACACTGGAGCCTTGCCATGTCACGAAGTGCGCAACAAACAAAGAGCAAGGAAGTGCAATGGCCATGGAAAATAAGGAGCAGACAAAACCTGAGCATCAAAGAGAATGCAGGGCACACTGTCAAGAGCCATGTGCAAGGCTCAGTTTCGCCGAAGAGCCAACGGTGCTACCCAAGAGGTCTCGTCCGGTCAACAGCACCTGATTGCATTCGACTAGAGAACTTGATTCACTTGATAGAAAGGCGCGGCCCCAAGCCCTTGCCTGCCCTCCCCTGGAAGTATACGGGACTTGAGGTTCGATCGGAAATCAACTTCACTTTGCGCGACCCCAGCATCCTGCTCCCGAATGCTGGCGCCCATGCAGCTTCGCGGACATCTGTGAGACGATGGCTTTCTGAATGCCCATGATGCTCGATGATACCCAGCTTTGGCTCAAGCAAGTGTGCCGATCCGATGATCCGAGAAACGTTAAGTGGGCCCCTTAGCCCTTTAAGTCTAAAGGGTTAGGCGGTAGGCGGTGGGCAGGATCCTCGGAGCGAGTGCAACGATTGCGGGTGAGTTGGCACTCGCAAGCAATCACGCGGTGTTAAATCGACGGCGCTTGTTTGGGCACAAAGATAGCCGCGCATCGTGTGTGCCCTATACTAGCTTATAAACCTTTCGTCAGCTTTTCAAGCCTCTGTGCGCAAGTACAAGGCATATACAAGTGGCCCCTTCATGCTCCGCTCCGGCCCTTCAGATCCCTTCAGTTCCCCCTTCCCGGCCAGGCGAAGTGCTTTCCTGCGCAGCAGTACAACAATTCCCTCTGAGTTCGTTGCCCGGTTGTCGTTCTCGGACAGAGAGCCTATTCAGGACACCAGATCCAGTTTGGCACAGTCAGCTTGCGGCTCGGCCTGCAGCCATCTGCGAAGAGCTCCACGTCAAGAAGTCCTCCGCTTCCAGGGCAACTTCTGAGACTGAAGCAAGAATCCTGGGCCCCAGACACAGTGTCGAGATCTTGAACGTTCATCCTACCAGAAACCCTACATCACCCGCAACTCCTCCAGCAGCACGGCCTGGGTGGGAGAGGGCGGAGTGCATGGGATCGGGATAGCTTGCGGGGATCGTTGCTCCCTTCCTGCTGCTCCCCATACTTGCTACGTCCAGTTGCATGCCGCCCGTTACAACACCATGCAGTAGTAAACCACCCCTTCCCCCTCGCGGTCAAGCGACTTGGTCCACCTGTGCAGGCATCAATAAAGCCGTAATCATGGAGGGCATTACGGGGCTTCGGTCGAATTCACTCCAGCTCACAAAGAAGAGTCGCCTCCGCATTGCTTTGGAAGTGCGACTGCCAGGGGTCTTCGTCCAGAAAAGTGTGCTGGGCGACCAGGACCACCTGTTTGGGCATACTCTTGAGACTGCCACCCGAGCAACAATCGGACAACAAAAACAAGCCAAGAGCCGCTCCTGGACAGGATAGGGGAAGGATCCAGCCGATGGTGTTGCACCTTATGGAAGCAGAGAAAGGCATTGCCTGCACCTCTCCAACGCACCGCTTCTACCCAACACCTGCACAACTCTTCTACTAGTATGCAGCTGTTTTGACTTTTCATAGGGGGGGGGGCCCAAGATTGTGTGGACCCCTCGAGCGCGCACCACTTCTGGACACTCCTTGGGAACGTGCGGTAGATCGTCGTGACCGCATTGAGCACCGCGACCGTGTGGGCAGCCAGTGTCTCCAGCCCCGAACTCCCTCCGAAGGCGGAGTACCTGGAGAAGTCGTTTACGGCCACGACCTTGGAGAGAATCAGACATCTCTCGCTCTCTCTCTCTCTCCCGCACGCATCAGACATCTCTCTCTCTGTCTCTCTCTCTCTGTCTCTCCCTGAATTTCATCTAGCTTGCCTCTGTCATATGGCTTTGTTGGATAAGCGCCGGACTTCGACGTACTTGGTACTACCAGCATTCAGCCTGGCCAAGCCGATAGGCCAGTCCAAGGTTAGCCCAGGCTTTTCCGACGAAGAGGTCCGAACTCAAAAACCAGCGCCACACATTCTTGTGTTGAATTGATTTCTAACTGTATCTTTGTATTTGTTAGTCAGATTATTCGGTGACTTGTGGGAAGCGAGCCTGCGGGTGTTCGGCGAGAGAAATCGCTGGACCTTATTATTGTGGTCGCAGGCATCTAAGGCGTATACGTCTCCCGACTTGAGGCGACACTTCTGACAGAAAACTGGGGACGTCGGCCGAGTTCAGCTCTCGCTGCCCAGGGAGGGTACGGAGCCAGTGCGCCCCCTGTGGAATGAACAGAAGCAGACTCTCCCCCAGCGGAGATAACGCACAAACATCTCGCTCGCGCACGCGCGCACACCCACACACATACCCCTCTGGATGAGTTTGCTCGCAAGGCTCCTCTTTAAGGCTCCTGCACTTCCCCTGAGCTTCCTATCTTGTCCCTCCTTGCGGTCCTTAATAAGCGGGGGCTCAAAGGGAGAGACAGAGAGAGAGAGATAGACAGATAGAGGGAGAGAGCGGGAGGGAGAGAGAGGGAGGGGAGAGAGGGGGAGGAGAGAGTGAGGAGAGAGAGAGAGAGAGGAGAGAGAGAGACAGAGGGAGAAAGAGCCAAATCACTTCCAACTGTCTCACTGTAAGGGCCACACCTCAGGATGGGGATCGAGCCAGAGCGTCTGATTCCCCCGGAATATCATACCTCAAGGGCTTAAGGACAACGGTTCAACTTCATTTCAAAGCCATCCTGCGGAGAGCTTGAGTGTCACGCCGGAGAGGCCCCCTCCGCAGGTGGACAGGGCAACTCTTGAAGGCTCACCCATCACCTGCCATTTCATGTTTTGAGATTCTTCAGATTTTCTCTCCTTCAGGTCAGGACTCAGGGTTCAAAAAACCTTAAGGTGGATCGACGGGTCCCCTTAGTCTGCCCTCAGCAAGCTGTCAATCCATACTTCCCTGAGCTGGTTTAATTCCTCTGCAAAACCTCATGAAAAAATGACCGCCGCCCCCAACCCCCAACTCCCCCCACCACCCACCCCCACAGAGATATAAACTGCACAACAAGACCGAAAATTACCAGTGCAAACGCCGCTTGGCTCCGGAGTCGAACGGTATCCCGTGCTGATGCTATAAGTTGAAAGCGGGGCTCGCAGGTGTCTAACACCAACAATTCACCTCGGCTTCCTGCCGAGAAGCGTTTGGAACAAGCTGACACGGATTCCGGTCTCCCCCTAACCGAACCCTTTTTCCCATGCCAGATTTTGGACGCACCCCCCCCCGGACCCCGCCTGAAAACCCCTTCCCTGGACCCCCCCCTTTCTTTTGGCCCTCTTTTTTGTTTTCCTGCGGGCCGGCCCGGCTGCCGAGGCGGCGCTCGCAAGCGTTTACAATTAGCCATCTGTTCGGTAAAAGCGCATCTATACATGGAACTGTACGTGCACAGTCACGTTTTGCACTTACACTTTGCATTTCATATTTCCTGTTCGAACTTCAACTGTAGATTCGTATTTGCGTTTCAATATTGGTACAGAATTTAATTTCTTGTGTACACATGATGCGCCTCGCCGATGTAGAAGCAGTTCTCAGGCAAAGGGACCACCTTTTTGGGGGTCAAAAGGTCGCGGACGCACTCAGACGTGGCTTGCTTCAGGCCTCTGTTCGGCCACGGAAGTGCAAGACCTGCAAAAAGCAACAAGGCTTCAATGTGAAGTGCAATGTGAAGTGTCATGATTGTAATGTCCAGAGGGGGGTCCCACATGCTGGGCGGAGGTCGGCAGCAGCGCCCGGTTGTGCCATAGGCGCAGCCGCAGCGATGCAGCCGGCAGGGAGAGCTCCACTTCAAGCTCAGGACCGCCCGTGCCTGCCAGATGCTGCCAGATGCTGAGAATGCAATGTGCGACTTCTGACACCGAATCACCAAAGCAGAACGCCAAAGACGCGCAACATCTCGGCCTGCGTTGAGCCTTCGGCTCCAGGACACCGGCACAAGCTGCGCATCCTTTCAAAGCAAAAAAACCGGCAATTCATTCAATACATGTCAGTGCAAAAAAAGAGACGTCGTCACTGCGACAGATCGACAGGCCTCGACGTCCAAGGGCCCCGGGCCGTGAACACCAGTGCAAGTACCACACTCTGTGAGCATAGAATCTACAAAGATTACTCAGTTCATCTCAGTTATTACTATTACTATTACTCGCATTTCCTCACTGCTCTCCCTCTGTTGAGGCGCTCTCTTCTATTGAGGCTATCAAGCCATTTTGCCGTCAACAGTTTCAACAGCCAAGGTTCGTGAGTCCACGCAACCACGAGAAGTGATGAAACGAGCGCAGACAGCATCATGCCAAGGCAGGCGCCATGGTGTAAGACATTGTAAAACGTCTCGGGGTAGATACGATCCATGCTGTGAGGACGAACTTGTCTGGCCAAGTGGAGTGTGATGTGGCTCCTCGTCAAGTTGGTGACTTGGTGGCCGGGGATTTGGCAAGGGCAGTGCGGTCGGGACCATGTGGGTGGCTGAGAGCCAAAGATAGCCCTCGAGCATGCAGACAGATGCAAAAAATAGAAACCAAAAAAACGCAACAAAATTGTTTGGAGCTGTTTGGGGTTTTCAATGCACAACGCCTTGCGGCTTCTTCGAGTCTTGTCCACATTTGTCCAACGCCTGATCGATGGTGTCGTCAGTGAAGACGACCTGGGCTGTGGAGACCTGCAGCCTCAAAGGGCGAAGTGATGCGAAGTGATTCGAAGTGATGTGCGGAGTCGATGCCTTAAGGCCTTAAGGAGCAAAGCGCAAAGCTGGGTGTTAAGGAATGTGTTTAAACGTCGAAAAACGCGGACCGGTGCCCGAGGCCGACGACCCATCATTCAGCTTGCACTGGAAGATCACGGCGAAGGAGAAGCTGGGGAACAGCGACACGTGATTTCTCTCTTCCTTTCCGCAACAGCCTGCGCATGTGCCCCACCTGGGCAACCACCAGGTTTCACCCAGGCTCTTGTACAAGCCTTCGGACACCTCAAATGAAGCAGCTCTCGTAAAGCGATTTGCATTGTCACCTTGTCGCTGCCTGCGCGTGGAGCACGACCGGCAGCACGGTCAACCTTCAAGCTGCAGGTTGGGGCCCTCGGGGTTTTGGAGGGGTGGGGGGAGGGGGGAACATCAGCAACTGCTCTCCGAATTCTGAAGTTTCCCACCCGTCCACCGATGATGCCAGAAAACCTCGGGGGGAATGGAATAAGGGCAAGCTCCAGGACGCGGCTCAGGTGCAATCTGAGGGCTTCGCGGCTCAGCCTCTAGATGGGCAGCAAGAAAAGTGCGCAGGAAAAGGAATGCTCAGGATGCTCAAGAAGGCTCAGAAGTGAGGTGCCGGGATGCCTCTTGTTCAGCCATGCCATGCCACTCCTTCCGATGAGCTTCGTGAGGGGCATCTGGCAGAAGCACGCGTGCGAGGGCAGCTTCCAGATTCTCAGCTGCGCTTAAGGAAGCAAGAAAGGGGGGCGCGCCTGCTTGCAGAAATAGTCCCCCAATATTGACGCAAGTCGTTCCACATCCTCACCTCTGCATTGCAGATTGCACTGCGCAAGCTTTCCAGGATCTGCTCGCGCTGTACCTGGCCTGGGAGTTCTGCAACAACGGCCAGCGGCATCCTAAAACCATGGAGAGCTTTTTCGCTCCAGCTGTGCTCGGAAGTCGACGATCGTCGGCGTTAAATTGCAATGATGGAAACGACAGTCGAAGAAGGCTTTAGGCGTCGTTTTGAGTGGCATCTGCTTCATCTGCTTGCAACCTGCGATGCACGAGGACGCGCCTCGCAGTCGCACGGCTGCTGCTGCATGAGCACTGGCTGGCACTGGACCTCAGAACTCACAGGGGCCATAGGGTGCACTGCTGGTGACCTGCACGTGGACTGCTGGGAATCCAGGAGAGCCTACCTCAACAATTCACTGCCCGGAGTGTGAAGAGGTTCTGAAACGCGTACCAGGCTGACAATGCAGAAGTGGCTTGGAGTCGATAGGGCAATGGTAAAGCAGCTGTGCAGCACTTTGCGGGCCACCTTTGTTTGCTCCGTATGGTTCGAGGGAAGTATCGTTCCGTGCAGGAACAACTCAGCTGGAAGGAGTTTGCGCAGCTTTCTCTTTGACTTCATTTCCCATAAATGTTCTGCCAGAGAAAAGCTTTCCTTGACGGCTTGACCCACATTTTGCTATGATATGGCTTCTTCGCGGAAGCATGTAGATCTGTGAAGGCCCCACATGCAACCATTGGATAGTGAGTAGCCGGCTTGGGGGAAGATGCTACTGGTAGTTTCTGTAGTTGGCGACTTTGCAAGCCAGAAGGACTTGACATTAATCACCCACCTCATCCTCCGCAGATGCATTTGACATTGCAAGGAGGGCAGTCCACACAGATCGGCATAGTTTGCAGAGCTCTACAGAAGATCGCCCTCTCGGCTCGTGCAATGCGATTGGTCAAAGCTTGGGTGCCCCCCGCGAGGGTATCCGGGAAGGAGACAAGCAGTCGCGAGAAAGGCACTAAGCACTGACACTCCGAACGTCTTGTGTTAGAATTGTTGTGTACTGTCGGGACGGAAGCTTCGGTGAGTGTGCCCTCTTGTGTTCATGACCGCCTTGAACCCTTGTCCAAGACCAAAAGAACTTGCAGCAGAAGCAGAGAAATTCGATAAACTCCTTATACGTTTTGGGCTTCGCAGTCTCAGGTTCCGCGCGTGCGTCTGTAGAGCTGCTTGGGCTCCTTGGTGGCCCCCAGCCAGGCCTCGCCAAAAAAATGACAAACGAGAAACGATAGCGGAAAAGACGGCGGGTCGCCTGCTCGTTGTTGGAATTGATCCATGGAACGAGCCGCCTGGCAGCTCCGAGAACTTCTTACAAAGGCACCCCCCTGGCATTATGTTACCGACCGAATCTTCTGAGGAACAGAGGTCTTCTCTTCAGCGCTGCAGGCAATGGCGCCCGAAAAGAGAGACAGGTCGAACATGGTGAAAGCCACATCGTTATCAGAGTGTGCGAGGAGACGCGCCTCTTGAGCCAGCGGCTGAGCTGCCACAGTCCCGAGGTGCAGCCAAGAGCGCAGCCCACACCCAAGAGGGGCCAGGGCCCCTGGCAATCTGTTTTCAGTCCCAGAAACAAGCAATTCTGAAATCTTCGCATGCCCTGCCCACCCCCCACCCCCCCAATTTTCCACGTGCCGGCAGCACGCCGTGCGCGATGCCGGCACCTCAGTGAAAGAGTGTCGTGGGGGCATCAGGGAACTGCAGCTTCCTTGAACATACGGCGAAGTGCATCAGCGGCTTGGGGAATTCGGGGGCTTAACTCGTGCACTCGGCCGGGGCTTTACAGCAAGGTAGACTTTCTCACATTGTGGGCTTGTTTTGGAGATGAGTTGGGAGCCCCCTGACCCCCTGGGTTCCCGCGCAACAGCAAAGGGCTCCCAGGGCCGTGCCTTCAGCGCTGGGCCTCTTCGTCTCTTTGTTTCTGTCGGTGTTTAGGGCTTAACTGGAGGAACAAAGGCTGTTCTCTTTGCACATTGCACGCAAGTATGTAATCGGGGAGGGACACCGCGATATTCCCCTATTTTCACACAGCCAGAAAAAGGCCTTACACAGGCCTTCTAGGGGCTTAGGATTCAGGGTTCCATCGGGAATCGATTCGGATTCAATGTATGGGGCTTCTGAGAGGGATGCTCATCGCACATTTCAGTTGAACGGACGTCTTCGAGCCTCTGTCTCTGTGTGCTGTGCTGAAACAATTCATTGGGTGGTTGGGCGTCAGAACCCTCCACACTGTGGTGAACAGGCCTTGCTGGCAGGTCTCTCGCCAGAACTGCCTCTCACGTGGCTGGCAAGCGCACAGTGAAGCGGCGACATGCTTTGTGCTCTGAGCTGCTATGCCATGTGAAGGAACAAACTTGCGGGGCCCCTGCGCGAACAGGAACTACCGTTCGGTGCCGGAGGGAGATTCGGGTGATGCATCCAGCCAGGACCTGGGAAAACAGAACGTTATGCGAGATCCATGGATATTCGGATTGGGCCCCCTATAAGGGGATTCTTCGCACGAGGCCTTCTCCAGGTCGACGGGAGGCTCACGAAGCGCCTACAAGTAGCCAGCAGCTGCCGTCTTTATACCGTCTTGGCGCTTGCGTGCTCCCAAAGCAGGAAACTGTTTTTGGTGGAATGCCAGGCAAAGCGCAAAGCCCTCCCTCCTCGCAGGTAGTTCGCTTTAATTACTGCCTACGTGGCTTGAGTCGCCTGTCAGACTGCGTCATGCACGGCATTCGGCAAGGAAGTCCACCGGTCAATGATGTGTCCCTACGATTTCTTGAAAGAAAGAAAGAACGATGCCTTCGTGCGTGACCGCATACTGACCCTCAGATGGCCCATGGCCCTGTACATGAATGGCGACATGGGTGCTGTGGGCTGTGCAAGCAGGTCATGATCCAACTCTTTGGTTTGCCACATGAGCCTATGGCCTATGTCAGGAGTGAAACGAGCCAGGGGCATCGCTGCTGAAACCGGCTGTCCGCGGTCTGCACATGCGGCACCTGGGGATGCCCAGCTGGCTCGCTGCGGGAGCTCACAGCTGAGGGAACAGGCAGCATCGCTTTCTCGACGGCCTCCGCTGCGCGGGGTTACCAGAGCGATGCTTAGCGGCTTAGCGGCTACCTTGGGTACCTATAGACGACATCTGCAAAGCCGTGGAACCGCTCCATCCCTACGGTATGAAAACCCAAAGAGAGGGCCTTTCGTCCATTCTTGGAAAAATTTCTTACGAGCCTTTTATGATTGAAGTGCACGGGCCTGGCTTCCTCTTCTTGGAGCTCTGGCTTGGCAGCTTGCCGGGCACTTCGGGGGCGGTTCGGCAGTTGCGTGGCCAGCTCCTTTGCCGACTTCCCGAGAAATGGCGGAAGTTGCGGCGTGTTGTGGAACATACAGTTCTGTAATGAACATATGAAAACTAGGGAGTTCTGAGGCCTACTGAGGGCAGCAGCACTCCTGGAAGAGCACGTCCACGTTGTCGCCTGCCGGCGGTGTGGAGAGTGAGCTGTGCCTTGAGGGTGTTGGGATGTTTTGGGCAGCGGCCTTTCCCAAAGCGGTCGGCGATTTCACAATCTTCTAAGCTGCCCGATGGTGTTGCAGGAACTTGTCGGACGTGCAGGGATGTTCCGAAACCCTCGGCACCTACCCATGAATACCTGCTGCACATTAGGAAGGAGATACCCTCACTCTGAATCCAACCCAAGCCGGAGCCAAGTTGTGTCAAAAAATGAGACACCGCCCCCCCCCCCCCCCGCCGCCCATCTGTGTCAAACCTCGCAGGGCCGCCTGTTTTGGCGCTGGTCTCCAGGAAGAGCGCCCCCAAGGTCAGGGACTCCTCGCGCGCGGCGTCCTGCGGCACCTCGCGGCCCTCCAGGTCTGCCTCTGGCGCTTTGGTCGACTCGGAGCTGGGCTTCTACGGGGCTTTTGGCGATTCTTGCTTTTTCTTGGGTTGAAGGACATAAGGTTTATATAGGGTGCTGACGGGAAGGGGAGAAGCCGGGTAAGCCTTGTTGCCAACCATTGCCAGCAAGGTTTCCTTGCCCAGCTCGTGGTGCACCTGAAGTCGTGCATGTGCTGGTGGAGGCCCAGCGCCAACGAAGGCTGGGGCACCCGGCCAAATTCACCCAGTCCCTGGCAGCTCTGCGGTCACAGCAATTCTTTCTTTCACGGTTGAAGATGGCAATCCCTTTGCCTCGCTGCGCACCAGGATCGCCAACATGTCACATCATACCTCAACGCATGCAGCTATGGTGACACTTCCACTAATCAATAGCCTCTTATGCCCACAGACTCCAGATCCAAATGGACATGTTGCGGGCAAGCGCTTTAACAAAGCTTGTATTGTGGTCCGTGAGCACTCCCGGCAACGTCCCATGCCAGTCATGGTGTACGGCTGTATGACAGTTCATTCGACAGGTATCGGTAGTCTTATCCGATTATGTCGGAGGAATGCCGAGCCTGCCTCTCACAATGTAGCTGAGAGGCACGACGATCGCTGCAGCTGCATCTTGCAGGTAAGCGGGCATGAGGCTTCGAAAGCGATCTTCGCCCGCAGTGTCCCACAGCTTAAGCTTGACCCATTCGTGCCCGCTGAAGACCTGGGCCCAAGGCAAGCTTTTGCCTAGACAGCACGCAGTCCTACGTCCTAGTTTGATGCTAACTGTAGGACCATTGCAGGCCTTCTTCCACTGAAAGTCCAATCCAGCTGTTGGCAGCACTTCAGTCGAGAACTGGTGCTCGACGCATTGCTTCAGCAGCGAGGTCTTGCCCGTGCGGCTGTCGCCTACCAGCACGACCTGCCATGATCCAGCAGGGCAAATTGGTAGATGCGGATACTGTACCGATCATTTTGGGCTTTTGTTTCGTGTGCTCACTTTAGTCTTCAAGCATTCACCCAATTCACTGACTGCAAGAATACCAAAGTAAGCGTGTCTTCTCGCTCATTTCATTCGCTCGCTTTCTTATTCGTGCTGTGTTAAAAGCCCCCTGCAGCAATGAAGGGGAATTGGTACTAAAGAAATGCACGCGCCATTCTTCCCTGTCATCATACAGAAAACCTACATGAACAGACCCCGGTTTCAAAACCACAGATGCCAGTAACATGAAGGTCCAGGCCTTGTAGCTCGGGCAGGTGGTCATCCGCAGAAGAGGTGACTGCAACTTGAGCTTACGCTGCAGATGAGACTTGCCGCAGAGAGTTGGCCGAAGGACTGCGGGAGCTGATCACACATGATGCAGTCTGCTTCCATCTATTTCCTCTACCTCTGCAACACGGCCTTGGGCAGAACTACCTTGTATGGCCACCATGACGCTCGGTAGTAGGGAAGAAGGCTGTTCATGGCCTAAGGCGAAGGGCCAGCGAAGCATCTTGACATGTCTGGTCATGGCCTGGCTTATCCCGGCTTGGTGCCCTTTTCTTGTGATCAGCATGCTCCCAGGCAGAATCGCGCAAGCTGAGGGTGCAGCAGCAACGGCACTGGCCACCATGTCAGGTACCTGCGGACTTGCTCTGAACACTTGGAATCCCTCACAGGCAAGGGGCAGTGACCATCTCGGGCAGGGTGTCCTGCAGTAAAGCAATACTGCAGTAAAGCAACTGCCTTAAGGCAACTCGGAATCACTGAGAGTGTCGATCCTGCATCAGGGTGGAGAGCTGATCTTTGCAGATTCCCACCAGTCTGTCCTACGATTGTCCAACATCAGACTTGTTGTCTCTGCTCTGGAACGTGTGTGCCCTACAGCCTTTGCAGTCCTTGGCCCAATACACAGGGTTCCTGCGCTGCAGGTGCGCGTCCGCGAGAGACACTTACGACGCTCGTGACTATGTTTTCACCCGACCCCTCTGTCTGTGCGACATGCAGTGCGCAGAGGGTGCCCTCTCGAATGAAAGAGTATCGGTGTAGTATGTGTGCATATTTGGGTCAGAAGGTACAGAAGGTTCTTTCTCTATAAACCCTCGCCCTCCGATATCAGCTTCCAAGAAGGCCTCCGAAAAGGCTTCTCCGGAGAGCCCGTTGAAGCCGAAGGGATCCGAAAGCGCCGGCGCCGGGCCCGCTGCTGGCCCTGGGAGTTCACCTCTCTCGCTGGCTTGCCGGGGCTTGCCGGGTGTGGAAAATCGGAAGGGGGGGGGGGGGGGGGGTGATCTGGGGATTGTGCGTTACGGCTAATTGTTGTCGGATATTAACATGAGCAGTTGCATGGGCCTCCACAAGGAGAGTCACCACATCCAGCAGTCCTGTGAAGCATGATGACGAGCATTTCAAAATGATAGAGCAAATGTTCGGATGCTCGCGCCTCCGTACATGAAGCTTGCCACGGGGTCAATGTCCACATTCACGACCTGACCAGCGCTTGTCTCGCCGATCCCGCTGCGTGAAAAGACATGTTGCGCGGTGCTGCGCGCTACACTCTGCAAACCCCCCCCGATCCTCCAGATTTGTGATTGTCCAATCATGAAGCGTCTCACTCACCATGTTGATGACAAGGGAGTCGCCCTCAGGCATCAAGTTGCGAACACGTCGCGAACACCTGCTCGGTGGTTTTGTTGCACACTCCTTCTCTCTCCCCGGCCGTGATGGTCGTCCATCGTGTCTTCGAGATCGATCGCAGAGCCTCGCGCTATGAACCTAAACCTCATCGGTTGGTGTCCTCCTATACGTAAGTTAATCCTCAGTGAGACAATCCATTCCCCGATATGTCCGATGCAATACGTTCTTGTGTTCTCCAGAGCCCCCAAACCCAGCCGAATGAACCTGCTTGACATAAGGGGTTTGGTTCGGGGGTGGACCGTAAAATAGACTCTGATTTCACGCATAGTGTTCCGACGGAGCCGAGTTTGCTTTCTACTTGGGCAGGGTTGAGCAGGGGTTACAAGAAGCACCAACGAGAACCATGCGTGGACCTGGCCTGGGCGAAGTTCCCGGATTGGACGTGGAGGGCGAAGGCGATTACCTTCCAAGATTCCGAGCTTCTCCAGACTTCGGAGATCTTCGGATAACTCAGCATCCCACATCCACGCCAGGCAGCATTTCAGCCACCTGCGATCACAGCCGAAGCCCGTTCGCTTCCTCTGTGAGCAATTTGGCCGGTTCATGGCAGCTCGTATGATTCAGATCTATAGCCATACAGGCACAAGTTGATGTTTCGTTGTTTCTTCTGTTTTTCTTTTGCACACTTTTGGCACCCCCTTTTGTTTCTCTCTCTCTCTCTCTCTCTCTCTTCCTTCCTTCCACAGCACTTAACCCCCGAGGGGGTCGTCCCGAAGGACGTGCTCCAGTGATCCAGTCGGAGGTGAAAACGATCTCTGTCTCTCTCTCCGCACGCTTGCAGATGATACTCGGCTGAAATTTCTGAGGAAGGTTTCGTTGCAATTGCTACTCGGATTGAATTTCTAGAGAAGTTCTCCCTCGCTGTAAAAGCTACTAGTCTCGAGTTTCTGAGGAAGGTGTCGTTGCCATTGTTACATGTCTTGGGTTTCTCAGGAAGGTTTCGTTGCAAGTGCTACATGTCTTGAACTTCTCAGGATGGTTTCGCTGTCTTGAGCTTCTGAGGAAAGTTCCGTTGCCAATGCTGCTCGGCTTCAATTTCTGAGGAAGATTTGGCTGCAATTGCTACGCGAAATGGTTTTCTGAGGAAGGTTGCGTTGCAATTGCTTCTCGGCTTGATTTTCTGGGAAGGTATCTCTGTAAATGCTACTGGCTTTGAGATTTTGAGGAGGGTTTCGTTGCAATTGCTACGTGTCCTAAATTTCTGAGGAAGGTTTCGTTGTGAATTCTAGTAGTCGCGAGTTTATGAGCCAGGAAATTTTCGTTGCAAATGCTACTAGTCTTAAGTTTCTGAAAAGGTTTCGTTGCAATTGCTGCTTGAATTTTGAGGAAGGTGTTGTTGTAAATGCTACTGTTCTTGAGTTTCTGAGGAAAGTTTCGTTACAATTGCTACGTGTCGTGAATCTCTGACGAAGTTTTCGTTGCAACTGCTTCTCGGCTTGAAGTTCTGAGGAAGACTTCGCTGTAATTGCTCCTAGTCTCGAGTTTCTGAGCAAGGTTTCATTGCAATTGTTGCATGCCTTGAATTGGTGAGGAAGGTTTCGTTGCAATTGCTACTCGTCGTGAATTTCTGAAGAAGGTTTCGCTGCAGTTGCTACTGGAAGTGAATTTCTATCAAAAGTTTCGTTGCAATTGATACTCGGCTTGAATTTCTGCGGATAGTTACTCTGTAAATGCTTCTGGGATTGCGTTTCTCAGGATGGTTTCGCTGTAAATGCTACTAGTCTTGTGTTTCCGAGGAAGGTTCCGCTGTAAATGCTACTAGTCTTGAGCTTCTAAGGCAGGTTTCGCTGCAACTGTTACGTGTCTTGAATTTCTGGGGAAGATTTCGTTGCAATTGCTACTGGTCTTGAGTTTCTGAGGCAGGTTTCGTTGCAATTGCTACATGTCTTCAAATTCTGAAGAAGGTTCCGCTGCAGTTGCTACTCGGCTTGAATTCCTGAAAAGTTTTGCTGTAAATGCTGCTGGTCTTGCGTTTCTGAGAAAGGTTCCTTTGCAATTGCTGCGTGTCAAGGAATTTCTGAGCAAGATTTCGTTGCAGTTGCTATTCGTCTTGAACTTCTGCGGAAGGTTTCGTTGCAAATGCTCCGTGTCTTGAATTTCTGAAGAAGGTTTCGTTGCAATTGCTACATGGCTTGAATTTCTGAGGAAGGTTTCGTTGCAATTGCTACTTGGCTCGAGTTTCTGAGGAAGGCTTCGTTGCCATTGCTACATGTCTTGAGTTTCTGAGGAAAGTTTCGTTGCAATTGCATTGCAGTTGCTACATGTCTTGAGTTTCCGGGGAAGGTTTCGTTGCAATTGCTAGTCGTCTTGAACTTCTGGGGAAGGTTTCGTGGCAATTGCTACTCGTCTTGTATTTCTGGTTTCGTTGCAATTTCTACTCGGCTTGAACTTCTGAGCAAAGTGTCGTTGCAATTGCTACATGTCTTGTATTTCTGAGGAAGGTTTCGTTGCAATTGCTACTCGGCTTGAATTTCTGAGCAAGATTTCGTTGCAATTACTATTCGTCTTGAAATTCTGCGGAAGGTTTCGTTGTAAATGCTCCGTGTCTTGAATTTCTGAAGAAGGTTTCGTTGCAATTGCTACATGGCTTGAATTTCTGAGGGAAGGTTTCGTTGCAATTGCTACTTGGCTCGAGTTTCTGAGGAAGGCTTCGTTGCAATTGCTACGACTCTTGAATTTCTGAGGAAGGTTTCGTTGCAATTGCTACTAGTCTTGAGTTTCTGAGGAAAGTTTCGTTGCACTTCATTGTGAGACAGATTTCGTTGCAATTGCTACATGTCTTGAATTTCTAAGGAAGGTTGCGTTGCCAGTGCTACATATCTTGAGCTTCTGAGGAAAGTTTCGTTGCAATTGTTACTCGTCTTAAATGTCGGTTGTACGTTTTGATGTAAACGCTACAAGTCTTGGGTTTCTGAAGGAAGGTTTTGTTGCAATTGCCACAAGTGTTGAATTTATGAGGAAGATGTCGATGCACTTGCTACGTGTCCTGAATTTCTGAGGAAGGTTGTAAATGCTACTGGGCTTGAGATTCTCAGGAAGGTTCCACTGTACATGCTACTAGTCTCGAGTTTCTGATCAAGGAACCGTTGCATGTGCTATTCGGCTTTAACTTCTGAGGAAGGTCTCGTTGTAAATGCTATTAGTCTTGAAAAGAAAGAACGTTTCGTTGCAGTTGCTTCTCGAAAAAGATTTCTGAGGAAACCGTCGTTGCAATTGCTAGATGACGTGAATTTCAGAGAAAGGTTTCGTTGCAATTGCTACTCGGCTTGAATTTCTGAGGAAGGTTTCGTTGCAATTTCTACTCGGATTTTCTCAGGAGTTTTTGGTTGTGCAGTTGCTACGTGTCTTGAACTTCTGAGGAAGGTTTCGTTGCAATTGTTATGCGGCTCGAACTTCTGAGGAAGGTTTCGTTGCAACTGCTACTCCGCTTGAGTTTCTGAGTAAGTTGTCGTTGCAATTGCTACTCTTCTGGAATGCCGTAAATGCTTTTAGTCTCCAGCTTCGGAGGAAGGTTTGGCTGCAATTGCCAAATGTCGTGAATATCTGGGGAGGGTTTCGCTGAAATTGCTACATGTCTTGAAGTTCTGAGCAAGGTTTTGTTGCAATTGCTACTCGTCTTAATCTTAAAACTCGGTTGTAGGTTTTGATGTAAATTTCCAATGCTACTAGTCTTGAGTTTCTGAGGAAGGTTTCGTTGCAATTGCCACAGGTTTTGAATTTCTGGGGAAGGTGTCGATGCAATTGCTACATGTCCTGAATTTCTGAGGAAGGTTTCACTGTAAATGCTACTAGTCTGTAGCTTCTGAGGAAGGATGCTAATTTTTGCAATTGCTACAAGGCTTGGGATTCTGAGGAAAGTTTCGTTGCAATTGCTACGTGCCTTGAAATGCTGAGGAAGGTTTCGTTGCGATTGCCACGTGTCTTGAACATCTGAACAAGGTTTCGTTGCAATTGCTACTCGGCTTGAATTTCTGAAGAAGGTTTCGTTGTATTTGCTACTCGTCTTGAATTGTTGAGGAAGGTTTCGTTGCAACTGCTACTCGTCTTGAATTCTGACGAAAATGCTACTAGTCGCGAGTGTCTAAGAAGGTTTCGCTGTAAATGATACTAGTCTTGAGTTTCTGCAGAAGGATTCGTTGCATTTGCTACATGCCTTGAAATTCCGAGGAAGGTTTTGCTGTAAATGCTACTAGTCTTGAGTTTCTGAGGAAAGTTTCGTTGCAATTGCTACATGTCTTGAATTTCTGAAGAAGGTTTGGTTGCAATGACTACTCGGCTTGAATTTCTAGGAAGGTTTCACTAGATATGCCACAAGTCATGAATTTCTGAGGAAGGTTTCTTTGCAATTGCTACATGGCTTGGGTTTCTGGGGAAGGTCTCGTGGCAATTGCTACGTGTCCTGAATTTCTGAGGAAGGTTTCGTTGCAATTGCTGCATGTCTTGAGTTTCTGAGGAAAGTTTCGTTGCAATTGCATTGCAGTTGCTACATGTCTTGAATTTCTGAGGAAGGCTTCGTTGCAATTGCTACTCGTCTTGAATTTCTGGGGAAGGTTGCGTGGCAATTGCTACTCGTCTTGTCTTTCTGGTTTCGTTGCAATTGCTACTCGTCTTGAATTTCTGAGGATGGTTTCGTTGCAACTGCTACATGTCTTGAATTTCTGAGGAATGCTTGAGGAAGGCTCCTTTGCAATTGCTACGTGTTTTGAACTTCTGAGGAGGTTTTGCTGTACATGCTACTCCTACTCGGCTTGAATTTTCGAGGAACGTTTCGTTGCAACTACTACATATCTTGAATTACTGAGGAAGGTTTCATTGCAATTGCTACTCGTCTTGAATTTCTGAGGAAAGTTTCGTTGCAAATGCTACGAATTTTGAATTTCTGAGCGATGTTTGGTTGCAATTGGTACTCGGTTAGAATCTTTGAGGAATGTTACGTTGCAATTGCCGCGTGTCTTGAATTTGTGAGGAAGATTTCGTTGCAACTGCCACTCGTCTTGAATTTCTGAGGAAGGTTTTATTGTAAATGATACTAGTCTTGAATTTCTGCGGAAGGTTTCGTTGCAATTGACACTCGATTAGAATTAGAATTTCTGGGGAATGTTTCGTTGCAATTGCAATGTGTGTTGAATTTTCGCGGAAGGTTTCGTTGCCTTTGCTACGTGTCTTGAATGTCTGTAAAAAGTTTCGATTCAATCGCTACTCGTCTTAATTTTCTGATGAAGGTTTCGCTGTAAATGCTGCTAGTCTAGATATTCTGAGGAAGGTTTCGTTGCATTTGCTACATGTCTTGAATTTACGGGGACGGTTACCTTGCAATTGTTACTGGTCTTAAATTTTGGTTGTAGGCTTTGGTGTAAACGCTACTAGTCTTGAGTTTCTGGGGAAGGTTTCGTTGCAATTGCTGAGGTAAATGCTACTAGTCTTGAGTTGCTGAGGCCGGTTTTGTTGCGGTTGCTACTGTGGTCTCGGGTTTCTGAGGAATGTTCCGTTGCAATTGTTACTCGGCTTCAGTTTTTGACCGAGGTTTCGTTGTAATTGCTGGATGTCTTGAATTTCTGAGGAAGGTTTCGTTGCAATTGCTACTCGGCCTGAATTTCTGAGGAAAAACTCGCTGTACATGCTACGGTTCTTGAGTTTCTGAGGACGGTTTCGTTGCAAGTTCTACTCGACTCGGGTTGAATTTCCAGCAAGGTTTTGTTGTAAGTGCTACTTGTCTCGGGTTTCTGAGGAAGGTTTCGTTGCCATTGCTACTGTATTTTGAGCTTCTGAGGAAGGCTTCGTTGCAATAACTACTCGTCTTGAATTTCTGAGGAAGTTTGTGTTGTAATTGCTACTCGTCTTGAATTTCTGAGGAAGGTTTCGCTGTACATGCTACTTTCTAAGGAAGGTTTCGTTGCAATTGCTACATGTCTTGGGTTCCTGAGGAAGGTATTGTTGCAATGGGGGCCCTGGCCTTTCTCTCCCTCTCTCTCCACACGCATAGCCCCCCCCGAAGGAGGAGCTGCCCCGGAGGGCGCGCCAGTCCACAGTGTCCTGGCCTTTCTCTCCCGCTCTCTCTCTCTCTTTCTGTCGCTCCCTCGCTCTCTCTCTCTTCTTCTTCTACGGGGCCTGGGGAAGGGTTCCCCCCTCCCCGCGCACTGGGCGCGCCCAGCCACGCGAATGAGTCCAGTGATAGTTGCTGTCCAGAGAGCTGGCAAGCTCGGAGAGAGCGCTCTCTCTCTCTCTCTCTCCCTCCCTCTCTCCACGCATTTTATATATTAATCAACATACGCACACATCTCTTGTATGCAGTCCCGGTGTGAAACGTGCCTTCGCCAATGGACCATCTGGGCTGCCGCACTGCTGCCAGTTCTTCAGTAGACTGCGCAAGGGATCGTTGCACGCGGTGCCGGGAGCAGAGTGGGGAAAGAGGCATGGAGTCATGGAGCGTGGGCAAGAGCTCGCAACTCGCAGCCCAAATGCACTCGAACCGTCCTTACGTCATTCATTTCATCTGAGATGAGGCCACGGCTTGAGGGCTTCCTGGGCTTCTTGGTGGTGACCTCATGGCGACTCAAAGCACTGCAAGCGGCTGAGCCGATTGGACAACCTTGGACTTCTGGGCCCCACCGTGCAGGTCCAGCAGAGCCTGGCGAAGGGGCTTCTAAGTCCGTCTCCATTCGGTTCTTCCAAGTTCAGCAGCTTGCACAGCCAGTTTTTTCATAACTCCCGTCTTAACGGGCGCACAGAGGCGATGAGGTTGGATCCAGGCAGCAGCTCCGCCACCTCAATATGAGCCAGATCGTTTCAGACTCTATAGCCAAGACTTCGCCAGACTTCGCCCGGCCTTGACCAGCGCCCCATCCTTGCACAAGGCACTTCCGACGAAACTCCCTTCACAAGAATCGTGAGCTGCTGGTAGCCGCTGGCCTTTCCCAAGTATCTTTGCAGTGAGAAGGCTCTGGCTCGCTCCTCCGCTTCGGTCCTTCAAGGGATTCAAAACCACTCTGCAAAAAGGCAAAGGGTCGGAAGTTTCTCCCGCAGCAGGCCAGATATCCGAGCTGCCAACTGCCCCTTGAATTTGTGGTAGCACCTTCTGTCACACTGCGAGCCACTTTCAACATGCGCAGGAACACGCTGCTTCGCACATTACTTGAAACAGGAGGGCACCGAAGGCCGTCTGCAACAAGCGGAAGGTGTTCTCCCGCCTGTCACTTGAAAACGCGCAGAGGCGGACTCGCATGATGGGTCAGCATGGGACAGACACCACAGGCCTTTATGAGAAAGCCGTTCGGGCCTCTGCAATGTGATGCTATGTTACAGCAACATGCGACTGCGGATCATGGCGGATCGCACGAGTGGCCCGCCCAGGGGGTTCATCTGCACCCGGTGGCCTGGCCAGAGCATCCAAAAAGTGCTCGCGACTATGCGGTGTACCGCACAGGTTTCTGTAAGATTCTGAAGATGCGTAAGCTGCGACAGAAAGCTGAAGAAGCTCAAGCACTTTTTGCTCCAGTCTCTTCAAGCAGAGCTCTCTTTCAGGGCCCGTTTCTTCTTCCCTTTCGAAGGCCGAGCGCCATTGTTCCAAGACTTTCCAAAGCACACGCTGACCCGCATCAGGAAGCAGCTTCCGCGGCCTCGGCAGAAAGCGGCTCTTTCTGAATAGTTTTACAATGTGGGGTCTTCTAGTTACAGAGCAAGTTATATCTTGTGCAACATAACTTATACCATAACTTATAAGTTCTGTTGTCAGAGTTATAAATCGAGCAACTTGGATAACTGGACGGGATCAGTTATAACTAAGTCATGCCAGTTAGCTAACTTGGATAACTAAAAAATGCTGTATTGTGTAAGGTTTCAGTCACATGGAGGTCGAGGGCTATGTTTCTTATACTTTTTAAGAAAGGGCTGGGGTAGCGTGGAAACTACAGGATTTCACATGTTTTTGCTAGAAACATGTCACGTCAAGAAATATGATGCAGTGTCTTTTGGTATGTTTGGAGCTGAATACCAAGCAAGTTATATAGACTATGTGTGCCCATGGCGTGGAGCAGAGCAAAGCGAAGGTCGACACTTCCTTTTGGGCCAGCTGCTAAGGGAGGTCGACCGGACCACACGCGGACCACAAGGGGACCACAAGCGTACAACAAGCAAATCCTCGAGACATCCCACGAAACCGACCCGTACCACAAGCAAAAACGGCCTATTCGGACCACAAGGGGACTACAAGAGAATATCCAGAAAAAAGTATCCACAAAAAGAACGTGTCGATATTCTTTCAGGCAGGGAAGCCCAATCCACCAGAAGATACACACCGAAGAAGATAAGTATATATATATATGTATCTATACGAAACACTGTGTGTCAATTATACATCTATGTAAAGAAGTCATCAAAACATATACATAAACGTATCTCTCTCATTAATGCCGCGATTTTTGTACTTCTGTCGCCTAACGGCTAACTTCCCTAACTAAGATATAGCTTACATGTCTCTGGGCTTACTAAGTTCTAACTGAAGGTCCCCACATTGTACTGTTATTTGAATACGGCGCGAATTTGCCAAACACATGTTTGGTGGAAAATTTGAAACAGGCAGCAAAAAAGCAGTTGCGCCTCAGCGGGCTTCGGCTCCTCCTTTCCTTCCGCTGCCGGCTGCTCTGCTTCGGCCTGTGCGGCGTCCTGGCCATGGGCGATGGGCCCCACAAGGGCCCTTTGTTCCCCAACACTGGCATGCGACCCACGCCTCCTTCGGTTTCTTCTTGAGCTTCATTCGCAGTAGCACGGCTGCCCCGCCGCAGCAGCCGCACAAAGGGAGTCCGAAGGTGAGGAAGCCGAGGAAGAAGAACCAGCGGGCTGCAAACAGGATCGAAGGGTGCTGGGTCTGGGGTCTGAACTCTTTTTTCATGGGTGAGGGATATCGGTGCAGACGTGATGAGCCTGAGGTTTCGCACTCGATCTTCTTGACATTCACTCTGGAGATCTGCATCAGAAGCAGAGGCGACGAACGGCGGGAGAAACAGGCGAGTGACAAAAGGAGTAACTAGGGCAGAGTAACGCAGTGCGGCGTCCAGAGGGTGCAGTGCCTGGTCTCTCCAGCGCCCGGACTTGCAAACCAGGGCAGCGGGCTGTGGCTTCTGCCAGTACCGCGGGTCGGGGCACCGCACTGTGCAGGAGTCGCCCTCTCGCAGCTTCTTGCGGGTCCTCACAGCAACATTCGATTCAACATTCGATTCAACATGACTCAACAGGATTCAAGCAGGCGCACCAGGCCGAACACAGTCGTGTGTTGACTCTTATCACCCAGACCTGTGCTGCGCATCATCGTAGATTTGCATGTCCTCAGCGACGCAAGCTCCAAAGAGCCCTAGTGTGCAGCCCATTTTAACGATGCTCTCATTGTTGGGGCCAGCAGTGGGCTTAGCATCACCAAGCTGCTGGGACGTCCGCAGCTTCCGCACAAATCCAATCACCATCCTGACAGTCTCTCTATTTTGAATGGAGCTGTGGATCCCCCCCTCCCCCCCCCCCCCCCCCCCCCCCCCCCCCCCCCGCCCCCCCATTTGAAGCGGTTTGGAGTCTGCTCGGGGGCATTCAGGTCGTTGTTGCGGGTTGTTGTTGGAAGGCGCACTGCACCCTGGGGCCCCGGGCTGTCCATTGAGGGATGATGCATCCTGTTCAGCGGCTGGTTCCACTAGATTCTGAGAGAAAGGAGCACAAGGAGCACACGTAGCCCAAACGCACCAAAGAGTCTGTGTCCCGGTCCTATGTAGTCGATGTTGTTGAAGTCTATGTCCTTGTCAAGTAGCGCTGCAGTCTGCACTCAATGCATTCGGGCCTTCGACTGTTGCGACTCGCCGAACAGCGACAGGTCGGCCGACATTGAGTTCACGTTGAGTTCACATTGAGTTCACATTGAATCACGGAGCACGGCCTTCTTGTCTTTAGTCGTGTCCTGCACGGTGCGAATTGGAAGGATTCTTTTGCAACCTCCTGGCTGTCCTTGCCCGCAGTGGCACTCACAATGGGCATGCCCGGCGGTGACCTGGCGGACTAACTGTCCTCTTGCACCCGCAGCTTTATACTCCTTATCTTCTGCTATGATCTGCTGTTGGCTCTCAGGAATAAAGTCGAGGCGCGGAGGCTTCGGGGGGCCCAGGACCTCAGCTTGGGGAGGCCAAGGGGAACTCACCCACCCTTCCTGTGCTCAGCTGTGCTATGCTCAGATATGCTCAACCGCTTGTTGCAGTTGAGGAGCGCTAGAGAATGAGCTCAGGTACGGCGACTTGGTTGCCAGCAAAAGTTCACCAACAAAAACCATGTCGGAACATGTGGTAGCTGAACCGCAGCCGTGGCGCCCCAGACGCGGCCCCGGATGACATCCCAGACATCCCCGAGCTGTAACCCATCTGAGATGCCCCCCCAAAGATTCTTGCGATTTTGTTGCGGTTCGCTGCTCAGGGCTTCTGGGCTCAGGGTTTCCGACGCTGCCAAGGCACGGAGCCGAAGCTGGAGCCCAGGGAGCCGTAGCCCAAGGGGCCAAAAGGCTGCTCTCCTATGGCATCCTCTTGGACAAGAGCCTGTCGCCGGAGACATGCGAGATCAGTCTGCATCTTAAATTGTGGATCTGATAAATGACTCAAAACTGTGTTTTCTTCCAATGTACCCACCCCAGAGAACACATCTTGGGTTGATTGACGTTGTGGGCCGACATGAAGAGCGTCTGGGCGCGCTGTCAAGAGCGAGTGTCACGATAGCTCTCCCCACACAAGTACTGAGTAACGGAAGAACCAACACCAAAAAAATCTGATGCCAAGCAGCCCGGACATCCCGGCGCATGAGCTCGTCACCTTGCACCTCTGGCCTGGCACTTTTATCAGCTCAGAGGGTCAAGGTGGGAGTCGGGTTTACCTTACGACCTTTGGGGTCTGAGCTGGCTTCTTACTATGGGGTCAATTCCAATTCTGCCTCGCGCCAGTGCCATCGTGAATGGCAGCCACCTCGTGGCTATGCGGCTACAAATTTCCCGAAGTCAAGCATGTGCTCTCCCCTGCTGTCCATCGAAGCGTGAAAGATCCGAGGCCCCCACCACAACTGCTTGCAGCAGAAGCAGGAAACTAACATGGATCTGTCTCCTGAAGCGAGACATGACCTCAATGCCGCGCACACGGCACTGCACTGATCCCGGAGCTGGCTGAAAAGGCCTAAAGAAGCCCAAAGCTCTGAGGCTTTGGCTCTCAAGTCTTCTCAAACTACGCGGCCACATGCGAGCTGCAACTCTGCAAGCCCACACGGCTGCCCATGCCCCAACCCCCATGCGCCACACCCTGAACACAGCAAGAGAAAGCAATCTGGCATCATCGTTTAGGGCAATTACTCAGTAGGGCTCGGGCTTCCCCGCCCTGAACAGTCAAGCTGGTTTGGGCTAGTGTTAAGTTTTAAATGGTCCACAGGTGTACGTGATTTTGCAATTGGGCTTTAAGGCAGGCCGCACGATACCCGTTGACCTACTTGCGGACCCCCCAAAAACGGTCAGAGTGTCCTGACCCCTCTACAAGGAGATGCCACCTTGTGCAGGTCAGGCCATGGCGCAAGATTCGCGCGGCCTCAAAGCAGATCTGCCGTTTCTTGCCCTCAGCTCAAGACTTCTTGGGGCTGCGAAGGTCAAGTTTACCACATCTGCTCACTGTTTTCAGACGCAGGAAAGTGCTGGCCTGGATGACATCGTGAACGGAAGGCTGGACTCACACAGAAAGCACATACCGAAGCTGTGCGTTGGTGACTTGGTTGTAGTGTTGCTTGTTTGCGGGTTCAAAAAATCTTGTCGTTGTTGGACCCAAGTACTGTCAGCACATGTCAGCATCGAACGCTTGCAGCAAAATGGCAGGCTGAGCCGGTGAGATCGCAGGAGGACGGCAGCGTCCTTACCCTGAGGGAATCTCAGGTCTCAGGAAAGCCCAACCCCCCCAAGCATGCCCAATGACATGCCGATATCCCGAAGTCTGCAGGTCTTTTGCAAGCGTCGGGACACGTGATACTGTTGTGTTTCATTCTCACATGTTGGCAGGTGTTTTCTAAATGCAGGGCATGTGTTTAGAATGCAGGACCTGCCGGTCGCAATCGACTTGAAACCCGTACAGATCTGAATGGTCACAAAAAAAACGACCTATGCGCCCGTGGTGGCATGCACCCGCTGTGAAAAATCTCGATGCCGGACTTTTGCCAAGACCAAGGCCGTGACCAATGAAGAGGGACATCGTTCACCACATCGTGCAGATCATGAGGTAGTATGAGGTAGTGACTTTCGTGACTTTATGAAGGCTCAGATGCCTGGAAGATGTTGGGAGGTCCGTGGTTCTGTCGAGAAATCCACCGGTCTGGCTTCCATGGGGACTGTCGAAGCCCTACACGCGGAGAAGCGAAGGTCTTTGTTTCGAATATTGATCTACCCCGAGACATTTTGACTGGGTCTAGTCCAACTGCATCGACTTGCGCTGTTCGCAGTCTGAATTCCAAGAGGCATTTCTCCTGCACGGGCAGCAAGATGGATCAGAGTGATCACAGATCCAAGTCATCACCATGCGAACGTTTGCATGCATTCCCTTGCGTTGCCTGGGCCATGAATTTAAGGGACCCGCCGACCGATATTGTGCCCACTTCGCATTTGCTCAGGGGCCTCAGCGTCTGCGAGCATGGCCAGAAGCATGATACCGGGTATTCCAGAAATACCAGTAGATTGCCAGTAGTTAGTAGTATACACTTTTGTAAGATTACGCTGGCAGAGTCTTGGCACATGAAACGTGACAGGCAAAACGCAAGACCCAGCCTGCCATCAGCCAGGACTTGGTGGGAGCTCAGGTTCTCGACCTGCGTGGGGAATCGTGGGGAGATGTCTGAGAACAGGCACCCGGCAGAGACGTTGGCCTACAGAGACTCAAAACCAGGGAGGAAGGCGCATTTGCGCGATTTCCCTCTGTGGGGGGGAAAGCGAGGGAGAGAGAGAGAGAGAGAGAGAGAGAGGGAGAGAGAGGGAGAGAGAGGGAGAGAGAGGGAGAGGGAGAGGGGGCGTGACCACTAAGTCCAAGATGTTCAAGAGGCATGCCTTGCACAATAGTGTCCTTTTCTTGCACGCGTCAGTCTTCACAGCTAGAGTCCGAGAACTCCATCCTCATTTCATTCAGCTTCTTCGGGTCCATATCCTTCAAAGGTGTGAGCACGCTCCTGGCGAGGCTGAGTTCGCAGCAAGCTACCGCTACCCGCTCCGAACTGAGATCTGATAACCGCTCCGTGCAGCGTCTGCTCCCCGTCTGCTCCCTTGCGCTCTGTGCACTCAGACTGCCAGTTTGGAGCACTCATTTCACTCCTGCCACGCAATCTATGCGGCAGATAGCGATGGCCCACCTCACATGCTGACGACTTGAGAATTGCTTCATCTGGCAACCCTTGCAGACAGCCTGGACATAGTTCCCCTTGGAAATCCCTCGGACAGTGGTGCCCCAGGTCACGTGATTTGTCCGATCCTGAGACCAAGTCGCTTACGAGGTCAATGATGATGCCCTCTCTTCACAAAACACCAGGACTGGACCAGGGTTTGAGCTGCGAGCCATCTTGCCCGAGGTTGTGTCCACATGGTAGAAAAGGCCCACCTCGAAGCCCTTTGGGGGCTGACCTCAGACTCACCATCAGACGTCAGGGACTCTTTCAGATTCCCTCGATACACGCGCAAACTCAAATGCACTTCCACACTCAGGCAGGCCCTGGTTACCGATGATTGGTGCATCTCATAACTTCCTGTGCAAGCTACTTAACACCTGGCACATCCCTTTCGTCGATTCAAAAAAACGAGAAGCAGTTTCCGGTAGGATGTATTATGTGGTTAGAGGGCTTCAGACTTCCGAGATCACTGTTTCGTAGAAGCTCTTGAGAGATCGGCTTCGAGGGAAAGTCGTTTTGTCCACGACGAAGGCTTCTTCCTGCACAGTACAGCTGTGATCCATAGGCTGTGTACCGGTCATGCGACCCGGCTCGAAATCCCCCCCTAGCCCCCTCACCCATCTAAGGGCTCCATAGCGACCGTGGGCTGCTCGGCGCGGGAAGGGCCGGGCATTTGTGGCACCTGCGACACCTGTGGCACCTGTGGCAAATGTGGCACCTGTGGCGTCTGTGGCATGTGTAGCATCTGTGGCACCTGTGGCACCTGTGGCACCCGTGGCACCTGATGCACCTGCTGCTGTTGTGGCACCTGTGGCACCTGTGGCGCTCGCTGCACCTGTGGCACCTGTGGCACCTGTGGCATGTGTGGCACCTGTGGCACCGGTGGCGGCGGTGGCGGCGGTGGCACCTGTGGCACCTGATGCACCTGCTGCAATTGTGGCAGCTGTGGCACCTGTGGCGCTCCCTGCATCTGTGGCACCTGTGGCATGTGTGGCACCTGTGGCACCGGTGGCACCTGTGGCACTTGATGCGCCTGCTGCTGTTGTGGCACCTGTGGCACCTGTGGCGCTCGCTGCACCTGTGGCACCTGTGGCATGTGTGGCACCTGTGGCACCGGTGGCGGCGGTGGCACCTGTGGCACCTGATGCACCTGCTGCTGTTGTGGCACCTGTGGGACCTGTGGCGCTCGCTGCACCTGTGGCACCTGTGGCACCTGTGGCATGTGTGGCACCTGTGGCACCGGTGGCGGCGGTGGCACCTGTGGCACCTGATGCACTTGCTGCTGTTGTGGCACCTGTGGCACCTGTGGCGCTCGCTGCACCTGTGGCACCTGTTGTGGCATGTGTGGCACCTGTGGCACCGGTGGCACCTGTGGCGCCTGTGGCATCACCTCTGGCGCCTGTTCCTGTGGCACCTGCACCAACGGAGCCGAACATGGAACAAGGATTTGCAATAGTCAAGTCGCCCCAAAGTCCGAAGGAGCAAGGATTAACAACAACTGACAGCCCAGTTGACTGCGGTTTTCCGGCCGGGAACTTGCTTTACAACATATCTACACATGTGTTTCTGGCTTGCCTCTGGATCTTCGTATGACTTGTTGAGAGTCACTATGGTGCAGAGAAAGGCGTAGAGTCATGAAAAAACGGGGCCCCCAGTGCCGTTGTTTTCTGCGTGTGCAGGCCGAAGGGTAAAATGTAGACGGAGCATACAGTGATCCCTGACACATCGTCACACACGCATGGACACCATCAAAGGCGCCTCTGCGTTGTTTTGCGGCTTGGTCTCGACTACGGCGCCGCCCTGGCCCCCTCATTCGGCAGAGCTTGGGGGGCAGGGGTACATCAGCTGTTCTCCAGAAACTTGCAGATTGGTCAGATGTTGGACTGGTGCGCGCCACGGCACATGCGATCTCCCCGTTCAGAGTCTTCGCTGCCAGGCCTTTGGCCTGGCGCGCAAGTTCAAATCAAAACCATGGAATGAAAAGGAATGCAAAGAGGAATGTAATGGACATAGAGAGTCAAAATAGAGGATCCCTGCCCCTCCTCCAGCCAAAAAACCCAAAAGGCACTTAACAATTCTTCAAGTAGAACCAGGCCTGCTCCAGGGACAATCCCATGGATGTGCCGATCTGTCAAGCTTGGAAGAAGGCCACGAACAAGGCATACACATTCTGCAATCACATTTGCGCACTCAACGCACAGTTTTGCAGACTCCGAGACCTGGATCAAGTCACTTTCATTAACCCCATTGGTCTGGCCGTCACCACCTGGAAGACAGCGAGAGCACGCAACGGGTTTAGTGTACAATTTAAGGAAAATTTCAAGGTGCATGGAGCCTCTCATGTCTAGAGGGTTTGGAGTTTGGAGGGTCCGATCCCCGTATTCCCATGGCCGTAAGGCCTCTCGCAGGACTTCGGCTCCGGGATGGTTGCCGGCTCATGGCAGGCGGGGGAGGAAACAGCTTCTACATCTTCTTGCCTTACCCTTCCTTGGTGCGCGAATCTTCGGCGTAGTTGCGAGTGGCGTGAATTTTCGTGGCCGGCCGGTCTGTAGTGAAGTTGAGTTGCAATGGCACTTTGAGCTTCTAGTCCAGATTTGCAGGGATGCCCAACAACGATGCTGACTAAACCTAAAACTGCCGATGCTAGCCATAACTCTCTGATGCATAAGCATAGGGTCTTCCAGCATGATCCTGCTTAAGCGACGAGCCAACACAAGCTCTTGGCAGGTTGACCCAGTCAGCGGGTTCAGTCAGGAATTTGGGCTGTACAAGCAAGGCTTTACAGAGGGCCTGGCTCCCGCAGCGTGCATTCGATTCAAAGGCATTGTGCTTGGAGCGTGTAATAGCGTGTAGCACATGTGTACCTCCACTCGCAACTCCTTGCCATCCAGGACTTTTACCTGAGCCCAGCCACACACAATAAATCCAGCGACAGGTGGAGGGGATTTCCACGAGTTGGATCCAACACATGCAGACAGAACCACCGGAAAGCGAAGCAACACTCCATTCCCGAAACAACCCCAACCCCCTTTCTCCAACCCGGATTGCAGAATCTGGTACAAAAGATTGCTTGAGCTGAGAGATGCCTCGAAATTCAACAAAAGGCGCTCCGCCGTTGATCTTTGTCACTTTTTGTTTGCATTTCTTCTTGAACCGCTTTCTTCGTGAACTCGTTAAGTGGTTATGGCGGCGCTAGGGTCCAGGCCCGAAGATGACTTCTGGAGATGAAGGACAAGTGCTCCTCGGCCTCTGAACTTCCCAGCTTCCTATTACATTAAAACAAGCAAACTTAGGAGCCTTCAGGAGCTTCCCGAACAGCCGCTGGTGATGCCGGCCTACCTGCGCTACGCAGAAGGGCTCTTATTCCATACGCTATCCGTGTACAGAGTCGGAAAGCTCCAGGTTGCAAGGGGTGTCAGGATGCTCAGCAGAGTGCTGACGCGCTCTTCGGCGCCTGCGTGGTGCCCAGTGCCAGGGGAATGTCTCTCACCTGCGTGGGCATTCAGGCCATGCAATAAACGGCACCGAGAAGTAGATAACCCGAGAGCCTCTCCTTAAACCCGCTGAACCTCCCTTCAGTTCAAGGGTCCTCCTGCGGCAGGCTCGGCATGTGTACGCCGCCTTGGCGCATCTTACCCAGGAATGTCATGTGAAGTAAAGGATCTTCCAGGATCATGTTTGAATGTTTGTTTCAGAAGAGTGCCTCTTGTCATTCCATGGCCTTTTTGAACGATGTGTATCTGTATACTGTTTACAACGTAGCCTTGTATATATATCTATATATATATATATATATATATATAGTGTGCGTGTGTGTTTCAGGTACCGGTATCACATGCATGATCATGTATACGGGATCTCCGGAGCGGTGGAAAAACGTAAGCGGAACCTAACCCTGAGCTTGGGGCCAGCCGACTTCACACAGTGGAGGACTGGCAGCACATGGCCAAATGGTCGTGTCGGATGCCAATTACAGCTCAAAAACCGCATCATCCGCATCTGACAGGCACTCTAAACGCCACACTGAAAGGCCTGCCCGTGCCTGGCCGGCCGACCTGCAGGCCAGCTGCAGGGAAGCACCCCCGCATAGCACCCCCGCACATTCTTATCAGAGCCCACCTTTGTTCTTGAACCCACTCTGAAATGTGCCCCTAAGCATGAAAACGAACGGATCGATGCAATCGACAGGGACGAAGAAGCCCTTGTCTCTCCCATCCTCTCCCCATTCCCCCATATTCTTAGCACAGAGATCTGCGCCTCACTCTCTGGCCATGGGGCCGGGAAAGCAGGCGCGGTAGCGCTGCGGTTGCCTTTGTTGGCCAGTGCCCAAGGAGCGTTAGAACGGTCTTTGTTTTTGAAGGCGAGCTCTACATTCGTCTTGGCCTGCCGATGCAGCGTGACCAGCAACATCAGCACGCTCCCGTCTTCGCAGAAGCGTCAGCACACTTACTGACTCACATGCTCTACGACGGTACGAGTCACAGAGTCGGCAATGCCTTGACGACCGAATCCCAATTTGGCACCATCATGGACTGTCACTGTCGCACCTGGCAGCATGCGAGGCTTCGCGTTGTCTGACACGTCGCCTGTCGTTGCCTTGTTGGACGGCAGCTCCATCGAGGTGTAAGGGATTCCTCGACTTCACTGCACGACGTACGCCCCGACATCGACGAGTCTATGCGTCTAGCATGGCGTGGGGGGGGGGGGGGGGTGTGAAGATGCTCAGCAGCCGACGCCGAGAGTTTGCGGAGCTGCACCGGCCCCCCCGGCCTCGGAAATGAACAAACTGCCCGGAGCAATCAAAGCCCAAAATCCTCGTTGCCCCGGCGCCCTCTCCCTCCGCGCCTGGCACGGAGCTTGAAGTGCTCCCTTGAAACGAAGAACATTTCCTGCCAGCATGTGTGGCTGTTCCGGACTGAGGAAATACACAGATGAGATATGCAGACAACATACAGCTACAATATGGATTGTATATCAATGCTGTCCGTCTTCTGCATCACCAGATCGAAGAACCAGGGCTGGTGCCCCCGTCCTAGATGTGCCGCCCATATCCCATCCAGGAATCCAGGAGAGAGACCATAAGAAGTGAGAGTTGCTCGACGCGCCAGGCCTACGGCGACCTCCTTGTCGTTGTACATCTGGTCAAGGCTTGCTGCGATATGGAATCAACTGAAACTATGTGAGCTGGGGGGACGACTGGCTGCAAAGAGGGTTGTCTTCGCGCAGAAAATCACTTGACTGCTTCAAGACTGCAAGCTATCGACAGCTGCGAGAGTTGTCCTCCCCGACTCCTTTTTCTTTCTCCTTCGCTTGGGGCTGTGGAGGTTGCTAATTCGCGCATTCGCGCCTCATCGGCAAAAGCCCAGGAAGTCCAGGAGAGTGCACTCGCAAGGTTCTGCTTGGCTCAGCTCCATCTGCAGGACCACACGCCGGCCCCAAACCACATCCGTAATCCAGTGGTAACAGCCTGAGAGATTTCGGGGACTGGAGTCATCTGGTATGTAAAGCGGGCAAAACAGCGTTGGCCTATAGTGGGTCAGGAGGCGATCTCCATAGAAGAAGACCGCGTCGCCAAACCCCAACTTCAGACTTCTCGAGGGCTCATCGAACTCCCCATCGAAGCAATTCACGCCTCCTTGAACGGCGAGCTGGCGGGGCTAAAGACGACACATCCCCCAAACCCGGATCCAATGCGGTAACTCCAAACGATTCGAATGTGACTACACATATTATGTGTAGTCTCATAATATATCAGCAAAAAGCCCTCTTAGTACCCAGCTGGAGGGTCTGGCTTCCCCCCCCTTTATACTGTTCTTGTCCTTGGAAGGCCCTGGGGTCTGAGAGCAGCACCACCGCCGTCACCCGAGACCCATTGTCCCGGTGCCGCTGGATGCTCCCGGGGGCCTTGAGCTGCTTGACGTCGTAGACGATGTACTCGATCTCAGGAAAGAGGACCGTCTTTCCCTCATCGATTCCTTGCCACCCAAGCTCTGCATCCAAGGCCTGGGTTCACAACTCAGACAAGAAAACACACGTGTCATGCCTAAATTTGCCTAAATAGCACGGTGCATCTCACAAGCTTAATAGAACTCTTAGAGGACAGGGCTGAAGTGTAGGTTCAACAATCAGATACTGCTCTGCTTCTGCCGGCCCAGGCAGTCTTCATGAGGCGGTGGTACACCTCCGGGCAGTCCTCCTTCAAGGCAAACTCGATCCTGCAGGGAACTGCGCTGCTATGTGCCAGAGTAAAAATGGAAGGTGCCTCAAAATGACCACCCTGTACCACCCTGTACCACCCTGTACCCTTCGTCCTCCACACCTCATGTTTGTACACTAAAGAATCGTCGCGATCATTGACCACCTTCACATCCTCCCTCTGTGCTGTACGGTGAATGCGGCTTATGTCTTTGGCCGCAAGGAAGCCTGGAATATATGCGACCTTTTGATCTGGAACTGCAGCATCCAGCAGCCGATAAACTGGAGGTTGCGGTATCTGACCATCAAACCTGACCTCGTCGCAGTCAGAGTCGGAGTCATCACTGGCCCAAGTGCACAGCGACATCTAGGCAAGGCACCGTGACCTATTCTTGTGCGACGGTGCCCTGATTCGGGTACTAGATACTGGCAAACAAGGCATAGAGGCTGGGCTGATGCTGGAGATGAGAACGCGTGAGCCGCGCAAAATGACACACACACACACACACACACACATGCATGGATTCCATGGACTGCAGCTGGCAGAGCCGGGAATGCACAGAAGTGTGGCAGTGGGCAAGCTCTCATATAATCAACAACTAAAGTGGCTCTCAAGGCCTCCAAGCGAATGCTGGGAATCTCTGGATCCATGCCCTTGGAATGGCATGGAGTTGCAATGACGACAAGAGGTCTGGGACGCTTTCAGAAGGCCCGCGCGTAGGACAGCTCCACTTCCAGGCCTGCCAAGTCTTTTGCCTGAACACAGCGCAACGACTATCAACAAGTGGAATAGCTTGAACAGGTTTGTCTATGGACTCTTGGACAGCACTTGACAGCCTGAGGCGTCTCGGGCGTCTCAGGCAGCTCAGGTATCTCTGTGACTGTCTCCAAGGCCTCAGCTTGGGAGAGTAGGAGAACAAACCACGGCATGTCTTTTGTTACATATCTACAGAAACCTGTGCAACTCTCTCTGCAAGCTCTGCAAACCCTTCGACTGTAAGTTGCCCACGCGTGCGAGTTCTGCGAAGCTTGGCCGTCCTTCCGGAGGCAGCTCGACCTCAAAAATCGAAACTTCCCTCTCTCTTGGATTTACCGAGAACTTCCCAGAAATCTCTGGAGAGGCCCTGGCGCAGCGCAGCGCCAGAGTGGAGAGCTTGTCCAGGACGTGGCGGGGCCACCTTCGGAGTCAAGAGATTTTTCAGCCCTTTGCCCACCCATCCCCTTAGCAAGCTTTCGAGCTTTACCATGCTTTATATACCGTGACAGCTAAGAAAGCGCTGACCAGGGGGAGAAAGTGGTGTCATGTTGAAGCCTTGTGAATACACTACTCCCCCCCCCCCTCAGGATTTGTTCTGGCGCGTTTTGGGTCTGAACAAGAGCTTTGCCTGACCGGGGTCGCAAAATCAAGGTTGGAGGAGGACGAGGGAGGGGTCTTCTATTTTCACGATTGACACCTCCACGTATTTGCCACCGGCCCCAAATTAGGATATCAGGTCGAGTCTAAAGCTACGTTTGTTGGTCCATTCCATTCTCTTGCCCCGGCTGGCCGTAGGTGTCTGGGTAGCACAAAGCAGGCACCCCACCTGTAATCCCCTCCCCACTGTTTGCGCCCTTTATTTTGCACTTTTTGGCCCAAAATGGCTACCCCTCCCTAGTGTGCGGGCAGACAGCGCATCAGACATTTCAGCGAAGGGTCCCCCACTACCCAAGCCCCCCGCCCCCCACCAAAACCCCCACTAACCCCCCCCCCCCCCCCCCACCCAAAACCCCCACACCCGCTCTGGCTTGAGCTGCCTCGATACGGAAGCTCAGGCAGGCCGAGGCTGGTCGCGCAGCGCCGCCCTAATTATGGCGACTCCAACGGCGACTCCAAGTCAAAGGACCACGCTCGCTTAGCTCGGGGTCAGGATTGCTTCCTTCAGTTTCCGCTGACCACCAGGCCGCGGCGGCCAGCGCCAGCCATGTGTTCGATGCCAAGATATGCCAAATGTGCTAAGCGACGTGCCAATACATGCGCCAAGAAAGAGAAACACCTCTCAAACATCCCGAATGCTCAAACGAAACCTCGAACATCCTGAACTGCGACATACGACGGCTGTGGCCCAAAGTACTTCCGAGCGCACCTTGCCGACTGGTCTCGGTGCTCCCAAACCCGGCCAGAGGCACCCGGAGTCGCCTGGGAGCGGAGCAAGGAGGGCAGCCTGGGGACCCTTGCTTCGTTCCTTCGAACTGTTCAAGGGATCCAGCTTCTTAAGACGGGCCAAGAGACGCTCTGAACGAGCTGCAAGAGCGGGTACACCAGCTGGCCTTAGCTCGCGCAGTGGAGATCTCAATTACAGCTTGTAGAATTATAAAGCAAGGCCATCGAAGATGCTGGCATTTGAGGGACTTGCCCGTGGGCTTCTCAAGGGCAGGAGGCTGGTTGATGGCAAGCTCCAGGAGGAGAATTCCAAAGGAGTAGACCTCGGCGGCGAAACGGTTCTTAGAGCCCACAGAGTAGCTGAACAGACCCGCTCTCACTGCTCAGAGCTCAACTTCTGAATGCTCGCTCACACACTTGGTGTGGAGGTAGTTCGGGCAGACGTACCTCACAACGCGCTCATCTTCCACACTTCTGGCCTCCAAGCGTTGACGCGACATCAACTATAATCACTAGAGCGTCAGTGATCATGTGGCTCCAGGCGCACCCTGGCGTCCCGCTCAGCCGCGTCACCTGCACACTGGAAAGCATGCCAAACGCCAAACCCCCAAGGCAACCGGGCACACGAGCGGTGCTAAGTCACTCGCCGAGAGATGCGCCGCCACAGCATCCTTAAGCAACTATCGGTTTCAGTTGGCTCTAAGTTATTGCAAACTGCTTTCCAAAGCTCCAGATGACTCGTCTCAGTTTTAAGGCGACACAAACCAGCTGTAACAAAGAGACACGACAGCAACTGCGACGTTCGAGAGAGTCAGCGTCGAGCACGTGGACACTGGACACAACTGTGGACACAGGGAGGACCTCGGAACTCAGCCAGACACCTTCACAGCGCCGGACTCACCGTAACCAGCCATTTTGGCAGTTCCGCTCCTTAGACGCGCAACCCTTTGAACAAAAAGACCCGGATAAGACCCTCTGTGCGACAAAACCCCCTCTGTGGTCTCTGCCGGTCGAAGAGGACGTTGGCGGGCCGGATGTCGCGGTGGAAGATTCTCGGGATGATGCTCACCATGTACGTGAGCCCCGCTGCGGCCTCCGCTGCGCTGCGAAGCACTCTTATAAATACTCTTATAATGTCTTATAATGTCAATGACTCAATACCGACTCACAGAAAGCTGCAGTACAGTGGCAGGGTCCAACAACACAAGCAAACACAACAGATCCCTGAAGACCTCTTGTTCTCTAAAGGGCGTCGGTTTGTCGGTCCGACACACTTAACTAAGCATCCGAATTGCCGTGGGTTTAGCGCCTGGGCCGCCGCTCGGAGCCGCTGTTGCCACAGGAACTCCTCTCCGCACTGCCAGGAGCTTGATACGTAACTTCGTAACAAAGTCTTCTCCAACATTCAGGAGCAGTATTAACCACTTGTGGGCGTTGTTGCAGACCGCTGCCTTGCGCTCCAGGCGCTCGAGAAGGCTCCCACCGGCCAGCAGCTCGAAGACCAGGAAGCTCTTGTGCCTCGTTGCACCGCTTTGCTTTGGCTTTCGACTTGCTGAGTGCAAAAAAAACTCCGGGGCTTCCGACTCATGGGTGCCCCATCCATGCAAGCGCGCCAGATTTGGATGGCGGAGGCCTAGCTTATCAAGAAAAGCCGCCCTGTTAGGGGGACTCTTGACTCTTGCCCTGAATGAACTAAGTCTGCAATTTCTCTGCTAAGTTCGGCTCGGCTCAGTGCCCGAACCTCGTCGTAGAAACTTCCGTCGGCATCTTCGAGCACCTGGCCCATAAAGGAAGCAGCGGGAAGCAATTGCTGCTGGGGAGCCGTTTCTCCCCAGAGGACCTGAACCACCCCCGATATTCCAAAAGCCTTCACGGCGACATCCACACCGCGGAGGAAGCCCCTGTACACCTCAGCTTGCAAGCTCCACTTGACCGAAGGAGCATCCCCAACGGCCCAAGGATCCTGGGCAGCAGAAACCGAACATCAACGTTGGACACATATGTTCAGCAAGTCGATCAGTGACCATACTGCCACACCCCCCTCGCAAAAGCGTGAATGGCCAGTGCTCGGCATCTTGGGCTCCTTGCACCCACTGCTCCGGAGCTCAACCTGGGGAGATTCACATCAGGTATATCAGGTGTGTGTGTGTGTGTGTGTAAACGTGTAGATTGTAATTGTGTGCAATAGCTTGAGCTGGCTACTTCTTCTGAGGGTGCCTTCTTTGGCCTCTTTACACCGGTTGCTTCGAGTGTTTTGAGAGGGAGCCAAGCAAGGTGCTCAGTTAGTGTCCCCCCAAACTTTGCACTCGAATTACTCATATACTGGCTGCTACAATGTGCTACAGTTAGTCAGACAACTGTGTGGTGGAGTGTGTCGATTGTTCCGGCCTCTGGGAAAACTGCCAGGTGCAGGCTTCCAGCTCCTGGATTCTCAGGCGATTGAACATGCTTAGAAGCTCTTCTTTTCGGCTTGCGGAGCGCATGGCGCACTGATGTTGCCTGGTAAGGGTACGGGGCCAATCCCGACAGCTGCTTTGGCTGAGATGGCACTGGCCTCCTGCACGACCTCACGGTGCAGACTGCCCAATGTTCGCTTCTTCTCCTATGCGTCCATGCCGAGTCCTAAAAGTCGATGCTGGCCTCCGCTCGCCAGGGGAAATCCACGCTCGAACACCCTGGGGCGGATCAGTCGTGTGGACATGTGTGGACAAACTACCGGCGCTTAAGGGTGCGCAAGGATGGCAAAGAGCTCAACTCCCCTTTTCAGAGCCTCGACCACTTGCGTCAGCATGCCCTGGACCAGCTTAAGACCATGAGCCAGAGGAAGGTCTTGGATTATGCCTGCATCAAAGGCGTCAAGGTGTCGACTTTCGACTCTTTAGACATGAGCATGATGCAGGAGATGTCATGCGCTGTCTTCTGGACCCAACTATTGACACTGGTGGCTGATTCCAAGCCTACCACTTGTGGCAATCCGCAAGACCACGGCGATTGGCAATGCTTGGCAATGCTTAGGTGGGATTTAGAGTGCTTCGTCATGCTTTGCGTGGGGAATTGTTGAGAGTGTAGTGAATGCTTTGGAAGGATTATGAGATGGATTATGCCTTGCTGTTCAAATTCTGAAACATCAAAGCCTCATTCGATGTGCAGGCGGCTGCCCCTCCTTGCTGAGCCAGATTTACCGTCAGTCCCAAGGCCGCCCACATGGTCACAGGTGTGATCGATGACTTCTGTTCAGCCCACGCATTCCCCTTGAAAAGCAGGCACACCGTGTGGCACACCTTTTGCACGAAGCTGCACTCAAGGCCGATCAGCCTCCGCATCCTCGCATACCCACAGAGCTGCAAACACAACTCACTGCAGAGTGCAGGTTAGGTCAGGCGAAACACAGCGTCAGAGCCTCGGAATCAGAGGTCTCGCCCTCGTCCTTGCCAGCCTCCGTGGAGAGGGGGCAGCGGTGTTGGAGCAGGGGGGACGGGGCGGGGGGGTGCGCCAAGCCCCAATGTCTAACCTTGAAAAGCCTTCAAGCCCCCACACCATTATGACAAAGCAATCAGGAGGGCGCAGCTCCAGAGATCCTCGAACTGTTGTCTTCGAGTTGGTGTTCGGAACCCGCTTTGAACAGCAGAGTCACGACAACATGGAATACTTTCTCAGCTGCGGTCTTGTTTCCAAGGGTGTGGATGGAAACGTCCAGTGTAAGTGCTCGCCGTGCAGATCACCATTCGGAAGCATTGTGGCGTAGCAGTTGTCCAAACCGTCCTATCCGCTTGCAAGCTCCTCCCAATATCCCCCGATGGCGCCCGAGGGCCCCCCACCAGGAGGTCGGAGACTGCCGCGAGGCGCTCCAGTCGTGCGAGCACCTGCACAAAAATTGGCTTGCAAAGATTCATAGATGCCTTGCATCCTGTTGAGGGTATAGGGCCTAGTACTGTAAAGGCTTCGAAGACATTGTTGGGGAATTTTGACGGGCCTTTAGGGTAGGGCTCAGCTGTCTGCTGTGCCTGGGTGCCCAGGGTTGGCTCCGACTTTGCCCACGACAAGGCCCGGTGACCTAACCTTGCAGGGCTTAGGATCTGCAAAGGAATTGGTGTGACCGCCCTTCTACCTGCTCAGCCCGGCTCTATACGCAGCACTCAGTCCGACGCCTCAGAGTTCTGCTTAAGCCTTAAGCATCATGGGGCCCACGCGTTTGCCATCGAAGGCCAACTTGGCGCAGGCACATCTCCTGCAGGGTGCAGACTGGCGCCGGCCGACGGTGAGCACCTGGAAGGGGATGGAGAGATGGAGAGAAACTCACTTCCCAAGTAGGGTGCAACAGTGGACTGCATTGCATAATTAACTTACAGCCGTCTGACTGTGGACGAACGCCTGTGACAACTACAATATGCAGGATCTCGTTGTTGGCGTTGGCTTTCGCTTTGGAAACTGGCGGATGCTGGCGGCCGTTGTCTGGCGGGCGCAGCCCGAGCCGCGATACTTCAGTCAACAAAATGCCGACATTGGTCGAACTGGCCACACCTAGAGCGAAATACCAAGGGACTCTAGAAACCCCTCAAGGGCCTAAGGCGTGAATGTTGAAGCGAGACAGCACTTTCAACTCAAGTGACAGCTCCTGCATTGCGAAGAACAAACGCTCCCACCCCCTGCCCCCCCCACACCCCACACCCCGCACCCACCCCCCTCCCCCCGCTGCACCTGCGAAGCGCTGCTCCTTGAAGAACGGGTGATCCTCCGCAGCCGCACCGCTAACTTCAAGCTGTTCACTGCGATGCTAACGGCCGCTCCACAAAGCCGACTCCATCAATGCGGGGCATTCTCCTCAACCTCGCGCAAGCTCCTTGATCCAAGTCTCGCATCCGGGTCCTGACCAGGATCTCAAATTTCTTGTCCTACCTCGCAGCAGTTCTTTTTTGCTAAGCGCACGCCACAGACCACAGAGCCTTCGCAACCATTCTCTGGATGAGGTCCACGGCGTCATCTCCGAGCCACTTGTGCGGAAATTCGAGGACACCTTTGCCTCTACAGCAGCTCCATCACGCTTTAGAGACGTGTGTAGGCGGGGGGATCTTGGCAGCCGGCGAATCTTCTTATAGACACGAATGATGGACCTGGCGAAGGTGATACATTAATGATACAGATTCAAAGACGGGAGGGGTCACTTAGGGGACTGTATGACTGCATGACTCTGCATGACTCAACTGAGGAGCGCACCCCCCATGGAAAGGGGGGAGGCCGGCCAGAACTTGGAACACCTCTCGGAACGCCCCAGGCATCTCCATCTATTGCTACCGCGCTGAAATTCATTGACAAGCATTTCCGATCTTAATGCAAGGCACCAGGCATCCCAGAGACCAGGTGTCCGATCGGAAGTCGGAAGACTGATTCATCACCACCTGCCAGAAAGCTCAACGGTTAGGGAACTTAGGGAACGGTTTCAGCGAGTCTCGGGTTGGGAAAGCTCGTCGGGGCCTCTGGAGCCATGAAGTTGGAGGTGCCAACGTACTCCTCGCGTGAAAGCATCTTCCGTCAAACCGCTTCCAAGAGGAAACGTGAACTTTCACTTGAGAGTCACTGTGCAGTGCGCAAGTCTGCCTTTTAAAGGGTGTCCTCCATGACCGTCTTGAAATTCCGAGTCCCCGCTCCCTTGACCTGAGACAATCCATCATCCAGAGACTTCCGCGATGTTTACAGAGGCGCCTGTGGGTTCGCCAGATCCCTTGCGCTCCCAAAGTCGATGAGCTTGCAATTCCCTGGCCAGACAAAGAATCATGACCTAATTGCTTTGGCGCTCCGCCGGTCTCGGCTTCCCTGCCTTGTCGTCCGATGAGCACATTCTCCGCCCTGACAATTCAAGGGGACAGGCTTCGATGGACGCTGCAGACAACCCGCGTTTGTTCCCAGTTTATGCTGTCCATTGCTGCGTCTGAAGCTATCCTCGACCTGTAGTAACAACAGTAGGGTTAGCACGGATTGTCACAGCCCATGATAGCCGCGACATGAAGACGCAAGCTCCTGCTAGGGCTCTGTGTGAGGCTCCGACTTTAGGTCCCTGTGGACAATCTGCGCATCTCTCAGATACTGAACCTCACGGAGCGTGACGCCGGAGAATACCACGTGGCGTTGCAGTGCACCTCATGGCTAGCCGGGTAGCCGGCTGCTTCCAGCACCTGACACAGGTAATGCCTGGCATCCGTCGCTTCCAAAAAAAACACAAAAACGAAGCAAATCAACGAAACACGTGAATAAAAAGAAACATCCTTCCCGCCCGCTCCTCCCGAGGCTCTCCGGGCAGCCGACAGCCCGCACCAAGCTCCAGAGCTCCCCCTGAGGGCTCAAAAATAGAGACATCTTGAGGAGAAGTGGCGTTTGTTGTTACAACTGTTGTTGTCGTTGTCGTTGTTGTTGCTGCTGCTGTTGTTGTTGAGAAGCGGAAGCATCGATGGAAGTTTGCTGCCTACTTGAGTGTCTGATCTTACAAAACGTAGAAAAAAAGCTTGCGCCCTTCGCTTGCGCCCGGGGCGGCGCACTCCAGGACAAAGCTCCAAGGTGAAGTAGTGCCACTCCTCTCTGTGCTGCGTGTGCTGAGAGCAAGCTGAGCTTAGACTCTCGCGTACAGAGAAGGAACCTGTGTGTGCACCCTGCTCCTCGTCTCTGAAGGAGGCGTGGAGCTTCACCTCTCTCCCCACAAGTTGAAGGACAAGGCAGGGGGGGAGGGAGAACTAAGGAGGAACTCTCTAGTGGAAGTCTCGTATGCTGACGTATGCGGCTTTTTGCTCTGAGCTCCCTGGCGATGCCAGGGTGGTTGGCCCTTCGCAGGCAGTGCTCCTGTCTCACGAAGGCCAGTAGGAGGGAACAACCTTGCAATTAGAGTATAATTTACAGATCATGTGATGCACGATTATCTGAGGTGAATGGGAGAGCACATGCTTAGTTCCCCCGTCAGATGCAATCCTCGATGGTCACGTCAGCATCTTTGTGGTTGCTCCGCAGCAGCCTACGATCAAAGGCCTCTGCAGCTACAGGGCAGACTTGCAGGACCTGCTCACGATCTCCCCGTGTAGAGCCTTTAGAGCGTACTTCTTGCCCGTGACCTTCTCCCATGCCACACGCACGAGTGCTAGAGAACCATCGCCAATGACCTCGCCGCGTCACCGCAAAGATGCCCAACATGCGTTGGGCAAACCGGCTCGCGAACGAACTCCGACTTGCTTGTGCATCGTGCCTCTGTTGATGCTTTAGCAAATCCCCCTCAACCCTAAAACCCAGAACATCCCAGAACCCTCGCTGGCCTTTGGCTCCACCTCGAAGTCTGCCAGGCGTCGACGAGGCTTTGGCGGCAGGGGGAAGGACATCTCGAGACTTCCTTGTGATCAAAAGGCACGCAAAACAAGTGGTCGTATCCAAAAGTTAGGCAGAGTCCAATGAAGGCTACACCAACAGTCGGAGAATCATGAGACAAACTGTCCAAGAGATGATCCAAGGCTCCCTGAGGGAGTCTAAGGCATGGCCCTGTGCCAGCATCCGCCCTGCAGCTACCGGGCAAGTCTCACACTTGCACGGTTCCCTCTTGAGCTTCCTTCCAGCTTGAGCCCAGAAATACTGGTCGCATGCGACATGAGGAGTGTTTCTGATGCGAAGGGTCTCAGCGAAGTAGCTGCAGTTCAGACACGGCCGTCGAGCTACTAAGAGGTTGTTGAAGTCACTTTCAGCAATCGTTATCTCCGGCGGCTTGCAACTCTAGCTTTCAAAACAACCGTCGGGCTTTGCCAGAAGGTACGGCTTCAGCAATCGCGTGTCTTGGGCAGCACACCACTGGCTAATCGTTATCAGAAATCGGAGTACTTATGATTGTTACAGACGCTTTCCAATGGCCTCGCTGCGGCTGGCCCCCTCAGGCTGGAAGGATCAATCCGGGCACTAAATCCTGCCATGATGAAATAAAGGGATCATAGGGGCGATGATACGGATGACTATTCAGGCTCCTATACTTCTCATGAGAAGTGTACCATTTCCATAGGGCATCGCCGTGGGCCAGATAATTGGCAGCATCTGGGCGGCTGAGTGAGGCATGGGCAGAAGCAGCCCCTCAGTACTCTTCGACACTCAGGTTATTCTCTCCCCCCTCCCCCGTTGAAAGTTGGCATCACGGCCTGGCCTGATCCGGGTTTTGGGGTTGAGGGGCTGGGAGGCAGCGGGATGTTTGGAGAGTGGAGTGGGGAACTTACAGTAAATGCCAAGGGTCTGTTTGGGAGTTCGGGAACATTAGGGCGTTGGGGCCTTAGGGCCTTAGGGTGGATGGATGCTTGGAACCCAGGGCCGAAGATGGAAGAGTCCAGTCTACTGGGCTCAAGTTGGGCTTTGCCCTTGGGTGAGATAGATATATTATAGATATAGGCCGAAGAAGGGCTAGGAAGTCAGGTCGAGAAAGAAGAGATCACGGAGTCCTGACCACTGTGAAAACTACCATTGGATCTGGCAGCCTGGACGCTGGGTCCCCAGCCGCTGGGTGTGTCTTGAGGTGATGCTTCAGTCGATGTGAACACACGCTCCGGTTTGCTGGCACTTGCCAAGTTGCGGTCCACATTCTCCACATGGTTCAATTCCAGATCTGCATTCTTGGCACTAAGCTCCAGGTCGTGGAATTGGGCACGTTCAAAATCTTGACTCAGCTTGCTCAAAACAGTTGCGCTAAAGACAGCGCAGTGCCGGCCTTCCTTTTCCTTCTTTTGGGATTTCAGCGGGCTCCGGTCATCCCACACTGGAAAGCTACAGCAGCTACAGCATTCCGAGACCGCCACAACATCCCTCTTGCACATCTGCCGGTCTCCTGTACAATCCTGTCTTGCTGTATTGCAACACTGTAGCAGACTGTAGCAATAGTGCAACATTGTGTGGCTTGTAGTGCCATGATAGGAACAGTGCAGGAGGGATGTGTGGAGAAAGCAGCTTGCTTGGTGGGCTCATCAATTGCTACGGCTCTGCGGCGTTTGGCCAGAGGAATCATGAGCTCCGCGGGCAACCCCTTTTGCATTGCTGTTCACACCAAAAGCCTTACGAAACTCGTGTCTTTAGTGGAACTAAAAATTGTGTCGGGGGCCACAGGGCCGAAAATGTGCTCCAGACGCTCCGGAGCATGAGTTTAAAGACGTCTAAAGAAGCTTCACGATCTCCTTTTCGAAGGACAGCGGCGACTGCAGGATGAGCATTGAACCCGGGGGTCGTGGAAGCCCTACATGGCCGATTCCGTCATAGTCCCTTCTTCGCATGCTTAACCGGGTATGTAAAGGGCCGAAGCTGAAGTCAGAGACACCAAAACAATTTAGTTCAAGAGGCCAGAACTTAGAGAACTGAGCGTTGAACCCGAATACTTCCCGGGCCTGCTGCGGTCCGAAGCGCGCAACGGGCTGTCCCTGGCGATCCTTGCTCTACAGGTCCGTACAGTACAAATCTATATTCGTAAGAGCTGAATATGGATGTTTGGAAACCCATATTGCGTCATAACGACCAAACTTGCACGTCGTCTTTTGCGGCATCAGGTGGAGAGAGGTTGTGCGTGAGTGCGTAAAGTGTAAAGGCTCCAGGCTCCTCTGCGAATGACTGGCGGTTTGAACGAGTTGTTGCGTTCAATGCATAGCCGAGCAGCCACAAGGAACTTGGCAAAGTTCCACTTGATGTCGCTTCCCAACCTCGGGGAACCCTTGTGGCCCTTGTGCTTGGTCTGGCCACAGTGTGCTGAAAGCCTACACAAAACAACGCTCGGATGGAAGCATTTCTCCCTTTCGGTTCTTGAGGAAGGTGTACAGGGGAGCCTGAGACGGAGAGGAGAACTGGGAGAACTCCTCGGCTCTCCTCAGCTCTGCGGCCTCGTTCTCACCGTTGACGTCGATCTTCGCGAAGAGCGGAAAGGTGTCCGGGCACTTGGATTGGGCGAAGGCCTGCCGTCGCAGGCCGCAGAGCTCCCAGAAGGCATCCGACGCACAAACTCGACACCCTCTGGTTTTGAAGACGTCCGCCTTCACCTCGGCATTGGTGCCCGGCTCCTGACGCCAAACCATTGCGATGTGTTGTGAATTAGTTGTGATGTGCATTGAGTCGGTCTAGACCTGCCTGGCCACCAAATTGGTTGCAAGGAAAGCCCAGTACCTGTGGGCTCCAGAGAAACATCATGCTGCACTATGGGGATTCTTTGTATGCTGTGCGTGCAAGACTGGATTCTTGACTAGACATTCCCAATCGAACTTACCAGCAAAGCGCAACGATGTAACCCGAATCATTTCATGCCTTAACAACTGCATATCATATCATATCTCCGATAGGCATTCCACAACATGCCTACTGTGAGTCATTGTCTGGTGCTGTCGGCCTACGTCGTGCCTGCAAAGAACTTATTGCGACGCAGTGCATTGTCGCGATCGCTTCATGAACTGTCGCGGTGCAGGCCAGTGCAAGCTTGGAGAGGGAATGGCGAAACACTTTCTGTTTTGCAGATGCTTGCGGCACGTTGACACCCTTCGAAGGGTAACCCACCCAATCCCGAACGCCAACCGAGTTTCTAGATAACCTTGGCGCCGGACCTCGAATCCTCGAGATCGGTACTTGCCATACAGCTCACACCTGAGCTCTCAACGTTCGGCATCTAAAGTTCAGAAGGCGACTTGCTACAGGACAGTACAGAATTGGTAAGTCAAGGACAACTCAGCGTAGTTGGACTTGGTCAAACCTGTTTGCTTTCAGCATTCACAGCGCAGTGGCTTCATTGGTTCTTGAATGCTTCGCCTCATTTGCTTGCCAGATTGACGATGAGCACAACCTTGCCGGCGTACTCGTTCAGGGACACTTCTTGGCCGTCGATGTTTTGAACCTGCTTCGAGAGTTGGCCCCCTATAAGGATCTTCTTCAGCGACTCAGTGGAGGCGAACAGAGCAACAACATCTCGACCTTGCTTAGGCCTAGCTTAGGCCTAGGCCCGGAAGTCGTAAATGCTGTCGCCCTGCACTTCCTGCAGTTGCGATTGAAACCGCAAAGCTGCACGAGACGACCCTGGCCTGGTCGGACAATGAAACCCGATAAACCCAAACGAGCCCCTGAGGCGGACAACTCCAACTCCGAGACATCACCGACACAACGCGCTACAGTACACATCAGTACACCCCACACGCCGAGAACCTTCCGAAAACTATTCTGAACCTGATTGAGGTCACAGCACACGTCAGGAGCCTTGCTGCCGCCCCCACCCATCAGCTCGCGCGCAACGCCTGGCGATCGCCTGCTCGGTGAGGGTCCGAGGCCAAGGAAACCCCAGCCCTATGCAAACCTTTGTTCCTTGCCCTATAGAATCGCATGCAAGGGCTCAGGGGTCAGGGGGCACATGAGCACCTTTTGCGGACTTTTGCCCTCCGCCAGCTGGCACCGGTCTCATTTGAGACGCTTCTGTGCCTTGCGAAGGGTCGCAGAATCCTGGCGCAGGGATCGTCGAGCAGAAACACTGCTTGGGGGGGGGGGCCGCATCTCAGTGCAGGACCTCAGACAAACATCTGCTGCAGCTGCAGGTGAAGCCATATTCCAGCAGCCTGTGACAACTGCATCATTTGCTGCCGCGCAACCTTTTTCTTTCTCAAGAGCTTTGGGATCAACTGAGTGTCCATGTGAGATGGGCCTGCGCCTTCGAGTTTGCACGTCCGCTTCCTGCTTCGCAGCTGCGCCCCAGAGGTTCTCAGATTCCATCGAGAAAGACAGCGATTATCTTGCCTGGTTGACGTAACAGATGCACAGCTCGTCACCGGGCGAGATGTTCAACACCTTAACATGCGGCTCCACGCCGCACATGGCAGCACGTGGTTGCATATAAGTCTGAGCCCCGAAGAATTGCTGTGGCCAACGCCGAGGTGGCAGTCAAGCGGGCTGAGTTTCCAGGAAAGGCCACCTCAACATTCAGAAAAACAATGCAGCTCTTAAGTACAAAAATGCACCGTCACGTACCGGAAAAGAGTAGCCAAGTCACCTTCATGTTTGGCGCACCTTTGGTGGCACACACTTGGCAGCATGCAGCATGCCGGACTGCCACAGCTGCGCTCCAACTGCTGTATATTTCTGGCCGAGCAGCAGGAATGGTTCATTCGAGCAACCTTGCTGCGATCAGGATTCGCACTCAGCACTCCATGTGCGATCGACATTGCAAACTAGTGGATCGACAGCTGTAGAAGCTATTGCATTCTTGCCACGCGCGGACCTTCTCGCGCAGACCTTCTCAAGTGCTGGTCGAACCAACTGAGCAAGGCACCGACGCAAAGAGTGCTGTTCCATGCATGGCAGGCCATGCACCCTGCCAAACAGGTCGGGTTGTGCTAGTGGAGACGAAAGCCTTCTCGACCCAAAACCCTTCCGCTCTCCACTGCCACATTTACAAGTCCCGGATCTGCAGCCTGCAGCAACTGCTCCAGCGACATTTGGGCAACCTCTGCGGTGGCTTGCGCCATGGCCGCCTGAGCTTAACCAGTACTTGACGGATGTGGGGGGGGATGGGGAGCTGTTTGGAGGGAGCTGGCTGAGCACTCGCAGAGAACCCAGGTCCCGGACACTTGCAACTTCCGCATCGTTGCCCTGCTCGGCTGCCTCCGGGACCCGAGCCATCTAATCAAATCTCCCCTCAAAAAGGGGGCCTTTTTTGAGGCTTGGAGATGTTCAAGACACCTTCATGAGACTGTCCATCGGCTCAGCGTCTGCCCCATCCTGTGCGACATCGGCCTCATCACCTAAGTGGATGAGACTGAGGTTTCCACATTATGTCCCTCCGAATCACTACAGCCAGTCCCTCGTAGGAGAAATAGAGGACATGTAGTAGACATGTATCAATGGCTTGACACATGGTATCTGGTCATTGCAAGCAAGGAACCGAAGATGCCCGTCGTCTCCTGGCTTATTAACAATTCATTTGTTGAATATATGTTTTGAATTTAGGAGCCTGTACCAAGTTGTGCTTTTGTGTGCTTGTGCGTGATTTTGGCTCTTGATCTGCAAGGCATCTCAGCACGATGCCCCAAAATCCAAAATGCTGCGCATCTCGCACTGCAAATACTTGCGGCCGAGTGTGTTGCAGTTATCTTCTTGGCAACAATGAACAGAGGAAGACACCGAACGTCTCAGAACATGCTCGTCGTTTTCATCGTTGTGGACTGCGTTCTGATGACGAGCACTACTTAAGCCAGCCTCGCCCCAGACGCAGCGCATTACCTGAGGCATGGGAAACCCCCCAAACGCTTGACACGCAGACGCGCCATGCAGCTTTCATGGCCATGACTATCGGACTGAGCTGCCCATTCCTTCTCTCGGAGCAGAGATTCCAATTGCTTGAGCTCAGTCATTGCCTGCGCTGCGCAGGCATCTTAATGGTGCAGAGTCTGTTGTTGGGCTTGTAGGGCATTGTAGGGCTGATAGACTCATAGAGTCTTCGTAGAGGCTCATGGGGTTGCGCCGATTGAGCACAACCCTTCTTAACAGGTGCAGGGAAGGAGAGGGCCGAGCGGCCGAGCCTGTGGCGTCGAGATGTGGGCCGCCAGTGCTTTGGCCTGCCCCCCCCCCCCTTTCATTGGGAGCCCAGCTGCTGAATTCAGTTGGCTCAGGATGCGACTCGGTTGATGAGCAGTGGTCCCACGGGCGAGTGCACCTGGCCAGCTGCTACAAGAAGGTAAGAATCAGCCTCGAAGCTTCGAAGCCTCGAAGCCTCGAAGCCCTGTGAGTCACCCAAATGCGGTACAACTCCTGGCACCCGAGCTCCCTGCGGAGTGCTTGACATTAAGGAATTACGTTCTTGCCTCGTGTAGAAGTGTTTCCTAGACTTGTAGGAGCTGTACAAGACTAATTTTGAGTCATGGAGTGATGTCTTCAATTACATATACATGTATGTATATATATATGTACATATCAAGTCTAGAGTTACGGAAGCCATGACCATCAACACCCGATTGCTGAGTCCTGCGGAGGCTTTCGGCTCGGAGCCTCCAGGTCGATGTTGTTGTACTCCTGGCCCAGAAGCCGAGAAGGCGAGGATGGGAGAGGGGCAGGCTTTGAGTCTGAGAGATTGTTGAGGTTCCCCCCAGCTCCCCACAAGCACTTTTTGTGCCAAGGCGCAAAGAGCCCCAGTACTTCTGCGAAGAAGCTCGGCCTAACAAGACAGGGCATTGCCGCCTTCATGACAGTGAGGCCGTCGCCGCAACATGCAGCAGCTCTGCTTCCCCACGCATTGGACCCTCTGAAACCATGGGGATCCAGCCCCGATGCGAAGAGAGCTCCCACCTCAACAGGTGCTCTCGTGTGGTGCTCTCTTAAGAAGCTTGCGACCCCAAACTGCCCTCTGAAGCTCAACAATCCTCAACTCCTGCGATCGTCTAGATGAAGAATCAGAAGTGTTTCTGTCCTTGTTAAGTGTGGAAAATCTATATGTGTATAAAAAAATGTATATATGTTTAAATATATATATATATATATATATATAATTTGGATGTTCATCAAAAGCCAATTCACAGAGTCAGACACAGTACTGCAGTTGAACCTCTTATTTACAGGTAGATTGTTCTGGGCCTCTGCGGGCGCGTGGGGCTCCAGGGCGGCGCGGAGGAGCGCGGCCGCTTCATGGACCAGGCCGTCCGTGTGCGCCTCTGGAAAAATGGTCCGAGAGCAACTTGCGGACATGACTTCAGGAGGAGCGCTGAACGGCCATTTTCATAGATTTGATTGCTTTTGAAACCACCAGGTCAAAGACTGGAACTCTCCGGATGCCGCGCTTCGTTTAAAGGAGGTATAAAATCCGGGAGAGCGGCATAGAACTCGGCATCCTTGGACCGGCCGGGCGGTGGGCGGCACCTCACAAAAGGCCCCCAAAACGCTGTCGGGGGGGTTTTTTTCAGGGGCCCACGTGCACTCGGTTTTGTGGTGCCCATGTTGCCCATGGCGGGGGCCGGACGCTTCCCTGAAAGGGGCATGACCTCACGCTGAGTCACTCTGAGCCGGTGTTGAATGCTGTCTTGAAACTGCTGTCATGTCAGACATGAGGCCCAAACAGAAGCACAAGAGCTCCTGCATGAGTTCCTGCATCACCTGCAAGCAAAGTGGCAAGAGTGGCTGGTAACCTGCATCCCAGTGGTCCCAGGAGGTAGCACTTAGCACTTGATGATCCTATGAGATATTTCCTACGGCCATCGAAAAAGGCTCCATGACATCGAAAGACTATCCTATGCTTTCATCTCTCATCTGTCAGAAATGAAGAAACTCCTGACAGTCATTGACAGTCATATGTAGTCACATAGTTCTTCAAGTACCTCTGCTGTCGCTTCCGTGCCTGCGCACCACCTCCAGAGGCCCGCGCTCGGTTCACCAGGAAGGCGAAGACCTGTGCAAGGAGAGCACATCAGGGAAAGCAGCGCGCGAGAGAGAGAGAGGGAGAAATGGAGAAGCTGAAACTAGCCGAGTAGCATACTTATGGAAAATTGAGTCTTCATCTCAGCTCACTGATGTTGTATGCTTCTGGCTACCACGTTCACCGCACCACAAAGAGCCGAGAGGAGCCCAGAGCCTGGGCCGCGAGCAGCAGGGTGTCGGCGTGCTCCAGAGCGTGGTACTTGAAGCGAAGAAGCGGGTGGTCCTCTCTCTACACATGTCTACACGGACATTACCATATCTGTGCGTCATGGGTTCTCCATGGTTCTCCAATATGGGGGCCCTCCAGAGTCTCTACAGTCTCCAAGTCGTGTGAGTCTGTGACAGAGGCGGTAAGTGCTGTCCTCCGTCAGGGGCCCGACCTCAGTTGTGTCAAGCGCCATCGCAGCGCAGAGCGCGCAGCTATACAGATGATTGCGCAATGAAACACACCCCAACCGGAAACCTCGAATGACCCGAGGCGGCACCAACGCCGGTGGGCGGCGCAAAGGAGGTTGTGGGAGTGCTGAAAATGTAAATCTCTGCAAGCCTGGCTCAACTCAAACTCAGAGACTCAGCTCTACAGCTCTCCAAGGAAATTCTTTTTACAGAAGCAGAGGGCTCTGATTGTGTGCAGCTTGGCCTCGGAGCAATAGATTTCACCACAGCCTGACAGCTGCTGCCAGACTCGCCAGGCACTCTCCATTCATGGCAGGTGACATTACGCTTCAAGACTGATCTTACTGAGCATCCGGACCTTGCTTGCATCGCACAACCACAGCCTGTCCTTCCCCAGCACTCTCCTGGATCGTCGGTTCTTTACAGCAAAGAGTTTACCTACACTCATTTTTTTTCGAGGAGCTGTGCTGCAAAAAGTATTGTGAGCAGTGACATCCGTGACAACGCGTACTGTAGAAAGAAGTTTAGCGGCTCCTGCCATCTAGTTGGCAAGTCCCCCAGGGCGGCGAGCAGAGGTGCGAAGCGGCTTTCGCCAAACAACACCTGTTGCGTTGCTGCCTTAAACCTGTACGGTGACTTGGCATTCATGAACCCGCTTCAATGTGAAAAACACTCGCGGAACTTAATTATCAACACCCCCCCCCCCCCCTGTCCCTCAGTTAAGCACCCTAATTAATCCGGAGGAACAACAGAAGAGACCCTGCCAACCTAGTCATGCTTCAGCAGGCAGATTCCGGGTTCAGGCGTTAAGTATGCAGTTGCAGAGAGTTGTTGCCTAACTCAGAGACTGGCTGCCATGGGCAGCTCACAGTGTCAGCTGAGAGAAACATAGCTGCCTCGAGCACAGGCCCTCTGCCAGAGGTTTTTGGGGGCTCTTGACATTTCCAGGCTCCCTTTCTCGACACCCCATTCAACAACAGGCCCCACCCCCCCAACAAGACTGCGGCCCCTTAACGCCTGACCCCTCTACAATTCGAAATTTCGGTCCCCTCCAGAGAGATTGAATCAATCAGGGAGGGAGGGGGTTGATTCGAAGTCAACATTGATGCAAATTAATTTCAGCATGGTGATTCAAGAAGCACGCTGCTACATGCCTCCAGCTGAAGAGGCACGGAGCGCACGAAGCCACAGCAGCGTGCACAAGCAGCAACCTAAGCATGATCCAAGTGAGAATTGGGGATCTGAGTTGGGGCTCTGGTGTCAAAGTGAGGGTGAAGCCACGCGACGGTTTCCGGAGTGCTGCATGGCAAAGAGAGGCTCCTGAGGACACGGAAAGAGAGCCTTTTCCTAGCCTTCCTGCGAGGTGCACACGATGGCGTCCTCGGTGAACATCTCTGTATAGGCGGGGCAGGCAGCGCAGGCGAAGAGCCCGAAGCCTTTGGGAGGAGTGGCGGCGCGCACCTCTCACAGAAGGAGAGTATTTCTACCATCTGAATTAACTGTCAGAGTGTACAACAAAGATTTTGCCATGTAACAATCCGTGTAGAGAGCCATTGAAGGGCTCCCTTATAATTGAGAGCCTCGCAGCCAGCCGGCGGCTTTGGGCCGCCAGGGCCACCACTGGGCACGGCCACCGCAGCCATTTCTGCAAACAGAGAGACGAGGGAGGGAGAGAGAGAGAGCGAGGGAGAGCACGGGGGGCAGCACCTTTCTTTCTTTGGAAGAAAAAAGCCCTCCGACTTGACTCCACCACATCAAAAGACCATAGGGGTACAATCTGTAAATGTCAAGCGCCATATGCTCCTGGCACAATCTTGTTGAGTTTAAGCAGCCAAGCACCCTTCTGTCTTCCACGCTTGGCGCCTGCGGGGCGCCTCGAAGGCAAGCCCACTATGTCGCTGCCATGGGGCACACGGCCATCACGAGGACAGACAAAGGAAAGTGAGCACTGCTGGGGTGCGATTAATTAACTTGCTTGGCTTGGGAGTGTGTGCCAATTGTGACGGGTCGAGCTGCGAAGTTCTGAAGTAACTGGGTTTGGGTCGAAGGCTGCCTCCGGAAAACGACTGGAGGGCTCGAGTCCATTCCCAGGAAGCCATAAATGAGGAGCCAATTGGGGTGTGAAAAACATGTTGCATGATGAGCCGCTATGCACACCATGCAGATCCCCCCTGCAGGCCCTGGGGGCCTTAGGAGCAGAGCTGCAGACAGACCAAACCTCAGAAGTGCCCAGAAAGGCCTTCTAAGGTAGACTTAAGAGACGAGTGTAACAGGCATGCGGCATGCCGGCTGAGGGCGGCACGCCAAGGTCGCTCCTCCCAAGGCAACTCCAGTCCTCTTGCAATGGCAGGGACTCGGTGAGAATACGTAGACCAGGCAGACAGCAGCCCCCCCACTCAAAGCCATTGTAGGCAGTCATTCATCGCGTTGCTTGAGGTTACTGAACTGGATCTAGCTCTGCGGAAGCAGCCGTGCTGGGAATAAGCGAATGCCATGGCCGAGGATTGGGGGTATGCACAGCATTTCGCGCAACCTGTCAAAGCTCTCACGCTGCCAGATGATGGCCGGGCTACCTCCATGATGCTACCAGAAATGACTCTAGTAAACTATAGAAGCCATGATAAACACCTCTGAAGATCTCGTCCCTCTCCTGGGAGTTGGCCGCCGCGTGGGGCGGCCCACCTGGGAGATGCCCCGGATGCCACGGGCTCCAAGTGGGGAGCCCACAAAGTTCGCGAAGCCCGCGGACCTCGGAGACTCGGAGGCTCTTCGTAAGATCAGCAGGAGTTGAAGTCTGACATTCGGGGAGGACTTACTAGAAGAACTCTCCCCCTCTCCGTCCCTCGGCGCACCGGATCCAAACACCCAGCGCCAGAGCTGCCAGCGCCCGCCTCCGTGTCATGGCCTTCATTGACGCCAGCTTCTAGGAACTATGAGTACTATGAGTCTTCACTAATGCGAGAGCTCCAAAGAAGAGCGCTCCAACATTGAGCTCCCTGCCGCGTCAGCACTGCGGGAGTCCCAGATCCCGGAGCCAAAGCACAGCGGAGGGCCACGGTTTTGGACGTGCGACAGGACGCACACATGCGCCACCATGCGCCCTTGAAGCCTCGCCCGCCCTCCGCCATTTCTCTCTAAAACTCTGGCTCTGCCTGGCTCTGGCGACTTTGGCCAGTGAGATCCCCTCCAGGCTGTCAGGTTGTGAGACGGTTGAGTAAAGATACAGTTTTGGCACCAAGGCTTTGTGGAGCTTCAGGAGGCTGAGGTCTAGTCGGACAGCAACTCCTCCGAAGAGCATCTTAAGGCTTAAGGCAACCCAGGTGATCTGGTGATATGGCATTGCGCCGCTGCATTTGCGCAAGCCCAGCACTCCATGCCTCTCCAGCCTCCACGTCCGCCTTAAACCGCTGAAAAAGGTGGGCAGGAGGCGGGCAGGAGGCGCTGTGTGGGAGTTGGACTCAAGTGATTCAAGAGGGCTCTGGCCTGTTCTACCCAAAAAGGCGTGTCTTCTCCGAACCACAAGATACCCATGCTTCTAAGCTGCCGGGCCAGGCCCCGACTTGCCAGCACGTCAACAAACAAAAAGGAACAGCAGGTTTCCTTCGACAGAACCCCGACGTGATCCCTTGAGGGTTCAGGGCTTCTCTGCCTTCTATCCTTTTGTTTTATGTTGCGAATTTCTTTGCCAAGGTGCATCCCACCGGAGTTCAGCCATCTCGCGATAAACTTGCTCGAGGTCCGAGGGCCTCCGAAGCCGAAGTTTCCGAAGAAAAGCATCGAGGCGAAGTGGCATTCCCTTCGCTTGGCCCCGAACCGAACACTTGGCTGCGGCGCGCGTTCAACTCCCTGAGCCAGACTCACAACAGCGACAGGGACGTGGCACTTTCATATTCCGCCATCACTCTGCTGCTTGCGTTTGACTCTTGCCACCAGAGCTCCCTTCCATCTCTACGTAGCAGTGGCGGCTTCCCGCCTGCAAGGTGACCGACGCACACTCCTGCAGGTACCTGATGCGACTGTTCCTCCAAACTGCTCCAAGAGTTCTGGAAATGTCCCGAAATGCTTTGTTTTTGTTTGCTTGCTTTGGTTTTCTAGCTCCTTTGGCTCTGTGATGTGCTTTTTGTTTTGGTTGATTTGGTCGTTTCATTGCTAAGATTTAGTGAATGCAATGAAAGCCCTTGAACGCACTAGACACGTGATGCATTTCTCGTAGTGCTTGTACAATGCAACACGTCTTACAAATCAAAGGAAGGGTTGTGAAGTGGGGAAAGCAGAAGACTGAACATCTTGCAGTTTTCGCAGGTTTTCTATCGCCCGAATAATTGGATTTATCTCAATACTGTATGGCCGTTCCGAGACAAATATACCATTCATCCGTTTCGCAGAACAGTGTGCTTCTCTCGGCTTTTCAACTGCAAACTGTGCTTCTCTTCGGCAAAGCATATACAGTAATGGCATACCCAATTGCGGGCTTCAGGATATTTGGGGTACCCTCAACCTTGCAAGGGGCCCGACATGCAACCTGAACTACAATGGCCACTCGTAGGCTACAAAGGCCACCTGGAAGCCACGACAAAACAAAACGGCAAAGACGCCGTCCCTACTTCTGAGGGCGGCGCAAGGACGCAACAGCACAAGGGGAAAGCGAGAAGCACCCATGCTCATTGGCCGTAATGGGTACCCAAAACAGTCGTATAAGCAGTTCCTTTTAAAGCTTTTAACTGTCTTCAGGCATGAATATTGGTATTCATTCAAACAGTTTAGTTTATTTTGCACGGTTTCAAACAGCGCTCGCTCCCGGCTGGACTGGAGGGCACGTGCTACTTAAATAAGCTTACGCTTAGCACGCCTACCTGCAAATAGCGGTCTCGTAATTGAACTCTTACGTGAATATGTAATTCGCATGCAGAAAGTATTTGCTCGGCGTGGAACGAAATCAGGTCCTTCGTTTTGATTTTGTACTCGCAATTCGTTCTAGTAAATGATCAATACTTGGCTTACTAAATGTGCTACTAATTCCTAAACAAAGCACACGTTGCTCAGAAAAGACACAGACACTAGTTGCCTAGGGAAATTAGGGACTCCCTCAAAACAAAAAACTGAATTGTCTATTTCGTACATATAGATTAATCCAACGCTGGCTTATTGGCCTGTGAAGTGGATGCGCGTGCCTTCTTTGTACTTGCTTCAAGGAGGGCAGCTTGCTGATGGGCCCACAAGTGCTGGAAGCTAGTCAATGTGATGACAATTTCCGGGCATGGAAGATGTTTTACAGAAGCATTGAGGTGTTGTTGGACATTGAAACAGCTGCACACATATAGCGGCCTCCAGCCTGTGTGCTGCGTGCATGTTGAGCGTTGCTTTTCGCGAATGCGCTGTATATAGGCGGCTGCTCTGACATTACTGTTGACATTCTTTCATGGCTGCCTGCTACGCCCAAGCAGTCAGACAGTCCAATGTGGCATGTGCTACAACGTGCTACACTTAAATGGGCGCACTTCTGGAGCAACGCCTGCTCCTGGACGGCCAAGTGCCAGCTCGCAAGCACCTGAGAGGCGCAGCATCAGTGCGCATCTTTCGCCCACACTAAGACCGCCCAAATCCCGCCAGTGCCAGCTGCCATCTCTGCTCGGCTTCGCGCCTTGCGCATGCGGGCAGCATTGGCAGCCTCCCGTCGCAGCTGAATTTCCGCGCGCCACTCGTTTAAGATGCCGGTCAACGCCTCCCACAAACAGCCCACAACGAGTCTAAGTCGGGCCATCCGCAGTCCAGAGTCAACGAGAGTCAAGGTCATAAGATACAGTCTCAGACCGTCGTGTAGGCATGTTCAAATCGAGCTCCGCTCCTTTCGGCGGGAGCGCCGGCGGATGTCATCCGCCTGCACACAGCAATCCCTCTGGAGCCTGGGAACTACGAGTCATGTGCGCGAATGTGCACTAATGTACACATATTAGTGCACAACGTGTACCCGTTTTGCCGCGCCTGCAAGATCCTGCGGGTTTCCTGGTCAGACACGGAGACGGCATCATGGAGAGAAGCGGGGGGCGAGTAAACAGCGCACCTGTACAGCGAGGGAGCGCGCGGCCTTCCGCAGAGACTAGCGGAAAAGCAAAAGCAAAAAAACAAAAACAGCGGACCTGTGAAGCAGAGTCTGTTCGTGGACGTGTCTTGCATGATCGGCCTCCGCCCAGCCCGCCAGGATCTGCGCGCCACAGGACAGCCTGACGGAGACCGCGAGGTTCAGTCACGTGTTAAGTCGTGTGAATTGTCGTGTTAAGTCGTGTTGTTAAGTGACACACGCGCGGGGGGGGGGGGGGGGTTGACTGCTAACACAGCTCAGCTCATATATTGCTCAAATATGCTCAACTCGGGAGGCCCCGACTTCCATTCCGCGAAGAGCTCGCTGCTGCGCTGCTGAGCGGTTGCAACCTCGCAGTCTCAGTATTTTCAGCGAGCTTTCAAAAGCGGAGCGCTGTGTATCTAGCAATGTCAGAAGTCGCGCATGAACTATTCATTGAATATAAAATGTTCCGAGAGCGGCCTCGTGCAAACCTCGACGAAGTTTACAAAGGACTGCAATTATAGCCATGGTGGCTGCACGACGGATGAAGCATAAAACCGCTTAAACAGCGTATGCCAACTTACACAAACTTGGGCTTGCACGGCGCTCTCCAGGTGTCGACGACGCCTGCGGAATTGCGACCGAGCCTGTCCAGGATTCTCCCTCCGTGCCCTCTTTTTCTCTTCGCCCTCTGCGTTGGACTCTGACTTGTCTCGTGTTCACTTCTACATCATTCTACATCTGATGGCCTTCCATGTTCTTATGCACCGCTGTAGTGCTCTGTCTCTGGCTTGCTGGCTGAGATCATGGATCTCATGAACCTGATCCAGGTCATCAGGATAATTGTGCCGAATGCGCTGAGAGATTCTGGATAGTATTCAATGAAATTCAATCTAGCAGGCCTGAGCGGACCAGCAAAGCAGCATCTTCTTCAGAAGAGCGCTTGCGAACAATACCAGCAATGATGAGTGCACCACCTGAAGGCAACATGCACAGCCATGGCTTCTGGGACAAACAAAATCTGCGGATTGAGCGTATACATATTGTAATATGGGCTGATGGTCGAGTCTTAAAGTCACCATTCACGCCTCTCAGGCCTCCTGTGGCCAGGTTTCACTGTCATTCTGGACCCTTGAGTGCCTGCCTGCATGTGATGCGGGTGGGCGTCGAAGGGGGCGAGCCCGAAGAGCAAATCTGCGGCCGGCTGCCTGAATTCTTCTCAGAAGCTTCTCAGAGGCGTGCAATTGGCCGGCTCTCGAAAGAGGCTCGCCGAGGCCCGGAACCACGAGGCGGCGACGGCGGGCAAGTGCAGCCTGCGGGAGAAAGAAGAAAAGAAGGAATCTGCCTCCCAGAAAGCAAGAGCCACGGCCTTCGCCCACCGTGCCCGGAGCGCGCGGCGTGGACCTGCAGCCAGCGCCAGGCGGCTAGCAGCTGAGGCGCGCTGCACATGGCCGCGACCTCGCGCATCCACAAGGGTCATCGATCCACGACCTTCTTCGACTTTCGAATTCTGCGGCCTTGCCACGCTTGCGCCACCACTTGATCCATGCCTGCAGGCCAAAGGGCCCAACTGCTGAGTGCAAGAACATGCACTAACCACGCGTTAGCGTCTGCCGACTGCCCCCCTACCTGCCACGCCGCAGCTAGCATGGCGCGCAGGCGCTGCACGTCCGCCGAGCTCTGGTACCTGTAAGCTCGCATGATCACAACTCATCCGAGAATTGCGGGTGGAGAGGCGCAGCTTCATGAGCCGCTGCTGCTCGGTGTGTTTCAGTAGCTTTGCCCAGCACACCTGCCAGGCGCCCATTGCCCCACACGTTGCCTTACCTGCCTTACCTCTATTTCATTATGGAATCAAACGGCAGCTCCTCCAGCCGCTGCCGGCGAGCCAGAATGGCCCCGTCACGAACCTCCGCAAGTGCAGCAATCTGCCTTTAAGCGAAGGTTACGATGGTTCCGGCAATTGAAAAAACCCGCGGGTTCCAATGGCCTTCTGCAGGGCTCGCCGTTGGGCCTCCCGGCGGACCTGGCTCGGTCCGATGTTATGTGTATAGGGTGTTTAGGGTCGAAAGGGTCCGACGCACGGGCTGAGGCTGCTTTTGTCTGTCTCTGTCTCCGTCTCTGTCTCTATCTCTGCTCCCGCTGAACAGTCGAAGCTGATTGTGGCCGTCCCAACTGGTCCGGGATTTTAAATCAAGTACAAAAGCGCCTTCCGCTACGCTACTTCCACTGGTACCGCTGATGCTCCTGCTGGTGCTGAGTTCGATATCAACGTTAGAAATAACAGTCGCACTGGAGCTTTACTACTACTGCTACTGCCACTGGTGATGCTACTGGTATTTAATGCTACTACTCACATCGTGGGATGACCCATGCCCTTCTGAATGTCGATGGTCTTTGTTGCTCATCTGTAGCCTACAGCCCAGAGCTGCAAAGGCGTATGGTGACCCGTACTATTCCAAGCGAAATGACCTATGCACATCGTGAGTGTGCCGCAAATCTCTTCATCGAACACCAGTCTAGAATGCAATCTTGACGATGTGGACTTGCATGCCCTCATCGCGGAAGTTCTTCCACATTAATTAATGTTCTTTGTGCGCGGTGATGGGCCATCCCCTTGAGTTTTTCGATCGCCCGCTTCCTTACAAGTCTCTGTCTGGCATGCGCGAACTCTGGCACTTTTGGCAGCTGACTCGAAGAGCTGACTGTAAGGTGTCCACTTCTATGATAGCCATGAAAGGCCACGCTGCAACACGGAGAAAAGGGAAGCAAACTCGTACTGCATAAGAGCGCGCGAGACAGCGAGAGCAAGACTTCTCAGGCGGCGACTCTATGCTCCGAGGCGCGCAAACGTCTGCACTTGGCTGCAGCAGCCTGCGAAAAGGAACGCGAAGACATGCGAAGATTCCTGACAAGGAAGCAGACGCCCAGTGTTGCACATGCGAACACACCATGCATGTGCGTGTGTGTCTTAGCCTTCCATGCGCTCAGCAATCTTCCTGCGAATCGCCAGGCTCTGCTCTGCATGATGCCACGGATCTGGAGGACCTCGCATGATGTGACCGTAAACTTCTGCACTTCTGCCTGGCATCACCCGCCACAAGTAGGAGCGCACCTCGACCAGCCAGCCGTCGATCATCTTCTTCAGCAGGGTGTGTGCGAACATCTGGACTACTCGGGCGTGGACAGCCTGCGATGCAAGACCGCGCCATTTTGTCGCCACGGCTCTGTTCGACAGCGCATGCAGCACAGACGAAATAAACGCCCTATTTCTACACATGCCTCTGCACACGGGCATCATGCACATGATAAGGATGCTGTGCCGTCGGTGCTGTGTCACTCTCTGTGCCTGCATGTGGTGCGGGTGGGCGTCGAAGGGGGCGAGCCCGAAGAGCAAATCTGCGGCCGGCTGCCTGAATTCTTCTCATAGGCGTGCAATTGGCCGGCTCTCGAAAGAGGCTCGCCGAGGCCCGGAACCACGGGGCGGCGACGGCGGGCAGGAGCAGCCTGCGGGAGAAGAGATGAAGGAATCTGCCTCCCAGAAAGCAAGAGCCACGGCCTTCGCCCACCGTGCCCGGAGCGCGCGGCGTGGACCCGCAGCCAGCGCCAGGCGGCCAGCAGCTGAGGCGCGCTGCACATGGCCGCGACCTCGTCCACGAGCGTAGCGGGCAGCGGCTCCGTTGGTGCCGAAATTCAGTACAGGAGGAGGCGCCTTCCCCCGCTTGTGAAACCACTTCTTCCAGGCCTGCAGGGAGAGAACAGGCGTTGCTCAGATGTGCTCAGCTGCCAGTATCTCCGAGTCATCCCATTCCATCCCATTCCATGCCACCTGCCATGCCGCGTCCAGACGCGAGCGCAGCCAGTGCACGTCCGCCCAGCTCCGGTACCTGCCGGGCCATCACAATGCAGCGTCTAGAAGAATGGGCAAGCGACAAAGCATCGACAGGCGCTGCTCTGGGGCACAGTCTCATGAGCTTGCAGCTCTCCGCGTGCCCTCTCCAGGCCACCCAGCAGGCCTATAAGCACAACATCACACGGAAACGGAACTTCCAAATCACCTGATGCTGGCCTCCATCAGCCGCCGCCGCCTCTGCGCCAATTCCTGGCGAAGCCGAGCCTCTGCCTGCCGCAGTCACACGCATCTCACATCTTACGTCCTTCGGGTTCGGGATTTATAAATGTGGCCGGCCTCAAGCACGCCTCGGCGCCGAGCCTGCACAGTGACCTGAAAAGAGTTTGGATTGAGGCCACACTGCGTGATGTTGTCCAGGTACGAACTATCGAAGGTTCCGCTGAGCCTAGCTAGATTTCACTACCCAACTTTTAGATATGAAGTAGATTTCGATGCAATCGGGTGTCAATTTCATCTCAACGGGTGTCGAGCCAGGCAACAGATTACACTAAGAACTGTGGAGGGAGGACAGAGCAGACGTATCAAAAAGGACTTGGGTAGCCTTGTTTTTCTGTAAACATCTCCGCCGTTCATGCTTGCAATTCCGACAAAGAAGGGGGGGGGGGGGGTGGGGGCAATCCCTAAACCCTAAACCCTAAACCCTAAACCCTAAAACCCAAACCCTAAAGCCTGAGTGGGCATTCTGTTTGATGCATGCTGGCATGCTGTCAGAGAAGAACCCGCCGGGGGAGCTACCTCTGCAAGTGGCCTGGCGGCTTGGCGTCTCTTGGGATTGACGGGATTGTGTAAGCACCCAACCTCAACCCTCAACTTGACCCTCGCCCCAAAATTCGAGTAAATAGACTAGGCTACGATGAAACCCCAGCTTCCCTCCTTGTGAAGCCTCGAACCCACCCCCTAACGCTGGTAGCACTAGGCTAGGATGCTGCTTGAAACCCTACCTTCCCCCTTGTGAGGCCTGAAACCAACCCCCGCTTCCCCCTTCCTGATAGCAATAGGGTAGAAAGCCAGAAAGCCTCATGAAAGCCTAGCACCTGCCTCAAGCCCGCCCCTGAATCCTGCACTTGGCAGACACTCGTCCGGCGCCGGGCTTAAAGAGAATGAGTGGGTTTAGGGTTTAGGAAGTTTAGGGTTTAGAGCATGGACTGAAATGCACATGTGCCACTGTTCAAGTGGCGCCACTGGTCAAGTGGCATTGACATGCACATATGCCACTGTTCAAGTGGTGCCACTGATCAAGTGGCTTTGACAGTCATGCACATGTTTTTCGATAACTGTTCAAGCGGCGCCGCTGCTCAAGTGGCGAGAAAATTCTTTTCGAAACAACATTATTTTACAATCAGGTCCAGACTTTCTCGAGGTGAAAAGAAAGCGTGCGAGACACCCGTGAACTCACATAGTCTTATAGCTTTTTATGGCACTTTCCACACATCGCCTATATACATGTGAAGTCGTCAAGACTGCAAACAACAATAATCCTGAGGCTCAGTCCCTCCCTCCCTCCACTTGAGAAGCAAAATATATCAACAAACTTCCGTGAAAATTCAATCTCAAGAACACTTTCTGGGGCCGGGGGTTTGTTGCTCTGCTTATCGGGGGGCAACAGGTACATCTCGCCGAAGACGCCCCGAGAATAGCGTTTGGTGAAGAGCCGGTTTCAACTCACCAATGGAAACCTATGCATGAAAGGCTATAAATCATTAAATTAAGAAAAGTTCTATAAAAGCATAAACTCAGATACCCGACCAACGCTTGGAGGCCTTGCTGGACCCTGAGTTGTCAAGCCAAGCTCCCTGAAACGCCAAGCCGTAGAAACATAGTATGTGGAAACACCCTTGCTTCCTCGGCGTCCGTGCCTGTGACAAATCTCAACAGTAACCACCCAACACCCCTGATCAACCTTAACAATGCAATCAGATGTGGACCCGTCGGGGGAGCTACCACTCAATATCAGCAAGAACTTCCAAGAGGCACGTGTGCTCAGGCACTTGCTCGCCGTTGTCGTCAGGAGTTTCATTGCTCAAGGGTTTGGGTGTGAGGATATGTAAGAAGTAGTTTGGCATTTCCATCAGAAGGAAATCAGACCCTTCAGCAATGGAACCAGACCCCTCAACAGCCATGTAAGCTAGCTCACACAATAATCTGGCACCGAGGGCACCTCGGTGCCAAACTGTAACTGTGAGCAAGAAGCTGGCAACCTAGGACACCGCTCTATATCGGTTTAGGGTTTCGGGTTTAGGGTTTACTCGTCTTGGCTACAAGAAGCCAGTTAGCTTGTGGCTTTAGGGTTCGGGTCTGGGCTGCCAGGATTTGGGTGTCGTTAGGCGGTGGCACCGAGGTGTCCGGGTCACAGCCTCGGCAATAGGGGTTGGGGGGGAGGCTTCGGGAATGTAAGGTTTCGGGATCAGGTTTCGGGATCGTGCCACGGAGGCGGCCTCCGTGGCATGAACCAGAACACAAGCTAGTGGGTTTGAAGCGGCTAGGTGCTTGGTGGCTTCGTGCTGCAAGGATGTACGTGTATTTGTTCAAGGTGCCACTGAGGCAGCCTCAGTGGCACCTTGAACAAATGTAAGCAAACATGGAAAGCATGAGAATGCAAGCAGTAGCCATGCTGACTATTCAAGGTAAGCTCCTGAACTGCAGGTTCACAATGGTCTAGGGCTTCTTCCCAAGCTTGAACTCTAGCCTCTCGCCTATCGCCCTCTTTCAGACTCTATCAGAAAGCGCCTGATGCCATGAAGATTGATCTTCTTCCGAGGTCTGCGTCCTACACACTGCCAGCAGACAATTAGCCGGGGCCCAGGTCTTCTAAAAGTCGGGTCTACCGCACTCCCCGGAGATTTGTTCGGGGTGTGAGTTCTTGAGTGTGTCTGGGCTCGTAACTGCTTCTACCCGTCCCCGTGCCAAGGCTAAGGGTTGAAGTTGTCGTGAAACCCTGAAAAATGCCAGACCCCCCTAAACCCGGTTTGACCAAACGCCCGTCGCTGTGTCCCCTGATTCTGGTTTCGGAACCTTGCGCGTGGTTGTGCGTCTTGCGGGCCTGTTGTGGAACGCTGGACATCGAAGAGTTGGGATGCCCTAGAACCAACCCACGATCTCTTCGAACGTGGTGGTGTGGTCCCTGGCTCCAAGACCACCACGTCTTCCACCTAAACCCTAATCCCTGAGCCCTGAACCCCAGACCCGAAACCCTAACCCTAAACCCAAACCATCAACCCTTCACCCTCAACCCCAAACCCTAAGACACTGCCTGCTATGGCAATTAATTCGAAGGCCTGAGCCTTGAATCCTGTAAATAGAATCTAAATAATCTAGAAACCAAAGACACACCTATAGACCACTGTAAACACCCTATATAAATTCGAGAGTGTCGAGCACTGCTCTACGGCCAACCCTAAGCCACCCTAGCAGAAACCCTAAGACTCATAAACTAAACCTAAACATAAACCTCCCTCGCTGTGCTGCCATGGACCGCGTCGAGCAGGCTGCAAGGGTCACTGCCGTGCAAGCGTCCAGGGAGGCTGCGGGCCTCTACCACAAGGACGGCTCGCGGATCCGCCGCGAGGGCAGGAGGCCGCCAAAGCGAAACTGGTTTGTATGTTACAGAATTTTTTGAAAGACTAGCTTTGACCTAAGCCTAGCCTTTGGTTCAGGTTATTATTTTATGTGACCTTATTTCTGATCCCACACATCCACCGAGGAGCCCGTCTAGCCCTGGCGGCAGCGGAGGAGGCTCGCGCAGCGGCGGTGGCTTCAAGAGATATTAGCACAGTGTGCTGTTTTTTTGGATTCTTTATTGGCAAGTTGTGGGGTTGGGGGGGTGGGGGGTGGGCGGGAGACAGTGGACAGGGAGGGGGGAGGAGGGACCCGCCCAAACAGCCCAGCCCCAAAAAAATCGGTTTGCGTTGGCTTCTTCTTTTCTGGTCTCCCACAGCCCCCAAACAGCTAACAGCTGAGTTTCAAAAACTCGGTTGTTTGCATTGGGGGTATTGGTGTAGTTTAGAAGTTTTCAAATCTGGCCAAACGCAGAACGTCTATGTGCGTTTTGCTCTTGTCTGCAAAGAAACAAGACCTGGTTTGGTTTAGAAGTTCAGAAATCTGGCCAAATCCAAAACGCACATCGGTGACGTCTATGTGCGTTTTGCTCTGCAAACTTTCCTGTTGGGTTCTCAGCTGAGGAGCCCCAGGCCGAATTGTCGGTTTTTCAGGAAAAACCCGAGATTCCGCCCAAGGCGAAATTGTCTGATTTTCAGGGAAATCACGAGATTCAGCTTCTGCCTTCAAGATCAACCCCTGAGATCCATCCAGGCAAGTTAGCATTTTGCTCTTGTCTGCAAAGAAACAAGAATTGGTTTGGTTTTTCAAGTTTTCAAATCTGGCCAAATCCAAACGCACATCCGTGGTGTACATCTTGCCACCCCCTGGCTCAAAAGGCAGATGTT